GATGCCTAGACCAGTAAAGGTTAGTGAACTTTATCCAAAGTTAGAAGGAATGCAACAACTTAACAATAATGTAAGAAGTAAACTTTGATTGATTAGAGAAGTGAATGGATATGTAAATGTTTGTATTTGATACGAATGGTATGATAATTACAATAAAGTGAATGTAATATAATAATCTGATGGTTTTAATTTATAACGGTATATAAAATAAGGTAAGGTATGCAGAATACCATGCAGCAGACACAAAAAGAAACTAAAACTTCCATCAAAGTTGGTTTATTTGGAATTAAGCTAATTCGTACAAGTAAGACTACACAAACATCGGGTTGTGTTCATCATGAACCTACATCCCACATGCTTGAGTTAACGTTTAATGATAGTAGTATACCTCAAGAAACCAGCCTATACAAACCAAAAACGACAATAAACAAACAAGAACTGCAATCCAAAGCTGGTGAAGATCAATTTGATGGAGTGACCGTTAATGACAGTGAGAATATAGAAAATATTTTGATGGAAATGGAAAAAGAAATCGAAAAAAACCCCAAAGAAATCAAAAAAGAAATCAAAAAAATCGAAAAAGAAATCAAAAAAGAAATCAAAAAGAATGGGATAAATGAATATGTAAAAAAACTGATCTCAGAACCTAATTATAAGACTAAAGATGTATATGAAAGCAAACTATTTTTATATATAAATCTAATTGATATTGCTAAATTAAAAAAAATACTGGGAAAATATTTTAATTTAGAAGATCCATTATTAACAACAGAAATTAAAAAAGAACTAAATTCAAAATACCCAGGATTGAACATAAACGAAGCTGATGATATACTTAGGGTCACTGTTAATTTTATTATTATGATGTATATGCGTCAGAAAATAGGTAATAAACTACAATGTTTATTCAAAATCGACATCGAAATAGATATATTAATAAGTAAAATGAATCCTAAAAAAATAGTGTGTCTTGAGATTAAAGATCATAACATCATTCCCACCCTGGTTTCTATTAAGGAATTAAGTAGTATAATACCATTGTATAGTAATATCCTCAATGAGGGATTAAAAAACTTTTGCAATAACTGTGATTTAATAACAATATTATTTAATCAAGAAATACCATCAAATATAGTTAATATTATGGTAGAATTAGGCAATGAAAATGTTGAAATTCTCAAAAAAATCATAGAAAATATTGACGGCAAATATAAACAATCAGGGAGTACTGATGCAGTTGATTTGAAGATCGATACAGATCTTTCTACTTTTTCAGCGCATGTGCATTGTCTACCGAATGAAAATATAATGTATACCTTTTTAATATATTTGGTATACAATCGAAATTCTCTTCCATGGGAATATCTTATAAAAAATATAGAAAATGAAATTATTCAAACAAACAATAAAGATTCTAACGATTCGCAGAAATCAAGTGATGAAAAATTGCCTGAGGAATCTGCTCAAAATGAAAATCGTGATAGTTTAACAAATCATTTATGCTTCCGATTTATTTTTTTGGTTTATATACTAATGATTATTTGTATTTCTAATGATAATAAAAAAAACACAGTAACTGCAGATCTTCTAAATGTTATGGTATAGAATCTTAAGAATTATCAGATTCTAAAATATTACCGGTTTTGAATTAAACAGCATTAGAATGATTGATCGTAATAAAACGTATTATATTTATATTTTGATGCTAAAAGAAAGGTATTGAGAAAATACAATAAATTTTAAGGATGATGCCTGGAATGAGCAACAAAGAAGACAACCAAGTTATTTTGAACATCAAAAATCCTTCAACGAATGAGGAAGCAAATATTAGAGATAAAATGGGATCTGAAGTAATTACTGATCCTGAGCTTGAGTATACAATAAACAAAATGAAATCTGAATATAAAGCAACAGAAGAAACGTTTTCGTTGATACGTATGGATAAAATGCGTATCTGCATGGTGGCAAAATCTAAATATGAAAGCGCAAAGAATTCCAAGCAAAAAACACGGATGAGATAGAAAAGCTAAATATTGAGTATATTAATTCGAACATACTACTTTATTGTTCAATATATGAATATATAACAGCTTGTATAGCACATATTAATGAATATGAATGCGTTATGATGCAGTATCAACTTGAACGCACTATATCATATATTTATCCACCGAAAGAACAATAATTACTTGCATTTAAGCCATTTAAATAGTTATTAAGCATGTTGTTGTAGTTGAGCAAGTAAAGTTTGATATACTAAATTAATTATTAAACCATGTTTATGCAAAGTGAAGTTGATACAAATATAACTGTATTCGTAAAATAATTGTATAAATCCCCTGGAATGGAAAATAATGAGATACTTGAATATCTGGACGATATACAATCAGAAATAGACGATGAATATGAAAAGTTTGCAAAAGAAGACTTTGAATGCAAACTAAGATGGCATAAAATGATTAAACCGCTTTTTGTGAAATGCAGAGAGTTTGTAAATAGATTACCTGGCATTTCGAATACATATTGGGAACAAGTGTTTTTGAATTATGAAATAGCAAAAGCACTGCTTCCTGTCGATGAAGATGACAACATAGATGCCAAGTGGATAAAAAAGCTAGAAGTTGACTATCTCGACGGGTATATGTACAGAGTCCATGTTGAATTACATGAAAATAGCTTCGTAAACAATACTACACTTACAAAAAAGATCTGTTTGAATGAAAAAAGAATCGAAACAACTGTAATTCAGTGGAAGAAAGATGAAAAATGGTCGATTTTTGAATTTTTTGAAAGTTTAACTGAAGATCTTGAAGTATTTGACATTCTCTATGAAGCGTATTTCAACTCGGCGTTTTACTTCTTGACCTCTCAAACAAATTAATTTACATAGCTAGTAAACAATAACATTAATTCAATCCAAATTTTATTTAATTAATCTAATATGATATTTTCTTTCAGTAGTGTGTATTTTTGATCAAATTTGATTACAGGGCATTTGACCTTTCCTTTCAGACTTTCTATCTTTGATTTAAGCTCTCCATTTGGAAGAGAATCGGTTATTCTGCCTTTGTTGTTGAATAACAGTTGAGGAACTTGTTTAAGTAAAAACATCCCAAACTCCTGATGCTTTACACTAGAAAGAATTGATGCAATAAAATAATCAATAAGTAAGCCGTGTATTGCATAACTGTTTTTCAACCCAAGTATTCTTTTGAATGCAGGATAGAACAATTTGTCTATTGGATCAAAGTTTACAACAACATCTAGTATTTTCTCAGACACAATAAATATATTCTTTTGCAACTCAATTTCATCCAAGTCTAGTATTCTTCGATATGCCATTCTTCTTCTGCCAGAAACATTGAGACAATAAAAAATCTTTTCGACATCGTCGTGCTCCTTCTTGTGGCTGATTATTTCTTGCAATTTGCCCACTCTTGGCTTGTCATTCTTGACTCTTCGCTCCTTTGCTTTCTGAAGGCGAAACTTCTTAAACACCCTTCCCATGCGTATCTCTAAACCATAAACTAAATCTTGAAATTATTTATTAGTTTGTAGTAACCTCCTTTAGATCCATTGCTAGACTCATCTTGCTCAGAGTCATTCTTACTTTTGGACTGAACTTAAATATAAGGAACGCCATGGACAATGCAAGAGTCAACAATAATGAAAATACAATCAGCATCACCAAAGAGCTATTTGAAAGATAGCATCTGTTTAGAAATGTTATGCTTCTGTTCATAACACTCTTGGAAGATCCTCTTGAAAATATTGTTATGTTATTGAAGTGACTCAGCAGTATTCTAAATCCAGGTGATATGCTTTTACTCTCACCAAGAGTAGCATAAAAGAGCGTATCTATAAAGAGAAACGGGCATAAAAACAGCAAGTATGAAAATGGATACAGGTATTTCATAAACACATACTTTTCATACAACTCTTCAAGCTCTATGCTCAATGAAAATGGTCTCAAAAACGTTGTGAGGACAAATGCTGCAACTCTGCTGATGTTTAACGGATATGCCTTGGATGAAAACGATTTGACTGCAATCATAAAAACTACCATAGAAAGAGGCATTGCAGTAATCATCAGCACAGTTCGTGATGTCAGTATGTCCCTGAACTGTGTGAATCCAATAAGCATGCAAAAGAACAACGACCTCAACAATGAAAATCCGCATTCGTATATCAATATGGATACAAACAACGAAAACTGACTGTAATCGCATCGAAACATCTCCTTCTTCAATAGTGCCTCGTTATCAAGGAAAGAAGAGTCATTAAATATCGAAAACGATGTTATGAACGGAATCAGATTGTATGAAAGGAAATCCATAATATCTGCATACATCACGCCTAGCCTTGGATACACTTTTATAAGGAATACCTTAAGGTCATCTATATATCCTTTCCCATTCTCAGAATATAATGGAAACATCTTGCTAATGAACATGAAAACAGAGTGCTTCACTTTACAACATAGAAATAAAAATAAGAATGCCAGCATTGTCAGCTTGAACAGCAGTATATTTGATATCATTCCGTTTCTATAATCGATCTTAAACTGTCTATTGAGCAAATACCATACATGTTTCCATAAAAATACCGTGGCTATGCAATACTCGCTTGATTTTTCCATTACTTTGGAACTTGTAATTTGTGTCTCGGCACTGTGCTGTTCAGAAACCAACGAATCTGCTTTGATCTCAAAAAGACACTCTGCAATAGATAATTCAGATCGCTTGCGCATTCCATTGATTTCAAGAAATCCCTCCAATCCTGATACAGGACCCATATAAACCATTCTCCCCTTATTCAAAAACATTATGTCATCAAACATGCCAAGCATCATATTGCCCGGCTGATGCACAGTCATCAAGATGATTTTGTTCTTCGACTCTGCATATTTCTTCAGGATTTGGACAATCTCTAGCGCTAGTTGTGAGTCAAGTCCACTTGTTGGCTCATCAAGAAAGATTATATCTGGCTCTGCTGCAAGATCCATCGCAAGCATCAGTCTTCTGCGTTCACCACCAGAGATAGCTCCTACTAGAGAATTCCGTATCTTCTCCAGTCCCATTTCACTTATTATCTCATCCATAGCTTTACTAATCCTAAAGTCTTTTGGCTTTGTTTTCCCTCTGAAAATGAAAGAGTATCTTATGGACTCCTCAACACTCAGATATGGCGAAAACGTATCAAATTGCTCCATGTACGAAACACTCTTTAGCCACTCATATGCAACCCTTTGTTTGCCATTCAGCGATATAATTCCTGAGGTTAGTGCATCATTACTTACCCTTCCAAGCAGTAGCTTCAGAAAGGTTGTCTTGCCACTTCCGCTTCCTCCCATAACTGCAGTAAGTCTTCCTGAGCATACTTGTCCAGATATCCCAGATACTAGCTCTATGTACTCTTTATTTGCATCTAAGCTTCTGCATGGCACTTTCAGAAACACATCTTCAAACTTCAAAGCCATCTGCTCCTCCATGGCCTTTCATGAATCAAACTATTTTGATTACTATAGGAGAAGTAACAGTCAATCGCTTTTCATTCCCTTATGCGCCGTTTTCGCTTTAGTCTAATTGCCATCTCTATTAAAGATTATTGTATTCTCAAAATCTCAAAAGGCTAATTCAAAAGGAGAAATAATTTGCCCAAAAAGACAAACATCAGAAACTATAGAACTCATTTATTTTTACCTTGAACATTCACATTGATTCCTCGGGTCTCAACATACAACTGCGTGCTTTTATCCATTCTAGATGAATAGCCTTTCCTTGTGATATATGTCTCCTCATCCTTCAGAGTAAGATGTCCCTTCAGTGAAATCTCTGCGGGTTTGAAAATTACATTCTCAGCCTCTTGCGGCACAGCCTCTCTCTGCATTACAACGCTTTTGAACGTCTTAAGCAGCTGTGACGGCTCAAGATTGGTCGGATACTCTCTCATCCTTTCAAGCTCTGTTAATCTCCCGAGATATGAAATGTAATGTGTATTGATAACCTGGAACTCTTTCTTCTCAAACGCATGAAGCTCATTCAGTGCATTCTTGTATTCACATTCAATCTTGTTACGAACATCATTGATGTTGTTCTGGAACATCCTCACATTCTTTCTGAACTCAGCAACACAGTCCTTTAAAACCCTTTCCTCGTCAACCAGCTGCAGATTCCCTGTCGTAAGCATCCTCTGCAGACTATCACACGCCTCAACATAATTCAATAGACTGTGCGACCCATTTGGAAGCTCAGAATGATTTCCATTTATCTTACACTTCGTACACACAGGAATCAGGCACTCTTCACAGAAGTAATCAACCATCGTCTCAGGATGGCTCTCACAGTAAATAAACTTCTTCTTTCCCACTTCATTGAAGTAATATCTTACATGTCTCTTCAGAAAATGGTCGTTGTGCACCTCAGCGTCACACATCTCGCAAAAGCTTGCTCGCTCTGCAGGGCAAAACGAAACAGATTGATTCGTCCGGCATCTGTCACACACAAAACTTCCTTTACTCCTCATCTCTAGTTCCACGTCATACTCAAAAGTCACATCAAAAAGTGGCAGAACCTTGTTTGTATCCTTAATTGCATACAAATACTCCTTCATGTCCATCTGCGAGTCAGGAAGAAACCCAACCTGATATCCATGCTCACTCGTAATAAACGAGTCGTAATGTCCCGGAGGATTCATCTGCTTCACATACTCTTTAGATACATATATCGACTCTCCAACTGCAACTTCACAGAACTTCACATTGTGAATAATCGAATCTGCCTTAAGAGGAACATTAAAAACAGGAAAATACGTCGTAGGCCCTATCTCCGCACAAAAACCACGGATTCGCCGCGTATCTCCAAACTTCTTGTTAAATGCAGCCATCTGCTGAGCATCGGCAATATCTTCAAGCTTCTCAACCTTCAATGTCGCACTATCCAGCAGATACTTCAGCAAATACTCAATGTCATGCATAGGGGATTAAAAAAACAAAACAAAACAAATCAATATCACATATAATACATAAATACCTTCAGGCACATCCTGCATTAATATCCCTGCATGGCCATCAAATCTCTTTTATCAGAGATCTATTCAGTCAACAAGCAGGCGTATTTGGACAACCACAGTATGTACGCGTTCAAACGAATAGACAAGAATATGCGTGTCAAGAAATGAAAAAATAACATCTCCACGCAATGCTTCAACAACACGCAGATCCTTCGATCTTACCAAGACTCTTAAAGAGTCAATTGTGTGATCCACAACCTTTGATCCAGCATATCTCAGTTCTGTCCGTACCATTCCAAACGATCTAAACACCATATTTCCTTCCTTATCTGCTGTAATCTCAATATCATCTCTACTCAACACTTTAAAATCGCTTATTAAAAGGCTCATTAACAAAACACCGCCTTGTATTCTATGTATACCATCAAAAATCCGCACGTGTCTTTCAACCTCTATCTTGTCATCACTAACATCAATCTCATATTTATACTTCAGCTTTCCTTCTTCAAAGACAAACTCTCTGGTTTTCTCAAGCATTTCCATCAGATCCTTGATACGTACAGTAAACTCACAATCACACTTCGCCGGCATCTCAATCAGAATGTTCTCAGAACACATTCCAGCTCCAGATATAGTTACTTTAGATGAAAACTTACCAACAAACACAAGTGCATCATATAACTGCGATGAAAGCTCAATAACCCCCATCCAAATAATGCATAGTTCTAAATAAATAACAATAACTCCGTTTATTCTTCTTTCTTACATAATATCAAAAAAAGCTATTGTTCCTCCATTGATCAATACATCTCCTACAAACACTTCCTCAGATCCCTCGGCTTCGATGTATCCCTCCTTCAAGTAGGTGTTCACATGCATGTCAAAACTCTCAAGCATTCCACGGTACATCTTGTTATTCAGTGTCATCACTTTTACATATTTATTCCTCGAGTTCTTCAGAACATCAAGTGCTTGAAACTCCATTGCAGGGGCCTTTATACTTCAAATCATTATCTCTGCTCACGCCTCTTCTGTTTCAAAACAATCATTTCATTCGCAACAATTTCATCATTCTTCAAAACTGTATCCCCTCTGTACATAGCTTGCTTGCTAACTGATACTCCAGTTCGGTCATAAACCATTTTCTTCAACATCTTAACACTCATTGCATCAAATACAAGCTGCTCATACTCAGTCTTCACTCCCTTATCAAACACAACAGTCACTTTTTCTTCTGCTACAGAAGTTTCTTGACCGCACTTTGCTTCTTTGAGATGCATGCTCATAGTATTGGCTGGCACATTTATATTACAAAAAGGACACCTTCTCTCCTCTGTCTTAATTGTTGCTTTTTGCATTCCATCCATAAGCTCATACATTGGACCACTACTATCGAGAGTATCCACAAGCTTGAACTTGCAAAACTCAGAAATTACATGGTTCTTCTTGGGAAACCTCTTCCTCAGCTTTAGAAAATCATACACTTTTCTACTTTCCAATTGATGCATAACATTCATATAGTTTTTCTTAATATGCATGTATATTGAATTCAAATCGCTATTAATGGCATTTATTTGGCTTTCGTCATCAAAGGTGTTATCTAAACATGCTTTCAATGCAATATCTTTTATTTGATCAAAATTATTGATATCTGGATATAAAAGTGTAAATTCATACATGATGGGCTGGCCATTCCATGCATATCATAAATAGGCAAAGCCATAGCACAACTTATTGCATATGCGTAGTTACATTGTTATCATAATGCAATAAAAAACTCGCATAATGCTCCACACATTATATAAATAACGCATTGAATGGCATGCATTGTGCCTTACATATAAACAACAGAGCCACAGACCCTCCATGACAGACAGACAAAACACTGGCGATAGAAGATACTACGACTCGCCTGAAACCAGAAATAGAATAGGAAAGTCTGCAAGAGTGGTGCTTAAGGAATGCAATGGAAATATAGACATGTTTCTCAAGAAAATAAAAAAGATAAACATCGAAATGTCTGAAAAGCGCAAGGATGAGAACACAAGCGAATATAAGAAAGAAAATATATAACAAGTGCCGAATGAATTAAATTTTGTGTTGGTTTATTCTTTGATCATGTGTCATTCTATCTCATGCATTCAACTTGCTTAATTACCTCAAAAGCATCACTGGAAATACATTTTCCATTTACGATGTAGTTGTCAAGGATCAGGTGCGTCTCTTTGAAGTTGTAGATGAAGTGGAGTTCACACACTTTGCTGAAAAATCTGTCGTAAATCGACATGAGGTTGTTTATCAGAGAAAGTACGTACATTCCATTTTCATTTTCAGCGACAAATGCAATGAATATGTCGCCGAATCTGTTGAAAACAACCATTTGCTTGCCATCCACAATGTTTTTTTCTACATGACTTAAAACAATCTCTTTGATATCCTCATCAGAAAGTGAGCTTTCATACGTCCTCTTCAGTCTTGTTTCTCCGCTTGAGCTGAATCCGTATATCTTCTTGATCATGCTCGTAAACACTATGATGTTTATCAAGCATCATGAAACATTCTTAATAAGAATCATGATGCACCCCAATGGGATCATTGAGCAGCACAATGCTTTGTGAGGAGGAAATAGAGGAGTTGAAAAACAGCACTGTGTTTGATTACAGAGAGATAGAAAACCTATACGAAAGGTTTCAGTTTTTGGACAAAGAGACACATGGGTATCTGACATACAACGAATTGAACAACATTCCTGAGTTTCAGTCAAATCCGTTCAGTCAGCTGATCATGCGAAGCATAGAAAAGATGGTTGACTATGACAGGATGACATTTCCACACTTCCTTGCATTTCTGGGAATATTTTCTGAAAAGAGTGATGTGAAGAGCAGGGTGAAGTATCTGTTTGACATACTTGATCTGAATGGAGACGGAAAGCTCTGCAGAAACGTATTTATTAGAGTAGATAACATAATGGGTCAGAGTGGCCGAGAAGAGGATGTCAAAAGTCTGATGGATAGCTACGATAGAGGAGGTAAAGGATATATGGATCTGGTAGACTTCACTGAATTCTATGAAAGCAGTCCATCGATTGACAGGAACATGATTATTGACTTTTCTAAGAATCTGAGACAGCGGAAGCAAGTCGGGTTTATGCAGATTCTCTGGCCATCGAAGCATGAGGCATGAACTAAGCCTTGATTGTGTAATATCGCTAATAAATGGTTTTTATTTACATGAATGTGTGAGTATTATGGATAAGATTGCTCTTTGTATTTGTATGTTTTGTAAAAGTGTAGCAAGATGGCACATGAAGAGCACGACATTAATCAATTTGGAATGGATGACCCACCTGGAATGTTTTTCAAAAGACATGCAGAACCAGTCAATAGATGCATAGAAGAAGAGCTAGACATTCTATCGAACCGATTGAATGATTCCATATACTATGAAGACAGGCTTGATGCACTGAACGAGATATTGAAGGCTTCAAGGACACATCCTGTCGAAGTAGGTATTTGTGCATTGCAAAGCGTAATAAACTCAATGAGAGAGATGGAGGATGTATCCATACATATTGAGGTGATAAAAAACACTCTTGAATGCAGAAGCAGGATGGAGTTCATCGACATTATTGTAAGCAATCACTCGAGTCTGGGTGCAATATGCAGCTGCATTCAGGAAAATAAAGAAGAAGAAAATATTTACGACCTTTTATACGAGCTGAGCATATCAGAAGCATTTCCAAAGTGCATGCCAAAAATACCGAATGCAGCTTATTACTGTGTTCATATGGTAAAGAAGAAAAAAACAGAGCTGATATCCAGACTGATTGAATGCGATGTCAACTTTAAAAAGGAACTCACGTTTGCAGAGGTATTTGAAAATACACTGGAGGTTCTTAGAAATGGGTTTTCTAAGGAAATGATGGCGCTACTGGTTCATCTTTTAAAAGACTGCACATTCAACCAAAACTACTTCAATGAACTGAATTGGGATGCCATACTAAAGTATAGAGCTACACATCAGAATGAAACAGATCAGGTTTTGAGTTCACTCATAGATCTGAAGAACCCAGACTTTCCAAGGATCCAATGCTCAGTGCATAAGCGAATTGAAATGCAATCGCTAGTCAATGCATGTGAGTGGCGCCTTATATATCTTATCATAAAAGATAATGCTCAATATACGCAGGAGGCACTCTCGCTGATTTCTTCAGAAAACATTGCAAATGCATGTAATCAAAAGGCATTCACTCGAAGGAATGACGCATATTTGCTAGCAGACTATCTTTTGATGCACGACTCCTTTGATCTTCCAGAGCATGATTCATACAGAATATATACTCTAAAGTGCTTTCATGGCAGACAGCTATCTTTGGAATCAATCGCATCAAAAATGATAAGTGAGATAGATATGCTTGATCGCATAGATGAGTGCAGTGTTTTGGACTTGTTGGTATTTGTTATCTTCAATTTTCAGGCATCTTGGGCAGACAAGATCACCATCAAGCTTGTTGAGATATTCAATGATTACACACGACCAAATATACACAGGAGTCTATGCCTGATTGCTCTTATGATGCTAGATACGCCAATAGATTCAATAGGAGTAAACCAGTATGCTGCTGCACACATCCTCAGAGAAACAAGGCTTCAACTGTGTTCGCTATCACAGCATCCAGAGCTCTACATGACCGATCACATGGTAGATACCTTAATAGATAATGTAAATGATTTAATACTCACGAAATGCACTTGAATTCCAAAATAGCAGAATACCAAGATGAATACAAAACAAATCTTGTGGATAAATCTCACTAAACTGATTCTGTGTTCAAAGTCCTGGTTATTTCTTTATCAAGATGTCCAAGGAATAATGATATATCTCTGTCAGTGCAAAGAATATGCGTGCCCTCAGGTATACACACCGTTGAGGAATTACCTACAAGCTTCAGCTTTGGTAATATGTCGCATACACCGTATTCGTCATTACCAGAAACAACAAATAAAACCCTAGTATTTGTGACATTCAGATTCATAAAAAAATCATCTGGCAAGTAGCTTGAAAACATATCCTCCTTCCCATACCTGCAGAATAGATCCATGAATCTCTGCACTTTTATATACATACCTCTGTATTTAATGATTGCATCACTGCTCATATCACGTACCTGGACAATATACTTATCAAGATCGTTCATTATATGTTCCTCATACTCCACATCACTGACCGCTCCTTGCAAAACAGCAAGCTTGACGCTTGAATTCCCAAACACTTTCAAATAATGAAGAATGTCCTGACATCCTGTTGAATTTCCCACAAGAACCACATCACTCTCAATCTTCATGAGTAATTCATTCAGGTCTTGCGCATCATCATCAATCGTAAATAATCCAAAATGTGGATGTGATCTTAGCTGTGGAATAATAAGTCTATAACCGTTGTTTGTGCAGTGCTTTTCAAGAGAGACCGTAAACATATCCACCGTCATATTTGCTCCTAGGCCTCCAATATACACTATATTCACATTGCTTTCCACTAAATTCGAGTAGGCCTTAAGATCACAATTCGTATCATAAACAAACACCTTGCCACAAAGCTCATATTCATTCATCTATGGGCAGAACATCTCCTCATATAACAACAATCATCCAAATACTAAACACATGTCTTTGTGATATACACGTCATTATCATTGCTTGTCAAAGTCCCTTTATATCCTTACAATTAAAAAACCTTTATAATTCGGATTTGATAAAAATATTGTGAATTGATGTTTCTCAGATAAAACTCTTCTCCACTCTTCACTTCACTTGTCATGCATGCTAAACCACCACACAATCCTTTTGTGAACCAAAACCCTCCCCTTACAACTCTTCCTATCAATCTATCACTTTCGTCATAAATAAATGCACATCTATCAATATGGCCCTTTTCCAGCTCGAATATCACAAAAGATCCAATGTTGTCTGCTGCTAGATACATTAAGTTGGTGTCAATATGCATCTTCTTAGACATCGGCGTTCTTTCATACTTTTCTCGCATAGGATCCACGTATGAGCGTTCAAACTCTTTATAAAGACTGCTGTTGGGATAATCAAAAGGATATACCATATATTCATTTTCAAATGCAAGTCTTTGCAGCTCCTCAACACATACAGGCACAATTCCTGTATTTATAATATCCTGCCAAAGACCCATCACCTGGCTCCTCTTGACAAGAATCTTTCCAGACTCATGCTCAGACATACTTCTGATATATAAAACTCGATCTACTTCTGTATCCATTGCATCATCAACACTTAAATATCTCTGCTTGCTATATATTTTTGCAAATCTGCTTGAACTCTCGGTAATTGTGTCTAAAAACATCTCATCAGCCTTTATAATCGACAAGCAGCATTCAATTCTACTATGCTCTAACGATCCCTCAATACACATTTTCAAGAATTCTAACTCAGCAGAAATAATGACAAAATATTTCTTACTCACAATCACTTCAAGAATAATATTTCTGAAAGCAATCATTTGGATAATATCCTCAATCTCAAGATTGACTCCCAGTTCAGATGCAAATGACATTATACTTTCTTTTTCATAGACAACAACTTTCTTATATGACTCGTCAAAAACATATCCTCTGTTTTGTGACTTGTATATGAATTTGCTGCTCTTAAGCCGTCGCTTCAATGGAATTGATGTGCCCCATGTCTTGACCATTTCAAATCTTTTTGCATACCATGTGTGTGTTCTTAGTCCGTGCCTGTCTTTCTTTCTTATAGTTTTTCTTCGGCGTACTCGCTTTTCATGGCTTCTTGTGCGTCTTCTCAGATAGAACGGAAGTCTCTGAAACAGCATGGACTTTCTCCTATTTGCATCAATAGCAGCTTCTATTGCCTGTATTTCTTTTGTTCGCTCCTTCACAAAGTCTATTGAGTTGATTTCCTTGTCGTTCATTCCGAGGGAGCAAATTTTGTACAACCTTGGATGTGCCATTATGCATGAGCAATGTTCTCTTTTTTAACAATCCAATGCAATGCATGAATACAAGCTATTAATGCATTATTAATGCGTTCCATCACATACAAAGACAAAGTAGAGTCATTGAATGCCCTAAAAGGTATAATGGACTGTACAATTACAGCACGCAATTCGATAATCATCGACAGGATGATGCAGGTAATCAAAGCGCCTACTATTTCAATTAACACAATGTATACGGTTTGTATTCAGGTGGTTTCTACTGACAAGACGGCTGTTCTTGAATTTATCCTTGGCAGCAGTGTGTTTGAAAGCCTGACTTTGAAGAATAAGCATTTATCGATTCCAAGACAAAGATTCTACATGAAGAAGATGAAGCATCTAAGAATAACTACAAATGAGTATGTAATGATGTTTGAGTATGTATTTGAGGGGTATGTGTTTAGAAGGAGTGTTTTCCATGCATATGCACAGCCATTTGAAGTTGGATCTGAGCCAAGGATGTATGTGATAGGCCTTGATCCAGGGATGATGAAAGCGATGTGCAAGGAAATCCAGAACGAAAAGGTTGAAGTAAGAATATCTAATGGAATGGGAGAAGTGCGTGGTAGCAGGACTATGGTTAGGTTTAAGATGGAACGCACAGATGAATGGAAGGCAAAGGGAATAGGAAAGAATCTCAAGAGCATTTTTGAAACATCGGATTTGTTCCATACTATGAAGATGGAGTATGGACCACAGAGCTCATCTATGAAAGTTGTGTTTGTGGGAGACAGTGTTGAAGCAAGTTTTTTTAGTGCATTATACACAGGCAGTAAGAGTTAATGGATGATGATTAAGGATTTTAAATAATAGTAAATACTAAGGTATTCATGAGCAATAGAGTGGATTAACAATAGAATGGATGTTTTTGAATATTATTAAGATCTTGAATGAACAGTAGAGTCAATAATGGTAAATACTAAGATTATGTATTAACAATAGCATAACCAATGTTGACAAGTAAAAAGATTATGCATTAACAATATAATAACCAATGTTAATGAATAATATAGATGTTGAATGAACAGAACAGTAGAGTAACATAAATGTTGATATAATTATTTGTATTGTTGATGCTGTGGCATTTATAATTATGTTGAGTTGTGATGAATGTGATATTAAATAGATAGATGGATGGATTCAAGTTGTGTGTTTTGAAGACCCCTTAAATGAAATTCAACAAAAGATGTCTGACTGCGTTTTCTGATGAAAGCCCGTTCATGGCGATGGGAACAAAGAGCAAGCTATTTGATACGTCGTTTTCGCTGACATCTGAACTGTTTCTGTATGATTACAGTCTTGGCATACAGTATCCGTCACTACAGACAGACAACAAGTTTTATAGATTGAAGTGGTGCGAGGGGAAAGGGCACAGTGTTTTGGCGACTGGCAATGAAGAAGGAAAGATGACTTTATATACAGCTGCTCCAGAAAAGGGAGTCTCGTTTGAAATGCTCTCGAGCTGTAATGTTTTGGAAGGAAGTGTTCTTGGACTTGACTTCAATCCGTCGAAGGAGGTACTTGCGGCTGGGTCATCGAACGGGAAGATTATATTTTGGAATTTGAACAAGCTTGATAGCCAGTACACAAGCGATATATCGATTTCGTCCAACATTACATGTCTTGCATGGAACAAGAAGGTGTCGAGGATCCTCTGTGCAGGTACAGATGATGGAAAGATACTTATTTTAGACATACGGGCGAAGAATGTGGCAATGACGCTTGGAGGAGATGGGATAAACATTGTGAATGATGTTATGTGGCACCCGAGCGGATCAACTTCTGTGCTTGCTGCCACAGACAAGAAGGCACTGCAGTGCTTCAACCTAAGCTCTGATAGCATGTGTGAGATAGGAGAGCATGAGAATGGGATGATTGGCCTGTCTGCTATTGATGAGTTGCACATTGCAGCTGCGTCAAAAGAGAAGATAAGCATAATTGAGATGTCTGATAACAGAGTGGTTGATACGATTGATGTTGATGGAGTAATTGAGATGAGCTTTTCGAAGAAAGATCCATTGATGGCGTTTTCTTATGCATCTGGAACCACTGAGGTAGTTCCTAGGGTAAGCATGAATGTGGTTCCACGATACTCTTCATGCATTATTGGAAATAAGGTTATTGCAAAGGAAACTTATGTGATTGAGGACGAATACCTGGACAATGTTGAGGAGGATGAGTTTCATAGGAAAGTTAAGGAGTTGCTGTACAATAATGGGAAGTATGAACTAAACAGAGAAGAACTGGGTGAGCTTATGTTAGAAGAGTGTATGAAGATGAATGAAGGATGCTCTGGAGATGAAGAAGATTTGAGCAAAGGTATTGAAGGACTGAAGCTTGATGCAAAGCTTGATCTTTGTGATCCGTTGACTCTATCACTTATCAGAGGAGACATGGAGGAGGCGTATGAAAACGCAACAAAAAGCAAAAAGAAAGTTTCTTTATCGCTTCTACTTGCATTGGCAAAGGACAAGGATGAGTTTCCGGAGTGCCTGGATAGCTTTGATGACATGTTGATTTTACTATCGGTTACACAGGTAACTTCTGTGTTTTCAAAGCTTTTAGAGAAGATATCTGCAGATCAATGGCTAGTTTTTCTTGCAACGATCAGCTTTTCGATGCTAGATGATGAAGATTTTGTTGAAAACTCATTGGAGATGGCAGAGAAGTTGAGAGATGAGCAGAAGTTGTGTGTGTATGCGATTACGAACGATCTTGAGAAGTATTTTGAACTGAAAGCGTCTATGTACAAGAAGCCAACAAATGTGTATGAGGTACGTGAATTTTTCCAGAAGTATAAGGGCTTGGTCAGTGATTTGGAGTTGATGGGAGGAGCATACAAAGATCAGATGATTAATGAGTATTTCTGGTATGGAATAGCACATGGAGAAAAGGCGCCGGATATTAAGTATGATGATGTAGGCATAAACACGTATCTTGGGAATTTGAAGATCCATCATACTGTTGGTAGTAGAAGTTTAACTGAAAGTGAGAATATTTATGATGTGAAAGATACGCATAGACCTACTGTTACTAAACAAGGGTCTCAAAATATACATGAATCGCAGAAAGTGATTACTTCTCCAAAGCATAAGGATGCGAGTGTGTATGGAATGTCTCAGAAGCATGGAGAGTGTGACTCGCATGTACAGAATGATTTAAAAAGAGGATCTATGATTACGGAAGCGTCTTCAAGTGGCTTGAATAAGATTAAGACCACGCCACCGATGCCATTGATTGGAGGCATTCCACCGAGGCCACAAGTATCTTCAACACCGAGCCTAGGAAAAGTGGACAGTAAATCACCTGCTTTACAAACACCACAACCTCGTGCAAGCATTCCAAGACCTGGATATGGCACATCAGGGTCATCAGCATATGCAAGTGCATCGGAGGAGATACTTTCTAAACTTTATGCATCTATTGCAAGCGCATCTTCTGAATATCTAAATAAATCGCCGTCAACGCCTGTTTATGGATCGATGGCTCAAGGAGCAGGAAGTTCGATGATTGGGAAGGGCACACCACCAAAAATTGGGATCCCTAAGCCTGGAATGATCTCAAGTCCAATGATGAGTAATCGGGAAAGTTTCTTGAAGCCTGGAGGAATAGGCATGAATGGATCTGGAAGCTCTGTTATGAGATCTCCACCGCCTCAAATGGGACATCAAAGTGTGAGTAATGCAGTAAAGCAAGATGACTTGGATTCTGAAAAGATTCTTACTGAGTTTGAGTCTCTGATAGACGACTTAACGGAGAAAGCATCTAAGAAAGCGAACCTGATAATGAAGAGCAAGCTCAAGGATGTGTCCAAGAAGTTTACATTGTATAAGAGTGTGCCTAGAAACACCTTTGGAACGAGTGTGTTGAGAGGATTGAATGAGATAAACATGGAGTTGAAGAATAATGTAAGTGTTGAGGAGATGAAGCAGAATGTGCAGAGGATTGCTTCTGAATGCTCAAAGAGTGGAGAGAACAATGTAGAGATATGGATGCCGTGTGTTTACACGCTATTGCAGATTGTTTATCATCGTGATTAAATGAGATTGTGTTTGATATTTGTGTTGTGTTGATGCAGTAAATAAGTAGGAATGTGTTGTAATCGCAATAATTTTATGTATTAACATTTATTTAATATGTAGAAATATTTATAACATCTACTTTGCATGTTAACATTCATGCTTATAGATATAGTAAACCCCCATTTCACATAGTATGATATATGCAATGATTAGTATCAGCCAGTAAATTGAGGAGCTAAAAGTCAGGTATCGCATATAATTGAGATATCATTTGCTATGTACGAAAAAAGATTTTCCCTGTCCGGGAATCGAACCCGAGCCTGCTGCGTGAGAGGCAGCTATCCTAACCACTGGACCAACAAGGATGTCCATAACTTGGATAATTCAGAGATTCCGACCGTTATTGGTAACTGATCCTTTGCATTATTTCAGCCTTTATGCTTATTAATGCGTTGTATTTCTCTTGTGTTTCATGCTGATTACGATTTGTTATATCCTTGCTCTCTGAAACATCATCAAGCATTATTAAACTGATGCAACAAACACAATGACACAGTACATTCTTGGCGAGCTTATTGGATCAGGAACATATGGAGATGTTTATGAGGCTTTCAACGCAGAAACAAGAGAGCGTGTTGCATTGAAGAGAATAAGACTCAATGAGCGTGAGGGAATGCCAGGAACGGCTCTCCGCGAAATATCAATCCTCAAAAGACTGGATCATACAAATATCATACGTCTCATCACAATAATTCACACTGACACACTCTTGACAATGGTATTCCCATATATAGAATACGAGCTGAAGAACTACATACTAATCCATCAGAATGCGGATAGGATGAACTTGATCGCACAGCTAGCATGTGGCATCGATTATTTACACAAAATGAATGTCATACACAGAGACATCAAACCACAGAACATACTGGTTACACATGACGGAGTGCTCAAAATAGCAGACTTCGGACTCTCTAGAAACATGGAGGTTCGAGTTCCTCCATACTCTAGCGAGGTTGTTACTCTATGGTACAGGTCTCCAGAGCTGTTGGTCGGAAACACAAGCTATAGATTCTATATTGACATATGGAGTTTGGGATGTGTAGTATATGAAATAATGACCATGGAACCTCTCTTTCCTGGAGAAAGCAAAGAGAATCAACTGGCATTGATTAGGCGAATAGCAGGTGCTCGTAAACCACTTATGAAGTTTATTGAGTCGAAAGAAATCCCAGAGACCATTTCAAACATAATAATGGGATGTATCGATCTCAATTACGAGACTAGAATATCCATGAATGAAATATTGCGGTTTTTACATAGTGAAGGATACTCTGGTGTTTATTCAGATGTATCTAGAGATATTGAGAGCGTTCCTGTGATTCATTCAAATTTCAACTCCAAAAGGCCCCAAAACGATGTATGAATGGGGAAAACTGATAGTTGAAAAAAGATTCGGAGATAAGCCGAAGATAAAGCCGAGTGTTAAAAGATGTTCGATTACAGAGTATGGCGGAATCAATCGATTGTCTGAAGAACTGAGCCTCAAGGGCAGTGTAACATCTGGGGGCAAGCCTGCAAATGCCATAGAAGAGCCAGAACAGAAAGGCCAAGCAGAAATTATGGTTGATTATCTGAAAGGGCTTCTTGACTTCTCACTAAGCATTCCTCCTCGAGTGCCTTACGACTCGGTTGATAAAAGCACGTATGCTGAAGTCGAAGAAAGGATTTTTGAGGAATGGCGGAGACGCCAGAAAAGCGATATTTTCGAACGAAACATAGAAATATGGCGGCAGTTCTGGATTACATGCGAAAGAAGCGATACAATAGTTCAGATAGTCGATGCAAGAAACCCAGAGTTCTTTATCAACAACGATGTGCGCAAAATGTATCCTACAAAAAGGCATGTCCTTATGATCAATAAGGACGATTTGTCATCTACAAAAAAACAAATAGAAGGATACGAATGCTTATACTATTCAGCATTGGATATTAAGGCAGTGCCTAAGATTGTTCTTGGTATTGATGGAAGCACGATTGGATTCATAGGCTATCCAAATGTTGGGAAAAGCAGTACGATCAACCTGATAATGAACCAGAAGAGAGTAAAAGTAAGCCAGACGCCAGGAAAGACCAAGGCGATTCAGACCATTCCCCTTGGTTACAAAAAGCGCCTACTTGACTGTCCAGGACTGGTTTTCCCAAGGCACAGCAAGATAGATCTGATGCTCCACGGAATACTAAATGTTGACCAGCTGCTTGATCTGAACAAACATCTTGAATATATTATTGATTTCGTTGGCATCAACAAACTGTGTAGATTTTATTCACTCAAAGGATTTTACAACGATTCACGATACAGCAAGGGAGTAAATTATATCAATCTGATGTCATCTGTGAAAGGATGGGAAGTAGGCAAGTGCCTGAAAATGATTATAAAGGACTTTACTTCTGGAAAAATCCCATATGAAAGGGAGATAGAGAATCTTGAATTGGGCTTTGATTGGTACGTGAAGGAATGATTTAATTGTAGATGATCTGGCATTCACTCACATTTGATAATTTTATGTTCAACAGTAAATAATATTTGCAATTCACTCATACATAACAATTTGACATTCAACAACAAGTATAATTGCTTATTTGCATTACAACAATAAACGATCTGTTTCAATAATACCTTGTTTATTCCCATACATCATCTAATCAACTCCATTCAGAAGAGATGCACATGTAAAGAGCCTGAATCGCATGAAACTTTACATCATCGTCTTCACTATGCACCAACCCAAAAAGAACCTCTCTGACCTGATACTTATTCAGTAGGACATTTATATCTGGCGATACCTTGGCCATCTGGAAAATGTCATTACATGCAAGGCATATCCATGAAGGATTGTTTGATTTTAAGTACTTCTTCAAAACTTTGATTATCTCAACTTTGTTCTTCATCAGCATCTCAAGATTTGCAGTCCAGAAGTCTTCTCTGTGATGGTATTCTGAATCTTCAAAGCGGCCTGAAAACAGCTCGTTGAGATAATTTCGAATGCAGAAAGTTTCTCTGTTTTGCATTATCTTGCTCTTTACCTTCTTAAGATCTGCAATCAAATCCACATCTCCGTATCCACTTTCTAAAACCAACTCAGTACATCGGCAGATGTAGTTGAATCGGCCAGGTGAAAAAACATATCCCTGGTCAAGAATGTTTGCAATGATTGCATAGCAAACCCTGAGGATCTTCTCCCTGGTCTTATCTTTCATCACTACAACAACATCATCAATCAGCTTATCCATCTTCTGGACACACTCCTCGCTGTATGAGGCTATGAGGACAATCATAAGCGCATTGTACTGGACCTCCTTTACAAAAACAAAAACATTAAGAATGTCCTTGAACATTCTGCTTGACATGAGATCCAACTTTCTTGAATCAACACTAAACTCCGAATTCGACTTGTATGATAAAAAATCTATCAACAAGCAGAGCAAGTAATTGCCTTCGTCATAGGACGCATTATCTTTGAGCATCTGTTTGAAAAACGACAAATACTCTTTCCTATGTGCCTTGTTGGCATACATTCTCGTCAAAATCTCCGCACTTTTGTATCTAGAGTAGCTGCTTGAGCAGAAAAGCAAACCTATCAGTTCATCTTCATTCAACACTTCTGGAGATGACGAAAGCACAGAAAATGCTGTGTCTTCACTGCTCAAAAGCAGCGCCATCGTTTCCTTGGCACCCAAACATCTTATTTCATTAAATGTTTTCATACACTCAGTATGCGTGCTTTCAGATATTGAATCTTTGATTTTTGCTTCAAGCTTGTCCAAAAACATTGACCTATCAGGACTTCTACATTAATTGTTTAAGGATCCTTTAGTGTTGATGCAATTGTCATCAAAGAAAGCTTAACAAACGATTGATAATCTTGAGACATTCATGCACAAAGTATTCAGGAATGAATGCTAAACCAAACATAATAAGCATGTTTGGTGATTGGATGTGCACTGTAGCAAGCGCATTGGTGTTGATATCAAGATACAAAAGCCATCCCTCAGATTCCCAGAATGACAACATCGTTCAGGAAGCCAGAGCCTTTGAGAAACGTAACCAACAAGGCAGATAAGGAGCCAGCAAAAACTACAGTGCGTTTGAACAGAATAGAAGAAGTGGTATATAGACAGCAGAAAATAGGCGACGAATCGCAGATAGTCATGGTTGACAAGTACTCCGACGATATTTTCAAATATTTCCTGTCAATTGACAAACCATACACATATGCAAACGAAGGAGTTCCTTGGAAAATGAGAAGCTTACTCGTTGACTGGATTATAGATATACACGAAAAGCTTGGAATGTGCCATGACACGTTGTTTCTTGCAATCAATTTAATAGACAGGTTTCTTGGGTTGAGAGTGATCCCCAGTTCGAAGCTTCAACTTGTTGGTGTATCTGCACTCATGATAGCTTGTAAATATGAAGAGGTGGTGTGCCCAGCACTCCAAACATTCGTGCTACTTACAGAAAAGACACTGACAGATGAAGAGGTACGAAAAGCAGAAAAGTACATGCTGCATACCTTAAACTATGATTTGCAATATGTTTCTCCTTTGAATTTTCTCAGAAAATGTTCAAAAGCCAATAACTATGAGATCAATAGCAGAATGGTTGGAAAGTATTTGCTGGAGCTGATGACTCTCTATGAAGAGTTCTTGGCATTTAAGGGATCCATAAGAGCTGCAACTGCAATGTATCTTTCAAGAAAAATGACTTTGCACGATCAATGTAAGAATTTATTCGTGATTTACTCAGGACATACAAAAGAGGACATACGAGAATGTTTTATCGCTCTTGTGCGTATCATAGGCGGAGACATCCCCTTTGAAAACATACAGAACAAGTATAATCTACCGAAGTTCTTTCATGTATCGTCATTCGTCAAGGAATATTCAAAAAAACACTTCAGATAGTCACTGCAAATAAAAGATTTAAAAATTGCAATTTTTCTCATTTTAACTGTTTATAACTAAAGTACGCTAACTTATATGTTAAATCATCTCCCATTTTAACTGTTTATATGTTAAATTTAACTCATTTTTAAGTTAAATCATTTCTCATTACCTATTTATAACTAAAGCATGCACAATCTCACATTATGCCATAAACAAACATGATATGACATGCCCTGAGATGACAAACAGGTTTATAGCATTCACTATAAGCATCTCCTACATTATTTCTGTGATTTGTGTAGCCATTGGAAAGCCTGCAGTTCCATTCGAGTTAATTGCATATCTGCCTCTCATAGTCTTGAATTTCTTGCTGACAATGTTACTGGTATTGGCTGGAAAGCATCTTTACCTGAATAATTAACCTTAATACACAAATGACTATCAAGTTTTACTTTAATAAATAAACATTATCCACAAACACATTAGATGTTCATTGCTTCGATCCGGCAATCAACTACGTCTTTCTGTACTATTCCAAACAAAACCATCTTCTCTAATACAATCCTTCTGAATGACTCAGAGGATTTAAATACATCAAGAAACACATCTATAAATAGCTGCTGATCATCTGCTTCCAATCGAAAGTACGATTTGTACATCTCAAGGTATGTCAAGAAATGTGAAATACTTGGTGATCCGAGATAGCAGAAGTTTCTGAAAAAAAACTCCTTATTCTCAACACCATCTTTTACATCTCCATTAGAATAATCTCTATTCAGGACCTTGGCTTCAAACTCTTCCTTCGAGATCTTATTCATCAAGCAATTAACTCCACCATTTATGTCTTCTTCAAAGAATCTTTTGACCTTCTTCAAGCCAGAAATCCTTTCCATCTCTATCCTTACTTCATCATTGACTGCCTGTTTGAACACAGCTATGTCTTCCACACATCCAAGAGGAACATACGAACTGCTTGCATAGACACTACTTTCTTCATTAGTGTACAAAAAATACTCAAAAATAAACGGAAGCGCTATTCTCTTAAACTCACCAATCGTTCGTTTACATTCTTTATCCTTGACTTCATGACTCATCATGCAAAGTTCATTCACAAACGTTTTCATAAACCCCTGCTTCTTGCATAATTCAATCACAACCATAGTCAGGTAAAGCACATCTTCACCCTCACTATAAAGCAGAAGCAAGCTATCAACAACTTGTTTGTGGTTATTAAACACATTCAGTTGCATCACACACTCTTGTACAGAAAATCTAAAATTTCTGATTATTTGCATAATACAAAAAGTGTCTTCAAAATCTTCTTTGTTAACTCTCCCAAGGATTGCATCAGCTTTTGCATTACATTCATCTACCAAGCCTTTGGAGCAAACTTCAAATTCATGCTCTCCAACCATAAAGGATTCAGGTAATTGCCCAATCCATGAAAAACAACTAATCCAGCCTACACCAAGTCTTTTTAAAGTAAACACCGCAGACATCATTTCACAAATATCAGTAGTTTTACTAATGCCATCGAGCATTACAATAATTGCGTTCTTAAGCTCCGTGCTGTCTTTAATCAACTCACACATAAGAGATGCTATTATCGAGGATTTGTGCGGCATCAACAACATAACATTCCGTATGTCATCTGCCACACCTTGAACATCGTCAGCTTGTCTGATCTCTCGTAGTATGCGCTCGTAGTTCGTCTTGTTGATTCTTGGGATCTGGAGCTGCATTGAGGGAGAATTTTTGCACATGCTTTAATGTCATACAGGTTACATGGTCTTTCTGTGGACTTAGTGGCATGAACAAAGCATTAACACTCAGTCACCGAGATACCTAGAAACAACATGTATTTTTTTGTTGATACACCCTGTAATGGATACATCAATAGCAATAAAAGGAAGGAACTTTGCAGTCATAGCTACAGACATGAAGGTTGCAAGGTCTGTGTTTGTTGTTAAGGAGTCGCAGGACAAGTTCGTCAGTATCAAAGACAAAGTTGTAATGTCTGCCACAGGAGACCAGGGAGATGCATTCAGGGCAATGCTGTCTGTTTCTGAAAAGGCTCTCTTTGAAAACATACAGAACGGGATCGAGCCAAGTCCTAGCGTTGTTGCTCATATAATGCAGAACAGAATTCACGAAAACTCCCGAAAAGCGCCTCTCAATGTATCGACCATGATTGCAGGGAAAGGCTCTGATGGATACGAGCTATGGGCAGTCGATAAGTACGGAGCAATGTCATCTGTGCCTTTCTGTGCCAATGGATATGCAATGTATCTCGCATATGGTATATTTGATAAAGAGTACTCGGAATCCCTGGATATCGAAAGCGCGCTAGAAATCATTCAAAAATGTATCAATTTAATGAGAGAAAGACTCATGATCAGCTTGGAAAGCTTCATGGTCAAAATAGTCACTGACAATGGAATAATCACCAAAACCTTGCATCCTCAAATAAAAAGCAATTAGGTTTATTGTTCACTTGCATCCTTGTAATGCATTCAATTTTTTCTTGGATTCTACCTAGGCTAATCTAATTGATTAGGTATATTCTTCCATTCTCAAAAAGAATTAAATCCTTGGCTGCAAGATCCTCAAGCACCTTCTCAACCTCTTGCAATGTCACTCCAGTTCCAAGACGCCCTACGAACTCATCGATATCAAAAACTCTTGGATTGTTTGGGTTAACGCTGTACTCATACAATGCATTACTGATGTATTCTGCCTTTTCTTCACTAAGCATCACTGCTTCCAAATCCTGCTTCAGTCCACTTCCTGCGCTGTCCATTGCAAACTCATCATTCTCATTCTCTTCTATGCCAATTATCTTTACTTTTTTTCCTGGCTTGATCAATTTTTGGAACAGTGAGTCTTTAATCAATGATATCACACACTCTGCATCAGAATACTCAACAACATCACTGAGTCTTAGCTTTGCATTCGCAGTAGCAAGGCGTATCATCGTCTCAAGTAGTCTAGGCGTTATTGACACAACCTGCTCCTTTCTATCCTTGCTCTGCCTCAGCAATGTGTACTCTTTTATTATCAGTCCTGCTGCCTCCCTCGACAGCACTGGTCTTTTTTGCTTGCAATACTGAATATATGCCCTAAAAACATCCTGACTAATACCAGATGGTTCATCATATCCATTCTCAAGCATATGCATCCTTAACACATGACTTGAAATCATCTGGTCAATATCTGTATTCGATTTGTCCAGAGTCACAAATATCAAGTCAAATCGTGTTAAAAGACTTTCAGGCAGTCTTACATTCTCCTGTGGCGATTTGTTCTCTCTGTATTGCCCCCACATTGGATTCGCTGCTGCAAGCACAGAGCATCTTGCATTCAGCGTCGTGTGGATCCCTGCTTTCGCTATTGTCACTGTTTGCTGTTCCATCACCTCGTGTATTGCCACTCGATCTCCGTCATTCATCTTATCAAACTCATCAATGCACACAACTCCTCTATCTGCAAGCACCATTGCTCCGGCCTCCAGCCTTCTATCGCCTGTATCCTTATCTTGCACTACTGCGGCCGTCAGTCCCACTCCGCTCGATCCTTTACCTGTTGTTGCTACTGATAGCCGTGCTGCATTCATAACATACCTCAATAACTGACTCTTTGCAGTCGATGGATCTCCAACAAGAAGTATGTTGATGTCTCCACGTATCTTACTTCCATTCTTCATCACAATCTCATTTCCTCCAACTAAGAGCAACGCTATCGACCTCTTGATTGCATCATGTCCAAAAATACTCGGTGCAACCAGCTTGTGTAGATCAGTAACTACAGAAAGTCTCATAAACACTGCTTCATCTACATACTCCTCTACTTTCCTCCCAATTCTTTCAATATTGTTTGCAATCAGCACCGTTTTGAACTTCAATGGAAATCCTTGACCTCCAAAGCAAAGACTCTTATATATCCCATATATATTCACTCGGTCTCCAGGCTTCACCTTGTCAACAAGGTCAAACGATAGCACGACCTCAACAGATCTAGGCAGCTGCCCTGGTGGCGCCTTCTCAGGCATCTCCTGCAGCACTACAGTTTGGTAATCAAAATACTCAGAAAGCCCGAATTCAGTCGTCAGCAGGCCTCCCTCAGGATCCCTAGTTGGATACACAGTGTTCGTAATCGGTAGCTTTGTAATCATCGTTGAGTCTCTATAATCCTTCGAATAAAACAGGTTATTGGCTGTACTGTAGTGCACACTCTTCATCACCTTTGGTCGACATATCGAGCACGACGTTACTATCCCTTCTAGACAGATCATTCTTCCAAGATAAGCACTTGAAAGCGTTCTTGGGTTCACAGAGTAGTCGCCAAAGGATCCATACACACCCACAAACATCTTTCGCCCTCCAATCATGCTCAGCTCATCTTCAATAAATGGAACAAGACTCATTGGATCTTCAATAATCCCCTTTGCTAGCGACTTGTCAAACACCCTGATCTCATTCATGCTCAAAAGCACACGTTGCTCAGCTTCATGCGCCATCTTTGCAATCACTTCTGCAATATCCTTGCCCATTCCTGTACGGTACTCCTCAATAAAGCTTTTGAATGCCTCTATGCAATTCGATTCCATCGACTCAAAGGGGCCTCAAAAAACGTTACATGCCATCAAATCTCCCAGGATTCATCATACTCTTCATTTACCCAATCTTCCTGAAGTCGTTGTATGACATAAAATTAGAAAGAAACACATATATGTACCTATACCACTCCATCTGCGATTCATGCATGAGCATCATTTTCACCGGCTTCATGTACATCTTGAACGGAACTGCGCATGATATTTTACCTGCAATTATATCAATAAAATACTTTCTGAATATTCCTTTGGACTCTAGACACAGGCCCTGAATTTTGAATGTCCTGAGAAACAATCTTGCACCTTCATAGCATGATATATGGTTTTTATGCCCAGAAACACCGTACTTGTCAAATGTGATTAGCACATCAAATGGCCTTAATAAGTAGTGCTTGGCAATATACATGCAAACCATTGTCTTGCTCCAATCGCCACCATCAGAAAATGAGGATATTGTCACACGAGCCTGTACAGATTCTGCAACATTCTTGAGCTCCTTCTCTCGGATCTTTCCCTTCCCATATTTATTTCCATTCGAAAGGCAAAGTATGTCTACATCTCTTCCAAGACTCAGCAATGTAGGTGCAAAAAACATAGACTCATCATCTGGATGTGCTATCAGTAGCAGACACCGTCTTCCAGGAAGACTCGACTTGGTCATCCTCCTTATGTTTCTAGCAATAAATAATACAAAAATTGCAATTCCTGCTGCTCTTGCTACCATTCGAACACTAAATACTCTTCTCTTTGCATAAAGTCGCATTCCAGGCATGCATTTAGGCACATTTTTGCAGAATCACTCCTAATAAAACAACCAAAAACTATGCCATTTAATTCTTCATTTCACTCCTCATTCATCCTCAAGTACATTGGAATCTCCCCCAACTCTTCAGAAATCACTTCACAGATCTCTCCATTATCAAATCCAATAAACACAAATCCTCCAGTACATGCAAAGCAGCTCATGCTCGCATCACCAATATACTCTCCGATCATCCCTGATCTATCACTGCACCTCAGAGTCTTTCCTCCAATACTAATAAGAGTGTTGCCATTAAACCCAACCTTTCTAACGCTTCCTTCATGGCTCACCTTACATATTTCTTTCCTTGCTCTAAGATCATGCAGATAAACATTGCCTTCCTCAGTGCCCACACCTAATTCAAATCCACCGTTGGAAAAACACATGCTACACGGCGTTCCATCATACTCTACAGTTCTAATAACTTCCTTGCTCCTCTGATCAATAAATTGTATTTTATTGTCTCCTCCAACACAGATCAGTCCATTCGCCTCGCACATGCATATGCAAAGTATTTCCTGGAAGGTTGTGCCCTGACTCTTCAAAAACCGGCCCTGCTCAAGATTAAATCTGTATATATCAGATCCAACACCTGCACACATAATCTCTGCTTTGAACTTGTTGAAGCATGCATCAAGGCATACAGAAGGCACCTTGATGCTTTCATGGAATCCATACTTTGCATGTAACTCTATCGATCTGTCTCTTTTCAAAATACAGATCTTAGATGCATCCTGTGTCAATGGAATCACTCTCAATGGCTCTGCTTCAAAGTGACGCTCGACCTTCAGCGATAAATTTATCATATCATATATTTTGATAGACGGTTTATAACTACCTATTGTCACCAGGCTCTTGCCATCTTCAGAAACAGTCATGTCAAACACAGCAGCAGTGTATCCAAGATCCCTCACCATTTCTGTATTTGCAAACTTCATTTGCAGAGCGTCAGGCCATGATTTTGCACTGTTTTTAATCTGTACGAATCCCCTTGTAAAATGGACAGCGGAGATGCATCATCGATAGATGAGTCATCCGATAACAATGTGGAGGTTATTGAGAAGATGGTTGCTGAGGTAAAGGTTGAGAATGCAGAGAGAAGGACGTTACCGAGGATGACAAAGTACGAAAAGGCACATGTACTTGGTGTTCGTGCATCTCAGCTGAGTGCAGGTGCTCCTCCCTTCGTGGATATTGGTAATGAATCTAATCCTCTGAAGATTGCAGGACTAGAACTGAATGAGAAGAAGATTCCTTTCATTATTCGCAGGAGGCTTCCTGATGGCAGTTTTGAGGACTGGGCAATCGACGAGCTTTTGGTGCCTGGGGTGGATTTCCAATAGATTGGTTTAGAACATGCGAGGATTTATACAAAGTGATTTAATGTTTACAGTAGTTGGTAATTTATTCTATTGAAGACTATTGCTTTATGCGGTGATTGAATGCTATGGACTGACAAATGGCTTTATCTGTGACATGTACACACAAGCCCATGCAATATATCCAAACATCAGAGCACCTATCATTCCTATTCTTATCTCATGTTTGTTGTTGACAGTCTGTCCTTTTGTCAAAACCATGATGATGGCCGAAAGTAGAAAGACAAAGGCAAGCGATCCAAGCAGAATCCATGCATCATACTTCATGCCAAGGGTGGAACCGAGAATAATAAATGTTTTGCAGAAATATATAACAGGCATAAAGCTGGATGATTTTACAAAGGAGATGCTTATGTTAATATAATGGATAAGCCGTGGATATTCATGAGTGACAGAGAACAAAAAAGGTTTACACGGTAAGTATATTTTGTATTCAGTGTTGATTCTGTGTATTTATATCAAGATTGTTTTTGAGAGATTTGGGATTGTATAACTTGTTGTATATGCAGCGATGATTTTACAATAGAAATATTTGTGGATGTTCGAATATCAAGCAGATTTTGAATAGAGATGGAGACGAGTTAAATTTGTTGGAAATGCCCCTGAGGAATGGGAGTGAAGAAGAAGCAAAGCAGGAGACTGACAACCAGGAAAAGGAAGAGTATTCTGAAGAAACTGAAAGTTGACCAGATCAAGAAAATACGATCGAACAAGAAGATGATGGCGAAGGTTGAGAGAATTCCAGCATCAGTACTTAAGACTGATGAAGAGATAATGCAGCTTGAGGAGATAAAACGGTTGTCCAAGATAAGAAAGACTGAGTATGAAGAAAAGATGCGGAACACAGTGAAAGTGGTGGAATATGTTGAACAGATTGAGAAGATGATAAGCAAATGTGAGACGGTTGTTGAAGTAATTGATGCCAGAGATGTGGAGTCGAGCAGAAGAATGGATGTTGAGCAGATGGTTATTGAAAGAGGAATAAAGCTGGTGATTATGCTGAACTTTGTTGAATATGTTCCGAAGGATGTTGTTGAGAGTTTGAAGAATGATTTATGCAAGAAGGTGGGTGAAGCAATGATACGAACGCCTGAAGAGAATGATTGGGTTGAGGAGGGAATGAAAATTGGAGTTTTTGGGAACAGTAAATGTGGGAAGAATTTTGTTATTGAAAAGATATCGATAAATAGTGGAATTATTATGAATGTGGCGATGACAGTGAGTGTTCCACCGAAGGAGGTATGTGCGCTGAGTATTATTCGTGGATGCCACAGCCTAAGTGATGTCCCGTTTAGAAAGTATATAAATATGATTACCGAGATGATTGATAGGAATGAGGTCGCTCGTCATTATAAGATTTGTGGATTTGAATCTGGAGACGAGATGTTAGAGTGCATCTGTATGGAGTATGGAATTGATAGAGATGACGAAAATGTCAAGTTCCTTGAGGCAGGGAATAGGTTTTTAGAGGAGTTCCATAGAAACAAGATTTTGTTTTGGAAAGGTATTGATGGAAAAGTGTGCTTTGAGTTTGTGAGCACAGGATAATAAAATTTTGAACGCATGAATTTTTGGATGAATGATGTAAGGAGAAGATGCTTGTGAATGTTGTGATTTGTGAGAGGTGTGTATATAACTAGTGGTACATAGCCCTGGAATGATTGTTGGGATGTTTGCCACAGACATGCAAACAAAGGAGGTGGCGTGTAGGATGACATGTAAGATGGCAGTAAGTAAGATTGAGCATTTTATACTTGACTTTGTGGGATCTGAATATGTGAAGGGGGGCGTGGTTGTGAAGGGATTCTACAAGTATGTTTATGGCGCAGTTGATTCTATGTGGTATGTAGTGATAACCAGCATGGGATACAGTGAGATGAAGGCATATACATTACTGGATGTATTACAGAAGAACGGAGGGAAGGATATGCTTGATGTACTTGTTGTAATGGACAATATATTGTATGGACAGGTGGTTTTTGATACGAACCTGAGTTTGGTGAAGGATATGGATAGCCAAGAGGAGAAGATACACGACATGATGATGCGTAATAAGAGAAAGGAGGTTATGCAGAAGCATAAAGAATTCCAGAGGAAACCTGTGAGTGAGATTGACAAGGAGCTGGAGAGAGTGCGCAATCTTGAGATTGAGATGAGGAATGAAAGCATACAACAGCTGAAGAGCATGTCAAAGATGAGCAGCGATCCTGTGAAAGAAAGAAGAAAAGAACTAGTGACTTCATCAGGGCCAGTTCTTATTGTGCTGAAGGAGAAGTTAAGGATTGAGATAGATAAAGAAAACAATGTCAAGAGCAGAGAGGTACAGGGAGACATGACGCTCATGATCAAGGATGAGAAATACAGTGATATAGAGATTGTTCTGAGGAATCATACGAAGGAGATGAAATTCAGTCCGAACATTGACAAGTCTGTGTCTATGTCTGGAGTGATTAAGTGTGATAAAGGATTTCCTGTTGATAAGAATGTAGCGCTTGTGAAGTGGAAGAGTACCAATATTGAGGAGACGCCAGTTACATTTACTTTTTGGCCGTGTGAGACGAGCCTGAATGTGTACCAGATAATGCTCGAATACACGGCTGAAATGGATGTTGAGAACCTGAGAGTGTTTTTCCCAAAAGCAAGGATATCTAATGTTGTTTTGAATGGGGATGCCAGAGAAGAGGAGATGCACATTGTGTGGGAGATTGGCACTGTTGAGAAAGGAGGATCAGATAGCCTGGAGTTTAGCTGCACATGCACTGATCCATCGATGATTTTCCCATTGGATGTTTATTTTACAGCAGATTTTGTTTGTACAAAGCTGAATGTTGATAAAGTAATGATTGGCACTGCAGAGGTAGAGGAGACTGATGTGAAGAAGATGTTTGAGGTTGACAAGTTTGTTGTTGTTGATGAATAAAGCAAGTTGTTTTTATTGAGTGCGATGGAATGATAGATGTATGATGTTGAGTTAATGGCAAGATGCCGTGGATGTAAATCGAAGTAAAAAATTGCCCTTGAGATGGCCGAGATTAATAATGAGTCCAAGAATCAGGATGTGAATGAGACAACTGACTCGCTGAAGAAGAAGAGAACATTTAGGAGGTATACGTACAGGGGAGTACCTGTTGAGGAGCTCGAGAATATGGCATTTAGTGAGGTTGCTAAACTTTTTCCATCGAAGCTGAGAAGAAAGATAAGGCGAGGGCTTTCTGAGCGAGAGGTGCAGTTGATCAAGGAGTGTGCAGCAACAAAGGCAGCATGTGTGAACAGTCTTGACAAGCCTGAGATGGTGCGTACATATGTGAGGTCTGCGATCATTTGGCCGTCGATGATTGGCGCGCTTGTTGGAGTTCATGTTGGAAATGGATTTATGCCGTTGGAGATCAAACCTGAGATGGTGGGATATGTGCTATCTGACTTTGCACCAACAAGGGCTACGCCGAAGCATGGAAGGCCGGGGATTGGAGCAAGCTCATCCTCGAAGTTTGTTCCGTTGAAATAAACGATTTCTGATTTTATTTGGATTGTGAAGGAAGGGAAACGGGCGGATAATTTTATCCCTATGGTAATAAAGACGGACGCAGAAGAAGATGGATTGGAGATGTCGTATGAGTACTCTTCTTCAGATATACAGGAGTCGCTTTCTTCAGACATACTAGAGTATGAGAAGGAGTACTTTGCTGAGAGTATGTCTGAATCGAGCGATGAGAAGGAGGCTGGTGCATGGGAAGACAGCGATGATGATGAGAAGCTGCGCAAGAGCTATCATGGCACAGCAAGTTGGCTTGGCGAAAAGAAGGTAAGGAAGCAAATAGAGATTCAGAAGAAGAAGCTCAAGTTTGGATATGAGCGACATGTGTTCAGCTGTCAATGTAGAATCAAGCTTGCAAAGGCGCATGATGATTACCTGGTGCTTGTAGATGCATATAATAGCATATATATTCTGAAGAATTTTGAGATATGCAAGGTACTCAGGATTGAGATGTTTGGAGCGTCTGATTTTGTGTTTGTTGAAGGAGGTGTGTTATTTTCATCACTGAAGTATGGTGGATTCAAAGAGGTTGCATTTACAGGTGAGGTTAAGGACATCAAGGTCCGAACGACTGAATGTATAAGGAAGATGATCAGCGTTGATGATGGGATATATGTTATTGGGGAGCAAATCGTACTGTTGAATAATAACTATGGGATTGTGGAGCAGTTTGACGGGCGATTCCGAGATGTTGCAGTTTCTACAGATGCACTGTATTGTCTAGGCTTCAATGGAGATGTAGTTGTGATGACGCGAGACCTACGGCCAATTACTAAGATGAACTTTGAATACAAGTTTGATTTCAAGTCTATATACTTTGTGAATGGAAAGGTGGTGGTTGGAATGAGCCTAGGTGTCAAGATTTTTGACCGACACATGAATCTGTTGAATGAGGCTATGAACATGAAGGATGAGATTACAGGATGTATTGAATATGACGGGTATATTTTGTATGGGTCTGACTATTCAAACTCATTGAAGATTGTTCTTCCCGACCTGAGGAGTTTTGATGGGTTTCCATTCAACTCGATCCGTGTTTCGCCAATGAAGGCATTGGTTTCTGATGGAAAGAGTATTATCATTTGCTATAGAAAGGCTGTTGATGTGCTCAGGATGAAGGTAGAGTAATGCCTGGAGTAAAGAAGTGGCATACGCTGATATATTCTAAAAAATTTTATCCCTGGATGGGGAGTTTCAAGAGAAAAGTTACATGCAGTAGGAGAAAGCAGAGGAAGGCACACTACACAGCTTCTGATGAGGAACGAAGAAGGAGGTGTTCTGCACGTCTTTCCAAGGAGCTGAAGGCGAAGTATGGGTTTAGGACTATTCCTTTGGAGGTTGACGATGTAGTAACTGTTAAGGGAGGCAAATTTGATGGAAAGACCGGAACAATCAAGCAGATCAAGCTCAGCGAGTATAAAGTGTATGTTGAGGGATGCTTTGTAACCAAGAAAAGCGGAGAGAATGCAATGGTGCCTATATATCCATCAAAGCTGACAATAAACGAACTGTTCCTTGGTAATGAGAGAAAAGAGCAGCTTGAGAAGAAGAAGGCTGCAAAGGAGTATAACATGGAAATACTCAGGCGAAAGCAAGAGGAGATGATTGCTCAAAAATAATAAATCTTTTCTTGAGTCAAACATGTTTATTTATGATATTATTGAGCTCTGTAGATACATGGAATTCATGCCTTGTGAGCGTGTGTTGTTACGTTAATGCAGTTATCTCTCTCTGTTTTTGAGGATCATTCCTCTTGCTCTTCTGATTTTATTCCTGGCTTCTTCAGGGAAAAAACACAGGTCTTCTTCAGGGATTGAGCATATTCTGTCAAGGACCTGCATTTTCTGCTTGTTGAGGTCAAATGACTCTTTCAGCAGTTCTTCAACTGCCTCCTGACTGACTAGCTTGAGCTTCAGTGCTGAATGAATAATTGCATAAACCAGGCTTGTGTTTTTGTTCAACAGTTCTCTTAAGTAGGATGGTTGGTCAAGCGCCAGTTTCCTGAGATATAAAAGAACTTCCTTGATATTATCTTTGTCCATACAGTCAAGCACACTAATCAAGTTTTCAATCTCTGGGACCTGATCTTCTGGCTCCTTGGACTTCATAGGCATGTCATTCTCTGCATAATTGATTTTCACAGGCCTCCCATTGAACGATATCTTGAGATTCTGCAGAGCCTTTTCAACTATCAATGGCGACTCGTACTCACAAAACCCAAATCCACGTGATTTGCCTGTTGCTTTATCATAAACCATCCTGAAGCTGACGACCTTTCCAACCGATCCAAGTTCTTCAATTATCCGCTCCTCTGGGATTTCAAAGTCAATGTTCCCAACAAAAATACTACATCCATTCTTCATGGGTGTTCTCAATTTGGTTTACAAAACCTCAGCACTCCAAAGCATAATCATAAGGTTCACTTAATAACAAAATGCAAGCATGATATATTTAAATGCTCATATATCACATGCTTAACCAGAAATCTTTGTACGTGCCTGTTCAACCAGTGCTGAGTAATCTTCATCACTGATTTTTATAGTCTCCCAGTCAATCCTTAGGCGCTCATTGTCAGAAACACACGGAATCACGTGGAAGTGTGTATGGAACACGCCTTGATGATTCCCATTGTTCTGTAAGATGTTGTACTTCTCAATTCCAAATCGTTTGACAAGATACTTTATAGTTGGGAGCACGTCTTCTAGATCCTTCGACTCATAATGATGGAAATACGGATGATGTGTCTTTGGAATAACCATGAAGTGTCCTGTGGAGAGCGGAAACCTGTCCATGAGTGCAAATGCACCTTCTGTTTCATATATTATGTTTGCTTTGTTTTCATAAAGCGTGCAGAATATGCAACCTTTCATGGGGCGCAGAGTTGCACTGCATTAGCAAGAATCTTTTATGCAAGTAAAAACACCCAGCTAAATGTCAGAAGCAGAGTACATAAAATATTACAGAGAAACACTAGGATTAGCAGAAGATGATTTTGAAAAGCTGTGTGCATCAACTAAAGTAAGTCTTCCATACTCGTTCTGTGTGGCAAAGGGCCCAATGCATGATCAGATAGTGCAAAGAATTGAACAGTATCCGTTTGTGAATAAAATACAATACTTGGATGATGTGTATGAGTTTTGCAAGGTTAAGGACCCGTCGAGTGATTATCAGAGATTTGTGGAATTTCTTGTGAAACAGACGACTGTGGGACTCATACAGAGACAGGAGGTTGTCAGTATGATTCCTGTGATGCTGATGGATCTCAAGAAAGACTCAAAAGTAATTGATATGTGTGCAGCGCCTGGATCAAAAACCAAGCAGATTCTTGATGCAGTTAGTGATGGATTGGTAATAGCAAATGATGTTAATGCAAAAAGACTGAATGTTCTTGTGAGTGAGACCTCTAAGAAGCCTAATAGATCGCTTATTGTAACGAAGCATGATGCATCTGTTTTCCCAAAGATTTATGCAGATGGCCAATTGGAGTTTGACCGTGTGTTCTGTGATGTCGTGTGTTCAAGTGATGGCACAATACGTAAGAATCCGAATGTATTTGATGAATGGAAGGTTTCAAGAGGAGCAGGACTGTCTGAGCTGCAATACAGGATCCTGAAGAGAGGATGCGAGCTTGTTAAGGAAGGAGGATTAGTGGCGTATTCAACATGCTCATTGAATCCTCTTGAAAATGAATGTGTAGTGCAGAGAATTTTGCAAGAAGATGAGTTTGAACTGGTTGATTTCAGAAACGACACTAGATTCTGCATTTTTCCAGCTGAGTCTGATGGTAAACATCTTATTGTCAGACAGGGATTGAAAACATGGAAGATAGATGGAGTTTCTAATAACCCAAAGCATCGGCCTTGTGAAAAAGATCTTGGCTTAGATAAATGCATAAGGTTGTACCCGCATGATCAGAATACAGGAGGATTTTTTATTGCAATCCTGCGAAGAAATATGCGAGTGCAAACATCTCATTCTGAAGAAAGCACATCACAACACAAGAGTCTGCACTCAAAGCATTGCCGAATTGAGTTTATACCTAAGGAAGATAAAGAGAAACTATTCGAGCAATATTCGATTCCTATGGAAGGCGAGTTATATAAAAGAGGTGAAAGAAGCCTAAGCATTGTTTCTTACTTATCAAATAAGATTATTATGGAGAATCCGAAGCTTAAAGTTGTATCTGCTGGATACCGAATTTTGGAAAAGTCAGGGCTGGATCGTTGTGAGTTTTACCTGAAGAATCTTTTCTATGTTGGGCGTGAGTTTGTGGAGCACCGTGAAATTCAATTAGGCAGTTTTAGATTGTTACTGAATGATGTTTTTGTAAGCAATGATGTCTTAGGATTTGAATGTGTGGGTATTTCAATCATTAAGGTTGAAGGTACCGGAATTGTCCTCTGTGGATATGGAAACACACTGTCATTTACGCTATTCATGAATGACGGTCTAAGAAAGGCTCTCAAGGAGCTTGTTGCATTTAATTGAATAAATTGCATAATAATTGAATGTGGCAATATGCCACCTTGTTATGCAGCATGGTATTTTGTTGTAGTTTGATTGTGTTTCAGGAGCATTTAATGATGCTGCATTTCCACAGAGATGGTATAAATATAACATTTAGTTCTAGATTGTTGACGATTAGTAAGACAGATTTATTTTCCACGAGGTTTTACCTGGCTTTTTGCAAGAGCAGTATGAACTTCCCTGATTGCAAGTTTCCTGAGCTCACCCTTTAGGATGATTTCGAATGCACTTATGATATCATCGGAGCCTACTGTTTGCTTGCCGACTTTCCTTGCCATCTCTCCACCAAGCTCGGCCACAGTGTCAACAAAGTCGTAAGCAATTGCACAAAGAACCTGGATCGAGTTATTTGTCAGCATGATGTTGTTATCTGGACTGACTTCACGAGAAATACGTTTGATTGCTGACCTGAACATCATGCCCATGCACATTGATGATGACTTCTTCTTTGATTTTTTCTTGTCCTGTGTGTCATCTGTTGGTGCTTTACCTGTGACTTGCTTTGCTGACTTTGCCATCAAAGGGTGGGAGTTTTTCTTTATTTATTCTTTTTGGCGGGATTGTGCAGATCTGGAGGGAATGACATGCACTTTAATCTTTGTGTTGATTTTTAGGTTTATGTGTGGGCTTTACAGGTTTCTGAATATGCAAGGAGAAGGGTAAGTTAAAGTATGATTTTCGGCACCCATATAAGCATGGATCAGTATTTTCGGATATCTGATAGGACAAGGACGCTTGAGCACCAGTACATGGGCATTCTTGCAAGGAAGCTGAAGATGGAGGTTTTGCTGGTTGAGGAGGATTATGAGGAGTTGGGCAGGAGATATGCAGAGCTGGAGGAAGCAAGCAGCTGTATGGAAGAAAAGTACATGGAAGATATGAGAAAGCAGAATGAGGAGATGGGGCAACTCTATCATGAAAGAGATATGATGAGGATGAGGATTGAAGAGATCGACGAAAGAAATAGATGTTTGATGGAAGAGTTAAAAGATGCATTGGAGAAGAAGCGAGCTGAAGAGCTGAGGATGATGGCGGAGATAAGTAAGATGAATGAGGTTATGAGGACAGTAGAGACGAAGATCAATGATGAGGAGAGTAATGAGAATGTGAGCAATGAAGTGTGGACGAGTGGTATGAAGAGAATGGATGAGATATATGAAGTGGTTAAAGCAGCAGAGGGCAAGTTTTGTGAGATACTTAGTAAAATGCAATCTGAATGTGAAATGTATAAGAGTAGCATTGAAAAGATGAATACTGAGATGAGTGAGATGAGAGTTAGGCAATCAGCAGGGATGAAAGAAAATGAGGCAATGAAAGAAAGCAAAATGCTAATTGAAGAGGAGCTGAAGCGAGTGAAATGCGAGAATGAGGAGTTGAATGACAAGAATATGAAGCTTAAGGAAGATAGTGATGCGCTTTGTCGTGCAAGGAGGTCGCTTGAGGAGAAAGATGAGATAATATGTGCACTGAAGGAAAATATGAAGCAGAAGTCAGAAGTGATAGAGATGCAAAAGAAGATAATTGAAGGAGGATTACAGAAGTCTGTGGTATCTAGAGATGTTGTTTATAATGTATTTGATGATGTTATTGAGGCTGAGGAAAGTGGGAATGATCTTATGCTAGACGAGGGATGTGCTAGTATAAATGAACCGTACAAGGAGGTTCAAGCGGAAGAAGGAGTATATGGGATGAATGCACATGTATCGAATGTAAATAAGGGTGTGAAAGTACTTGGTAATAAACAGCCAGCAAAAAGATCTGTAAATCTAGGTGTCACAAAAAGAGTCGGAATGTACAAGAGCAAGGACATGCCGAAAGCACAGCCAAAGGTAGTACTACACAACAATACTAAAGAATCTAAGGCAAATGATGCAACAGGTATACATGGAATAAAGAAATCGCCTGTAAAGAGATTACTTGCATCTGGAGGTCTTATAATGCCTGAGAATTCATCATACTTTGCAGACTTGACATTTAATAACTCAAGCCCGGTTATAAAGAAAGATATGTCGAGATTTCCAAAGAAGAAGTGAGATTAGAATACCACTGTTTTAATGCTATAGAAGATATCAGCTATTGTGTATAACGATAGTGAATGTAGGAATAAATACTATTTTGTTTAGATAAGTTTTTAATCAACTTGTGATTTTATACTATTTAACCCATTAGAGATCATAATATTCTCCTTCTTGTTTGAAGTCCATACTTGAAGTTTTAAGAGCACTAAAGACATCAATGTTGATCTTGTATAATCCATAGATGGTTAGGATTGCAAGAATTGTTGCAACCACGTTGATTACGGCATGCTTGTTCTGTTTCAAATACTTCTTCACATCATGTGTATTATCTTCATCACTGTCGATTTCTGTATCTCTCACTGCATTATTTAATAGCATTATTGTAGACACACAAAGACAAATCATTGGATAGTATGGTGAGAACCTATCAGATGCGAATGCAGCAACGCTAATTATGGACAAAATAGCCACACAAGCGATTGGGAAAGTAATCATGCGTAATGGATAGTCGCAGGTCTTGAGTCTCATAAGCTTTCGTGGAAGTCTTGAAAGATATATCATCATAGCAATTGATGAAAGCTTCTTAATATCAATTGCGACATTTGATTTTTTTCTCCTCCATGCATCTGCAAACGATGCTATAGAAACAATGATTGCCACTATCTCAATCACCAAAAGCATATTTTCCGTAGAGATTGCATCCCAAATACCTCCTTCCTTTAACTTACCGTAATTGCTGTGTATATCGAGCCCAGATATCAAGACGGCTGTTGCTGCAAACAACAAATACATCAAAATTGATGGAATTTTTATAAAAATGCCTTTATGCAGCATGAGTTCTAAGGCCACAGGGACCCAACCAGCACATATTACGATGATCTCTTTTATGTGTATTGTTTTTATGCGATTGCTTAGTTTTTTCTCTTCCACTTCCTCTTTATCCTGCTTATCGAGTGTTTCTGATTTAATATTGTCATCATGATCCTCCTTTACTGTGCTTATGTATGTTCCAACAAACATGTAAACGTACTCCACTGTTTTAGAGTAACACATCTTCATAAAACCCGCTATCTTCGTTGTGTAAGTTTCGCCTTCACTTGTGTTGTCGTTTGATTCATCCATGACTTTATTTGCATTTTCAATTATGTTCACTTGTTCGTTCATTCCTTAAAGATTAGCGGTAGGCCTGCATGATTTATTTTATTACTCTTGAATTACAAATTGGATGGCGTGATTAATCCCATGGATAGAAAATGCCACAGAGTCGAGTCAGGGACGCCCATGAGCAATATAAATGACCATTCATCTGAGAATAACAAAAAGGAGGTAGATGCCATAAAGGAATATGGAAAGACGTTCAATAAGTACGCAATGCCTGAGAATGATGAGAGTGATTCATCAAGCATGCCTAAGACTCTGAGGAAGAGGATGCAGGGGATTCTAAGACGAGACAACCTAAACAACTCGCAAGGAAAGCCAGCTATTGAGAAAATCAATAACGTAGCCGAGATATCCGAGATTTTGATGAACAGGGCAGTGCAAGAAAGTCTGCTTGATGAGGGTATTTTAGAAGAGGTTCGTGGATGGCTGGAGCCGCTTCCTGACAGATCTATGCCGAACATAAGAGTCAAGAAGAATCTGCTGGATGTGCTTAGAAACATGAAGATCCACAAAGAGCATCTTTTACACAGTGGAATTGGCAAAATCGTTTATTTCTACAGTATCAATCCAAAGGAAGAAAAGGAAATCAGAGCCATGGCAAAGCAATTAGTACAGAAATGGACTCAGGAGGTATTCAATCCTGAATTTGACGAATGATTGTATATTTTATGAATTCAAATGTTATGTGAATTTTATTTAATTGTGTTATAGATCGAGTGATCTAGAATTGGATATTTGAGTTGTAATTTATTTATCTTGATTATAAATAATTCTACTTATTCATATAAAAATAAAATCAAATAAACCACACACATCCGCTCTTTCACAGAAACTTTCCAGATATTCTAAAAACTCATATCGTGTTATATTTGTGGATCTCCTTACAGGAAAGCTATGGATCCAGGCTGCATAATAGTCTATTAGGTTGTCCACATCTTTCATGATGATATCTGTGTCTACATGAGTACTTTCATACAGTCGCCTTCTGTTAATATGGTCAACAAGAAACGAAACGCCCTTACTTGAAACAAGGAACTTCTTTATTACTTCACTCTCGTTGTACTTTTTATGTGTGCTTTCAGATGTTTTTGCCTTCTTTCTATCCATTAGGTACAGGGCTGTTGCAATATTAATACATCAAGACCGCTTACTAAAGACAGAGTGTATAACACTCAACACAAGGCTTGCCTTGGAGTTTCTTTATCCACTCTTGGACAATTATTGCGCCAAGAAGGCAGTCGTTTGCAAACGAAATACATGTGGATGCTTCAGAGCATATGTGTAGCTTCAGAGCACTATGGAATGACATGCACTTTGAACATGCATAAATACCCTCGAGCTTATACTCGTTCAAGCCATTAATAAATATGATAAACGTGTATTTATGCTGTACATTGATGGAATTTACTTCATTTATCTCTATTTCCGAGTTTATGTCTTTGATGCAGCCATGGAACATTCTTTTAAAAGACTCGATTGCACATTTACTTGCAGATATTGTGCGCACGCCAAGAAGCGCAAGGTTCTTAATGATTTCTCCTCCAATGTCTATATCTCTATGATATTGATCACGATAACTTTGATGTGTTTGTATTATGCACACGTGTGCCTTTTCTATAAGATCCTGAGTGTGTTGTCCAAAAAGTCTGACTTGTCTGTCATAGAGTCCATACATTGCCAGTGCTCGAGGACTATGCATAAATTCATTTGAAAAAATTTAATGATAAAATCAACGGAGCAGCATCCCTAGATAAGAATGAATAAGAATGTGTTTTTTGAAGTTTCTGAAGTGAAGGGAAGTACAAAGAATCTTATTGGAAAGATTGTCATGTCTTTAAATGACAAAGAAGTTCCTGAAACCGCCAAGAACTTTAGAGAGCTTTGTAAGAGGCCAGAGGGTAGCGGATACTTGATGTCTACATTCCACAGGATTATTCCTGGATTCATGATACAGGGAGGAGACTACACAGCACATAATGGAACAGGCGGAAGAAGCATATTCCCAACAAGCACATTCCCTGATGAGAACTTCATAATCAAGCATACGGGTGAAGGATTGCTTTCAATGGCAAACTGTGGTAGGAACACAAATGGATCTCAATTCTTTATTACGCTTGCTATGACACCATGGCTCGATGGGGGGCATGTTGTTTTTGGAAAGGTTGTTGAGGGAATCGAAGTTGTGCGCAACATTGCAAAGTATGGCTCAAAATCAGGAGAAGTGAAGAATGGCTATAAGATTCAAATCTCTGCATGTGGAGAGGTTTAAGACAATTAAATCTATTTATTTGATGTAGTGAGTGACATTGCCATTTAATGAGTTGTGATGATGAATTAATAACTATGCGACAATTTTGTATGTTTACAGGTTTTGGTTCAGTGCAGCACCCTTGATGGAGAAGTACTCAGCATACAACGATCCTCTTTCTGGAGTAAATCCATTTACCGATAGAAAAGGGACGAGATACTCGATACTTGAGTACACTAAGGCGATTCTGAAGATCCCGTTTTTGGTGATTATGCTTGTTACAAATATTGATGTGGTGAGATATCTCATAACAATCAGGTCGAATACATTGGGAAAGCCACGCGTCTTGGCAGCCAATTCATCTTCATTTCTTGATATGCATGTTTTACGACACTTGACTGGAATAAGAAATTTTTACTATGTTACTGAAACAGGTTACATCGATGCCAGGTCAAACAAGTTTATATCAAGTGTAGTTGAACCATGTGTCTTGTTTCCTGAGGCATGCAGAACAAACAACAGAGCGGTTCTTCAGTTTTCGAGGAATGTCCGTGTGGATTATGTTTGTGGGATCAAGTACAACGGAGACTGTGTAAATCTGTATGGAAATCGCTTTTGGTTCATGCTGAGATTCCTGGCATCTAATTGCTCTGTGGATGTCAAATTCAAGCAAAGCACGGATATTCAATACATAAGCAAGCTCTCAGGTCTTCCACAAGTGATATGGTCAGCAAAGGACAAAAATAGATTTGTTGAGGAATTCACATATGGTTCTAAAACACAAAAAAAACAATAAAGCTTTACTACTTTTTCCTGCGGCTTCCAAAAGCACAGATAGTTACTTCCTTCTTATGATTGACTCTGAATTTTTATCCTCAATTAGATATCCGTGTCCCTTGATGTCGTCTCTAACCCTATCGCATCTTTCAAGGAACTTTGAATGTGGCTCTTTCTGCCTGGCCATTCGTCTTACATCTCCCCTGAACTCACAGATCATCTGTGCAATCAGATCCTCATTGCCAGAGGTTTCAACTTGCTTGTCGTAAAGTCCAAATACATCAAGAATGCCGCTGACATACTTCCTGACAGATAGAATAACACCTGCTGGCGCATTCCACATCCTAGTGTTTGTAAAGTTAATCATTTCCATGATCCTCTTCATCGCTGCTGGCATATCAATATTGTCTAATATTGCAGTATGCACTGCTTTTTGTGTGCTCCGCAATTCTGCAATAATTTCTTTTCCTGCTTCATTCAATTCAGTAGCCTGTAGTAAGTTTTTCGCGATGCTTTCAGTCACCGACATGAAATTTGAGATCTTCTTATCAACACTTTCTGCAAACTTCAGCTGCTCCTCTTCATAATTCATATCCTTATTCCAATGATGATGCAGAAACATTATCCTAAGTTGCCGTGCACTTGTTCTCACCAGCATCTCCTTGATAGTCGTAAAGTTCTTGAGAGACTTTGACATCTTCATTCCATTGATGTTAAGATGCCCAGTGTGCAAGAAGTACTTTGTCCACGGCTTCTTCATAAAATATCCTTGGCATTGCGCTATCTCATTCTCATGATGTGGAAATCCAAGATCAATCCCTCCTGCATGTATGTCAAGGCTGTCTCCAAACACATCGCTCGACATCACACTGCATTCAATGTGCCATCCAGGCCTTCCATCTCCCCACTTAGATTTGTATGATGGCTCATTCTCCTTTGACTTCTTCCATAACACAAAGTCACATGCATTCCTCTTGTCACTGTTCTCATCTCCATCAAAGTTAATTCCTTCAGAATTCCTCATCACTGGATACTCATACTTCTCCTTATACTTCACCAAATCAAAGTACACACTCTGATTGCTTTCATATGCATATCCATTCTTCTCAATATCCTCAATAAATTTCACAATCTTCTCAACATAAGCCGTTACATACGTCACAACAAGCGGATACTCCACATTCAGCGCCTTCATGTCATCAAAAAACTCATCTGTGTACTTCTTCGTAACCTCTCCAATAGGTACACCTAGACTATTGGCTCTGATAATGATCTTATCATCAATATCTGTGATGTTCATCACAAACTCCACATTGTACCTCATGTAGTCTCTGAGCACTCGTCTAATAACATCAAACATCACATAAGTTCTTGCATGTCCTATATGAGGCGAGTCGTACACCGTAGGCCCACATATGTACATCTTCACTTCTCCATCCTTTCCTGCTACAAAATCCTCCATCGTCTTTGTAATAGAATTGTAAAGCCTCAGTCGCCCCTTCATTCACGTCCCAAATACATTCACATCTAATACCAATATTTTAATTAATCCTTTTATGGATTCAAATACTCAGTTATACTTACTGATATCGTGCTTATGCTTCAGCATTATCTCTACATTCTTTGCTTTTATTCATGCTTATATTATACATGTTCATGTCTCTCATCCATACTTTCGGTGCTCGTTTCATAATCTCAATCCTTGCAAGTTCAGTAGCATTTTCATTAACCTTCTGTTTCATTGAATTCGCAATTTCTTCATCCTCCTTTACACAAAACACTCGAAAACATTTCTTATCTGTATTCGTTTGCACATTTTTCATCTCAGCCCCCATCACCATTCAAAATATACATATGGAAATTCATGCAAATCCCTATATCAAGTATTCAAGATCGCTTATGTTTACTATATCAAGCACATCTCCAGGATTCACCATGCTTCCAATCAGTGCTTCCATTTGCAGCACTTCACCGTTCCTCACAAGTATATTTCCAGTAGAACCATCTTTAACAGCAATTGCCAGCACCTCATCAACTCTCATGCCTCTCCCAACATCGATTTCAATGGTGTTATCTGTGCTGAGATTCGCCCTTATATGTATTTCATCAGACTCCTTACCAATCCCACTCAGACCGTGTATGCTGATGCAGTGGTTCTCGTCAAAATTGATCTCATCGAGCGTTAGATGCCTTGATACAGGAATAGACTTATGTTTCATCTTTACATTTGGGTCTTCTTTGCAATACATTTGATAGATTTTATCTAGTGTATCTGTACGCCCCATATAAACCACTCTTTCACCATTTAAATCGACTACCTTGACTTTCACTTGACCTTCTGTTTCAAGCGCATAATCAGAAGGCATGGAATTATTTGATGCTTCACTAATTTTACTTATTTTTGACTTCTTTGTTGTTTGTAGCTGTTTATTTGATTCACCATATTTTTCCTTTTGTACTCGTTGTTTTCGTTGCTTGTGTTTTGGCCTAGGAGTAGAAGATTCCGAGTCATAGCCATTCTGTGCACTCTTTTCCAAGGCTACTGATGTCCTTCTTGGTGATCTTCTGCGCAAAGAATACGTTGTGGTGTCCATAAGTGCTACTTCACTACTACATTCATCTATAGAATGGTCTAGCACTATATCTGAAGACTCCGCGTCATCCATGGCTGAGGATCGCACATCATAAAAATCATTATGCAACAATTTGAAAGAATTAGTATTCCATCGGCCCAATGAGAATAATAATAAAGAATCTTCCACAATGCACAACGAAAGAAGATGTTGAAAGAGCATTCTCAAAACACGGAAAAATCAGCGACGTATTCATGGTGATGGATGGTAATAACAAATGCAAAGGAACATGCTTTGTTGGATATCTCAATGAGAGTGATGGCATGGATGCAATCCGTCATCATGACGGATCGTTCTTCAATAGACATAGAATACAATGCGAGACAGCAAAGGAGGATGAGCAGAAAGGAAGTGAGTCAGATGAAAGAAAGATCAAGTACTCCAGAAGCATATTCATCAAGAATGTTCCTGTAGATGTTGCAGAAGATTTTGTACGTAAAGAAGCCGAGATTTATGGCGAAGTAGAGCGAGTCACAATAACAGAAAGAAAAGTAGGACGGAGTGCATGTGTTGTGTTTGTTAATGGAGATTCAGCTGTAGAAGCATATAAGAAGATGAAGTTTGTTGGGGGAATGAATGCAAAGGTGTCTCCTTGGAAGGATGCTAAGACCAATGATGCACAAGAACACTACAACATGCTTTTCTTCAATTTTGAGCAAGTTGTTAAGAAAATTTGTGAAAATGAACGTATTGGAATCAGAGATGTTGTTGATGTGGATGATAAGGATTTGGGTGCAAGGATGGCACGGATTGAGACGCATCTTGTTCAACAGACAAAGGAATTTCTTGAAAGCAATGGGATATTTCTGAATGCACTTACTGGTACTACTGATAAGAAGACATTGGTTGTGCGTTGTGCTGAGCTAATGAAGTGCCTGGAGTACATAAGCGAAGGATGCAGAGTCTGCATTTCTCCATCTAAATGCTTGGCTCTTTTGAAATTTGATAAGGAAGATGAAGCACTAAAGTGCTATAGAAAGTTAGGTTTGAGAAGGATTCGAGAGGCAGTTGTGTATTGTGAGTATGCACCCATTTGTAGAGTACCCGAGAACCATCTAAATGTATGTAAAGATGAGCAGATAAGCAATGCAACAATAAATGGAAATCCATATGGTCTGAGGAACAGGAGTAAGCTTGGAAATAAGCTGTTAATAAGAAATGTTCCATTTCAGGCAACAAAGGAAGACATACGAAAGATATTTAGTGAGTTCCATGTCAAAGATGTGCGGATTCCAATAAAACGCGAAGGATCGAGTAGAGGATTCTGCTTTGTAACGATGGAAACACCGGAGGATGTTTCTGGTGCCATGGAATATTTTGGTAGCAGTACGCATTTGTACGGGAGACGGCTTGTTCTTGAGAGAGCCAAAATATAAGGAAAGTGTGAATATAGAGTCTGTGCTTTCTGATTTGTTCTGATTATGTGCTGTATTTGGAATATTTGCCACACATCTAATAAATACGTTATGACTTATATTTTTTGCAGTTTTGTTTGGAATGACCATGTGATGAGCAAGAATTTCAATAGACAAATATGGTTAATTAATCCAATATAGTATTTATATAAAAAATGAGAGACCGTTATTTAGAGATGCCAGCATATCGAGAAGAAGGAACAAGTGTGCAAGCAATTGATATTGAAAATAATGATAGTACTTCAAAGCAAGATCCTAAGTATGATGGAGGTAAGTTTGGAACATTCATGTTCAAGAATTATGTAATACACTGGCTTGAGATGGTTATATCGTTTGTGTTCATAACATATGTGTCTCTGGTATTATTGTCGATGATGAAAGTGTGGGAGAAGGGAAATGTATTTATAAAAATATATCCGAAGATTAACCAATGGGTTGTTCTGACATCGATTATATTGAGTATTGTGTCAATGGCACTGAGATGGAAGGATATGCTCCACTCTGTGAAGAACATCAAGACACATCCAGTCATAATATTCTGCGGATTGATGCTTATTGGAGTTCTGACACTCTCGATGCGATTCTTTTTTTCTACAATAAAAAATACATCCTCAAAGTCAGGCACTGATGCATACTCGGAATGTCATCCTGAGATTATTGGAAGTGTACTTGGACACACTTCTGGATTGGTGTTTGCATACATAGTATATGTGTGTGTAAAGGCAATGTTCAATGGAAACTTCAGTTACACAAGTAACCTTGTCAGGCTTGTAAGCATAGTAGTTGGTGCTTTGATAATAATTGGAGCGGGTATTCTTAATTTGGCATCAGTGATTAATCACGATAAAGTGGCAATTGCATATGGAGTGGCAGGAATAGTCATGGCAATTATAAACATGATTTCATTTGATCTTAGGACAACAGAAAGTCCCGACAACAAATTCAATTGGACTGTAGCAGCAGCAGCGATGGTTTTATTTATTAGTAGTTTGGTAATGATAAAGAAGGCATACTGTGCGAATGATGTCAGTACTAAGGACTTTTTTACTAAACGAGGATCTGAATTTATGTATGGAATTTACAATGCGAGCATTGTAAATTCATACAATGCCGAGGATGATATTAGTGATCAGTGATCCGACTCAAGAAATTAATGATTCGTAAAATCTGCAGAGTTAATATTAGATAACATAGAATCCTATATCTATAACTTATCTAATTCCATTAATTTTAAAGCGAATGGGATAACAATTAATCGAAATGGCATTATAATTAATGATAACATAATTGATACATCAACATTCTTTTAGAATCGATTGTTATCATTTTCGAATCAATTAAATATAATGATCTTTTATTATTTTTCTCTATAAGAACCTATGTGCTTTGAATTGGAGGTTTGCTTATGATCTGCACATCGACTATAAACTCTCCTCTTAACACCACCAGTCCTAGAGTTCGCCTTTGTGACTCTGGCTGTTTCTTAATGCATCGGAATTCCTCACTATCCTCAAGAACTACATTCATATCCGCATCGACAGACAGCATTGTGCCTTCAATTCGTCTACTGTCTTTCATTGTGACATTTACTCGATGCAATAGATAATTTGATATTCCAGACTTCATTCGAAGGACACATAATGCATTAGTTTATATTTTATAAAATCAAAATTTCCTTTATTCAAGTAGTCCAAGCCAAGAGCGTGTACTTGAACATCCATCACATCTTACTGAGAGGCGTTGCTCCCAGGATTGATAGTCCATTGTGTAGAACAATCCTTGCTGATGAGAGCACAAGGAGTCTGGCCTTTGCAAGCTCCTTGTCCACGCCCATTACTCGTAGATTGTTAACAGTGGAGTTAATGCATCCTGCAAGATCCTGAAGATACGTAACAATCCTTGATGGCTCGTAATCATCCAGGCATTTCTCAACAATATGCTCATACCACAATAGCTTATAGACAAGCTCAAGCACTCCAGGTACACATATCAACGAAAAGTCAATTGTGTCTATGTTGCTGTAGTCAATTTCACTGTTGCGCATTTCAATGCTTCTGAGCCTGCAATGTGCATATTGTAAATACGGGCCTGTTCCAGACGTGTTCCTTGCCCTCTTCTCAATGTCAAATTCATATCCCTTGATCCTCTTCGCAGTAAAGTCCATCACAAGCAGCGTGGAGAGCGCAAGGACCTGTGCCGTTGAATCAACCTCTTCAGGTGTAAACGAGCTCCTGCTCTCATCACTCTGCATCACTTTCTTCATTACGTTTGTTGCTTCATCAAGTATATCTTCAAGAAACTCAACTTTTCCTTCTCTTGTCGACATGCCAGCCACAAGCCCGTAGTTTACATGTTGAAACTTGCTTTCATCAATCCCAAGCAGCTTCAATGTCTTAAATAGATCTTCAAAGTGTTTATTCTGCTCACTTGATACAACATATATGATCTTCTCAGGCATGTACTCCTCAAGTCTTTCTTTCGCCGCTGCAATATCACGTGTTATGTATAGCGTAGTTCCATCATTTTTCATTGCAAGCACCTTTCCATTATCTCCAAAGTCAAATACCTTCGACCCATCAGGATCCGTCTTCACCAGGCCACATGTCTCCACAATCTGCTTTCCTTTCTCATTGTACATGCTTTCTCCAGAATACACATCAAATTCGACATTCAGCCTCTTATACAGTTGCTTGTACTTTTCAACACTCAGCATACGGAACTTCCTCCACAGTGCAATGCACCACTCATCACCATACTCCTCCATCTTTCTGAATATTTCTCTCGCTTCTGCATCCACACCTGCATCCTCCTTTACATCTCTGCTAATCTTCACATACACATCAAACAGATGCTTCAACGGATCTCTTTCAAGCCCCTCTTCACTCCCATACTTGATGTATCCAAGCAGAACAAGTCCAAACTGCTTTCCCCAATCTCCAAAAAAATTTATGCTTGTTGTTTCATAACCGCACTCCTTCAGCAGATTCACAATAAATTGTCCCAGGATGGTCGTTCGGAGATGCCCAACATGGAATATCTTCGCTATATTCGGACTGCTGTATTCCACTACCATCCTCTTTCCTTTACCTATTTCATTACTTCCAAACTTATATTGCTTGCTTTGAATTTCACATAACACATCTTTCATTATCACTTTCTTGTTCACATCAAAACTGATTGATGGTCCTTTCAGGCTTACATTTTCAATAAGCTCGATCTTTGTATTTACAATTGCATCAAAAAGCTCCTTGGCATCTGCATCGGGTGTATTCGAAATCTTGATCACAAACAGCGTCACATCCTGCTTCTTGCTGTGAATGGACTTCTCCATACACTTGGTTATCTCTTCAAGCGAAAACTTAGAAACCTCCGCAATCCTCCCTGCAATCTTATAAAAAAAATCATTAAACATTATACATGGGTAATCAAGCATATTTTTAGTTCGAAGGGTACGGTCCTGCAATGCAAGAACGCATAAAAACACAAACATTAAACAAAATGCCAGATCTACATCTGGCAACCTCTCAAGTTATACATGCCGTCCTTACGCAGGGGCCATGCTAATCTTCTCTGTGTTGTTCCAAATCAATGGCGGTAGACATCTACAAGCCCTACTTCAAAAAAAATATTTATTCAGTTAAATGCTCGAGTCTATTCTGTCCAACCACATTGCCCATGACATTCAACCAATCATTCGGATTGAAAAACAACACGTTTATTCATCATACAAATCGAACGTCATTCAATTATCCAACCACTATATACTCATGCTTATTGGTGTAATCACCAGTACATGCTTATACTCATTGGTATATGGATTGTTAAAAACTTCAAAAGCTTGTCAAACATCGAAAGATGAAACCGTGCATGAAACTTGATTTCAGGTCGTGGATACAAAAAACAATATCAGAAGCAGATACGGGCACGGACAAACAAGTAGATAAGGTTGCTATATACGGCACCGAAGCAAATGTATGTGTGTTCCATCTCGATGGCCAGGTATTTTTTGATCTTTCGGACATTCCGTTCATTCTGTCATGCTTCGGTATAGGTAATGAATCAAATAACGTGCAAGAATATCTCAGAAAGAACGGATTTGTAACCAGAATCAAACGATTCGACTCTGCATTGAGTCACAGTGGATTCGAGTTGGTAGAGAGTAGTCTTCTTGACAATGGCTTTGCAGAAAAACTCAGTTCTTACTGCACTCAAAAAATGTTTCAAAAAGAAGAGACCATCAGTAACCAATACACTGCTCATGATCTTGGTTCTGAACCAATGTTCTCAAGAGACTGCTATGACTCAAAAAGTCCCGTTGACGACCAGGCATTTTCATCAGGTGTCAACAAGCTATATCCATTCGACTATCAATGGACAGATAGTGTCATGGACAATATCATAAAGAACATATACACAACTGAAGGCCACAAAAATGTAGCCAATGCGTTTGAAGATGTGCAGCAGAATCAGTCATGCCGAAGTAGGCAGTCAAGATCTGTAGGATGCATGAAGGATCGGCCATTTGTGTGCAGCTTCAACAACTGTAAGCGTGCGTTCAAGCGCTACGAGCATTTGAAGAGGCATATTCTCATGCACACTGGAGAAAGGCCTCACAAGTGTAGATTTCCAGGATGTTCAAAATCATTCTCCAGGTCTGACAATCTCTCTCAGCACTACAAGATCCATAACATCTCAAATGAGATGCATACCAGGAGTTATGAGCCTTATAGATATTTGAATAAAAAGCTTAACTAGATTGTTTGTCCTTATTTCTATCTTTGTGGTCTAAGCGTGCACTTGCAGAACTTACATGCCTGGACTGCTCAAGAAGTGTACTTATTTGGTCCTTCATGTTTGATTCTGAACGCAATCTATTTGATGAATTCTGATTCATATCTGCTGTTTTTTCTAGACTGGGTGATAATTGCTCCTCCACCTTCACACATCCACTTTCAGGAATATATGTTCCATTCTTTGGATCTGTCAGTATACTGAGTGTTTGCTTGCATGCTGTGCATTTGATATTGAAGCGATAGCTTGGCACACCTAGATAGTCCTTTCCATGTGCAGTTTCCTTGAATGCATTATGCCTTTTGTTTTTGTGTATGTATGTGCTACACTTCAAGCATTTGAGAGTAAATGGAGTTGCAAGCCGTGTGGGAGATCCTCGTGGGCGAGCGGTGGTTGTATTAACTGGACTTGATCTCTGATGCATGGGTATGTAACGTAACACACGTGATGAATCTATCACAGGACGGGATGGGACATATCCGATTGGTTAATTGGAGGGTTCGTAGCTCAACGGTAGAGCAATCGATTGCAGATCGATAGGTCGCAGGTTCGACTCCTGTCGTGCCCTTTTGCCACAATAACCACCATATATCATTTGCACAATAAAATTTACATATCTTTTGTACATAACTCTTCATTCATACGTCACAATAACTCAATACTCTCTTTACACTACAAACTACTCTTCATAATAATACAATGCTTCTCATCACTACATATATCACATATACAAACAATAACTCAAGCAACTCCATATTATATTGATCATGACGTCTCTTGTATTCATCCACATCACTACTCCACTACATCAATCCATCAACACAGAATGCCCATGTCACAGTTATACAAACTCAAGGAAATCGCTGCAAACTCAAAACTTCTCGACTCAAAGCTCTCTGCAATGTGCCTTTCAATACAGGAATGCTCAGACTCAGTATCTGCAATGCACTCAGTCTCCGCTACTATCCATGAAGTCTTCCTCCTTTATGCCAACTTCATCGATATCCTCAATAAACACCAAGAAAATCCTTGAACATTATTATTTATTTGATGTCCCTTATCAGCATCGTGCATATCCTCCTGAATACAAACGGGTGGCTCTCATGATGCACCCCGTTATACCATATCCCCTCAGAATTCATCACAAAATTGATACTTCCCACAGGGAAATACATCGATCCAATCAGGTACGACAAAAACAGAAACATGAACTGCGTCGTATCGTTCCCAACAAGCTCAACTATCTTCTTCACATAATTGCTGCTTTCAATCGTCTTCAGCTTCGTCCCATTCACCACCATAACCACCTTGTTCCTGTCAAAATTCACAAGCACTAAACTAAAGTAAGTCCCATCAAGATCATCCTTGTTCGCTATCAAACTCCTCTTGCCTTCATCAGACGCATAAATGTACGTGCTAGTCTGCAGCTCCGTCCCCACCATGTGCACCCCATATCCCTCATCATCATGTGAGCAGCACAGCATATACACAATCACTCCACTAGTTGTAAGTATGGCAGTAAGAAATCTCAACGTCCATTGATTAAGTTCAAACTTTCCAACCGTCCATATCTTCATTGCAATCCAGGGTTCCAGTATACAACTGCTCATCACAAATTCATAAAGGGATCCTCAATTACCTAACATAGCTTATAGTTTACACCTCCCCTATCACTCTTGGATTAATCAGCATTGCCATTCCCACCTATCATTTATTCATCACTCTAATTCTACAGTAGACTTACAATACAATCATTTATTCACAACTTTTCTACTCATCAACTTCTACATTCAGGTTTCATTCTCGTACAAACCATTGATTATTCTAAACAGTGGCTCATCAATCTCTCTTCCGTTAAAGATATCTCCAACATACTTGCATCCAATCTCACATTTCCATTCATCATCTTCAAATAACTCCTTAAGTCTGCCAATCATGTCAACAAGTTCAAAATACTGCTCTCCATCAAGTCTATGCTTCAGTATCACTTCCTCAAGCACGTACTCATCAATCTTCTCCTTAAAGCACCTTCTAACCGCTGAAAACGACACACACTGTCTATAATCATCCATCTCTCGTCCAGCCTCAACTATCAGGTTCCGTGCAGTACCACTTGGGTTATACACAAACCGTCCTAGTATTCGCAAAATGTTGTTTGCATCATTTGCTGCCAGCTTCATAATCATTCTGAAGCTCTCAGAATTAAACTTCGATACATCCTCAAGCGATCTCTGCACTGCATAATGCAGCACATCCTTCTTGCTTCCTTCTATTTCTGGCATATCCACACTGATGTTCAATTTGCTGTCAAAAACAATCTCACTCTCTTGCTCAATCAGAAACTCCTTGTACATCTCAAACTCGCTGTATGTCCTACACAATACCTCAATCTCCTCCCTGTTTACATATCTTAGACTTTCTAGAAACACCCTGTTGTACTCAACAATCCATCTAATTACATCATCCATCATACACCCAGTGTCTAACATCCTGAATCCATGCATGTACATCAGACACTCCCTACTCACATCCTTATACCCCTCAAACCACTTCCTGTATTTCATCTCATGGATCGCACTAATTCGTTTGCTGAAGTATATCGTCTGCTCCTTGTGCAATGCATCTCCAATACTCACTGTTCCAACAGCAATCCCATACTTCTTATGCATTTCACTACAAAACTTAATCGCTTCCCTTCCAAAATGCAGCATCAGGTTCCTCTTCTGCTTGCTATTGCATTCAGAAACCTCTTTGCTCTTCATTTCTGTCAGCTCCATCGCCTTGCTCACAAATCTTTTAAATCCATTGTGTACATCAAGGCTACCTGACTCTCCAGGCATATTCTCATACATCTCAAATAATTCCTTCGCCTCTTTGGCTCTCTGCTGAATAAAATCAAAAAACCACTCTGGCCTGTCCAATCTGTTTGATTCCCTATCACTCATAAAATGGTACTCAAATCCAGACAAAAGACGACTGCACATGTAATCTCCTATGACATCCTCCTCAAAGTATTCATCATACTTGCGCAGAAATCTCATATAAAAAACAAGTTCATGTAGCACCCTCTCTCCATCTATCCTCTTGTCTATCTGATTTAGGATATATACCTTGAGCTTTTCTTTCTCTTGGATGTACTTTGCATTCAATCTCTTCTCGAGTCTATTAAAAACATTATTGTCAATAAGGATCTTGAGTTTGGCAAACTCTCCAAATGTGGAGAATGTCATTGAGGGACGGATTTTGTTCATTTCATCTACAATTCCAATATACTGTGTCTTAAGCTTCTGTTCTGCATTCTTTATTACTTCTTTCTTATATATTTCGATCTCACTTTGTAGTTTTTCAATCAATCTACGCTTTTCAATAAGAACTGTACGTATGCCTATGAGATCTATGTTTAATTGTACAAGAGTTTCCTTATGTTGACTGATATTCCGTGCAACTTGTGCATCCTGGTCTATTTTTGATTGTTTTTTTGCATGAAGCATGTCCAACTTGTTTTGTAATTGATGCTTTCTATTCAGAAGTGCATCCATGAATGGGGTTTGTAATAGCATAATATATGCATCTCAGTATACATCTTTGATTACAGGAGTTGTTGTAAATAACATGGCACACTGCACTATAACAAATCATGCAATCTTTGCATAGCCTGGCACGTTGATTTGACATTAAAAAAAATTGCCCCCATGGACGCAAAGCCTCGGAAGTCAAACGTGTTTTCGAAGATTGATATGACTGTTCCTCTCACGAAGGAGTACAGGATACACGGAAGTGCTTTGCCTACTGCAACTGATCCAAGGCCACAAGTGTATGCAGCAACTATTTTTACCAAGAACCACGTGTTTGCAAAGGCACTGTTCTTCAAGATTCTTGAGAAGAAGTACAAGATAAAGGCATCGAAGGGGCTTATTATTGACTGCACAGCGATTCCTGAGCCAGAGTTTAGGGAGGTCCAGAATTATGGAGTAAGATTTGTGTACCGAAGTAAGAAGGGAATTCACAACTCGTACAAGGAGTGCAGGGCAATCAGCAGGTGTGCAGCAGTTGATTATATATTGAGGGAGCTTTCTGGAAGGAACCATCTGAAGAGGGCTGACGTCGACATAATCAGTGTTGAGATGCTTTCTAAAGACAACATACTTCGAGGAAAGACAATTGACTTCAGTAATGAGGAGGTTGAGTTCCCAGTGTTTTCAAAATTGCTTAACACGAAGAAGCTGCTTGTTTCTACAGACTACGATCCTACTGATTAAACGATCTTGATTTTTATTGAATGACTCTATGTATTAGAAATGAGCGGAAACTGCTGTGGCTGGAATCTGTGATACCTTGCATATGCAAATTGCAATGTCTTATAAAGTTATTGAATAATTGCAAACAAATTAATTAAGGCAGTGTGCCCTGATCTTTAATGGAGCAAACAAATCTGTATTCTGATCTGTATAGGATGCAGCTGATTTTCAATGAAATCCAAGGATGTGATTCAAAAAGATATTCAGAGTCGTTGAACGAGGTTATTGAGATATTGAACACACAGGAGCTTCTTAATGAATTCTGTAGAATACTGGACACGATTCTTGTGTGCAAGAAGCCATCAATTCCATTGAGAATACTTAACTTCTTGAGAAGAACATTTGAAGATGTTTCTGAGGATCCAAGCAGACAGCAATTTATTATAGAAATATTTTCATATCTTATACAGGCAGTTGATTCTCGTATGCATAAAGTTAGAAGGAACTCGCTGTCTGTGATCGGCCTTCTTCTTGATGTGTTGCAACCAAGCACTATTGATAGTGTAGTAATCCAGAAGCTTTGTGAGAGATTGTTTGATAAGGATAAGGGCGTGCGAAAAGAAACAATCAGGGTTCTATCAGGATTTCAAGGATCTGAGCTTAACAGAAATGTTAAGGTAGTGAATTTATTCAAGGACATTCTAAGGTACGATCCAAACAACGATGTAAGGATGTTTATGCTGAGTGTGATATCTGTTGAGCAAAGTACGTATAATTGTGTTATTGAAAGATGCATGGACATGGACGAATCTATCAGGAAGATGTTCTACGGCATTTGTTTGCCTAAGATTGATATGAAAGAGCTATCAGCTGATAAACGAGTGTTTTTAATGGAGAGAGCTGTTGTTGAGAGAGACTTTGATGCAAAAGGAAAGCTTGTTGATGTGCTTTTGTCTGTGCATTGTCTTCCTGAGCAGCTGGAAGTGCTTGTAGATGAGTTTTATGACACAAGTGCATTAGGACATCTGGAAACGCTACTGAGAAGTGTTTTTGACAGGGTAGGTTGCTCTAAAAGCTTTGAATATGTAATAAGTCGGCCTACGGAAAAAAACACATTTTTGTACTTAACAGAGCTGCAGTATATTGAAGAGAAGGATGGAAGAGACGCACTGTGCTTGCCAGAAATAGACGAATTTGTGTCTGTGATGTATGAATCATGTATGTCTGTGATGGAATGCACAATGGATGAAAGCAGAAGGGAGATGGTGAATAGAATGAGGAATTTATTTAGAATTGCCAAGATGTATGATCTTTTCAGTGACACATCAAGGAGATGCATACAAGGAATAATCTACAAGTTACTTGCAAAGAGTTGTATGGAGGAGATTGTGGAAGAGGTTGTTGATGAGGCGATGCAGATAACGAGTGTGGTATGTGATACAGATCTGAATAGTTTTATAGGAAGCGTGGTTAAGAAGAGTATGCACGTGTCGCCTGGAATATGCCTGATGGTGTGCAAGCAGGTAATGAGACACATCCGCCCGTTCAGCAGCCTTCACAGTGCAATTGTGGATGAAATAGTGGTGCCAAATATTGAGAATGGAGGAATGGTTGTGGAGGTGCTTGAGATAGGATTTTTCTATGTATTGGAGAGAGATAATGCAGTGATTGTTCAGGGCCTTATTGATGCAATGAGTGACAGTCACCGAGTGTGGTGCATGTGTGTGGATCTTGCGATTTACACAAGAAATCAGACGATTTTGATACCTGTGGAAGAGTATGCCAGAGATATATTGGAAAGGTTTGATGATGAACAGATGATTATTCCAGTTTCCAAGCTTATTCTGTCAGGATGTGTGTCTGACAATGAGCTTAAGGAAATGTTTGTGAAGTTTGCACTTGCAAAATACTACTGCACAGACGATGATCATCTGAAGCAGTATTGCAGTGTAATGTTTTTTGAGATGTTTTGCAAAGACAGTAGTATTTTGATTGAGGTATTTTGCGATATTATTGAATCAATTAATGAATGCTCTTACAAAGTGTTTATAAGCCAATCTCTGTACTGGATAGGAAATAGTAAATATGTGAATGGGTCGCAACAACTTTTCTACAAGATTTGCATTCGGCTTGCAGCTGAGAATGGAGATGAAAGATACAAGAAGTTGCTGCTTGGAGTGCTTGATAGTATTGATGTGTTGGCATGCTGGGAATCATGCTTAACAAAGAAGATCATATTCTGCTGCTCAATTATTGCGAAGAGACTGGGCAATAGATTAAATCTTGGCGATTCAGTGACGAGACTAATGGAAGTAGATGATGGCGAGCCTATTTCAAAGGAAGACTTGGAAAGTGCAAAAATCGATCTGGGTATCAAATAAAGTATCTAATACAAGAATTGTATTAATATTCATAATTTACTTTTTTCTTAGATTTTTTATGAGGAAAACCTTAAGCTGTTTCGAAGGTACCTTACATGCATTAACATAAAGCTGATGGTATATGAGAAGACAATAATACTTGTCGTTCCTAATCATCGCTTCGAGCAGATGTGTGACATCAAGTACATGGAAATATTCCAGTAGAAACACAAATACTTTGTAGAACATTGGCTTTGTAAGTTCATAGCTCATCATTATCTCAAGTAATCTAATAAGCGCTTCCACTGCATTCCTTTTGGTTTCGTTAAATCCACAAACCTTTTGCTGATCCATAATGCACTGAATAAATCCAGACTTCACAATCCTTGACTCAATGAACTTCCCGCTTACATCGATTATCTTTCCTACAAGAATGCAAATGGCTTTGATCTCACCCTCAACAGGTATTGTTGTAATCTCATTCCATAATATAGCAACAAGTACATTCACATTATCATCGTCAACACATTTAGAATCAGCAAGCACATCATATATGTTTAAATGAGCACTCACATCACAGGTTTTATGCATTGTATTATCTGCTTCATTTACTTCTGTAGCAAATCCATCACGTGCACTGCATCTTCTCTCAATGGCCATATCCATTAGTGCATATTGATCAAGTATCTCTGCAATGATTTCATACTTCATGCATCTGACTCTGTAGTCTGCATTGTCAAGATACACCAATCCGTCAAATATCCTCCGGAGAGTCGATCTGCGCATGCAACGCTTCTCAACAACCTCTTTCACAAAATATAGCTGTTGACTCAGTATACATAAACTGCCTGTCTCACTTAAAAGTTCTACTACTTCAATAACAGCGTCACTTATTCTTGGCCGTAATTCTATTCCAATTAGGTTGATTAGAACCTGGGCATTTGTTGCCAATATCCTGGTTCCATATTCAATAAGCTCGTCATAATGCTCAGAGACCATCCTTTGTACTCCCATCCTTCTGAAAAGCATGCTGTCAACCACATCCTCTGTACTCTCGCATATCTCCAGATACTTCCCAACCACCTCAACATGCATTGGAATCCAGTCAGTCTCAGCTAGATATCTTTCAATCTTCTCAATACTGTTTGTGTGCAGAACAGCCAGTGTATTCTCCTCATTCACTACACACAATTCTAAAACCCTGCGTATTCCATACATTCTTTGGATCTCATAAATAATTCTGTGCACTTCTTCGCCTCTTTCATACATCTTCACAAGCATATCAAACACCTCATCAGAATGTACATATCTGCCTATTTCCAGAAGCCGGCTAACAAGCCTCGGACTGAACACCTCAACAGCTTTACTGTTTATTATATCATAGTCATCTTCCTCAAGCTGATGCCCCAAAAGCAGAAGCTCAGATGCAAAAAACGCTCTTCCTTCATTCTTCAGCTTTTTGTAGCACACATAGTATGCATTCTTATATTCTTGATTCCTATTGAAATACAAAAATTCATAGATTCTCCTCTCAGATTCTGCATCAAACACATCCACACTTTCCATCACATGCTCCATTGATTGTATCATATATCTCCTTACTTCTGCACGTGTCTTCACATCTTTCAACACAGTGAAGTAAAATGACAGTAGTCCAGGCATAAAATTACCAACAACATCAGTTGGAATTCTACTCAACACATTTAAATGAATCTCTGGGCTTATCGTGATCAAGCTCATGCTTTCTTTCAATAGATACGCTACTGCTTCTCTGCATCCCAGGCTGTCTTTCAAACTCAGTATCTTACGCATCCGCTCTTCAACATTTCCTTCCTCCTTAACAATCTTGTATACTTTTGCGTCCATCCCAGGGATCAATTCTTCCCACATCTCATCCTTGCATTTCATTCACCACATATGTTTAACAATTATTCGACAAATTTACTTATGCTTAACAGGTAATGCTCGGATTTACTTTATGCTTAATAAATATCATCCACCTTCATATATATTTGCCATATAACCCGTCTTCATACATGGTTAACAATTATTGTCCAGATTTACTTTATGTTTAACAATTATTGACCAACTTCATGCGCACATCAAAAGTTGCCTGTATCATTTCCACTCAAACATATTGTAATCAATCTATTTCCACTTAAAAGCCTTGTAATCAATCTATTTCCGCATCAAAACGTATTATATCAATCCACTTACGCATACATCTATTCATATATCATTTCTCTCAATCCACGATTGTGCAATCGCAATATAAGGATCAAGCACCTCAGGTGACTCTAACACATCCTTCAATTTGGGAAATTCATCCAGCTTGATTGCATCAACATTCCGAGCATCTATCGGTACCGATATTACAAGAGTACTCGGATGCACAGAAAACGGCATCTTGATCAAATGTCTTCTCCGCTGCGTCACATCTCGATCTATCCTCAGATACATCTTCTCAAACATCTCTGCATCATCCATACATGCCTCGTCAAGTTCTTTGCTCTCGGTATGCATAATACACTCACGTAATATTTTTACATATTGCTCAGGATATTCTTTGTTACTAATAACACTGTCATAGTACTTCACGATTTCACCTCGTTCTGCATCACTCAGCATTTGCGCTGCCTCATCAAACACCCAGCAATGCACTCCACGCCTTCCAGAAAACACAAATCCAATCTTGTGGAAGCCAAACTCGTGATGCAGAGAATAATCGAGTATCTTGATTGCTGCCTTCACAAGCGCAAAGCACTGCTCGCAAACAGCCTTTTCATTACAACAACTCCTGGGATAATCCGTCAAATCAATATCAAATACAAGCTCCTTACTAGCAACTCTTGGGCAGTTATGCTTAGCAGGACGACCCTTGTACACCGCCCCAATGTCTATTCGTTCAGGAACAATACTCATCAGCTTCTTCCTAAACTCATCTACAGATCCAAAACTGAGGAACCGTATATAAGATCCAGAGAGTGTTCCAAACGAGACTTCTCGGCACTCATTTATTCCCAGGCACTTGAAAATCACATCCAACGGCAACAGCTTTCTGTAATACGCCTTCAGCTGATCAGAATCCATGAGGATAAATACATTATTTATTTTCTATATTGTTTATGCTCATACAGACACAGTGTTCTCCTCCCTCCAGAAGAAGTTGAACATCTGTGCTCCAATCATAGCAAGTGAAACTCCCAGGAACTTCTGTGCATCTATCTCATATGAAAGAAGAATATCAGACGCAATTGCTGAAGCACCAGTGCATACATTCACAAGAGTTGATCGTTCTACAGAATCAAGGTACAATGAGACACTTGACATGACATATGCCATTATTATTTCACTAAGCACTGCAAGATATGCCATTGGAGATTTAAGTGCCTCTACATAGCTGTGTGCATTGCTGAATATCTCCTCTATCAGATGGAGCGATGAAAATGTTGCCAGGTAGAATGTATATGCCATCATGTAGCTCCAGAAGCTTTTGATGTTTTCTAAAGCAGGCTTTACTTTCAGATCAAAAGCAACAAAGCTTGCTGCATTGAACACTCCAGAAACCATTGCGGTCAGTGTATGCATGGGGATATCATAGATTGCATCAACCGAGGAAACCTCTATGAAAACCCCAATCATGATAATTAATAGACCAAAGTACTGTGCAAATGAATAGCGAGTCCCACTCCAAGCAAAAGACACAAGTGCAATGAAGATGTACTGGATGCTTGATGAAGTTGCATATGATGTGCATGATGCCTTGTGATAATACGAAAATGTGCCCAGACATGTTCCTATGAAACTCAAGCTGGCAACCAAGAACACGTGCCTTATTTTGAAGTCGAGTGCTTGGATGTTTGAATACGAAACAAGCATTTTAGCAAGGCTAGACACAAAAATCAGCAGAGCACCTGTTTTGTAATTGGAGATGATGAACGACCTAAGTGATGTAACTACAATTGCCATAAATATGCTAAGAACAACGAATGTCTCGAGTCTCTTTTTGCTCCATGGCGATCCCATTGAGGGATAGGTTATATTTAGTTTTGGGTTCATCCCCGCGTACATGTTCTACACAATGTGGTTTGAAGAGGATGTAAAGATTCCGTTGAGTAGCGAAATGAAAGAGAAGGAGGTTTTTGAAGTGTTGAAGAGGAAGTATGTTGGTAAGATTATTGAAGGGTTTGGTATATGTGTGGTGATTACTGAATGTGCAAGAGTTGAGGAGTATCAGGTTTATGATGAGTTTCTGGCAGCACATGCAAAGTTTGAGATGCTTTTATTCAAGTTCTTTAGGGATGAAGTAATGTATGGCGAGATTCTGGAGCAGAATAGTGAAGGGATCCGAGTAGGAATATCATTTTTTGATGAGATACAGGTGAAGAAGGATAATCTAGCTGAGGGTTCTGAAATGGTGTATGTGAGCGATGGAGGAGAGAAGAAGGCAGCATGGGTGTGGATTTATAAAGGCAATCGGTTTTACTTGCGTAGGAAGTCAAAGGTACGTTTGAGAGTGCTGTGGGACTGTACTGATGGATGTGTGATGTGTGATTTCAAGGAGATGGGCCTTGGCCCGATTGATTGGTGGGAGTAAGCAGTGGAGAAGAGAATGGAAGAACATGCATGTGTGGAGCATAATGTATGATGGTGAAGTGAATAGGAATTAGAGTAAATTGAAAACGGAGCCCTTTAATGGAATATAAGGCAGATGAGGAAAAGATTGTGATTGAGCGACTTGATGTAATAATAAAGAATCTGAGAGAGATAGACACCGATCTGAACCATCTTCTTATGTTGAATGTTGATGCAGGAGAGTTGATGAAGAGTATTGATAAAGTTTTATAGTTTATGTATGAATATTTACAGTAAAATGCCCTGTGATGAAGATAAAGCGGATAATTGAGCTGATCAAGCGATGCAATGACCAACCGATTATATTTCACAGACTATATGGGCACTTAGCGCATGCTCTGAAGAGTGTGGACTACTTGCATGAGCTGAATGACGATTGGTCTCGGATGGTGATATATGGTGTGGTTCGGAGCAAGTATGCTAACCAAGGGCTTGAAGGAAAGGTGATGGTATTTCTGAAGGGACACCGCCCGCCTGTGGAGAGTAGTGAGGTGAGATTGAGGATATGGATTGTTCTGTATTACATGAAGAATAGAACGGTGAGTCAATTGAATCACATGATAGTATTTGAGCTTGTGAGTAATTTTATGGGGATGACGAGCTTTATTGATGGACTTATTATATCTGTGCTTGCGATAGCAACAACAGGACCGAGTTTTGGAGCGGTAGGAAACAAGAAACTAAGAGAGGAGTGTATTGAGCATCTTCTTGAGCAAGTGAAGAAGAAGAACTTGTCTCTTATGAACAGAGCAATGGCAATTCCATGCTACTTTGGACATGAGAAGGAACCGCCTCTGGTAGTAGATGCAGTGATGGAAGAGAATCTAATGAGTGTGGTGATTCTTGAACGTGTGTGTTTTTATGCAAAATTTGCTAAGGACTCAAGATTTGTTAAACAGATTGTGCCTGATGATCATATGTTTATTGAATCGCTCAGGAAGTATATCAACAGGCAGTTTATGAGAGATAATGTGAAAAGAGGATGTGCAGTATCAGAGTGTGTTGTTGAGGACACAGGTGTTTTTGATGCAATTCGAAGGGCGTATGGAAAGGCTGGAAACAAGCAGAGGTTTTTAAGCAAGGTTGTTGAGTTTGTGACAGGATTGGATAATGAGCAGTGACTAGAGGAGGCATCTACATATTGAGAATGGGTTGAATGAAATAAAGTGGTTGTTGTAAGTGTTGAAAAGATTCTAAGAAATACAAATTGAAAAGTAGTGGATATGAAAAGGCTCGGAGATGCGGAGTAATAAAAAACGCCCTGAGCGGGACTCGAACCCGCAGTCTTCTGCTTAGAAGGCAGACGCGATAGCCATTTCGCTATCAGGGCCCCAGTTTAAAGTGTCCAGGTCCCAAAGTGAACCGTTAGAACGATATGAACATTCACACAAGCACCCCTTATGCGCGAGGTGATCACATTACAGGTTGGACAATGTGGAAATCAAATAGGAGCTGAGTTCTGGAAGATGCTTTGTAATGAGCATGGAATATCACCGTGTGGAATTCTACAGGATTTTAGAGACCTTGGTGATAGGAAGGACGTGTTTTTCTACGAAGCAGATGACAATGTGTTTGTACCACGCTCAGTCCTTGTTGATCTTGAACCACGAGTGCTTGCTCAGGTTCCATCGTTTTTCAACCAAGAAAACATTTTTCTTTCGAACGAAGGAGGAGGAGCTGGGAACAACTGGGGGCATGGATACTGTGCAGGAAAAGGAATGGGCGATGATTTAATAGACATTTTGCAAAGAGAAGCTGAATGTTGCGATTCGCTTGAGACATTCTTCTTACTTCACTCAATTACTGGTGGAACAGGCTCTGGATTTGGATCTTTGCTTCTTGAACGGATCAGAGATGAATTTCCAAAGAAGATTCTACAAACATATTCAATCTTTCCAAACAACGATGAGTCCAGCGATGTGGTTGTACAACCATATAATTCGATACTGACACTTCAGAGGCTTTTTGAATGCTGCGACAGTGTGGTTGTGATGGACAACTCGTCTCTTGGCAGATATGCGCTGGACTCCTTGAGAATTGATACACCAACATTTGAGCACATCAACTTGCTTATTTCGACAGTCATGTGTGCAGCAACAAGCACTATCAGGTTTCCAAGTTACATGTACTGCACACATCAGTCGATAAATGCATCTCTTGTGCCAATCGATCCATTCAAGTTTGTTGTGCCCTCGTATACACCTTTTGTGTGTGGAGAGATGTCCAGAGTCGTAAGGAAGGCCACACCATCAGATGTGATGCGAAGGCTTCTTTTACCAAAAACAAGACTTGCAAGCTATGACTCTTCAAAAACACAAGCTTTCGTGTCTGTGATGAACATCCTCCACGGGGTTGATGATGCAAGCGAGGTGTCTAGAACGGTGATGAGGCTTCTTGACAAGAGGGTTGTTAACTTTGTGCCTTGGATGCCTCCTTCTTTCAATGTCGTTCTTAATAGAAATATTAGTAACCGGATGGGCGTCAGCAGAGTGTCAGGTCTTGGTCTTATAAATTCATCTGGAATTGCATCTGCCATCGATAAGATTTGTGGGCAGTTTGATAAGCTTCGAAGACAGCGTGCGTTTCTTGATATATACAAGAAGTTTGGTGTTGATACCGAGATGTTTGACCAGAGTAAGGAAACAATACAGAAGCTATTAGAGGAGTACAGCAGAGCAGAGCTTTCTAATTATTCAAGTACCTGAGTTTATATTCATGTAGCATTCTTTAACTCAATAGATGCGCGTTGATCAATAGAATAAAGATTTTTACTGTTTATTTGTTACTTCCCATTGTGAATGACTTTGTTGCTTTGTGAATGAATGATGCAAGTCCCTTCGGAACCTTCATTCCATCCACTCCTTCAAAGTTTCTTTTTGCAAGCCTGTCGATCATCTCGGTGCTCTTGGACTGCACAATCATGCCTTCATACACAAATCCTGCCACAAGCAATATAACCTGATCATACTTCTTCCAAAGCTTGTCTTTGATTGAACTCTTGATGATTGACATAAATCCAATCATGAACTCGTTGAATGCATGCCAAACGAATGGTTCGTTGCATTCTATAGGGCAGTAGATGATCAGCACAAGCTCATCGATCTTCTTAGACATGACTATTCTGTCAAATGCCATCGACATATTTTCCTTGGCATATATAACCTTTTCAACGATTCTCTTTGAAAGGTCTTCATCCTTTACAAATGTTTTTTTGAATAGAATTTCTCCATTGGTATCTGCAATAATCAATCCTTCAATGTCCAGGCAATCCATTCAGGGCTTGTTGTTTTGGTATTTCCAATGTTTGTTTTTGAAACGATGGCTCTTGCAAATGTGATGTATTTTATGCACATGGAAACTTTTGATATATAAATGTGATACACTTTATGCGCAGATGCAGGCATCCCTGTGATGAAAGTGCACGAGATTAACTCTGTTCCACAAGATACAATTATGAGTGCGGTATGTGAAAACAGATTTGTATTGGCTTCTTGGGACTGTAAGCTGTGTCTGTACTCCAGTGATGCACTTGAGTTGATTAAGCAAGTTTGTAGTGATTCTCCTGTTACAAGAGTCATCTTGTCTTCAGGCACTGAAGAAGGGGATGATTCTATACGTGTTATCACTGGAGACATCGAAGGAAAGGTCTGTATGTACGATGGCTTTCTGAACAAAACAAAGGAAATACAAAGCGGTGTTGGTGGAATACAGTTTCTTCATCAATGTGGCAGTACAATAGTCGTTGGTGGATGGAATAAGAAAATTGTATTTATTGAATCAAGCGGGATAAGAAATACACTTGATACTGATGGAAAGATACACTGTTCAGCCATTATTGGAGATATATTAATCTGTGGACAACATAACTCAGTTGTGGGATACAATATTAGCAATTGCTCTGTGTTTTTCAGGCGGCTATTTGATATGCCTGTGCGCTCACTTGCGATTCATGCCAGTGGATTTTTTGCTGGAACCACAAGTGGAAGAATATATTATGAGGATTTTGCAAATGGAGACAATTCGTACGTATTCAACGCACACTACGACATTTCAGGAGAAGTAAAGACATTCTATCCGGTCAATGCTCTGGTTATACACAAGCATCTGTATTCTGGTGGATCTGATGGAAAACTGTTGAGATGGAGGCTTGGCTCAAAGAAAACATGCAAAGTGATGCACACACAGGCAGTTGGCGTCAGTAGCATATGCACTAAAACAAACCGATTGTTTGTGACGTTTTCATATACTCATGACAACGGTCAGATCGACAAGTATTCTAGCAAGGCATTCGCAATTGATATATGACCAGCAACAAGAGATTTGTATGATACTAAAGCATGAGCTAATCAAGAACACGAATGTAATGCGTGCATTTTTTGATGATTTACATGCCCCCACTCAAATGGACTTGAAAACATTGAAGCAAGTGTACTTAGACAGGCTTGCATCGAGACCAGACATACGATGGGCCATCACGTGGGTTATTTTTGTACTATACTGCATCCGCATCTGGATGACAAATGCATTTTACCTGGTGACGTATTGCATGGGGATCTATCTTCTGCATGCAGTAATTCTTTTCCTGACGCCGAAGGGAGAGATGATTCCAGACCCGTTTGAGAATGTTGATGATGACTATGTCCCAGAAAAGATAGATAATGAGTTTAAGCCGTTTGTGAGGAATCTCCCGGAGCTTGAGTTCTGGATGTTTGCCACAAAGACTCTTGGAACTGCGCTGTTTGGGACGTTTTTTTCGATTCTAGACATTCCGGTGTATACGCCGATTCTTGTTGGATACTTTATATTCATGGTGGTTTACACAGGAAGACGGTTGATATCGCACATGAAGAAGTATAACTATAATCCGTTTGTGCAGAACAAGGAGTACTATAAGAAATAAAGAAATGTTGGTGTTAATGCTTTTTAATACAAATTGTTCCAGGTATTGAATCCTGATGATTGAGCCTATTAGACTGCCACTGAGGAAAATTAAGTTTGAAGAATACATAAACAGCACTGGAGGAATTATTGATGATGCACAAGGACGTGTGAGCGATGCGAATGTTGATCTCAATGAGTTTGTGTGCATGTTTGTGAATCAAGCAATGAAAGAGATGCGGGATGCGCTCAACAAGTATCATTCGGTGTCTGAGATGATATGCAGGAAGGAGCTGAGTGTATTTTTCAGACAGAAGGCTGCAGACTTTGAGTGCTTGTTTATTCTTTTGAGTGGAGCAGAGTACCTGCGAAACAGCCGCTCGAACGAATACAGGATGAAAATGATATCACATGCAGATCATGCATATGTGCGGATTGCAGATGATTTAGCATATGTTTTTGAGTCTTTGAAGCCGATGATTGCGCCGAAGGGGGATGTTTTTACGTGCTTGCAGGCTAACCTTGATCCTGACTATCTGTTACCAAAGCTTTATGAGCCAAGTAATAGCAGTGTTAGTGATGAAGACAAATGTAACAGTATGGAAGTAGAGGATGGGATAGAATTTGAGCAAATGCACAGGGCAAGCAAAATATATCTCGGTAGAGAAGATCTGTCTATCTACAGAAATGTGAAGGTTGAGAATGGAATGGTGTATTTGAAAGATGAGCATTTTTTATTTACTCTTGCGCTGTGTGGGGATATTTCGAAGCCGCAGTGGAAACTGATTGATGTCCAGGGAGAAGATGATGCATTCAGTAGGCACCTGCTTTTTTGTATGCCTAGTAGTGTAAGTGCAATATCAAGATTCTCCAGGGTTTATGAGTCGCACTTCAGGATGAGACAAATGTTCCTTGTAGTAAAAGCAGCTTCTGAGCGCATTGATATGGAGGTTAATGGACACTATAGAAGATTTGAGGTTGTGGTTGGTAAATTTAAGATGTCAGTGAAGATTGAGGAGCATACGATTCTTGGATGGATATATGTTGGTAATGAGAAGGCTCGTATTGGAGAGAATGATATGCAAGGATGTGTGAATGGAATACAAAGGAATGCAATTGATGAATTTGAGTGCTGGATTTCGAATTATCTGTGTAAAGATGGAACAGATGCTCGGTTTTCATTTATTAATGGATTTGTAGCAAGTGGTAGGTCATTTAGAAGCGCCTTAGATCTGGAGATGTTTTTGGACAAGGATAGGGAAAACAGTGTTTTTTATGAGTTTTTTGAAAATACTTTTCGTGGAGTGCATGAAGGCATTGGGCAAAGGTGTGAAGTGTTCAGGAACTACAGAAGCGAATTATTTGGAAAAAAGAATGTGTTTATTACCAAAAGCCGAGTCTTTCTGTGTGTGTGCCTTGTAGGACTTACAAACACGTGCATGAATCTAAAGGTGTATGCAGGAAGTCATGAGCTTATGGATTTTTTTGATTATGTAGAAGTTTTGTTAAGGATAGATGCGAATGGAAGAGTGATAGGGGTTGCAAATTTGAATTGTAATGAAAATAATGATGTATTAGATATAGCAAATGGTATGTTAACATCGCAAGCTATTCCAATCGAAAGTGTTTATGAGTACTTTATTCAAAGCATGGAAATTTTATTTTTTGTGCATAATGCATGTTGTATTGCAAATCAAGTGGTTGTGGTTATGGATAGAATTATTGTGAATCATGAAATGCATGGAGGCAGGCTATGTGTTGTGGTAAGTCTGAATGAGCAGAATCTTGTTGTATGTGTAGATTTTGAAGCTAGTGCAGGCTTTCCAGCATTATTGAATGCTCCATTAGAAAGAATGGTGAGAATTGATGCATTTGAAGAGTATATGCGATTTGCGATTTGTATGATTGATATCAAGATGGATTTTGAGAATAAAGAAGGTAGAGCAGAGCTTGGATCTATGAACAGCATTGGGATAGTCTCAATGGAAGTGGAAAGAGGACTTGATATACGGCTTACTGGAATGGATATGAATCTTTCATTTAATGATTTTGAAGGCAAAATGAATCTTGAGGTAAATACACTGGGAATGAATGATGTTTTTGAATGTATTCCAAAGACAAATGCAGTTGATATACTAATTTGTTTCTATGAATTCTTTTTGAAAGGTTTTATTCCATGTGTTTGCACATCATCTGGATTGGTATTTAAATTCAGGTACGCATCTCAAGGGACACTAAGATTGAAAATGGTGAGCAGGAGTGCATACAAAGTGTGTGTAGAAGGACTTAACGGAGATTTTAATGAGTTCAGTGGAATATCAATAGGAATGAATGCACAGCTGTTGCAAAAGCTTGATCAACTGTATTACGATGAGAGAATACAACACATAGCAAGTCTTGCAAGAATTGAGTATGAAGTACAGGATGAAAGTAGAAAAGTAGTGATTGTTACGCCATGTGGCCAGTTCAATATTAGTGTTAATGGAAATACATGGGATTTTGCAATCATGTTGAACACAATGAAATTGAACGAAGAAGTTTTAAGTACGATTTGCATGTATTTCAATAAGGAACTTACAATTGGAAGGAATATATCAATGATGCTAGGATACTTGAGAAGCGATATATATATTCTGAGATTGATTGAGAAGCTTGGTTTACAAATACGTTGATAAACGATTGAGAATATACCTGATATGTGGTGACTTTATATGAGTCTTTGTAACTGATGTAAGAGATGGAAAAGATACTAGATCTAGACATATTTATTTACAGCTCCTCAACGTTATTGGCAGCCAAGGTATCGAATGTATTTCTTCGGCAGAATAAGATATAAAAAATCGAGCCGATGAAGGAGAATATCAGTAAAGCGGTTAATGGAAGTGCAATAAGAACCATTTGAGGACCAACACCAAGAACAAGGCATACTGTAAGTAGCGTGACTAGCATGCTTACATGGGCAGTAAGAACTCGCTTCCAGCCAAGGGCCTCTTCGTTCTCATCCTCTGATGCAGTTTCAAGGAGTGCAAAGAAATCGTTCTGTGTTCTATCGATTTCAAAGAGGAAGTCATCGTCTGCATCTAACGTGTTTTTACGGAAATATTCTCTTACCTCTGGCTGCATGAGGAAGTCATCATCAGATGCAAAGTACCTGGCGTTGTATGACACACTTCTATCGGCAGGGGTTGACTTTGGGATGGAGATCTGACCTTTCTGTAGTTTTTCTATTACCTCCTTTGGGGAGTTTTTGGATGAGTATGGCTTGTGTGGTGTTTCTCTTGTTTCTGATAGATTTGGTGGAGTGTTGAGCTTACCATTGTCGAATATGATGTCTGAAGAACTTGATTTGAATACCTGAGATGATGAGTTTGTGGCTAATTTTCCTGTATATGGCTTGATATCAGAAAAGAAGTAGTCGACTAGTGCGCTATCAACATCCAATGGAATAACCTTGTAATAGTAAACCTGGCCAAGGATGTACATGTTGTTAAGAGGGTTTCTGACTTTCATTCTGTGCAGCAATCTTCTGTCTGACTCGAACCTGAATAGTATCCTATTTAGCTCTGATGCAGCATAATAGAAGTTGTAGAGGATGTTTTGGTCCTCTGGATCTGGAGTGGTTACTCTTGCGATTATTAAGTCTTTGTTCTTGGTCCTGCAGTCTAGTACAAGTGCCTTGAACTCTTCGAGTGTGAATGTCTCAATGGTATTTGCATCCAAGACGTCAAGCTCGCCAGGCTGGGCAGACTGGAAGTCTTCTGGGCATCCGATGATTCTGATTATTGAGGAGATGCCTTTGGACTTTTCGTAGACATCGGGAGCTTCTGCTGTTGCCATATCGCGAACTTGTTGATTTGTAAACAAACAAAGAATATTTGGAAGCAATCAGTAATTAAAGATTTGTAGATCTTTTGCAAAATATGAAGATTGTGATGAGAATGGCTGAATGATGGAACTTGTTTATTGATGTGAAACAGTGGAGATAAAAGCAACGGAATAAACAAAGGCATGACGAGTCTTCGAAAGGACCTGAATGCACATACATTCAAGATGGTTGTTCTTGGATATTACTCTGTTGGCAAAAGCAGTCTAGTGCTGAAGTACGTGAAGGATGAATTCAATGCAAATGAGGAGAGCACAATAGGTGCGTCTTTCCTGACAAAAACGATGTTCACATCCGAGGGGAGTGTTAAGTTTGAGATCTGGGACACGGCAGGACAAGAAAGATACAATAGCTTGATTCCGATGTATTATCGTGGTGCACAGGTAGCCTTGATAGTGTATGATGTTACGTCGATTGAAAGCTTTGAGACTGCAAAGAAGTGGGTTGACGAGCTTGGCTTTGAGAAGCCAAAGGAATTCATTAAGGTTTTGATTGGCAACAAATCTGATCTTGAGGATGACAGAAAAGTGCAGTATCAGGAAGCAAAGGAGTATGCAGATAGTCAGTCGCTAATGCTCTTTGAAACAAGTGCAAAGACAGGCAAGAATGTGGCAGAGATATTCAGCATGATTGCAGAAAAGGTTCCAAAAGAGGATAAAAAGAAGCCAAAGAGAGGATTCAGATTACGAGATGAATACATAAAATACATCTGCTGCTAATGCTTTATTAAATCATCTTATCAATTACATGATCTATTACTTTTGTTATTGTGTCTCTAAACTTCACATATGATCCCAATGATCTGTTTGTGTTAGCAAATACTCCATCATCCAATGCTTTACACAATATAGGATCTATTTCTAGTGTGCATAAAAATGGGATTCCAATGCTTTCGGCCAGTCTTTGTCCTCCTTTCGATCCAAAAATGTTTGTGATTGCGCCACAACACTCACAACGATATCCACTCATGTTCTCGACCAGGCCAAGAATACAGATGTCGTTCTGCATGCAGAAGTCAATTGCACGTGAGCAATCATGTAGTGAAACCTCTTGTGGTGTTGTAACAATCAATGCCCAAATGTCCTTCGATCTCAAAAACCCATGCTCTTCAGATAATCCTGGAGGCATGTCAATCACAACATTCTCAAATTCATCTATGGAATCATACAGCATTGACAACATATGCATCTTTTTAGGTCCTCGCCATATAACTGTGTCAGTGTCATTCATCATCAATCCCATGGATAGAACATACAAATTGTCTGTAACTTGAACTGGAACAAATCCCTTGCTTGCTTTTCGAACAATTCCTCTAACGCCTAGTCCACACACTACACTAGGTCCACACAGATCAAAATCCAGCAATAAAGTCTTTCCCATCTCAGAAAGTGCAACACTCAGCATTATGGACACCGAGCTCTTTCCCACTCCTCCCTTACCGCTCATCACAGCTATTTTTACCATATAAGGGACTTGCTACACAAAACTTCTTGTGCATAAATATGCAAATAGAAACGGATTTCATGCTGTTTTTGAACCATAGTAAACAATTAAGCATATATTCATACTCTTTTAATCTATAAATGCTGAACTTTACATTATTCATCTTGTCATTATTCAAATAATCTCTATATTGCTTTATATAAGCCTGCGTTTCTGTTCAGACTCATAATCTGTTGCATATTGACATTGATCAACTTCTTTCAAGCTTATTTTGCTCACAACAACCGCTTGTCTGAAAAACTTGTGCACCATCACTGAGATCTTCTCTCCAAGCACACTTTTAAGGCGCTCCATTGTTGAAAATGCAAGATCTCTCAGGCTTCGGAATCCCTTCCTTACCTTCCATATATTAAATTGGGTAATACCAGGAATGCTGAGAAGCACATCCACAAGCTCAGGATTCATCCCAACTTCCATTTCCTGCACTTCATCCAAACACTCCTTCCTCTGAAGATCCCTTATAACCTTCACAGAAAAAAGCCTGCAATCAGACCACACAACACGCAATGTCCCAAAATTAAACAGAAGCAGTACAAACTTGCATAAAATACTATTTCTAAATGTATCCTGTTCGTATCTGTAGTAATCAGACAGACACGGCCTTCCATCAAATTCAAGAAGTAATATAGGAAATGCATATCTGTAACACATCATACTTGCCTGTGCATACAGTCTTCCACTACTCAATGACGACTGAAAATCTGCAATTGACTTTCTTTCAATGCATATCGATGGACTCAACAGATAGTCTCCAATTGAAAGTGTCGACACATGCAGCACGTTCTTTGTCCTGAATAGAAAAAATGGCAATTCAGCTCTCAGCTCCCTAGAGTCAACCACTACTGTATATTTCCTATCAATGCACTCATCTTCAAGATCAATCTGGTCTTCAAGATTATCCAGACATAATGGAAGTCGGGATCTTTCCTCAATCAACTTCTCAAAGCATTGCTTCTCCATCCTTATTTCTTCAAGATACCTGTGCTCCTCTAGTGAGTTACTATACATCAGGAAGTATGCTTTTATTGAATGAGTTGTTCCATACCGCTCGATTTTTCTTATGCTGTCTTGACTCGACTCAAACAAGACTGCGCATTCATAATCATGAGTGTCATATTTGAATTCATGGTGTGTTAAGACTCTAATTGTGTCTAGTGAAGCACATTCATCATTATTTACATGACGATATAATGCAAATACACTTAGCAAAGAGTCTTTAACTTGATTGTTTGAAACCAATATGATCATTCTAACATCGCTCGACTGTTCAATGATTTCAAGTAATTTGTTCATTTTTGGATTTAGTCTGTAGAATATCTTGAGAGCATCTTCAGGAAGCGTTTGTAGAATCTCAATCTCATTTTGAATATCAATACGTTTATGCTTTTGATTCAAGATACTTTCACCACATGTAATTGAATAATCAGATTTTTGAATTGCATCATGAAATAGTTCTCTTGCCTTATCAACCAGTACATGGGAAGCATCTAAATTTAACCAGGTGCTGTTCTTGCCCAGCTCAATCTGCCTTTTTACCATGTTGCCCACATACTTGTACAATGAGCCAGGATCACAAGAAAACAGAAAAAACACAAGTGTCTTCATCTCACATAGATCATCAATCACACTTCCTGAACCATTATTCCATGTATTATTGACTGGCAATATTTTCAAATGCTTGAATATCCTGTAGATATTTCCGGATATGATCATTCCTGAATTGATCTGATCTCTGTCGTTTCCTTTCAGTACTAGCTTTAAAAGACTGTCTATGATTTCCATCAAGACTACCTGAATTTCTCCGACTTTCTTTGGCATCTTAAATTTGATCTCTTCAATATCCAGATCTGTATTCAAAGACTTCTCAACCTTTGAATGGAATCTAGGAAAGAACAACACCTTACTCACTTTGAGACACCTCAGTTTCTTGGCTAGAGGAGAAAATCCAAGTGCAAGGTGAACAGGTGATTCTGAAAATGCTTTGATGTGTCCATCTGCATTTTTGGATCGAAAAATATGTATAATAAAAGACTCTGGAGATGCTTCTGTCATTGTCTCTGCATTGCATATGATCAAGCAATTAACTTTCTTAGCATCAATTGTTCCATCGAGCATATCAGAAATAAACACACGACTCCCAGCAACATACACACCACCTGTCTGATACATCTGTGTTCGACTCTTCCTAGGATGCATTCCTACATTATGCATATGTGGAGATTCAACTCCAAGAACGAATTCTTTGTCCTCATCTCCAAAGTTAATCAGCAGCACAAAGCTATTTGCATTCAGGTATGGATCGATACACCTGTTGATAGCACTTTGAATGTTTAGTCCACCTCCCATGACAAGCAAGAAGCTTTGTCCTTCTATTTGCTTGTGGATGTCTTCTTCATACTCTAGCATATGCTGGGCTGTGATAATGCCATATATGAAGCAGGTGAGTTTGAAGCCCATCAATGGACATAAACCAGCATAACGAAGATATGCATGAGTCTCACCCAGTAATGCTTGCAGAGGCAAAGTATTTGTTGGAAAGCCACAAAGAGCGATTTCGTGCAGATTACAGATCAAATGCATCCAAGACATTCAGGTCTACGCTTGGATATCTCGAGTGTTTTTGTAGAATCAAAGACAAATCGATGGCGGAGGATCTGCGCACAAACCTTGCTGGACTACGCTTTGATGAGATGGAGATTGCATTACTGGGATCTCTGTTTCCACAATCAGTTGAGGAGGCAAAGGCGTTAATACCATCGCTGGAGTCAAAGAGCGATGATACCATAAGCCAGGCTGTTGAAAAGATACAGCAGATGCTTTGAGGAGCAGTGATATGTTAGCAGTTGAGTATATTAAATAATTATATGTATGATTGTTATATGAATATATCAAGTGATCTACAGTACTTTATGCTTGAATCTGCTTTATACTGTATTATTATTTATCAACTGCTTTATGTTGTATTATTCATAATGTGTTATGTGTGAATATTCAAGTATTATGCGCTTGTATTATCTATCATGCTTTATATTATATAAGTAAATCTCAAAATATGTGGGTATGGAGAATGAAGCAAAGTACAATGGATGGACTATTATTGATACATGTGAAGAGATAGATCTGGAGAAAACGTTGTTTAGTGGACAGGTGTTTTCATTCGTAAGAACAGGAGAATGTGAATACACAGGTGTTGTTGGAGAGTATCTTGTAAGTTTTATGCAGAAGGGACAGAATGTGCTGTATAAAGTACTTCATGAGCGCAAGCCAGTCATGAACATACATGATGCAGTATGCCATTTTTTCACTCTTGATGTGCATATGCATGAACTGGCTGAAAAGTGGAAATTCGATGACAAATGCCTTTCTGGATTAAGGATGCTTAGGAACGAGCTGATTCCAACAATATTTTCGTTTATTTGCTCATCAAACAACAATATTCCACGAATAACCAAGATGGTGTGGTTTCTATACTCGAAGGGAGAATTTATTATGGAGTACAAGGGATCTAGGTTTCACTACTTTCCATCTGTTGACAAACTGGTAAACATTGAGGATGAGCTGAAGGCAAATTCATTTGGATACCGAGCAAGATATGTGTGTGATGCAGCAGTGTATCTGAAAATAAGCAGCGAAAGCATTGTAAATGGCAATGACTGCAGGAAAGCGTTACTTGGAATACGAGGCATAGGAAAGAAGGTTGCAGACTGTATTCTGTTAATAGGCCTTGGAAAGCATAGTGTTGTACCGATAGATACACACATTCTCAACTATGCAAGGAAGCACTTTGGAATCAGTGAAATTCGAATGTCAAGTGCAATGTATGACAGAGTACAGGAGATTTATGTGAATAAGTATGGCAAGTATGCAGGAATTGCACAACTTTATATATTTAAGACCATGGTTGATCTACGAAGCAAGAAAAATACAAAGCTTGAAATGAATAACAACCAGAGTGAAGGTATTTAGTTATGCTAATGCGATTTAAGAATGAAAACAGAATCGAAGTATTCCCTGAATGAAGTGGGATGCAGTTGAAAAGAGTAATGAAGTAATTGAAAATCAAAAAGAATTAAAGAAAGCAAAGGAAACAATCGAGAGGGTGACTGTTGAACCTGTTCATGCACAAAATGTTGATTTAAGTCCTGAAGGAAGCATGGTAGGTGAATTTATGTTGGACTTCAAGAGGCAGATTAAGAAACGAATACATGAGTATGATTTCAAAGCAGTATATAATGTTGGAAGAACAAGCAGTCCGTATATGTTGACACGGAACTCTGTTGTGATGATGCTTGAGGAGGAGCTTGGAGTGGAGATTATTGTTCGTGGATATTATAAGCCATTTGAGTTGAATGCAGAAACCGATGGATCTGATGCATTGATGTATGATGTTTATGCAGCAACACCTGAGATTTTACGTAATGCAATGAGTAAAATTAGAGAAAAGATCAAAGCCATAGACGGGTATATGAAAGGAAGATATGAATCCGTGTGGAGGCAAGTGATAAGGAATGGAGAGAAGTATTATTCATCAAGGATACTGTTACAGTTAGAGAATGAAGCTGACAGAGATTTGATCAAAAATGAACTGCTTAGGATTATGCATGAGTGCTCTGTGGATGCCACATTGAGAGGAAGATACTCAGGATACATTGAACCTTGCTTGGAAGCAGAGTCTAACGAGCCAGCATACATTCATCTCGTATCCAAAAACAAGACGAATCTGGCAACAGCAAGAAGATTCTGTGAAGATATAGTTGCAAGATACAAGCAAAAAGAGTAGTGCCCATACATATTTGATTGATTCTGATGCAGTAGTGTGTATATGATTGATCGATGCTCTGTATGCCTTGGCTGAATCTGAAACAATACTTGGTATAAAGCAGCATGTTTATTACACTTGGTTGAATGGAGGAATGCCTGGTACAAGCAGCTATGAGAGCTCGCTCAGAAATTGCATTTGAGTGCAATATCAAAGACGCATGCATACAGCCTTACTGCAAAGTGCTTGATACCGATGCGATTGAGGCATTTACATTGGAAAAGTTCAAGACACTCATGATATTATGCATGAAAGAAGAAAAGGACTTTGTTATTGCAATGGTGACAACGAGGGATCCGTCTACTGACAACCCATTCTACAGTTATTATTCTGCAATAGATCTGAATAACTTTCTTTTCTGTGTGGAAGGTGGATATCTGATGAACAGGATGGGTGTTAAGAATCCAGCAAACAACCTGAGTATTACAGAAAAGGTTTTATATTATAGAATATTGCATAAAGAGTTGTTGGGGATATGGAAAGATTATTGCTCAAGATATGATCGAGATTCTGTTGCAAAAGATCATGAGATAGTGTACATCAAGGCAGAGTATTTTGCATACTATGAAGACTTTCTGTTTGACTCATCTGTGAGACAGTACTTCTCTTCTAATTCTGATGGAAACGAATGTTTCACACATGGATTCAGTTCGACTGGAGACTCATTAACAATTGTTGATGACCAACTTGAGAATTATCATGATGACAAGTTCAGCCTGAAGATCATTTTATACACCAACATGGGCACAATCCTTGCGATATTCACAATATGCATGCTTGTTGGAAGTAGAGAGGTCCTGATGACTGTACTTGCACCACTCCTACTCACAATGTTCTTCTCAGTTATCTTCCTTGTTCTTTATGTCTTACTATTTGAGACGCCAGAGTGCCTTGAATCAATCCTAAATCTTGGGAAGCGCTGTCTTTCTGAATAGAATAATAATTATTAAAAGTTTAGAAATATAACTGTAATCATTTATTTTCATATACTGTTTGCAGCAATTATTGCTTTTTCTTGTTCTTCTTCTTCCTGACTAAGTTGAGCTTGTTCTCGACATACAGTCCGTTCTGGACAATGCCTTTCGGTGCTTTGTAATGTGCTTGACCAGTTCCTGACTGCTTCTGTATGCCCTTTCTTGTCTCCATGATTGTAGCGCTCAGTCCCTCAACAACAAACCTCTTTCCATACTTCTTATTGATGCGAAACCTTCCTGGCTTCATAAAGTCTCTTGGATGCATGCTTCCTGGCTCAGACACATGCTCAATATCAAGCTTACACAGAGCACTTTTTATTTCCTGCCATTTAGGTGCAGGAACACAAACATCAATTCCATACTTCCTGCCTTCTGATACTGACTTTGTGCTATCGATGTATATCGGATACAAGCAGAAATGACTACGATCCATTTGTGGAGGGGGCCTAATACAAAAAATTATCTGTACCGTTTATGCGCTTGTATACATTCACTTAATGTTTAATACATTTTTTCATATTCTCGGTTAATATCTACTGTATCACATATTCTCACTTCATTCTTAATCCATTTTATGTGATGATGCAAGCATTTACTGATGATTTGCAATGCATTCAGGCATTTGAATGTATCACTATGCATTACAACCACTCCACAAGCAACATAAAGCTCCTTTGTTTACACATACCCTGTAATGTTTCCAGGATCGCTGCAACTATTCCCGGACTCACTACCGCTTCCAGTATACATGATGATTAATGGATCACTGCTTGCACTTGCCGCTCTACTCAGTGTCTTTTATGCGCAGGAATATCATACAAGAATTACAAGGTTCTTCATTATGAAAACAGAAAACACGTTCATGCGGGCACTAATACTGTGCCTACTGAACAGCATGCCAAAGATAGTGTTGTTGGCCAGCCTGCATAGCGCATCCTCACTCAGTATCTTCTCATCTGTTCTTTCAGGCAGCACTCAGCTATCAGTTGCAATCACCCTTGCAATTGTACTGCTTTCTGCAAAGTCTAACTTTGTTGTGCACCACATGAGCTTCTATAAGGACATCTTCTTTATGGAAGCATCGCACTTACTCCTGCTGATCATGCTATCAAATGCATCAGCATCAAGCTTCATCCCGTTCATGTCGCTATGCGTATTTGCAATATTTCTGACAAATACCATCACAATACCATCATACATTTCACAGGTACCGAGCAACAGCGTATCCTCAAGGACATTTGCATTAGATGATATACCACATACAACAGGAAGAGCATTGACATATCCGCTGAGGCTTGTGTTTGATGCGTTGCTACTCAATCATTCATATATGCCACACGAGGTAGCAAAGAAAAAGCCATATGCTGCTATCTTCTCACCTACAATCAACATGATGATTGTACTGTCGTACTTCGGAATGCATTTCGAATACACAACGATCCTCGCGCTCATGATATGTGCACTTCTGTTTGGATCGTTGCTGTACACCTTTGTAAAGAAGAGGATTATGAGTAATGCATTGTATGTGTATTCATTTGCTGCTGCAACAGCTCTGTTTTCTGTAATAATGGTAGGAACAAGCAGCATGATTAAGAATATAGCAGAGGTATCAGGCGTTGGAAGCCAGCTTTTGTCTGGGACGCTTCTTTCCATGCTTGCAAACATTGTTGAGATTGTCACGTGTATGCATTATGCAAGATCAAGCATGCCTGAAATGGCATCCTGCTCTGTGATGTACTCACCAGTATTCAATTCCCTTCTGTTCCTACCTCTGATTAAAATTGCACTGGGTAGAGACACACTGTATGCAGGCATTCAAAACATCGCAAATGCACCATTCGTGTACTTCTCGTATGTATTCATTCTTGCAGAGATTAAGGTGTTATTTGTGAACTACCTACTGAGACACCAGAAGCTCACAAAGGATCTTGGATACACATTGATTGTCGTGTATTTGTTGTTCATTGCAGGCTTTGCAGTGGAAGGCAAGACACACCTTTGTAAATAGATCAAAATTCCTATAAAATGCAAGTGTTAGCATAAAAACTCAAATAAACGTGGATTTAATTCACTGATCGTATTGCAGATGCATCAAACTTGTTGATAAACCTCTGTCTTTCTTCAATCTCCTCCTCCGTCATTGCAAGTGCTTCTCTTGGTATCATCAATGGCTCATCAAGAACCGCTTGAACCTCATCAGTATAGAAAAGCTCCTCAAGATCATCATGTGTAACCATTTTATTAGGCAACATAAATCCATCCATAAGTTCAGAAGCCCTTTCAAATCCTCCAAACAGTTTATCGAGCTTTTCAAATGCACTCTCAGTCCATATAATCAGTCTGCCCGCCACTCCTCCAGGTGTGAGCTCAACAAGATCGAGTGAATCAATACTCATCTGGTCAACTCCTCTGATATTTCTGAATGCAAGCAGATCAGACTTCTCTCCATGAATCAGCAGTGCTCCCTTTCTCTGTGTATGTCTTCTGTTCCTCATCTTTCCCTTTCCAGTCCTAACCTTTCTACTGTTCTCAACTCTGTCCAGCTCATCTTCAATATTCAGTGCACGAAGAACATTCATTGCATCCTTTGTCTTCTTGATCTTTGCTACCTCGTCAGATACAATGATCGGCAACATCTTGATGTTCGATATCCTGTGTCCACGTGCCTCAACAAGCCCTGCATGTGCAGATGCTGCAACACCTATTGCCATTGCAATCCTCAGTGTATTCTCAACCACCTTCCTTGCCCACCTTCTGTGTGTCTGCGTAGGATGTGCCATTCTTCCCTTTCTGCAAAAATTTGCAAATGCTCCCTGGCCTGCTCGTCTTGTACCAGATCCCTTGACTCTTGGCACACGTGCAACAGCCCTTCCTGTTCCCCAAGACTCTGCAGAGTGTTGCTTTCCTGCTATCTTTGACACCGAATACGGCTGCCTGCTCTTCATCCTGTAGAGCGCATGTGTCTTCAACACAAGGTCGTGTCTTATTGGTATTGAAAACACCTCGGGCAACTCCATGGTTTTCTTCACTGTTACTCCATCGGTCTCATAACAGTTGATGCGCTGCTTCATTTCAAGCCCTTCGATTGCGCAATTTTTTAAACTTTGCAAAATGGATCAGGCTGTACCTATAAGGGCTTAGATTCTATAGGTGTGAGCAATGTAAGTAATGCATTATGCAGTCATGCTTGTAAGATAACAAGACATGCACAGTTGTACAGGAGTGATCATGCATTTAATGCAACAGAAGTAAATCCCCTCATAATGAGCTATGACAGATGGATGTGTGGGGAGGACGAGTGGCTGAACGTAAGACGATCAAGAAGAAGATCGACTCCAAAGGGATCTCAGAGAGCCATGAAGGCACGTGAATTGATATCAATTGCAAACAACATGTATGTGAGAAACGAGTTGGGCAAATGCATTCAAATACTCAAAGAGGCAATCTGCCTATGTCCAAAGAATCCACGCCCATACTTTACTCTAGGACTGATATTTGAGGAACAGAAAGAATACCCAAAGGCATACTACTGTTTCCTTGTTGCAGCACATTTGCAAAAGAACAATTATGGGCTTTGGAGAAAGCTTTACGAGTACTCCCGACGCCTTGGATATGAAAAAGAACGGATATACTTTATTGAAGTGCTGCAGAAGAAGGGAAATATGAGAGAAATGGTTCTTGAGAAGATGCAGCTGTATGGTGAAGATAGGTTCAAGGAGCTGTGCTGCAGAATTGAGCTGTTTGAGTTTGATGGAGCAGATGACCAGATTTTTGAGCTAATTAAGCAGTCTGCCACGCATAAAGCAAAGTTGGGGAGATTGGCAAAAAAGCTTCAGACATATCTTTTGAATGCTGGCAGTCGTTGCTCAGATTATTATGTAATCCAACTGATTCTTCTGAAATATGATGCACTGGATACGGCGGATATGAACATGCTGTTTGAAAAGCATGTAAGTACAAGAGCAATTGCTCTTGATGCAAAGCTCCGAGTGATTGGAATTATTGCGAACTTGGAGGATGAAAAGAGTAACGAATACTGTAAAGATCTCTGGGAATTTCTTGATGACGAGGAGGTGTGGACAGAACAGATTGAGCTATGCATGCTGAGACATCTGGTAGAAGTACTAGTTGGCAAAGGAATGGTTGATGAAGTGACGAGGCTGTTGAGCAGAGTAAGAAACAAATTTGAGGATCAGAAGGAGTTTGTGTACTGGAAGATGGGATGTGTTTTCCATGACTGTGGAAGAGATGAGGAAGCACTTCTATACTACAAGCTTGTACTGGAGATAAATCCAGTGAATGACATGGTTAAGTCATGTATTCATTCGATATATGTGAAGCAAGGGAATGCAGAGATGGCCAGAAGGTATGAAACGATCAAGCAACTTATTGAGATTGTTGATGGAAAGAACAAATACGGAGAAGCTTATTCAGTTGAGAAATGCATGGACATGCGTGTGCTGTATGAACTGACGAAAGGATTGAAAGAGGAGCCTGAAAGGTTTATTGAGAGTAATCAGGTTCTTGTGAATGATTTTCTGAAGAATAAGAGAGTGTATGAGAGAAGGAAGAAGAGTAAGAGTATGATGACAAAGATATGCAAACCAAGGCGTATAGGAAGGGAAATTGAGCAGAACAAGAAGGAGTCTGAGAGTGTTAGGGTTGATGATGTGCATGAAGGCTTCCGATTGGCTGATCTACATGGGTTAAACGTTGATGAATGGTTTGATGTTGTGTCAGGTCATATATGCAGTCTTCTGATAGCTGGGCGATTTGAAGAGGCAACAGCAATGGTTTTCAAAGGGCTAGAAGCACATGTATTTAGATGCAGGAATGATTTGATGATAAAGCTGGTATTTATTGGATTGAAGATCTCACTGGTGCTTGGAGACTTTGGAGACTTTGTAACGCTTGTAAGGAGTTTGATATGCCATACAGGCAATTATTCATACACATACCTACTTTTTTACTTCAGTAATTTTTTTATGTTTTTCCATAAGGATGGAGACTTCTCGTATTTTCAGAAATATCTGCAGCGCGTGTGTAGACGGAGATTGATGATTAGCAATACAGAGTATTCATCAAGTGATGAGGAGGATATTAACGACGTGAATGTGGATAAGAAGGAAGAAATAGGCGAAAGAGAATGTTTGAGAAGGAACGTGGTTGGAGTGACGCACTTTTTGTTTCTGAATTCATTAGTTCCGAATTTACTGCAGGCAAAGACTGTAGAGATGGTTTCATCGATTGAAAGGGAGAGTAGTCCATCAGAAAGTATTATTCTTGCATCGATGTTCCTGATGCACTCGAAGTCCAGACGTGTAAGTGACAGGAATATGTTTGTGAAGAAAGGTGTTGCGATCCTAAAGGATTTGAGGGAGAGATGTATTGCGGAAGGAGGAGGAGATGATGCATGTATTGCATCATACAATATTGGGAAGGCATATCAGTTTTTTGGATTTCCAGGCCTTGCTGAGCGTTTCTACTTAGAGGCGCTGAATGCATCTGATGTTGAGTTGAAACGACTTGCAGAGTTCAACTTGTATCTTATATACAAGAAGAGCAACACAATGCAGGTTTTTAGAGATGCTGTTTGTAGATAGAAGCGATTATGGATGAGATGCATGGATGCTGTGAATGTTTTTGTGATATAGATAAAGATGATGCTTGTAATGATTTGTAGCACCCTTAGAATGGGAGATGGGCATATACTGAATGTGTGGAAGGACAATCTGCATGTGGAGATGAGAAGGATATCGCAGCTTGTAAGGAGGTACAGATATGTTGGGATGGACACTGAGTTTCCTGGAGTGGTTGCGAAGCCTGTTGGGAGCTTCAAGTCGCCCTCTTCATTTGTGTATCAGCAGCTGAGGTGTAATGTGGATATTCTGAAGATTATACAGATTGGGATTTCGCTAAATGATGAGCAGGGCAACAGGCCGCAGCCAACGAACACGTGGCAATTTAACTTTGAGTTCAACCTTGAGACTGAGATGTACTCGCAGGAGTCGATAGATCTGCTTATCCAGGCAAGGATAGATTTCAAAGAGCATAAGAGACGGGGAATAGGAGTTGAGGAGTTTGGCGAGACTTTGATGACATCTGGGCTTGTGTTGAACGAGGATGTAACGTGGATTTCATTTCACTCTGCATTTGATTTTGGATATCTTGTTAAGATCCTGACGTGTAATATGCTACCTGAGAGGGAAGACGAGTTTTATAGGTTGCTGAATGCGTTTTTTCCGGACTTCTGCGACATAAAGTTTCTAGTACAGAACAGCAAGTATCTGAAAAAGGGTCTGCAGGAGATTTCGAACGATCTTGGACTGGTGAGGGAGGGAATTCAGCATCAGGCAGGAAGCGATGCATTACTGACATCGCACGCGTTTTTTAAGGCAAGGGAGACTCTTTTTAACAAGAGTATTGGGAAAGAGTTTATGTGTAAGCTATTTGGTATTGAAGTAAATAATTAGTTGCGTTTACTGAGTTGAAGTTAAGGAGTTTTATTATATTTCCATGCTTTCGTCGTCGGTAATGTATGCATGTGGATCTGGGCATGGTATTTCTTTGGTTATTGGGATTGCATATTGCTCGACGTATGTTCGCACAACATCGTTGTACTTTTCTCTGTTTGTCAGGTAGAGTGAGCCAGCTTCGCAGTTGAGTGGATCTGAGGGATTTGGATATGTCAGCAACTGTGGAATAAGGATATCAACGATGTTGAGCAGGTCATAGATCGGAGACCATATCTGGTTAAGGACGTCGAGGCAGATTGAGCCGCTGACCTCATCGATGTTTGGATGGAAGATGCGTGTTTTGAATCCTATTGACGGGCTTTTGAACGGATAGCTGTCTGGAAGCAAGATGTTCACGATGTATTTTGCACCACTGTATAGCGAGTCTGCAGGGCCGTTGATCAGGACCTCCATCTGTGTTGATTTTCCCTCGATCATCCGGACCTCGTATCTTGCATTGTACAGTTTTTGGATTTCGCTTTTTATCCTTGAGTTCAGTTTGACCATGTAGTTTGACTGTGAAGCTTGTTATAATATGTTGGTTTGTTTAAGGTGTTTCATTGTCATTTGTGATTGGTTGTATGAAGTGCCTGAATGCATTGCAACAAACATGATGTGATGATGGGGGTGTGTAAACTATGGATGCCACTGTAAGAGATTACTCAGTTAGCCATGCTCATTTCACTCTACACTAACAGTCAATAGCTCGATGATTTTTACAATAAAAAATTGCCCTGGGAAATGACGACTGGGCATAAAGATCATTTGAAGCGTTTGGCAGCACCTAAGTCATGGATGCTGGGAAAGCTTGGAGGAACGTTTGCACTGAAGCCAGCGAGTGGGCCACACAGTGCGAAGATGTGCATACCTCTTGGATATCTGGTGTCTAGGTTTCTGAAGTATGCAGGCAACAGGAAGGAGTTAAAGATTATTTTGGAGGGTAACAATGTGAAGGTGAACGGAAGAGCCAGGACAGATCCGCACTTTCCTGTTGGGTTGTTTGATGTGCTTTCTATTGACAAGACTGGTGAGCACTTCCGTGTGTTTTACACTGTGTCTAAGAAGTTCCATCTGCACAAGATAGCATCAAGTGAAGCAGAGTACCGACTGGCAAAGGTGGTCAAGAAGTACTCGCACTTAAATGTGCCATATGTTGTGTCAAGCTGTGGATTGAACATCAGGTTCTGCGACCCTGCAATACGGATTGGAGACACAATCAGAATTGATAGCGGAAGTGGGAAGGTTAGTGGATACATAACGCCTGGCGTAGATAAGGTAGTGTATGTGCTGAATGGAAGGTCTAAGGGATGTGTCGGAGTGGTTAATACGATTAACAAGCATGCAGACATCATAATATACGGAATGACCGACTTTGCAGGACATTCATTTTCATGTGCAGACAAGAACTGTGTTTTTATTGGGGAGTCACGTGATAACATCTGGATGACGCTGCTGAAGGAGAATGGAATCAAGTACTCTGAGCTTGAGAAGATCAACATGAGGCTTGGCGAGATGGTCGATGCAGAAGTTGCTGAGAACGAAGAATAAAACCATTCGTTTACTTATTATATTTGATTTATCTGATGAATATTTGCTGCTTAATGCATCAGAAAAGAGAGCTTGGGCATTTTGAAGCGATTATGCATTTGTTACACTGTGGACTCCGTGGAAGGCATATTATCTGACCGAATCCAACGAGGACTGTGTTGAGTGCCATCCACTCATTCTCAGGTATGATTTCCTGAAGTCTTTTCTGTGTTTCAACTGGTCTTTTGGTGCTTACTAGTCTTATTCTATTTGAGATTCTATGAACATGTGTATCTACGCTTATTCCCACTGTCTTGTTGTGAACATGAGCCATGTACAAGACGCCCATTTTCATGCCTATGCCTGGAAGTGCAAGTAGATCGTCCAGTGTATTTGGAAGTCCTGTTTTGGCCAATATCTGTGCGATTTTTTTGATGTACTGTACCTTTTTATTGTGGAAACCAACTTTCTGGATACAATTGTTGATGTGATTGGTGCTTGTGATGAGTATGTTTTCGAGTGTGAGTCCATTGTATTCTGAAGATTCATTGTGTGTTCCTTCGGGAAGTGACTGACGTAGTCTTTGCATGGCATTCCATGTTATGCTGTCTTGTGTTTGCGATGATAAAAGAAGTGCAATCAAGACATGCAGTGCTTTTTGCTCGTGTGAAGTGCATGCAGGAGTTATTGAACATCCCATCAGATCCACAGGTGATATAATGTTTTTTCTATGATGCTTTATTTCGTTGTACAGCTGAACTGGTTCGTGCATGCTTACAAGGACAACAGTTCAGAGTTATTGTTGATGATTAGTTGTACGGGTGATTCCTCATGTTTTAGGTAATCTGATATATTTATGTGTATGAATGAGACTGAATAGATGATATGATATGATATAAATAGAATAGAATAGAATAGATGATATCATATGAGACTGATAGGAATGGAATGGAATAGATTATAAATCACTGAATAACATAAATAATACATCAAATGAATGTAATACATAATATCATGAATGAATAGCATAGATGATGCAATGCATGAATAGAATAAAATGGATAATACATCACTGAACAGAATATATTATAAATCACATGAAGAGTATAAATAATACAGTATTTGCATAAACTGCTGTAAATTGTTCAATGCATCTTTGTATGGAATATTGCAATAAAACGCCGAGTATCTGTCCCATCTGTAATACGAATGACCGAGAATGTCAGGACATATCTAAGAATCAAGCCGCAAGCGATTCCAGAAGGAATTACTGTGACTAGAGACACAATAAAGATAGATGGGAATGAGTTTGGATTTGACAGGGTTTTCAGAAATTCAACACAGCAAGAGGTTTTCCAGGAAATTTCAAAGAGTCTACTTGTGGAATGTATGCAGGGATACAACTGCACGTTGTTTGCATATGGGCAGACAGGAAGCGGAAAGACATACACCATTCAAGGAAATGATCACAACATGGGGATAGTGCAGCGATCACTGGACTTTCTTCATAGACATACAGGACTTAAGGTGTCTCTATCGTTTGTGGAGATATACAATGAAGTGATGTTTGATTTGCTTGATACAAATGCTATGCTGTCTATAAGAGAGGACCCATGTGCAGGTGTTGTTGTTGACAACCTGACTGTTGTTGAGTCAAGTGGCTATGAAGAAAGCATGGAATTGTACACGCGTGGATTGAAGATAAGGAAGATTTCGTCGACAACGATGAATAAAGAAAGCAGCAGGAGCCATTGTGTTTTGATGGTGTATCTCCGTAATGAATGTGATATTGTGCATAGAGCATCGAAGCTGTGCTTTGTTGATCTTGCAGGGTCTGAGAGACTGAGAGAAAAGGAGATTGAGGAGCTGCGAATGAAGGAAGCAATGAACATCAACAAATCGTTATTGTGTCTTGGAAAGGTGATAAATAAGCTGAGTGGGGATGTGGATGGACACATTGGCTATAGAGAATCTAAGCTTACTTTTCTTTTGAAAGACTCACTTGGTGGAAACTGCAAACTGACTGTTATTGGCAATGTTTCTCTGGAGAATCGAAGCGATAGTGTGGGAACGATGAATTTTCTACAGAGATCTCGAATGATCAAGAACCCAGCAACAGTGAATTCTGATGTGAATGGAGAGCTAGAAGAAGTGAAGAACAAACTGAAGGATCTAGATGTAGAGAACCAGAGTTTGAAGGCAAAAATAGCATTAATGGATATCCGGCCATGTGAGATACCGACTGGGATGCTGCATTTCCAATATGAGATTAGTGAGATAAGCAAGGTTGTTAATGATGCAATAGGTGATCTGGAATGCCTAGAGCGAGAGGTTGCAAAAATATCTGGGCATGACTTCGATGTGAATAGAAAGCTTTTACTTGATATACATGAGTATTTTGTAAACATATCAAGTAGCAGAAGACGCCAGGTTGAATTGATGATGAAGCGGAAGGGAGATGATGAACGCTAGTGATTACATCCCAGCGTAGTGTTTTATGTGGTATTTGATTTTATCGGATTGAATGACTAGACTTATTGTGATGTAGAGATGATCAGTGTGATTGTAGTGCAAGTATGTTTGATGAGAGTAGCGACGGTAAATTTTGATATTTTCGTACCCTAGCGTGAGTATGAACTTGGAGTCGTCCTGGGTTCTGTGGCAGAACGGCAACGATGATTCGAACATCAGGAGCTGGGGAGAAGACATTCTAGAGGTTGGTGAGGTTTCGACAGTTCCTGAGTTTCTGTATATGTGTGACATGATAGTTAAAAACGGAGTGGAGAATCTGTGCTCTATGAATCTGTTTAAGAAGGGGATCAAGCCAATGTGGGAAGATGAGGCAAATGTGAATGGAGGAAGACTGATTCTTGACATACCTATGATGACTCGTGAGGACCTGAATGGCATTTGGAAAAAGACAATGGCGTTCTGTGTATCAAATTGCATTGAGAACATCTGTGGATGTGTTTTTAATGAGAAGCAGTCAGTATACAAGATATCGATATGGTTTGGAAGAGACTATAACCAGGACATGATTAAGGAGAAATGGGAAAGTGTGCTTGGAAACATCAACCTGCCAATATACTCTTTTCTGCACAAGAAGTCTCTGGACGGTACAAAGGGAGGAAAGAAGAAGTGGGGAGGAAAGAGAGAGAAGTAGAGAAATGCACATGAAGTGTATGAGCATATGACAAGAGCCTTGTGGCAAAGCCTCTGCTATAAGTATAATAAAGCCTGTGTGTGGAATGATGTGTTTGTTGATTAGATAAAGCCTGTAATGCAGAAGATTTGACCGGAAATGTTTATTATTCAAGCTACTTTGTCCTTTTATTTGGCTTTGGGGCAACCTTTACAAATCCATCTGGACAGATGTCTGAGAGTATCGATAGCTTTGACTCATTAAGAAACATGTTTAGGAACTCTTCAGCCTCGATTGTTTTTATGCCTGATATTTTTGAGATTATGTTCACTGCTTCTGAGAAAGATTTTCCGGATATTCGCTTTTCGATGTGTGCCAAAGTTATTGATGGATTCTTACCATGAATATATCCTCTAGATTTAACACATCTCTCAAGTACTTCTGCACGATCAATGCCTTTCATGGGCTCCTTCTTCAAAGACATCGATGAAAGGTCCTCAAAGAATTCCTGAGGCTTTTGGGGCGGGCTGTTTGCAACCGCATTCTTTTGGAAATACTCGTCCACCTTGTATGATGTCAAGAGATCTCCAAGGTCATTAACAACACTATTGTATGGCAAAAACCCCTTATCTACGTCTCTTCTAATGTATGAGTCTGCAATGCTGCCGTCTTCAATCATGCTTCTCAGCTCATTACTTGTTAACGGCCCAAGCACGCTTTGAGACTTCTTTACCAGCCATAGAAATGATGCTTTCGGAGGAATTCCAATCACAAAGTTTCCTCTTTGGTCAAAGTGTCCCTGATCTGCTTTTGACAGATCCGCTTCCCACATTGTCTCAAGCTCCTTCTTCTGTGATTTCTTTTGTGGCCAAACAGTTTTCTTCATGGCCACTGCAAGAATCTTCTTCTTCGCTATACAATCCTTTTCTTCCTTTGTATAATCCTGTGTGATCTTTGGTTTTTGCTCTTTAATGGTGCAAATCGTCTCGTCAAAAACAAAATCATCTGGCCTTACTGGACGGATATCTGCAAATCTCATTCGCTGCATGGGGTTTGATGTATTGCATTTCAATTATGCATACCTGTAACTACACAATTAAAGATCAATTAGTTCAAACATAGGGTTTTTAATACAATATTTACTGGCATGAATGATCCAATGTAAAATGCTGTACAATGCATATGTTCAGGTACATATTTGTACAGAACTACAGAAACCGATTACTTCTGTCTGGTACATAATCGTCTCTGTCTGGCTCAAAGCTGTCCTTTTTATTTTTTGATGGTGTTATTGGATCTATTTTTATCAATGGGTTTGTACCAGAGTCATCATCTTCTGCTGTATTCTGACTACCATATCTCATGAATGTGCTTGAGTCCATCATCGATCCCTTGATGTGTCTGTCTGCTGTAAATGTTCGTGCGTCATCCATGTTTGGAGTCAAATCGTCACGGCCTATGTTTGCAAAGTCAACAGGTACAGATTCAGATGTATTGAAAAGACTTTGAATGTATGATTCATCATAAATTCCATAATCGCTTTCTGTTATATTTATGGTTTTGATGTTGTCTGACACTGAGTATGTGTTGGCAGATTGCCTTTTAACGATGTATTTCCTACGGAGTGTGTTTAGAAGCTGCTCAAAGTTCATATGTATGGGATTTACTGCATGTGTTAAAAATGCCAAATACATGCGATTGATAGCTGTCGATTAATCAGAAATATATTACCTGAATGCAGTCAACACGCCCTTACTGAAGATGCAACAGGATGAGGTTGTGCAGCAGATTGAAAGCAGATTGAAATTCTTGAGATTGAATGTTAGCAAGGAGGTTGCAAATGAAGTGCTCAAGATGTTTTTGAAGAAGAGCAAAAACAAGTCTGAGAATGTTGATGTCTTTGTCGATAGCCTAGTTGAGAGTGGGACTCTGAACACGTTGCAGTTAGATTATGAAGCAAGCAATGAGATAAAAAATGATGGGCAATGGAGGAGATCAAGACGGAATGCTGTATATTCAGAGAAAATAACACCAGAGACGTTTAAACTCAAGAACTATCCAAAAGATGATGCAACAGTGCGGTTCTTGAAAGAAATCCTTGTTGCAGATATACCTTTTGGGTTTATGAATCCTGAGCAGAAGAGAAGGTTGATAGAGTCTATGGAGCTTATGGATGTACAAAAAGGAACAGTTGTGACGCAGGAAGGAGCACTTGGATCAGAGATGCATATTATTGAGAGTGGGGTTTTTGAGGTTAGCAAGGATGGAGAAGTTCTACGTAGACTTTACAGAGGAAACTTCTTTGGGGAAATAGCGCTTCTACATAACATTTCAAGGACAGCGACTGTTAAAGCGATTACTGATGGAAAGGTGTGGGTGGTTGAGCAAACATCGTTTTCAGGGATTCGGATGATGGACAGGATTGCCAACAAGAAGGTTATTATTGAAGGGCTACGGGAGAATGGAATGTTTGGAGTAGCTGGAGATGATGATGAGACTGTATTGAACAGGGTAAGCTTTGTGCATTATAAGAATGGAAGCAAGGTTGAGATAGGAGATTCTGAGTTTTTAATGATTGTAAGTGAGGGAGAGATTGATGATGGGGAAACAAGAAAGGTTTCACCTAAGGAGGTGCTGCGTGTAGGATTTATAGCAGTAACTGAGATTGAGGTGGCGCACATTCCTGAACTATGTGAAGACGAGAGTATAGGGAATAATGAAGAGTAATAAAGAATCAAGCTATGTCATAAATGTGCTGGCATGATTGCTAAGGTAATCGGGAACTGATTGTATGTACCTTTATATATAAGTGACCTTAGTGTAGTGGTTATCACATTCGCCTAACACGCGAAAGGTCCCCAGTTCGAGCCTGGGAGGTCACATGCTTTTATGTTTTATTATATTATGGAAATTACAGATATCTTTGTATGTCATTTACTCATTTTGTATGTGATTAACAATTATATTGATCTTTGTTAAAATACTTCATATGATATGAATTTCCATTTATCTTTGTTAAAATACTTTTCATATGATATGAAAATACATTTATATTTAGTGGCATATACGATCTTACTTATCTTTGTATACCACAAATTTATATTCATCTTTACTGACGTACTTTGTATGTCATATACCATTTTGCTCACTTTGTATTAATTAACATTTTACTGATTTTGCATGATATAAAAAAGATAGATTTGTGTAAAAAATCTCTCAAGCCGGATTCGAACCGACGGCCCCTCGATATCAGCTACTTCTACAGTCAAGTGCTCTTCCAACTGAGCTATTGAGAGTCTCTTGTGCACACTCACTTAGTTTTCACACCTCATCCATCTACTAAAACATTTCAAAAAAATATAATCAATTTATTCACAGCTCGTCAATACCTCCTATCCACACTCAGGCATCTATCATAGCTCACGCATGCTCCTGGACTTAAATGGTGATCCAGGAAATGTCAAGAAAAACACATCCATCTCCCGCTCCTCAGTATGCTTCTCTTCCTTCCTCTCTCTTCGTTCGCTCTTTTCTGCTATCTCCTTCAACGCACTGTACCTCTTGGCAGGTTTCGACTTCGTTGGCGTAAACTCCTTAATACATGGATCGTAGTTCTCCTTGTCTGTAGATTCATCAAACCTGACCATCTCAGACATCTCGCTCCTCATTATTCAGGGATTTGCTTAAATTAATATACTTATTTTTGGAGGGAATGCTCTTCGATGCCTTGAAATCCAACCTTAAAAGATCATATTACAAACATACCACAAACACACTTAAATATCCATAGTTCTACATCCAACACCTATCAAGTATAATCCTTCCGTACGGAGTTTCCTGCACTGGTCTAATTATCCCTTCACTGCTCAACTCAAGTATCTTCAAAAACATCCTTGCCTTCATCCTGTTATTCCATTCACTCACATGGCTATTGAAATCAGCTCCAGATGCAAAAAGTGAAAGCCATTCGCTCTCTGCTTCCACCTCAGATTCGCTCACTTCAAAAACAGTTGATGAGCCTCTCATTTGCTCAGCCGTTAGCGTCGATGAGTTACGCATTTGCTCAATTGAACTCAACGTTGCCGAGCTCAACATCGGTGCTTCACTCTCCTCAATCTCAAGTACCTGTCTTTCACACACCATCCTCATCATCTCATTCACAACAAACACATCTCGTCCTCCAAACATCCTCATGTCCACTTCAAGCGGTATCTTTGTTCCTATGGTACTTCTGCCATACCAATCACTCAAGTCAAGCTCTGTTTCAATGTCAATGGCTCTTTTCTTCGGTTTCCATTCTATTCCACTCTCAACACGCTCCTCATACGCCTCATTGCTGCTAAACATCAAACTCTCGCCATTCCATTCAATATCAGCCTCAAAATCACACATTGTCGTCACATACTCATCTTCCATCGGTAGCATATTCCGGTTCTTCTTTCCAGGTACTATCCTTCTAATCTGCTTTTTGGTATCCATCATACTCAACAGCATTCCAACTCTCTCCAATTGTTGTCTCACATCCTTGATATACATCCTAACCACTTCCCTGAGCGCCAAACTGCATTCTTCAATACTGCACTTGTTTCCAAGCTTCAAAACCATCTCCATCACATTTGCTACATCGACTCTTTTCCTCATACTACTCCATTTTCCATTAATAAAAGTATTCCATCTCCTATGAACCTCATCCTCTAAACATCTCATATTTCATGCTGATGAATGTCATTTCAATCACTTTAATCTACACACTATCTTTGCATAAACAACCTGCTCTTCCATACCTGCTTATAGATTCGGCCAGCTCATTTGCATCAAAAGGCGCCATAAAAACCTCAGCTACATCACTACTCCCAATACTCAGGTATTCATCCCTGAATCCTTCATCAACAGCCAAGATAATCGGCACATCTTTGCTTGCATCCCGAATACGGCATACCAGCACTCCATAATAAGCAGAAACTACATGCATCACTACCACATTATATCCCCATCTCATAACACTCTCAATCCCACACTTCCCATCAACAACTGTCAACGCATATCCAGGACTCCTCAAGGCTTCCACAAAACACTCAGGCATACTCCCTGTTTCTCTAATACACAGCACATTCACTCTGGCTGTCACGCCCTGCCTCTCGCAATAAATAGCTCTCTTCAATTCGTTTATATCTTCAACAACCTCCCTTAGATACTTAGAAATGCTTCGGATCGAGCTTAGAACATGTGACTGGTAAACAATGCTGCTCTCAATCTGCTTTGGTCGAGAATCCTCCCCAGCTCCCATCTCGCTCGGAGCTTTCTTCCTTCGGATTTTGCTCAGCAAATCAGGCCTTCCACGCTGGAAATACCTATTCTTGTACTCCCATGGTGTCCATACAGATCCCATACACTTTACTGCATCGTTCTTGATCTTATAAAAATCATACTTGTTCAGCTGTCTCACAAAAGAGCTCCAGTTTTTATGCTTGAAGTGCCTCTCAAGAATAACCTCAGAAAACTCCTCCTGGCTGCCTATCACAAAACTCTTTCCATCTGCACTCCATGAAATATACCTGAAGTTTGCTGGATCCTCCACCATCCTGAATAGCTTCTCAACAAACTCAGATCCAGAACCTTGACCCATCCACACACAACACAGCCATCACAATTATTGTACAATTATTACACCTGATCATCACACACCAACAAAGATACTATACCAATTTTAATACGAACCAAAACAAACATTGGCCTTCCTCTTACTCTCCCTTCTTGAAATACAATCTCCCTTCCCTGATCGTTACATCTCGCTTCAACTCATCAGCACCAATACGCAGTCTGAAAACTGTGTTTCGTCGGTTCAGCTGATGTCTGGATCGCCTTGCATTCTTATGCTCCCTACTCTCGGCATACATCGAGTTGATATATCTCTGTTGGTAATAGAGCAGCAATTCGCACACAAGAGATTCATTCGTATCGCAAGACTTTACATCTTCTACTGTTTCCTTCAACAACTGCAACACTGCGTCAATCTCTTCGTTATCTTTAATCTCATTCGTATGCATAAACATCATGTCTTCATACAAATGAGATCCAAACAAATGGTATGGCAAAAGACACTCATATGCGTGGTTGATATTCAAGAATCTTCGGAGATCGGGCTTTTCAATCTGTGCCAAGTCCTTCTGCAGAAACCCAATTACTTTCTGTCTATGCGTTTGTGCATGCTTATAAAAGTTTCCATACAACATTCCTGGGCCTCGTGCACATCTTCTATCAGCCACTTCGCTTTCTATGCTTCTCTCAGCATGCTCCTTGATTTCTTCAAACTGTGCTTCTTCAACATTCGCTGTTGCTATTCTTGCCCCTTCGTCTTGCCCTCCAACAACGGACTCGCCAGAATTACCCACGCTAAGCTCATGCCCATCAAGCATGTCTTCATCCATTTCAGGCTAAAAAAAACACGAATTTACATCCACACATGCAAGCATATTCGGCTACATCAAGATGCAATAGAATACACACAAGCATAAAAGGAATGCTGTGCGATAAATGCTCAGTCAGGTGCTATGTGTGCAAAGAAAATACTCACATCCATTCTATAGATCTTTTAATATGTGAATTCTGCTTCCACTCCACATACAAGAACAAATGCATCATGTGTGGTGAAAGAGATCCAAAGCACAGCGCACACTATTGTAGAGAATGCATTATCCTTCAGAAACATAGAGAAGGCTGTCCCATATATACATAATAGCCATACAGCTTCTCATCGTCATCCAAAGCATCATATCTGTAAACAAATAATAAACATATCGCTTTAATCAAACATCATGGGCCATTTCTTTGAGACGGCCATTTGTTAGGACTGTCGTTCGACACATTCTTCACATGTGGAAATAACACCTCAACATCAATCTCATGTCCATTCGAAAAATACCTCTCAAGAACACCATGATCCTGCATCTTCACCTTGAAGTTTATGGCTGGATCCTTTGCAAACTCAGGAATCACAAAGTTTAGATCTGTTATTGCATCATCATCGCCAACCTTTGGAATGTACGTTTTGGATTTCTTATCTCCATGCTTCTCCTTTACAGGTACAGACTTGAGCAGTTGGTTATCAATTACCTTCTTATACAGATTGCTTCCATTCAATCCTTTAATATCTCTTTTCTTGCCATCATCGCTTCCCATCTCATCATATTTGTTCATCACATTTGGCATTGTCATGCCATCACGTATTAACTGCTCTTCTTTGAATTCACTTTCTTTGGGTATACAGATCGATTCATTCACTTTGTTCATGTACTTTCTCTTCATCAGCTGTAGAGCTGCATTCAACTTCATGTTATCTCCTCCATCGCTCACTTTCTTTTCTTTGGTTGTATCATGCTTCACTTCACTTCTATTCTCATCAATCGTTCTTTTATTGCTCTTGGCACAACTAGTGCCTAAGCTCTTCAGTTCAGCCACATATCCACAATCAGATGGCTTCCTGAGCTTAGAATTTCCATATCGATCATTCCCTTTATTCATCACAATCCCATCCCTATATCCAAATCTACTCATGCCCTCTCTGGTCTCTTTAATGCTCCTCACCTGTGAATTCTCAATATCCCACTGATCTTCCACGGCCTTGCTTCTCTTTTTAGTACATGTATCAAGCTCACAAATTTTATCAAATTCATTATGCGCCTTGCTCTTGATCACAGGAATACAGCTAGCATCCAAACTCTCCCTATCAAATACTCCATCGATCTCTCCCTCACACTGATTATCATCTATTGCCACATTCTCTTTCTCATCTGCTTCTCTGCTCTGCTTGCTCACTTTCTTTATTTCATCCTTCACATTTTTCTTTTCATTCACTATCAAACTTTCCTTCACTCTGCAGACATGTTGCTTCCATTCATCCACAAACTCCTGCAGTAGCTCCATGAGGGATCAAAAACACAGCCTTACATCAATTGACCTTACTTCGTCTAATCATATCAAATTCCATTACTTCAAGTCCTTGCTTCAATCGCTCTGCTGCACTAACGACATTCCTAACCCTGGCCCAATACATCCCATTCCTAGGATCAAAAAACTTCACCATCTTGATCACTTCCTCAGGCACACTCTTCAGCACTCCATAGAGCAGCAAATAACTGTCTCCGTCATCATAGTCATTCTCTATTCTGTGAGCGTAATACTGCTTCATTCGTTGTATACACGCTTCACAAATACCTAAAGTATTGCATTCCATGTCTATCATCCTCTTGTATTCATAATACCCAGAGTATTTACTTCCTTCAGGCACTTGTTTGTTTTCATAATATTTGATTTCTGAATCAATCAGCCCAGACCTTACATGCTTTCTGGAGTTATACAAAACAGGAAGTGCAATCCTTCCACTATGTCTAAATATCACAAATCTCTCGTACCACATCCTCTCGTCTGAAGCATATTTCTTTATCATCTCATTAGATAGCTCCACAGCTTTCTCCACATCAACCACCTTAATGTATCTCAAATATCCAACGGCCACTTCTACATTATTCGGATACTTTCTCATACACTCTTCATACACTTCAGATGCATCCATACCTGCATTACGCGTTAGCTCTGCATACAATAAGTAGTGCTTATACTCGTGAAGATCGTTGCGTATTGTAGAAATTGCCATTTTTACACTCATCTGCGATAGAACAACATACCTCCTGATTGTTTTCATCTTCTTTGGAATCGCGCTCAGACTGCCAACAAAATCACCTGCAAAATAATGCATCTTCGATCTTGCAAGCACAAACAGCTTCTTTTCCTTGCCATAATGCATAACTCCGCATTTCAGAATCTTGTCTGCTTTTCTGAAAAACTTCAGCTCATTCTGCATTGTGTACAACTTCCAGTACTCCTTCGCCTTCATCAGATCCACAAAGTATCTTCGTCTATGCATTACAAAAAACTCGTCTATAAATTGCTCATCAAGTACACATTGCTTAATAACTCCATAGCATAAAACAAAGCTCTCATCATCATGCATCCCATGCTTGCTAATTGATACAAACAAGCATCTTAGCCCATGTGGCATGACACACATAGGATCCACTTTAACTCCCTTGATATACAATATAATATCGGTATTATTTAAGGTTTCCACAGGAAATACAACTTTTATCTTACAATCATTCAAAATACAAACTATCTTGTGCAAATGAAGACAAAACAAATCATTCAGTACATCATCATCACCGTTAATCAAAAGATGCACCATCAATGCATGCAAATATATCTGTTTACATTTAAGTTGATTGTACAATCTCTTAATCATGTGAATGGCAGGTTGTGAAGCAACAAACATCATTGCAAATTCATTTGAAGCATTACTAGCCGTGCTATCCAAAACATTATCAGCTGTAGATAAATCTTTCGAATTGTCTGCTTCTATGTATACATCAGCCATGTCAATAACAGAGTCATACAGAAAGCATTGTTTCTGATCTATGCAATTAATTGCATTAGTCATTGCTTTTCTCAGTAAAATTGATTTAGGATGCTTCAAAACGCCTGCTTGTAAAACATCTATCCTTTTGTCGCATTCAAATAGCATCATGTAGAATTGTTCATCCCCATTCATCACATTCAATGCATCGTTAAGTAATTCAGGCACATAACACCTTTTTATAATCTCTGTCCAAAGACGAGCATCTCTGATGTCTCTTGCATCAATCAGAATTTTATTTGCATTATCACATGGCAGAAGTCTACTAAGCTTGATCCGGGCATCTACATTCTGGCGGTTCTTCTGAATCAAATCTGTAAGTATGCTAATCTTCCATTTATTATCGCATGCATTTGTGGAAGATTCAATTTCATAGCAATCGAGCTCTTTAAGACCAATGCTCCGATAATGTTTCCATGTTATTTTTGATGGTGAATGATCGCTTTGAATCTGAGTGCTCTCCATATCGATGTGTGCAAGCGTATTCATCTCTTCTGTGGAGAAAATGGGAAATGCGTCCCGAGCATGTCTTTTATTTCTTCTTTTACTTATTTTTGCATAAACATCATCTTCCTCGCTGCATGCATTTGGCTCACTCTGAGGAAACAAGTCGCGAACATCGAAGTGGCGCTTTTCCATCAGGCATGCTGAGAACAAAACAAAAATAAATGTAAAAGGGCACATCCAGGCAATGGGCGAGAACAATGAAACAAGGAAGAAAAGAGTGTCTTTTGCTACAGAGGCGCATGTGACATACATATATCCCGAGGCCGAAGCAAAATGCAGCAGTGGGATAGATTCTGGACTTGCCAGTGAAGACGAAGTGTCTGTAGAGATGACTGTGGATTGCATTAAGAATAGGCAAGAATACATTGAAAGCGAAGGCACGGGTATGAGCATAAAAGAACAGGGATGCATAAATGATGATCCAAGAAATAGAATCCATAGCATAGCGTATACAAAAGATACTTGTGGAACACCGAATAATGATGCAGATGATAAAGGCTTCCTGAATACGGATATTGGTGTGTTAGCAGGATGGGAGAACCTAGTTGATACTCCAAAGGATCATGAGTTTTTGAAAAATGCATGTTTGAATAATAATACTGCTAATTTTGGCAATGGATATGCATTATCGGTACATGAGCGAATGGATCAACATTTGAATGAGAATGAGGCGAACAATATACAAATAGAAATGCATGGAAAAGATGGAAATGCAGGCATGAATAACATGGTACATGATGCAGAGAAGGAGTATGATGAGCTTGATAACACGCTACTCAGCAATGCAACTCTGAATGTTGAGGAGATTATAAACACCCAGGATCTACGGAAGATCATACCACAGGCACGAAGGGATGTAGTGAATGTGTCTGAGTTGTTGATTTCAAAAGGAATAAGGTTTCTAGACAACTTGGTAGTTTCAAGCACACGGCGAGACACAATATCGAAGTCGAAGAATGAGGTGCGTGTAGAGCAAGTGAGGATCTATGAGAAGTTTGTGGAGCCTCGGACGCAGTTTCTGATGGGGTTTAGCGAGATTCTTGAGGACAAGATGAAGAGGCAGGAGGCGGTGAATGAAAAGCTAGAGATCGAGTTTGAGATGAAGGGGAGTGTGTTTGAGGAAGAAGATGTGTGTAGGCAGCTGAAGTCGTTGAAGAGCGAATGTAGAATGAAAGCGAAGATTGAGTGGTATGAGCTGCGGAAGGAGAAGGAGCTTGAATTCAATGAGATGGTTGTTGGCAATAAGAATGAGATTACAGATGAGTATAACCGATTAGCTGAACGAGTTTCATCGATTGAGGAAGAGATTGAGAAGAGAAAGGCAGCAAATTTAAGAATGGAAAAGCAGATACAAAGGATCCGCAGCAGGATTGATGAGGGAGGAGACGCCAGGTATATGAAAATTGATGAGTTGAAAGCACAGATGAGCGAGCAAGATATGGTTTTTGAAGGCATCAACAAGGAAATGCATGACCTAGAGGATCTGAATATGAAAAAAGAGATTGAGAGAAAGGTACTGAATGAAACAATTGCTAAGATCAATGAAGACATCAAGGAGCTTGAGAAAGGATTGGATGTAAAGAATGTGAATGAACTGCAACTGAATGAGATAAGACAAGAGTTTAAGGCACTTTGTGCAATTTTTGGAGTGGAATTTGTGAATGTGGATCTGAATGAGATGAGATTGAGAGTGATGGGATATGAAATAGACATTACGATGCAGGAAGGATTTGTGATGAGAACGGTTGAGGTGAAGTGTGTAAATCTTGATGGTCAAGACCGGTGTTTAGGAGCATTGCATGAGTATTTGGAGAAACATATTGGAAGGATTGGTAAGCGTTGCGGAGGCACAAGTAAATTGTTTTTTGATGGGATGAAGGATATTGTGAAAGCGGTACTTATTGGAGCAGGATTGATCAAGGAGCTGAAAACACTGAAGTTCAAACACGATGTTGAGTGTATATTGAGAGACGAAAGTGTTCTGATAGTGATAGGAATGCTAGATGCATACGAATGTTCAAAAAGAGAGATTTTGGTGAGTATTTCAAATGGATTTGAATGCATGATTGAGAAGAACGGAGAGAAGACGACTTATGATCTTGCAGAGCATGTAGGCATATTGTTAAAGGCTGTTGATCAGACTAGTTGAATGTCGTGCTTTTGAGTTGGGATGGATACAACATATAAAAGTAATGTATGTTTTCATGCACAGAATAACCGAGCAGGTCCAGTTAGTGAATGATCTATTACGAATTATTATGGATTTGGCTGATTATGGATTCGTAGAATATGATTGATTATGAATTAGGTACTAATATGAGCTAAAGTGAACAATAGCCAAATATCAATTTCTTGAATTCGTGAGTATTTATATTTATGTATTGGAGGCTATACGAAGTATTGTGCATGGAATTATCAATTTTTGGATTGAAATTAAAGTACGGAAACAATAAAGGATTTTAATGGTATGCAGTTTTGATTAGGTTGATGGTTTTAGCTTATTGCTCTTCTTGATTGAGTGTGTTTGTCTCTTGTATTTGTTGTGAGACATTTAGTGAAAGGTGGTGATCATTGATTGCGTCCCTGAGCTCATTGATCTTAGATATGCACTCGTTAGAAATTGCACTGATGTCTGCACCTTCTGTTTGAATGCTTTCATATAGAGAAGTCGCCTTCTCATACACCAATCTTTGATGCTCAACAAGCTTTGAGAGCACTTCAATGTCATTACTTGAATCCTTCTTTGATAAGTCCACAATCTTGTCGAGAACTGCTGCTAGCACATACAGGCTCTCAATGCTGTCTCCTCTGCTAACTGCATCAATAAGCTTTGTGTAATTGTCCTCGTCCATGGGAGGTTGTCCTTCAAAACATTTACTATGCGTTATTATCATTTAACAAAACAATGATAATATATTGTATATTGCACTACAGCATGATTGCAATAATTATGCCAAATCAAGTACCTTGCAAGCATGGATGCACAAAACCAGATCAAAAGAAACCTGAAGAACAACTACATCCTGATAGAGTTCCTTATGTTTGTGACAAGGACAGTTGTTTTGGCTTTTGCTATCCACGAAAATCCCTACTTGTCGATTACAAAAGGAATACAAGGTGCATGGATAAACACAATCTTCATTGACATCACAAACATCTTCCAGTTTATATTCATATTTGATGTGATTCAGCGTGAAAACATATTCCAGATGCTATTGTACATTCCGATAATCATGTATGCAATGCTGATCATACTTGCAACAATTCTTAATGCAGAGATTATTGAATTCAAGACTGGGGCTGTGAACGGCAGGGCAAGGTTTTTGTATGCGTACACAGGCATTCTTGCGTTTGAGATCTTGATTCACATCCCTGTGTATAAGAAGCTAAAGGCAGGCTTTATGTGGTCGAACTTCAAGAAGATAGGTGCAGACCCAAAAATGAATGGTAAGTTAAAACATATAATTTATAGAAGCCTTCCAAAGAAGAGAGGAATTGAATGCAATCAAGAAGCTTACAATTGTGTTTGTGTGCTCAGAAGTTCTTGGAATATATTTCAACAAGGTTGATATGATCTTGTTCAAGCAGATTAGCCTTGGTATTATTTTTATAGTGATGATGCCTTTTCAGAATGACGAATATGTGGCGCACCGGATTGTTTTTCTGATACTTTCTGGAATTTTCTTTGTGGGTGGGATAGTGAGTCTAGCGCTTGATATAGTGCATTTCTTTGTTAACAACGTTACAAAACTGTAAGTTAAATACTTAATTTTAGAGAATCAATTGTGGACTCGTTGTTTTACATGTTCATCATGTTTTTGTTGTTTATTGGTGGGTTTCGAGATTACAAGATGTTTGGAAGTGGACTGAAGGAGTATTACAATGGGATTACTACAAGTTCAAGGAAGAAACTGATTTTGGAAAAAGAGCACGATTTTGAATAAAATTACCATGCATGTATTTATTTTGTTCAGTGTGCTTTTTCATGTATTATACTCACTCATGTATATTTATGCATTACTCATTCATTGTATAATGATTATGCATCACTCATTCATGTTACTTATGTATTACATGTAATGTATATGCACTTAATCACGCACATCCTTATGTAACATAGCACACTCCCACACTCATACTTCCACATTCACTACTATAGCACACACTCATACTTCCACATTCACTACTATAGCACACACTCATACTTCCACATTCACTACTATAGCACACACTCATACTTCCACATTCACTACTATAGCACACACTCATGCATCCACGCACTACACTGCTTCTGACACCACTTCCACACTCGCCACTGCATTCACGCTCTCCTTCTCCTTCACTGCCGCATAAACCGTTATCCGCGGATTCCCTCGCACCTTCTCAATCACTCCCTCCATGCACAGGTGCCTCAACACATTCTCCGCAACTCCAAGATTCAGATTGTGTCGCGACCCAACAGAAAACCGTGTCACCATTCTCGCTCGCACCACTTCCTTGCGCACCTTTCCAAGCAGCTCCTCGGACACAGTCACTATCTTGCGCACATCCTCCTTCTTCTTTGCTTCTCCCCACTTCTTCTTGTCCTTTCGTGTTCCAGACGCTGCCTTCAATGCCTTCTTCTCCTTGGACTCCTGAGACTTCTTGACCATTTGGGCTGTCAAAATTTGCTGCAAATATTCCACGCTCTTAAATACATCACATGATACACATAATATAATAACACATAATATTCTCTACTGCATAAAATATAACACATAATATAATAATAGATCCTTATTATCTAATACTCATAATATAACATCATATCCTAAATATTCACATCATAAAATAACGCAATAACTCATGCATTCTAACACCATTCAATTAATATATCAAAAACCTTATCTTTAATCATCTAGTTAATCAGCAAGCTCCTAAATTACAGCTCTTTTCCTTCCTCATCAAAAAACTTCACATCAGACCCAAACTTTCTAACCTTCTTCAAATTCCCAATATCAAACCAGAACTCCTCTTGGTCATCTATACTAGCGTCTATATCCTTCGTCTGCTTTTCTTTGTTCACTTCAAATCCAGGAAGCTTAAACTCTCTTTTCATCTCGTCAACCTCCTCCATTGCTTCCTTAGCTGCCATCTCATCATTGCCATCAACCTCACTCTTCTGTATAATCCCTACCATCTTCTTCTTTTCACTGTTTATCACTCCATCTCCTTGGCAGCCCTTAAACTCGCCTCGCTTGAACTTCTTCTCGCTCAGCATCATATCCCTTCCTTCCTCTGAATCACTCAGAGCCTGCATCATGTCACTACTATCACCATCAAAAAATAAATCATCAACAGCCTCTCTTACGCTATCAGACTCTGAGGTATCCACTTCTTCAACATCAACATTATCCAATATCTTCTTTATCAATGCCTTGCTGTCTGTTTGCTCCCTAAAGTTCTCGTCGAGCCCCATGGACTTTGCAATCAGTTCCATTAGCCTGTCTGTCTCCTCCTCAGACAATAGTCTCTTCTTTTTTGCCAACAAAAAATTCAAAAGCTCCTCATACATTCTACAGGGCTTGTTTTTCCAAAAATATACATCATGCTTCCTCAACTACTACGCTTCTCAAAACAATACAAACAGCAAACAAAACGAAGTACGTCATTTATTATGATGCTCAACAAGCTTTGGCTTCCAATTTCCAGGGATCTTCATTGTACGCTTGTAGTACCTTGCAAGTCGATACATCCTTGATGACACAAGAATAAGATGATGCTTTGCACAGTTATCCTTCTTGAACATATTCAGATGAGTCTTAAGCTCATTCACTCGCTTCACAAGTGATTCGAGATCAAACGGAATCCTTGGAGTTGTTCCGTTGTTCTGCAGAAACTTGCAAATGTCCTCGCCGAGCACGTCCTTTGCCTTTCCGATCCCATACATGTCTCTGAGCCTACATCCTATTACAGGTGCCGGTATTCCCTTGTTTCCCATCTGGATAACGTCTGCCTTGACCTGATCAACAGATGCAGAAATGTATGACGGGAACCTAGTTGCATATGGTTTAACGCTTGCTGAGCGACCTTGTCCGGTGGAATGCATTTTTACCATCTTGATTGAAGGGCAATTTTTTTGTATGCAGAAATGCATGAGTTCTATTATTTTATATTGCACTACTGGGCTATTGTATTATATTATGTGTTATATTTTATGCAGTAGAGAATATTATGTGTTATTATATTATGTGTATCATGTGATGTATTTAAGAGCGTGGAATATTTGCAGCAAATTTTGACAGCCCAAATGGTCAAGAAGTCTCAGGAGTCCAAGGAGAAGAAGGCATTGAAGGCAGCGTCTGGAACACGAAAGGACAAGAAGAAGTGGGGAGAAGCAAAGAAGAAGGAGGATGTGCGCAAGATAGTGACTGTGTCCGAGGAGCTGCTTGGAAAGGTGCGCAAGGAAGTGGTGCGAGCGAGAATGGTGACACGGTTTTCTGTTGGGTCGCGACACAATCTGAATCTTGGAGTTGCGGAGAATGTGTTGAGGCACCTGTGCATGGAGGGAGTGATTGAGAAGGTGCGAGGGAATCCGCGGATAACGGTTTATGCGGCAGTGAAGGAGAAGGAGAGCGTGAATGCAGTGGCGAGTGTGGAAGTGGTGTCAGAAGCAGTGTAGTGCGTGGATGCATGAGTGTGTGCTATAGTAGTGAATGTGGAAGTATGAGTGTGTGCTATAGTAGTGAATGTGGAAGTATGAGTGTGTGCTATAGTAGTGAATGTGGAAGTATGAGTGTGTGCTATAGTAGTGAATGTGGAAGTATGAGTGTGGGAGTGTGCTATGTTACATAAGGATGTGCGTGATTAAGTGCATATACATTACATGTAATACATAAGTAACATGAATGAGTGATGCATAATCATTATACAATGAATGAGTAATGCATAAATATACATGAGTGAGTATAATACATGAAAAAGCACACTGAACAAAATAAATACATGCATGGTAATTTTATTCAAAAAATATACACGTTTAATGCAAGAGTTGGTTGCAAGTCAGTTAAACGGATACAAATATTTTATCAAAAATTTACCCCAGTATGATATACAGAAACCAAGACGGAGATAGAAGAGGATATAGAGGAGGATCAAGGATGGACGGAGGATCGAGATATGGCAGTAGACCAAGAAGAGAACCGTACAGATGTGAGCCACTTCCTGAACTACCGCCTGTTGAGTTTCAAAAGGATCTGTATGAAGGAGCAAAGAATAAAATGAGCGATAGTGAGATAGCGGCATTCAGAAAGAAGAACGAGATGATGGTCAAGGGACGAGACATCCCAGAACCGATTGAAGGATTTGCTGATGCAGGATTCAGCGAACGAGTAGTGAGTGAATTTAAGAAGAAGGGATTTAGCGAGCCAACGCCAATACAAGCGCAAGGATGGCCAATGGCACTTAGCGGACGAGACATGGTTGGAATAGCACAGACAGGGTCTGGAAAGACGTTGAGTTTTATACTTCCAGCACTTGTGCATGCAAAAGCACAGGTGCCTTTGCGAAGAGGAGACGGACCGATAGTGCTAGTGCTTGCACCAACAAGAGAGTTAGTGATGCAAATTAAGAAGGTGGCTGATGAGTACTGTGGAATGTTTAATTTGAGAAGTGCAGCGGTGTACGGAGGCGCTTCTGCACAACCACAAATAAGATCATTGCATGAAGGTGTGGAGGTGCTTGTAGCTACACCTGGACGATTGATTGATCTGCACGACCAGGGACATGCGCCATTGAGTCGAGTAACATTTTTGGTACTGGATGAAGCGGATAGAATGTTGGACATGGGATTTGAGCCACAGCTAAGAAGAATTATACCGAAGACGCATAGTGACAAACAGACACTGATGTGGAGTGCAACATGGCCACGAGAGGTAAGGGAGCTTGCAGAGAGTTACATGAAGGAGTATATACAGGTGACTATTGGAAATGAGGAGTTGAAGACCAATAGCAAGATCAAGCAGATAGTTGAGGTATGTGGAGAGAGAGAGAAGGAGGAGAAGTTACTAGAAGTGCTTGGAAACCATAAAGGAGAGAAGATAATTGTGTTTTGTAACATGAAGAGGACATGTGATGATTTGGAATATGTGCTGTGTAGGGCAGGGCATGGTGCATCTGCAATACATGGAGATAAGTCACAGAACATCAGAGACAAGGTGCTTGATGATTTCAGAATAGGACGACGAAGTGTGCTGATTGCCACTGAGGTTGCAGGAAGAGGGCTGGATGTGAATGATGTGAAGCTTGTGGTGAATTTTGACTTTCCTGGCTCATGTGAAGATTATGTGCACAGGATAGGAAGGACAGCACGAGGAAGCTGTAAGGAGGGAGTTTCACACACGTTTTTTACGACTGCTGATAGGGGAAATGCTCGTGAGCTGATAAGAATGCTTAGGGAAGCAAAGCAAGAGATCCCATCTGAGCTTGAGGGAATGGTTAGGGCGCCTTCTAGTGATAGGTATGGATCTAGGAATAATAGCAGGTATGGATACGACTACAACCGAGAAAGGACTAGTAGATACTCTGCTAGGAGATGAAGGCTTAATGGAGTCATTGAGCAATGCAAAGCAAGATTTATATATAGGATCCGAGGTATATAAGAATGATAGGAAGGGATTCGTTGAATAAAGTTTCGTTTTAGGATTTATTTTTAGAGATTTGAAGGAAAGGCCTTTACCATGTATGGGCCTTCTAATGTGTATCCGAATCTTGCATAGTATTTTCTTGTTCCCACGCCTGAGATTACTGCGATTTTTGTGGATTTATGCTCATCTCGTGCGATTTTCTCTGCTTCCTCAATAAGCAAGGAGCCATATCCTTGATGCTGGAATTTTTCTGCATCTGCCTTGCTGACAGCAACTGCACTTCCATAAACATGAAGCTCTCTTATCATTGATGCATTTATGTTTTGTACAAACTCATGGTGTATACCATTTTCAACACAATGATTTAACTTTCCCTTCAGCTCCGGCCTGAATGTCTTAGCACTACACTTGCGCAATCTCAAAAGACCTATCAGGATGTCTTGCTTTACATCCTCATAGCTCAGAAACGTCTCCCAGCCATTGTTTGCAAAGTAATCTCTCCTTACAAGCTCTACTTCATCAGGAAGTATGCTTTCATGAATGCTCTTGATCCCAACCTCTCTAGTGCGCACATCTCTGCACTTCGTTTTGTAGTCTTTCATTCTTGCTAGTGCAAGCTCCCTAATGTTTCCATGCTCCACGCCAGAGCTCACAAGAGTCATCGGAATGTCTCTTTGGATTCTGTATATTCTAGTCCACGGTGGTACAAAAGACATTATCTTGGCCAGAAAGTCAATCAGCTCGTCTGGAGAGTAGTTTCTGTATTTGTTGTTTTTCCACAGCTCAAACAGTCCTGTTCCTTTGATAACAAGCGTTGGATATATTTTTAACCCATCGCTTCGGAACCTTGGATTGTCAAAGTACTCTCTGAATTGGGCAAGATCTCTCCTAATAGGGACATTTGGAAGATTTGGCATCATGTGTGCAACGATCTTGAATCCAGCATCTTTAGTAAGAGAGAATGACTCACAGACACTCTTAACTGTGTGTCCGCGATTTGTGTCTATTGCAACATCTTCATATACACTTTGCACTCCGATTTCTACTCTTGTGCATCCGTATTCTAACATCTTGCTCAGATGTGATTGTGCACAGAAATCTGGCCGGGTTTCAATTGTGATTCCAACACATTTCAGACGTGCTTCTGCACCAACCTTTACAGCCTCCTCAACAGTAGATGACTTGTGTCCACTCAAAGCATCGTGGAGTTTTGAGATGAAGTTGCTTCTGTATGACTCAGACAGCGACATAAAAGTACCTCCCATTATTATGTATTCCACCTTGTCGATGCTGTGTCCAAGTGCTTTTAGCTGCTTAAGACGTTCTCTGGCCTGTTCAAAAGGATCGTATCTGCTTCGGATTGCCCTCATACTTGTTGGCTCATATCCAGTGTATGACTGCGAAGAATATTCAAACTCAGAGTCTGGGCCTCCGGGACAGTAGACGCATATGTTTCCAGTCAATGCGATGTGAGGACATCTGTGTGGCTTACACATCACAGCAACAACAGCAACGCCAGATGCAGTCCTAACCGGCTTTACCTTTAGCTTGCTGATCAAGTCACTATACTCTGGAGGAATAAATGAGATTATATCTACAAGGCGTGGAATGCATCCGAGTTTGTGTTTCTTGCATACCTGCGTGCGGATTTTTGCTGCATTAATTTCCTTTTCTTCTTTATGCAGCCGGATTATTTCTCTGGAGATCTCGCCGCATGCCTTTACAAAGTCAGACATGTGGGTATTGATCAGAATGAATAATTGGTATGCGCTGGAGTATTATGAGTGTGATTGATGCGCATGAATAACATGTGTATATGAGTTGAATTTTATGAATGAATTAAACCATTCTTGTCTTGAATGAGCTCTATCTGATAGAAAGTAATGAGTAGATTGAGTATTTGGTAGTGAACATCATCAATACAGCTGATGGACAATGCATCAACACACTATGGAGTGTTTTCATATTTTGTATTCCTTACAAGCCCTGAAGATGCAAACCTCGCTGTACTTGAATACATCAACACAGATGAGGAGGGATGAAATAATGCAGAAGCTGTCTTCGAGCAGTGAAGAAGAGAAGATTGAGGCGATGCAACAGATAGTGACACAGATGAGCCAGGGAGGTGAATTTTCATCGATTACACTGAAGATTACGAAGGAGATCATGATGGTGAAGAACAATGAGCTGAAGAGACTATTTTACTATTTCATGGAGATGTTGCCGAAGTCCAGGGACTCTGAGGCGTTTGGTGAGGTGTTATTGCTGTCGAATCAGGTACGAAAGGATCTTGAGCATGCGAATGAGTATGTTAGAGGATTTGTGATGAGGTTTGTTAGCACACTGTGCGATCAGGAGCTGATAGGTAACTTCTATAAGCTTGTAAAAGATAACTTCAACCATCCAAATACATATGTGAGGAGGAATGCATATTTCTGCCTAGGAGAGGTTTTTAAGAAGGTTGAGGTATACAATGAGATTCCTGATCTGCTGTATCATGCATTGTTGAGGGACATTGATCCAAATTGCCTAAAGCAGGCGTTTGTTTCACTACGGAATGGTGATGAAGCGCTTGCACACAAGTATATTTCTGAGGTGTCGGTAAATATTCCAAACGAGCTTTCTATAGCAATAGTTGAGTGGACAAGCGATGTGAAGGTTCTTGAGAAATTTCTTGCGAGTGAGGATGCGCAGACAGCAATGGAAGCAGGGATTGTTATTCACAAGGTGAGTACAGATGAAGGGTTGCTGAGAAGGAGTCTGGATGTGATACTCAGGGGGGCTGAGAGACTTTCTAGGTACAAGGAGTATGTGATTGATGAGTTGTCAAGGCATTCTAGATATGGTTTCCATGGTAGTGCAATGAGGTTTCTTGGACTGATGGATGTATATGACCTTAGCTTCTGCTCCAAGTGCATAAACTTTGTGTTTAAAATATCTGAGACGCATGAATTTCTTGAGATATGTGATTTTTTGAGTCTGAAGTTCAAGGAGACAAGTGATGTGTCTTTACAGAACCAAGCTTTCAAGGTAATGCTTTTTGAGAAGATGTCGTGTTTTGCGGAGCAGTATTCGTCATATAACGAAAGAATGATTGAGGAGGCTTTGAGGAACATTGGTTCTGATAATCCTGAGATGAGCTATGGAGCGCTCGTATTTCTTGGATCTTGCTTTAAGGTTATGAGGAATGAAACTAAGGAGGGAGAGAATGCAATGTATCTAAAATATGTTGAGGAGCTTGTAGAGAAGATTGATGAGACGAAGTATGGAAAGATACTGAGGCATTGTATGGATATAGTGAAGCAGCATGCAAATAAGTTGATTTTTGAGAAGGTTGTTAATGATGTAAATGAGTCCTTTGAGAAGACGGACAAGCCATTATATTTGCGAAATACACAAGCATTTCTTGGATGTTATGTGTGCATTGAGCTTTGTGAGATGTGTAAACGACTTGGTGGGGATATGAAAGAGAAGGTGATTGCAGTGATGTTAAAGTTTATTTCTTATGGCAATGAGAGCGGAACCATAGATGCTAGCTCTCACTCGACAATAATTGCATGCATCCGATCGCTAGTGTCAGGTAGTGAAAGAGCGGAGGTGAGTTCTGATAGCCATAGAATATGTAGAGAAGGTGTGCTTGATGCGATTGTACTTCCTGGATGTGATGACAAAGATAAGATTAGATTGAGGAGACTGAATGAGTTTATTGGGGAAGGAGAAGCATGGAATGGAGGAGTTGGCAATGTTGTTCAGTTGAGCGGATTATCTGATCCTGTGTATGTGGAAGGGTTAGTTGGATATACAAGATATGAGGTTGTGGTTGAAATGATGCTGATTAATCAGACGTCATCTTATTTGCAGAACATCCTGATTGATTTTGTAAGCAGTAGGAATCTTGTGGCGTCATTTATGTCAAGCCCGTTTTCATTATCTAGCAGGTCGGTTGCAGTGAAGAGATATGTGTTTAAGATTCAAGATGCATCGAATGGATTTTTGAGTGGGTCTATGACGTTTAAATATCCTGACGAAAGTGGGGAATATGCAAATACGGCATACACGATAAACTTCTGTGAGATTAGGACGTCAGTTGCGGAGTTTCTTGAGTCTTGTGAAATTGCTCCACATGAATTTAGGGAGATGTGGAAAGACCTTGAGTGGGAGAACACATACACATTGAAGTTGAGCACAAGGAGACCTCTTGAAGAGATATTTGAAGGAGTGAGCAACGGAGTGAGGGGAAGAGTGCTTGATATAGAGTGCAATGATGATTATGCGGTGGGAAATATTGTGTGCTTGACACAACAGAGCGTGTATGTGCTTGTGAATGTGTGTCTTCGTCGTGAGGAGAGTGTGTATTTTGAGTGTAGGATTCGAAGCAAGAAGGAGGGAATAGTGAAGTCTGTAAGCATGGTTGTTGGGGATGTGCTGAAGTCGTTTAGGAATAAATAGTTTCTGAAGAATGAAGGAGAGATTTGTTTGAAAATTTTGAGCCCTGAAAATGTCGTGTGAACTGAAGGTTGTTGCAAGTCTGAATGGGCATAAGGACGAAGTTAAAGGACTGAAGGCTGTCCGAGTGAACGGAAATGAGCTGTTGTATTCGGGATCTAGGGATAAGAAGGTGTTTGCCTGGGACCTGCACAGCAAGGTTGAGGAGTCTGATTATGCAAGGATAAATAAGTTGTATGACAATGGACACAGGAGAAGGATCAATGGGATTGATGTTTCTAAGGATGGAGCGATGTTGGTGAGTGTGGGATCTGATATGATTGGAAGGATATGGAATACTAAGAACAAGATGTCGATTGAGCTGAAAGGGCATAGTAAAGATGTGTTATGTGTGAGCATAAACTCGAATGACACGAAGATAGCAACAGGATCGGTTGACAAGACGATGAATATTTATAACACGCGTGGAGAGCTTATAACGAGTATTACAAAGGATATGGCGCGGATGCATCGTGGATGGATTAACTGTGTGGCGTTCCATCCTCTTGATGAGAGTGTGCTTGCAAGTGGGTCTTCTGATGGGACTGTGAAGATTTGGAACCTGGAGATGCAGGAGCATACACACACGTATCTTGGAGGTGTTTATGTTGATTATGAGAAAGCAGAGGAGGCTAAGACACAAGTGCATGATTATGATGAGTCTAAGAGTGTGACAGCAATGGCATATTCTTTGGATGGATCATTACTAGCTTATGGAGATAAGAGCGGAAAGGCGTATCTTGTGAAGCCAAACACACAAGAGCAGATGTGCAGCATTGATGTGACGGTGCCGATACGATCTATTGCAGTTGGAGAGACTGATGCAGTGATTGGCCTTGGAACAGACGAGTCTGTGATTATCTGGGACACGATTAGCTCGAAGGTGGTGGCAAGCTATGATCTTTGTGAGATAATGAATGGAGTGAAGTGCCTGTCTCTGGTGTTTTCTGGAAGGACGCTTTATTGCGGACTGTCCAACGGGACGATTGTTGAACTGGAGTTTAGAAAATTGGATTAAATTTTGTCTCTGAGATATTTTGTGTAGTTTTGGAGTGCTGATGAAACAAGGGCTTGAGCTTTATGAGGAGCAAAGGCAATTTGTGAAGGATGCCAGGAGTGTTATTGATGATGGAGGAGTTGGAGTGTTTTCGAGCCCTACAGGCACAGGAAAGACAAGGTCGCTGCTTGTAGCGGTGTCTGAGTATGTGGATAATATTGAGAGATATGGAAAGAGCACAGAAGATGTGTACATGGATGCAAGAAATAGGATGTTGGAAAAGGCATTGTTGCATGAATCATCAGGTGCAAAGGTATTATATTGTACTCGAACGCATAAACAGCTTATGCAGGCAATCAAAGAAGCCAAGACAATTGGTCTAGAGTGCAATTCAGTTGTTCTTGGGTCAAGAAGAGTTTACTGCGTCAATCCAGATGTTAATGAACTGAGTTCTATTGAGATGATGAATGAAAAGTGCAAGCAACTGATTAGTACGAATGGATGTGTGTTTTATGATGGATCTGGAAATCTCAATGGATGCGGAGCAATTGATATTGAAGAGATGATTGTGATGGGAAAGAAACAGAGGTTCTGCCCATACTATGCATCTAAACGATACAGTATGCAATGTGAAATTGTTTTTCTACCGTATCAGCTGTTATTTACAAGAGAAGGGAGAAGAAGTGTAGACATCAATGTTGCAGACAAGGTTGTGATTGTTGACGAGGCGCATAATATTTGTGATGCAGTTGCTGAGATGAACAGTGCATGTGTGTATTTTGATGCTATTTTAGAATGTATTTCTGTGTTTGGAGTTTATAAGCAAAGATGGCCAGGTAAGAGCCGACATAGTGATGTGGCAAACAAGGTGAATGGTATTCTTGTAAAGATAGCAGGATTCCGATCGAAATATCGAAGATTAGACGCAGATGAAGATGTTGCACTGGGAGTGTCTGAGTTTCTGATCATGGCAGGAATTGAAGAAGTCAATATGCTTGAGGTTGAGGAGGATCTTATGGATGCAGGAGTGATAAAGCGAATTGAGATGATTAAGAAAAAGGCAGGCGTCTATGCAATTGAAATATCTAAACTTCTGAGATTGCTTACGATGAGCGATGTAAATGGAAGGATATTCTACAGCACAAGACGAATCAGGTTTGTACCGATTGATCCATCGATATACTTTGAAGGAGTATCTGGATGTAAGGCGCTTCTGCTTGCAGGAGGAACAATGGAACCTATTGAGCAGCTACAGAGAATATTTGGTGGTGTGAATAATAACAATATACAAAAGCTTGGAAACAATGAATGTGAGCATTATCTGAGCAATAATTATAGTGCATTTAATTCAAGCATGAAATACTTCTCTTACAAAAGCATTTGTGAGGACTTTCTACCACTTATAGTGTGCACAGGGCCATCAGGAAAGAATATGATTGTTAATTATGAAACAAGAGAAAACCATGAATGTGTGAAGGATGTTGTGCAGTCTATACTGAATCTGTCGAATGCAGTACGAGAAGGCGGGATAGTGTGTTTTGTGCCATCAAAAGCATATCTTGAGGTCCTAAAACATAAAATTGGTGATAAAATTGGTGCAAAGCGAGTGTTTTATGAATATGACGAGTGTGTATTTGATTTATATACGCATGAAGTAAGAAAGTGTTCGTGCATACTGCTGGCAGTTGTTGGTGGAGGATTGAGTGAAGGTATTAACTTCAATGACGAGCTGTGCAGAATGGTTGTTGTGATTGGCGTTCCTTATCCTGTCATGAATGCAGAAATGAAGGAACGAGCTTTATTTTATGGAACAAAGCACATATCACATGTTGCAATGAAAGCAGTGAACCAGGCACTTGGAAGAGCCTTGAGACATAAGAATGATTATGCAGTGCTTGTGTTGCTGGACAAAAGATACATCGAACTGTCTTATATGATAAGTCCATGGATAAAGCAGAAGATTATTAAGTGTGATTTCAGGCATGCACTTGTGAATGCATATCAGTTTCTTCGCAAACAACGATAAATGGTACTTTTATTTATTAATGCGCTTTCTATTTGAAGAAGCCGTTTAGTTTCTTGATGTGCCGTACAGTGATTCTTGGCCCGATCTCTGTGAATCCGACTTTAATGTCATCCTCGTCCTTTGTAAGTATTGCATAATGTCTGATATGTATGAGGTCGTCATCAAAGTGGAAGTGGATGCTTCTTCTGGAGGTGCTTGGCTGGGACGACAGTGATGAAAACAGGTTCTTCAATGGACTGTCTCCTGAAAATGTTATAAGAGGATCATCTCTGTAATGTTCATGGCTGACTTTGACATACGTTGGATTGTACTCAATAATATTGAATATGTATGTTGGACCGTTTGGTCTAACACCTATTTTGATATCTCTAGCATCCACAAGAATGAAGTGTGATAGCTCGAATGAATCTGCAACTTCAATGTATGACTTGATAGTGGTGTTCTTGTCCTTAAGCTTTGCGGTGACATTTGGCTCAAGCATCCTGCGCAAGTGTTCACAGATCTGTTTAGTGCGCTTTGCGGGCTTTTTTACCGTTATTACAAGCTTGTTTGAGAAATTCATCTATACAAAGGGCTTCGAACATATTTGGGTTAAACTGTTAAATGTTTGGAATAAGTGTTATGTCAACTATGTTAGAGTATTGCTGCACATTGTGTTTTTTTGCATCTTTGACACTCTGAATCGCAAGGTATGCTTGTGTGTTAAGGAATATAAGCGGTTTGATTGAGAAATGGCAAAGCAGCACAAAAAGCGTAGTTTTTGCGAAACTGATGGAATGTGTTTGTGTTAAGTATCTTGCGAAAAGAGTTTCTATTGTTTTACAAATCTCCATAACAAGCTTGATGAGCAGATATGCGATTATCCCTCCGATTCTGATTCTGGCCAGTAGTATGAGCTGCTCAACCTCAGGCTCTGAAAGAAGCTGCCTTTGGAAAAGCACAGTGCAGATCTTTGAGATTTTTTTGAGCAGAGCAAAGTAGAGTATAATTAGCAGAAGCGTTTCTGAGCTGTTTATGACATCAACAATGTAGTTGCCAAGGAGAGTCTTCCCAGTAACAACAAAAACAATTGGATAAAGCAGTATGCCGCCGTATGCTCTTGATCCAAGAACAGCCTCGAAGACATACTCATCAAACCCAAGATCCTTGAACTTCTTTGATGAAATTACTGGCAGGAACAGCATGATTGTATGGAAAAGCAGGCTTTTTTCTATGCCTTCAATTGTTATCTCAAACAACTTGAGTGTTGCACCTCGAGCGTGGTTGACAAGCTTATTGATTGTTGGATTTATGGCTGATCTAGCTTCGTATATGTGTATCAGGTAGTATATAGCCATCAATATGAGTAAGGTAAGCATGAAGAAAAATTCCTTGCGCCTGATAGCTAGAAACTCCCTGCAGTAATTGCTCTCCTCGTGTTGCTTTCTACTTTGGATCCCTTCGATGCTCAATGAGAAAATCTCGCACACAATCGCAACCAGGAGAACGGCAGACATCAGTGCCTGAATGTTTTGATTCATTGTTGTTTGTTTGATAACCACAGACTGTAAATAACACAAAACAATAGAATACAGCATTGGATAGAATTTAGGATACTAGACATGCATCAGGCATAATACTTCAAATTAATGATTTGTGCGCCTCCCTCAAATGATTGTTCAAGCGTTGTACATATATATTGCATATGTGTTATCGAAAGTTATACCGGCTGTTTATCAATACATTTATTCAAGATGCAGAAATCATCAGGTGTGGGATGACATCAAAGGAAGATATGTCCTGATAAACGATGCAACTGGAAGCATCGGAGCAGCACTGGCATTAGAATTTGCAAAAAGAGGCATGAAAATAGTGCTTGTTGGAAAGAATGAATTGAAACTGGTAAAGCTTCATTTGAATATAAGCCAGATTACTGAATGCCACATGCATATCGTTGACTACAACAAGAAGAGTAATTTTGAATTTATAGATCAATATGACATCCGGGTTCTAGTCAATTGTGTTGGTACAGCAAATAACAGCCCTGGATACTTTGTGGAGCATCCTTTTGAAGAGATCATGAGAGCCAATTTGCAAGGGCCTGTGCTGTTGATGAAGCAAATTATTGCCAACATGATGGAGAATGGACGTGGGTATGTCCTAAGCGTAGGATCATTGATGGAAAATGTACCTAGTCCGTTGTATTCATCGTATGGATGTTCAAAGGCAGGCTTGATATCGCTTTCTAATTCGCTTTATTATGAGTTGGAAGAATGTGGGATTAATGTAGAATATGCATACTTTGGTTACATGTGCCAGGGTGTAAGTGGGCAGGATAACTCCTCTGTACTTAGACCATCGCCAATTGTGCTTGCATGCTCGATCCTTGATATGTTTGGATCTGGAAAGTCATGTATTCCTTACTTACCGCACTTTCTTGTGTATCTTATGATCATTTGTATTCCTTCTCCGCTCCTTAATAGACTCATATTCTTCAGCAACAGGCAGAGGATGATTGACGAGAGGAAGCGAATGGCAAATTATTATAAAAATCACTAGAAAGTAAAATAACCAGAACACAGTAAAAATATCACAGCAATGCTTTATTATTAGTTAATCGACGATGCCTGAGACGAAATCTTTGGCCACATATCAGCAACTTCTCTTGGAACAGGCCCTGCTATCTGTGCACCCTTAAGTTCACCCTTGTTATTGATCAGAACTGCTGCGTTGTCCTCAAATCCGATGTGAGATCCGTCTGGGCGTCTCCATGTCTTCTTCTGCCTGATCAGGATTGCATAGTGCACTTTCTTTCGTAGCTCCGGCTTTCCCTTCTTGACCGACACTACGCATATATCTCCAGGCGCTGCAGAAGGAAGTCTGTTGAGCCTTCCCTTGTATCCACGGACACCTATGCATCTGAGCTTCTTTGCACCGCTATTGTCTGCACAATTCATCACAGTCTCGACTTGAATGCCCTTGGTCATTTTATACCTTGGCTTGAGTGCTACTTTCTTCTCTGCAACCTCTACTTTCTTCTCTGCAGCCATCTTCAAGGGTCATCCTGATAATTTTTTCTAAATTCTGTTAGCTGACGGTGTGTTATGGAATTTCGATGTATTATAACATATGGAATTATATGATTATACTTGGGTGATTATACTTGAATGAAGTACTTTGTATGGTTATGGATGAATGATTATACTTGAATGAAGTACTTTGTATGGTTATATTTTAATCAAAATCCAGGTTGTCAAGCGATTATCGTATTCACATAATTACATTGTATTTACATAATGTGTTTAGTGGATGCTCTTGGCTTTATAATTCTTGAACTATTTGCATTCTGTGTATTGATTGAGATCCGTACACTCTGTCTTATTCTATGTATCTTTTCTAGTCCTGCATATTCAACCAGGGCATTGTCGATCTCAAGCAGCCTCAGCCTAATTCTTGCTTTCAGCTCAAGTCTGTCTGCAGTGCTCATTCGAAGGCATACGTATCCATAAGATTAAATCGGTTTAATATTCAACTAATACAGCGATCAGCAAATGACTTTCTGTTGCATTTGTAGAGTGGAAGCAGCCCTACTTGTTATGAAGCCTTTCATGCTGGGAATATTGAAGTGCAAAAGATGTACGTTCATGCAGAGACTGGAATTGATCTGTAACGAAGCGATATGTGTTGATATCAGTGCAAGCGAGCCACAGATATTCAACAAGCACATGTATCTGGAAGACTCGGAAGAAAGATTGAAAATTCTTGCGCACAGCCTGAACATGCACCACTCCGTAACGCTTACTGAGCAAGACATTGAGTCATTTGTAGAAGATCCGTCGGATGATGCAAAAGTAAAGGCGTTTCTATTTGGAATAGACATAATCAGTGGAGCACTGAAATGCAGATCGTGTGGGTTACAATACCCAATCAAGAACTCGATTGTGGATACGGTGGATGCGATTCAGTTCAATTAAATTATGAATGTTTATGATGCATATATTTATGATTTTTAACTGATCTGCTTGCTGACGTGTGCGGCGTTCTTTAGAGTGTGTATTTGTATTGAGGTTATAAAGATGAATTGTATCTTTTGATGCAACGAAGTCACGTGTTGGTTATATCATCTGTTATCTATATGCCCTGGGATGCCGAGCACAAACATATTTACAGCGCTTTGCAGATATGCAGGGTTTGGTGGAGAAGAGCGTTCAGATGTGAGGACAGAAGAGATTGAAATGGCGGTTTCTGAAATACTAAAGAGAGCAAGAATCACGGATCTTGAGGAGTATATTAGGAGCTACAAATACATGAGAAGTGGCATGAATGCATGGCAAGAGAAGCTTATATTCAGGAGCAGAAGATGCTTGTTATCTGAGAGTGTGTTCAGATGCAATGTGAGACTACTCGGTCATTTTGGCCAAGTTGAAAGAGTCTGCTTTGACCAAGGAAATAGGTTTTTTATGTCTGGAGGGGCTGATGGCATGGTGAAGCTGTGGGATGCATTTACTGGGTTTCTTGTGCACAGCTTCATAGGACATCAAAGTCTTGTGAATGATATTTGTGTTAGCATGGATGGTCGATTGCTAGTTTCATGCGATTCGCTTGGCTTGCTCAATGTGTGGAGCCTTGATGGATTTAAATTGCTTTTTGAGCTGCGCCATGAATGCGAGATTATATTTGCGGAGTTTTTTGATTTAGGATCAACAAGAATGTGCATAAACGGGAATGAAGAGTGCAAGAGATCTGTGTATGGGCTGGTTGTTGTTCTTGCAAAAGGGAGTGTTAAGATATACAAGATTGACGAGACGGGAGTAGTGGATGAGCATGAGAATATGTGCTTGGTTGGCGAGATAATAAAGGGAATCTGCTTTACGGAGGGAGGGCGATTTCTTCTGTGCAGTGGCTGGTGGCCATTTCTTGTTGTGTTTGACATGCAGTTTCCTGAGGGATGTGTGATTCTCGAGACGAATGGAATGCCTGTGAATACAATATGTGGGGCAAAGAATGGATTGAAAATTGCAGCAGCATGCGAGAGCCAGGTGTTCCAGTGGACGTTCTTTTCTGAAGGGATGCCTGGAATGGGCAACTTCAAGCGACGGGCGAAGGATCTGTCGTTGGCAGGGCATTGGAAGAAGTGTGCAGTGAGAGTGGAGATGAATGAAGGGGAGTCTATTGAAAGGATGTGCTACTTGAAGGACAATTTTTTGGTTTGTGTGTGCACGGACATGAAGATCCGGATTTTTGCAGGTACAGAGCTGAGATGTGTGATTGAGGCACGCGAGATGGGAGTGCCTTATCCACATCCTTTGGAAAACACGTTTGTGATTAGTGGAGCACATTTGAGAATGTATGACATGGACAAGGTGGTGTATGAGGAGCCATTGAACTTTATGGTAAATGACGCGCAATTTTCAAGCGATGGTGAATGTTTTGTGATGAGTGATGAAAGAGGGATAGTGAGAGTGCTTACTGCGAGACATGTTGAAGAGCCACCTCAGATGCAGTTTTTCCGCAGTGACCTTGATCACATTAATTCTACAGGCTGGAGTGGGCATATTGAGTGCAATAATGAAGCAACATATGGATTAAATGGAGAAGTAAATGCACGATGGACAAAGATTGAATATAGCATAAGCATGCGAACGAATTGTTGTGTTGCGATTGAGGATCTGGGAGCAAAGCATTTCTTGAAAGATCGTGTGGAGTTGGAAGCGTTCCGCAGGAAGTATATGAATGTGCCTATGCCTGGAGACATACAGATGGTGAGTTCGCAAGTACTAAGTTCAGCAGAAAGTAGTGAGGATGAAAGCGAATATATTGAGGATACATCAAGCACTGACTCAGAAGATGAGATACTGCAATCCAGTGACGAGGTGGTTAACGCAGTGACTGAGAATAGAATTCCTCTGCGACGGTTTATGATTGAAAGCGAGTCGTCATCTGACGAAGGGGCTATGCTGGTGAGAAGGGCTGGTATGCCAGAGCAAGTAGTCGGGCTTCAAGGAAGATTGCGAAGGTTTAACAGGCCAGTGATGTATAGCACACATATACAGGCAGAAGATCAAGGGATAAGGATACTGAGAAGAAATCAAAGGAATGAAGCAGTTTCCAGACGTAGGTCAAGTAGAGTGAATGATAGGAATAGAACAGATACAGGTAACAGAGAAATGGAGAATACAAGATTGATGAGTGTACAGGGAGTATCTGGATTGACACAATATGTACAATCATGGTTTTCGTCTCTAAGCTTGATTCCACAGTCTGGAGACATTGTTTATGTTGATTGTGATGGATTACGGCGATTTGAAGAATTTGAGTCGAGAAAGATATTTAGGCATTCAGGTGTACAAACGGGATACTATACAGTTAGAGAAGTAAATATTGTTAGGAATGAACCGCCATTTGTCAAGGTAGAGCTTGAAAAAGAGGGGCGTGTATGTGTGATAAAGTACTATAGATATCCAGGATGGCAACCTATTATGTTATTAAGAGAGCAGGTTGAGATAAAAGAGATGGATGAGTTGAGATATATTCAAGATGGAATGGTGTGTAATGGACGAGTTGTTGGATTTCGAGATGGAATGGTGATATTGGATTGTGGGGGAGGAAGTGTGATGGTTGATAGATCTGATGTGCTTGTATATAAGGAGGTGATTAGTGGAGAGAAGCAGAAAGAGATATTGGAGATACTTAAACAGCGAAGAATGTATAGGAATTTGTATGTGACGTTGAGAAGGGAATCGAATACGATATATTATGAGAATGTTGGATCCACAGTGAATCTTGGGAGTGTTGAAGAAAGGATTCGAAATGGGGTTTATCGAACGCTTGCAGGGCTTAAGTTTGATCTAGATCTTGTAATTGGGAATTCTGTGTATCTAGGAGAGGCAGTGCACGGATACTGTAAGATTGTTGTAGATGAGATTATGCATGTGATGCATGGATAATGCTGAGCTATTGAATAGACAAGGTTAAGAGTTGAATGAGTGATTAAGAATGAGTAGATGTGATAGATGGAGCCCATATGTATTATGATGTGAATGTGAGTGAAGATTATTGTACAGATGAAGTGAAAGGGCTTGAGGAAAGCGAATATCAGGGATTTTGTGTTTGTAAGAAAGTGAAGGCAGGTGAGTTTAATCGACTGTTATGGAAACCGAAGGATCTTGGAGTTAAGAATGGATGGTATAGTAGGATTGAGTTGGAGTTTGCTGAAGGAGAGGCAATCAACTATGATCAGAAGAAGGCGATGAAGAGTGATGTGTTTGTAGTAAGGATTGGAGGAGCTGAAGGGCTTGACAAGCTGATAAAGCTGCAGCCTGACATGATTAGTTTTGATTATTCAAGCCCGGTGCTTCGACTGAAGTCTGGATTGGTAAAAACAGCAATGAAGGAGAATATTTTTTTTGAGATTCCAATAAGGGAGGGACTTTATGGAGTTGAGCAGAAGGTGATGTGGATGAGGAATGTGCGTAAACTGCTTTTTGTTACGAAGGGAAAGAATGTGGTTGTGAGTAGTGGAGCAAAGAGGCTGAGTGAGTTGAAAAGAGTTAAGGATGTGATTTTGATGTTACAAACGTTTGGATTGAAGAGAAAGCGTGCTGAACAAGTGTTATGCAATTCTAAAAGGCTACTTGAGCATTGTGCAATGAGAAGGCATTGCCACAAAGGGATGGTTGTGACTAGTGTTGATGATGGAGCATTAAAAAGAGATTTTTTGATGAAGAAGTATGGATGGTTGATGGATAAAGGAAGAATAAAGGAAGTGTAGAATGAATATTTTAAAGCTGATGTTTGTTCCCTGTTCTGATGTATTTTGATGTGAATGTTGATGGAAGATATCCAATTGATGAGGCAAATGCCTTACTAGAGAATGAGTGTGATGGAATGTGTTTTAATAACACAGTTGATGCGAGAGATGTGATGCAGATGAAGCAGCATGATTTATTGGTGTTAGAAGGCAAGCAAGTGTTCAGAAGAGTTGAAATAAGGTACTCTAGAGTTGATGAGCTACCTAGTATGGAAGTGGTGGAAGCGATCCGTAGGACAATGAAGTGCATAGTTGCGGTGTTAATGAATGAATCGAGAGATTTTGAAGCGATTATGCGAATTGAACCTGACATTATTGCATTTGACTTTTCTAAGAGGATCTGTTTTCCAGACAAGATGGTTGAGGAAGCAGCGAAGAAGAATATTTTTTTTGAACTGCGGATTGCGGAAGGGCTGTATATGAAGAAAGAAAAGACAATATGGATGAGGAATATTAGGAAGCTTCTTGCGATTACAAAAGGTGTTAATGTTATAGTTTCTAGTGGAGCAGCATGCAATACGGAGGTAAAGAGACCGTTTGAGTTTGTGAGTGTGTTGCAAGGGGTTGGTGTAGATGAGAGTTGTGCAAGACGGGTGTTGATGAACTCGGCAAGAATGTTGAGGTCGTGTAAGTACCTGATATGTGGTGAAACAAGGATGAGATGATACAAGTATCTATTTGAAACGTATCTGTTGTGTGAGGAAGGTGATAAATAGAATGTGATGTGAAACTAGTCTATGGGAGGAAGGCGCAACAGGATGAGAGCAAGAAGCAAAGTGCAGAGTGGCAGAGCCATGCATTCCGGAGTCTCTGCTGATGTGAAAGTGGAGGAAAGGAACGATGGAATGAGCAGTAAGTGCAATGTTGACTTCCGAGAGTTGAATGAATGGGTGCCTGATTCAGATTTGGATATGAAAGATGAGGCGAGTGGAGTATCTGTTGATATTGATATTGATACTGATGTTAATTTTAATGATAATGCAGATACTGTATATAATGGTTCAGGTTGCACTGTGATGTGTGGAGATGTGAATGATGAGATCAAGGTCAATGTTGAGAGGATTACAAATGGAGAGGCGTTTAAGATCAATGAGGAAATTGATATAAATGCAACAGCGAAAGCTAAAGAGGACAAGGAAATTCATAAAAGAATATACTCGATGACTCCAAGCTTAAAGGTCACAATGACGCCTCAAATGCCTGTCAGGAAGGTGATTCATGATGAAAAGACAAACGGGCTTGCAGTGAAAGACGAGAGCGTCAAGCTTCCAAGTAAGATGATTATTAACAGGTATCCTGGGCATTTATTTATACACATTGATCAGGTGGAGAGATTCATGAGTACGCGTGGTGACATAGAGGAGGTTTCAATCAGAATGGAGTGCAAAGCGATTACACATGAAACAAAGAAACACAAGCCATGGACAAGCATTGGAGTTAATGAGATGATCAAGATTCCGATTGAGAAGATGGATGGGGAAGGACTTTTGGTTAGGTTTGTGTTATTATTGCATCGCAAGGTGTCTGGAATGTTTTCTAAAGCGGAGGTGGTGAAGTCATGCGAGTCTACACTTGTGGTTGATGTAGAGAGGATCCACTCTGTGCATAACAACTTACTTGAGAGCATGCTGTTGTGGGACAACTATACATCTAAGAATGTGTTTAAGAACATCCAAGGATTTTTCACAAATGGGACACCTGATGCATGGGGTTTGAGACTGTTTCTATCCTTTGTATCAGATGATGAGCTGCACCTGATTCCTGCAACACCGCCTTGTGATCTGAGATCTTTGAGCAAGTGGCTTGTAGTGAAGAAGTTTTCGTACAACATGTGGTTCAAGGGATTTGTGAACCTAAGAGGAGATGTGGGAGATGTGTGCACTAATCTGTGGAAGCGAAGGTATGTGAAGTGCTATGGATACATGATTTTTGTTTTTAACGAGCATTCTCGAAGCCTTGTTGGAACAGTTAATCTTGTAGATGCTGGATTTGATCCTGGTGCAAGCAGTGGGATCTATCTAGAGAACTTTCTGAGTATTTCTGTTGGGCAGGGAAATGTTGAGTTCCACTTTGATTGCAAGGAGAAGTATGAGTTGTGCAGGAGTGCGTTGTGTGCGATGCTTCCACGAACGTTGTTTTACAAGAAAGCGCAGCAATGAATAGTTGAGTTAGGATGTACATGATCGTTATTAAATTGATTAGCATGAGTTGTTTGTTTACTAAGAGTGTATTTGATGTATTAACGATAGGTAAGTATTTGATGTAGTAATGGTGATCTATTAAAGGTACTATTTGTTGATGCCTGATACATTGATTTTCCCTCCAAATTATGTGTCTGAAAAAAGAAAGAATCCCTGTGTTTATGCGGTTGGCTTTGAACGAGACGACGAATTGCAGTAAAGTATCAGATGCTGAGGAGAGAGGCAAGAAGAAAGTCAGTGACAAGGAGAGAGTATTATTGTTTCTTAAGGATGTGTGCATGAAGACAGGTGATCATTCACTGAAGTACGACCTTAATAGATGCATTGAGATGATTGAAGGTAAGGAGAATCAAGAAGTTGTGGATCTTAGAAACGCATTGGAAGAGGCTTTGGTTGAGAATGAGGTGCTTTTTACGGAGAAGTGTGAGCTTGCAGTGACTCTTGAGTGCATGAAAGCCGAGAATAACGGAATTTGATGTATAATAGAATGCCAGTGAACCCCTTGGCCTGGATGCATGTGAGGTATAGATTGTAAGTGGATAGTGTTAATTTAGGGCTTTATATAAAAAGACAGGAAGTATTAACGATACAGTTCTTGAAAAGTTTATTTATGACTTGATTAGAGAGTTTGGAGGCAGTGATTTGAGGAGCAAAGTGGATGTTAAGTGCCATAACAACGTGGTTAAGATTGAGGTAGATGATGGTGCTTTTCTTGATGTGCATGGGGCATTGTTTTTCTGTGGAGAGTATGGACCTGTTGGATGCAGGTTTGAGCGGATTGATTAAACCTTGTTAATGTTGTGCTATTTATTGTTTTTTATAAATTGATTGATTGTTTGAAAACAGATGCATGGAAAAACAATTAATGGAGCTTGTGGATACGAGGAGCTTGATACGATCTGGTGTGATGATTCAAGTAGATTATGGCAGGGAATAGATGTAAATGGAAGTCAGGTAATTATTTTTGAGAAGGTTATGCCAGGGTTGCATGAAAAAGAAAGGATTAAGCTGGTGTCTCTGCTGATGGGTCATGCGATGAATGCTAGAAGTAATGCATTGAGAGTATCTAAGTGTTTTTGGATTGATGATGTGTTGTATATGATTCATGAAGGAGCAGTGCATGTGAATAGCAGGATAATGGAGAAGTACTTAGTTGACGAGAACCTTGGTTTATGGATATTTGTGCAAGCAGTGTATGTAGTTGGAATGAATATTGATGATGAGTGGCTCTGCAATAAGATTAGCATGAAAAGTATGTGCATAGCAAATGATGGGAGACTGCTAATTAGATGGAGTGATATTATATTGAATTTCTTGATGATGCCTGGAAATGAAGAAAAACTGATAATGAATGAGGTAGATTGGAGTAGAAGTGGAATTAAAGGATGTGAAGTGCAATGTGAACAAAAGTATTGTGGTACATCTGGAACAAATTGTGGCCTTATGGGTGCAAACGATAGAAAGTCTGTGATTGACCGGCCGATTATGTTTCCAATGGTTCTCAAGGGAATGTTTTTAGAATTGATGAAATGCTTTTTGAGAGTTTCAGATATGACTAAAGATGCAGAGAAGATTGATGCATGCAGTGATAACTTAGAACGGCACAAATTGGATCTGCCGATGAAGAGTTTTCTAAATGATTGCCAGATGATGGTGGATATGCTGTTTGTGAAAGGAGTGCATATGAACGAGGTAAAGAGATGGATTGAACTTATGCATGAAGCATCTGGGAAGAGTATACAGAAGATATGTAATGGATTTAGAAACAGATATAAAGGCGAGATTACTGACAGTAGAAGTACCCCAGCACTGATGGATGAAGCAGATAACAGCAATGGAGAAACGGGCAATAGTAGTATGGAGGAGGAAAGCAGCAAGAATACAAGTGATGGAGAATATCGGACACGATCATTTGGAACAAGGGAGTACAAGAGAGGACGATTCCATGTGTGTGAGGCTGTCCCACTAGGAGATAAGGATAAGGAAGTGAAGACTGATGAGTATATGAATAAAATGTTGAAGATGCTGAACTTACAGAGCAGAAAGATAGGCATAATTGCAAATGCAATTCACAGGATGGGAAATTTTGATGGGAATGAGAAGAATGAGCTTGCTTGTTTGGAAGAGGAGTGCAGGATTCTTATGAGCGATCTTGAAAGATGATAGATTAAGGTGTTGCATGATAACAGATGTGAAGATGAAGCAGGGGATTGAAGAATAGATTAGATGGATTGTGAGACATTGCAAGAGGTAATGGAAGAGAAGAGTCTTAAGAAGATATATTAAATGTGATTAAAGGATTTTGAATGGAGAAGCATCCCTGCTATGGAACGTTTTTTCTACCTGTGTGATCTGAGTTTTTTTTCGTCTTCGATGATTGAAGGTTCTATAATAGCATGTGATAAGATGGGGACGATTCATACGATAATGCCTGTGATGAGTGAGATATCTATGGATCATTTGAAGAAGGACATTAAGTTTTATCCTGCTGATGATCTTTGTTTTACTACGACTGATATGGTGAAGGGAATCCGAGTGTGGGACAGATGCAGAGCAGAGATGGTATATTCTTACAAGGATGACTACATCAAGATGCATGCATATAGCAAGAATGGATGCATGGCGGCGGTTGGAGAAGGCAGTGTGAAGCTGTATGATCTTCGGGTGAGATACAACATTGATACGATTCCTGTTGGGATGTGTAAGATGGCAGAGTGGGGCGATAATCGAGTGTACTGTATTGCAGAGAACAGTATTGTGGAGTATGACACACGAAACCTGGATAATATGGTTAGTGGGCAAAGGAGTGAGGATAGGATGAGTGTTAGTAAGCTGAATGGAGTGATTGATTTTGCAAGCATGCATAAAGGAGAATTCTGTATGATGAAGAGGAATGGAATGGTTTATTTGCAGAAGATTGAGGAGCTTAAGGAAGTAGCAGGATATGAAAGGCCTAGCATAGGATCTAAGATGATAAAAATCCGGAATGAGATTGATGATTTTGCAATTGGAGCAGTTGAAGACAATAAGGTTTGTATATATGAGTATAGAGACACATGGATGTGTGTGATGGAAGGGGTGAATCACATAGATTGGATGTGGTTTTGCCGAAACAATTGCTATATGTTTGCAGACCGAAAAGTGTACCTGATGGAAGGAGGATATGAAGAATTCAAGAAGGCAATCAGGAAGGATGAATAGCACAGCAGGATCTATGCGATAGGATTACTGAATATATTTTGGAATGTATTTGTTAAAGCTTATTAGTGTGGCAATGCTGATGATTTGTGATAATGCATATGCATAGCGCATGGTAAATAAAAATGGAATGAGCCCTGCCTTATAAACATGAAGCTGAAAAGATCAATACAGAAGACATTTGGATCGACAAAGGTGAAGAGTGTACAGATCCATCCCACGAAGGCGATTGGATTTGCAGGACTGTTTGATGGACAGGTGCAAGTATGGGATATGGAGAGGATGGCACACGTTGATAGTGTGCATGTATGCAGCGAGCCGATTCGAACCTGTGTGATATTGAGAAAAATGGACTGGATTCTTATTGGGAGCGATGATGGATGTGTTACTGTATATGAGCTTGGAAAGTATAGGAAGATCAAGTCTTTTCAGGCACACAGTGACTTCATAAGAAAGATAGAAGGGCATCCTGAGAAGCCTATGTTTGTGACGGCATCTGATGATACTACGATGAAGATGTGGGTATATGAAAATGGAATCAACCAGTCGATGACTTATACTGGCCATGGACATTTTGTCATGGATGTATGCTTTTATCCACAGGACAGTAGTAAGTTTATTTCGTGCTCGTTGGACTCAACGATTAAGATGTGGAGTGTGGAGAAGCCGCACTGTATAAGGACTTTCAAAGGGCACAGTTCTGGAGTGAACAGCATATGTTTTGTGAATGAAGGATATCTGGTGTCTGGAGCGGATGACCTGACATTGAAGGTATGGGATTTCCAGACTGGACAATGTGTTTCGACACTCACAGGACACACAAACAATATCAACAAGGTGTATATGTTGAACAGTTTTCCGTTGTTTGCGTCCTGCAGTGAAGATGGAAGTGTGCGTCTTTGGAATAGTAAGACATTCAAGCAGGAAGACATGCTTGCACTGCAGGGAGGAAGGGTATGGGATATCAAAGAGCGAGATGGAATGATGATGATTGGATGTGATGAGGAGCTTATTTTTGTGGGAGCACAGCAGATGTCATCGCTTGCAGGGATGAGCAATGGAAGGATATTCTATTGTGTGGGAAATTCAGTGTATGGCTCCAGAAGTGACAGTGTTGGAGTAAAGAAGATGATATCGAGTTTGGACTTCTGTCCTGATGAACTGGATGCGTCACCTGGTGGAAAGATGATAGCGCTTGGTAATGAAGGAGAGTATAAAGTTTATTCATCGTTGGGATTCAGGAGCAAATATTCAGGGGAAGGAAGAGATTTTCAGTTTATTGATGAGGAGGAATATGTAGTAAGGAATGGAAGCATAGTTAATTTCTATAAGAAGGCGGAAGTGCTGAGGAGTTTAGAAATCCAAGGAATCAGCAAGTTGTTTTACCTGACTCCAAAGTTGTTTGGTGCAAATGTGATGGAGCATACTGTAATCTACAGCATGTCTGGAAGACCTGTGTGCCAGATAGAAGGTATTTCAAGTCACCTGGTGGTGATTGGGGATTTTCTGATTGCATGTGGAGCAGCGATTGAAGTGTATAAGATAAACCATGAGATGATTGAGGGATTTGAGGAGTTGGACATTGAGGTGACCGATGAGATGATGACAGAGGTATTTGAACATGTATGCAGTGAGTATTATACAGTGAGTTCATGTTGCGTAGATAACGAGGTGCTGTATTTTGTATCGTGCATGAAAGGATATTATATGATTGTTGGTGAAAAACCTTATGTATATCATTTTTCATCAATTGAGGGTATATTAGCGGGTGTTGAAGGAGAGGATGTATTCTATTTGCAAGACAAATTGATTGAGATTAGGAAGGTGGATGGCAGGTTTATGGAGTTCCAAAAGGCAATACTACAAGGAAATGCAATTGAGGTGAGTGATGGAATACGTAGTCGGGCGATTGTATTTTTTGAATCTCTAGGGATGCATGAGGAGGCTCTGAGACTGTGTATGGACGATAATCAAAGATTTGAGATTTTACTGAAGCTGAATCGGTATGATGAAGCATTTAACAAGGCAAACAGCATTGCCAAGTATGAGAAGTTAGGAAGATATTTTCTTAAAAATGGAGAGCTTGAAAAGGCATCTGATTGTTTCTTTAAGTCCAAGAACTGGGTTAGTGTGTTGTTAACAGATACGTTGAGTGGAAAGATTAATCTCAGTGCTGTTGGTGATGAGTGCAAGAGGGAAGGAAGACTTAATCATGCATTTTTTGCATATTTGAAAAGTGAGAGATATGGAGAATGTGCAAGGCTGTTGGAAGGTACTGCATTCAGTGCGCTTTTTGCAAAGAATTATCTTGATTAAAATGGTTGTTTGTGATGTATTTGTATATGCAGTATTTAGAAATCGAGAAGCTGCAGAGATGATGAGTTTGGATATTATTAGAGAAGAATGACCCTATACGAATGGGAGTAATAGAGGCGAAGGAATGGGTGCCAGTGGAAGTAACCACACACAATTTGTACTTCCATGAAGAGGCGTCAGTGTTTACTATGGACACAAACGGAAAATTGATAGCAACTGGAGGAGGTGATAATGAAATAAGGCTATGGAGAGTTGAAAAGAGCAATATGGATGGAACAGAGTTTCGGTATACAACAGCATTGAACTCTTCAGTGAAGATTGTGTATGACTCTGTACTTTCTGGGCATAAAAGAGGAGTGAATTGTGTCAGATTCAATGGAGATTTGTTGGCATCGTGCTCTGATGGAGGAGAGGTTATTATTTGGGTAAGCAAGGTGCCTCATATGATAAAGAGGATTGATGGAGATGATGCATATGAAGCTGTGTGGGGACGAGATCATCTGTTTGTTGGATTTTCAAGTGGACATGTACTTGTTTACAAGGTGCGTCATTATGGAATGCATAAAGATGTTAATGCAAGCATGAATGACAGTAATGTTATAAATGCAGTTGAAGAATGCATAGATGTACAGATGATACAAAAGATTCAGTGCCACAATGATGTTGTCCAGGGCCTTGCATTCAACAATTGCTTTGGATTATTAACATCGTTAGGAAAGGATAGAATTGGGAAAACATATGTGTTTAGAGATAAGCTTGTGGAGGTGGAGCATATGGATGAGATGAATGGCGAGAAGATGTTTTCTACAGGGAGAGGATTTTTCAGAAGATTGTCGTATTCTCCAGATGGCAAGCTTCTGTATCTTGCGAGTTGCAGCTCAAACAGTGTTATTGTGTTGCATTATCCATTTAGAATAGAGCATGTGTATGCAAGAATAGGACCATTGGATTCTGAACCTTTGAGAATTGTGTGTGATGGAGATAAGCTGTATGTTGCAACAAGAAAAAGATTGTATATGTTTGTGAAGCAGGAGCTTGTGTTGTGTGTAGACAACATTTCTTTTATGGCGATAACTGATGGCTGTGTTTTTGACGGGATATGCTTTCTCTCATCGCTGGATGGCTTTCTTTGTTCGTTACGTGTAAGGCAGTGATCTTTTCTATGTAGTCACAGGCTAGAGCTGGGAATGTATTTGTAATGGAAGTGGATGGCCCTTGGATGGGGATCCAGGATAAGATCAACGAGATAGAAAGTGAAATGGCAAGGACACAAAAGAACAAGAAGACTGAGCATCATCTTGGGATTCTGAAGGCCAGGCTTGCAAAGTATAGACAGGAGCTTGATGCACCAAAAATGAAGCAGAGTAGAGGCGATGACTTTGAAGTGTGTAAAAGCGGAGATGCCAGAGTTGCACTGATAGGATTTCCAAGTGTTGGGAAGTCAACATTACTGTCAAGAATCACAAGCACACACAGTAAAGCAGCAGAACATGAGTTTACGACTCTAAGCTGTATTTCTGGCAAGATGCGATTGAATGATACATGGATCCAGGTGCTTGATCTTCCTGGGATTATTTCTGGTGCTTCTCAGAACAAAGGTCGAGGAAAGCAGGTAATTGGTGTTGCAAGAACGGCAGATATGATACTAATGATGCTTGATCCAAGACGAAGCGATGACAAGAAGGTTCTTGAGCATGAGCTTTACGAAATGGGAATCAGGCTCAACAAAAAAAGACCTGATATATCGATTACGCCTACATCGAGCAGTGGAATAAGTATTGGAATAACATGTGAATTGACAAGAACAACAGAGGATGTAATAAAGGGTATTTTACGAGAGTACAAGATCAATAACTGCCAGATGCTGATAAAGGAAGATGTATCTGAAGACGATGTTATTGATGTATTGAGTGGGTCTGTTGTGTATATAGATTGCCTGTATGTTTACAACAAGATAGACGAGCTTTCATTGACTGATTTCAATAAGATCGCAGGTCAGCCAAATAGCACGGTGATTAGCTGCCGCAAGGATTGGAATATTGACGGCCTTATGGAGGATATTTGGAGCAAGTTGGATTTGCTGAGGGTATACACTAAGAAGAAGGGGATGTTTCCGTCGATGGATGATCCCGTGGTTATCAAGAGAGGAAGAACGATTAAGGATCTTTGCATACACATACACAAAGACTTCTTACAGGGATTCAAGCATGCTCTTGTGTGGGGAATAAGTGCAAAGCACATTCCACAAAGGGTCGGACTAGGGCATTTACTGGAGGATGAAGATGTTATTCAAATATTTTTGAAATAACATGATTATGATTGAAGAAGTTGTGATTAATGTAATACCTTTATTTATACAAAATATTTGGAGTATAAAAGTACTTGGGTTATATAGGTTTGGGCGCACAGTTCTTTAAGGTTTTATACACCAATTTTGTGCATTATGCATTCATCAAAATACTGCTTCAGCTCGCTGCTTGCCTTGGAAAGTGCATTCCTTAATATTGAGTGTGCGGCATCATTTGAAACATTTGCAGTCGTTAGCGATGCATTCCTCAGTAAATCATTTTTGATGAAGTATGCATGCATTATTTTATTGCTTGATACAACTTGATTTAGCATCTTGCAAATAAATATTCTATTATGAGTATCCAGAAAACTGAGTGAAAACACTTTCTTAAGACTGCCGGTGCTTATAAACAACTCCCTGGCTCTAAATCCATATCTTGAAAACAAATACAGCATGAATTTCTGTATCTCTTCATAATGCACAAGATCAGTGTTTTTAAACATCTCCGAGCTTTCTATGAAAAACACATCCAATCTCTCAGCAGAGCACAACTCAAGAATAATATAAAGACCTTCAAAAATATACAGCAGCGGATCTCCATGCGGATCCAACTCTATCAGTGCATTAATACTCTGGAAAACATATGTGAAATCAATCTTTTCTGCTGCTTGGCTCCTGAATAGATAACAGATGTAATAAAACATTTCGGATGTGCTACCTTTCTCCATATACATCCTATTTAGATATACTTCCAAGCTTCCAACCTTACATCTCCTGGTGCAGCATGCCTTTAGCAACTCTACAACATCAGAAAGAGGCATATCTGCAATCTTTGGATTCCTGGATGCTATTTCTTTCTTATCAAGTATGTGCACAAAACTTTCATACTCTCTTGCCAACTCCTCACAAAAATTACCTGCTATAATTGTTTTGTAGAATAAATAAGGCGATATGCTACTACATTGTGGTGCTCCAAACGTCTCAAAAACATCTTTTCCATGCTCAATTAGCATTCTGAATAGATACAAACTACTGTACTCCACAAGCTCAATAATTCCCTGCTTGTTACGTATTGTTTGCTTAAAAATCTCGCTTTCCATGTACATGCTTGCTCTCTTCAATTCATCAAACCAGTTATTGCCATGTGCATTTAGTTTGTCATCCATGTTTTCTTTACTGCCTTCTTCATCACCGCATATGCCAGACTGCTCATCTTCTGCATTCACATCTATTCTATTCAAAAACTCGTAGAATTCGTTCCTAATCTTCTCTGTTTCAAAGCACAGCGCATGCTCATCATCTTCATTAAATATATGGATTATATTCTCCTCAGACTTCCTGTATGTCTTTCCAAACAGTTCCACCCACATTCCTTCGTTACTGCTCATCTCCTCAATAAAAATACTTCCTTTGTGAATCATCAAAATCATTCCAGCATACACTTCCTTCCATTGTCCTCCGTCATTCTCAAAAATACACACATTCATTCCGTTTATTCCAGGGATTGTTTCTTCGTGTTTGATTACACATATAATCTTGCATTACTTACATCATAGTCACTAAACATTTTATCATTGTACAACACTGTTCATGCTCCACTTCAATTATTTATTCAAATAAATACTCGGAGAAATCATTCATGCTACAATCCAAATCCTGCATCAATCTTCTTAATCCCACAGTATCCTAGCAAAGACAGCCCTGCCAGAGCAAACATAAGGTGATACAAATCAGTCTCATTACCAGGGCGATCAGAAAACCCTCCAGTCTTTCCCTGGCACGATAAAATAAACCTGACAAGATGCTCCTCATCAATACTCTGCTGCTCTCCAATCATCACAGCGGATGAGTATGCCCAGAACGAATAGCACACATCCTCTTTCTTATTTATTCTTCCGGCAAGTCCACCAGATATTGTCTGTCTCATTGCAATAAACCTCTTCACTCGAGTACGATCTATGCATTCAAGTGCTCCAAGAGATCGCAGAACACTCAAACAACAGAATACCTGTGCAGCATGCGATTCAGCACCAGGGATGGCTCCAAATCCTCCATCTCTATTGAAGCATTTCAACGTATACTCAATAATCATACTTACATCAATCCCTGTATTCTTCAGGTAATTATCATGCATTGGCCTTGCCAGCATTTCCACTTTAAAGCATCCATTGCCAAGTAGAAAAAGCAAATGCAGACTCAGAATCGCACAACAATTGATTCTTGTATCTTCTTCCCCATATGCATCGTTGTGAAAACATCCAGAACTCTGTTGTAGTCCACATATGTACTCTACTGTATCTCTTGCTTCATACCGATGCTTGCACATGTATAGTATCTGCAATGCATTAAATGTACTTGTTATGTTTGATGGATATCCTTCGCTGCCTCCAAAACCTCCATCTGTATTTTTGCATCTGAGCACATACGAAACAGCCTCACACTGTGCTTCTGCTGCTCTCTGATCATCTAGCATCATCATCGAATTCAATGCCCAGTACATTGTATTTAATCTATAAGGTGTAGATAGATAATACATCAGATTCTTTGCATTCATCATCCTGTGTACAAAATCACAGTGTTCATCCTTTCTAAGCTTCATTCAGGGTCGTAATGATACCTTTCATGTAATGCCAGTATTATTACATTTTTATCAATATCATTCGTGAGTACTTCATAAATATCATTCAGACAAACATTTTCATCAATATAATCCATCACACTGCAAACAGATCTAATACATTATACAATCAACACACATGACCTATACTCAACACACATATATCTACAATCAACACATTACAAATGCATAACAAATACACTTCATTTCTTCATTACAATGCTCAAATATATAATATACCAATGAATAAACAAACAAATGGAGGAAGTAGAAGACAACATACACACTCAACCATACACAGATGACATCCCCACAGAAGATGAAGTCGAGCAGGACGCAAATAGCAGACAGGGGCTTTTCAAATACTTCAGAGTTGCAAGAATAGAATATCCAAAGTTCATCTTGTTGGGCGTGATGCTTGGAATCGTAGGATTCATATATTCATTCATGAGGATCTTAAAGGACATGTTTGTAATGGTAAGGCAGGAGCCAACAACAATATTATTCATCAAGATATTCTATGTCCTTCCTGTGTCAATGACACTGGTGTTCCTCATCCAATATCAGCTTAGCTCAAAGACAGTCTCCAGAATATTCTCCATATTCTGTGCCGGGTTTGCATCTCTCTTCTTCTTCTATGGCGCTATCCTTCTGATTGAGGAGCACATCTCGCCCTCAAGGTTTCTTTTCAGAGACATCTTTGTTGACGGGAAGATGTCTTCTAAAGGACTCAACATCTTCAAATCAATGTTCTTGACAATCAATGAGCCACTTGCCACGCTTGTGTTCATTACGGCAGAGATGTGGGGAAGCCTGGTTCTGTCATATCTGTTCATGAGCTTCCTGAACGAGCTGTGCACAATCAAGCAGTTCTCCAGGTTCATTCCATCCTTGATCATCATCATGAATCTGTCGCTGCTCTTGTCTGCAATTGCAACGGGTGGATTCTTCAATCTCCGACGAAGCTTCACATTTGAGCAGAATCAATTTTTCCTCTCTGGCATTTTCATCACACAAGGCATTCTAATAGTGCTGGTGATCTTCTTAAAAAGTTACCTTGAGAAAGTAGTGATGGCAAAGCCACTGTTCCTTGTTTCTTCAGGTTCAAGAAGAAAGAAGGCAAAAGCGAATGTTTCGTTTGCAGAAGGCCTTGAAACCATGTCCCAATCCAGGCTTCTTCTTGCAATGTCTTTGATAGTGCTGTTCTTCAACATCTCATACAATATGATTGAGTCTACATTCAAGGCTGGCACCAAGGTTGCTGCTGAATACTTCAATGAAGAAAAAGGACAATATTCTGGAAAGTTCAACCAGATCGACCAATATATGACGTCAATCATAGTGATAGGATTGAATCTGTCGCCCTTCTCAAGCCTTGTGGAGACAAGCGGCTTTTTGCTTGTAGGAATGATAACACCGATCATCACGCTAATGGCTGTAATTTTCTTCTTTGGATCTACAATATATAACACAGTTGTTGAGGGATCCTCGCTTAAGTTCCTGAGCGGATTTTTCCCTGATGGAGAGCTCAAATATAAGCTTGAAAATTATTCAGGCATTATATTTCTATCTCTGCTCAAAATTGCAAAATACTCTGCATTCGATATCTGTAAAGAAAAGCTTGGCATGAGAATCAATCCCACATATAGAGCAAGGTTTAAGAGCGTCTATGATGGGATTTTCGGAAAGGTCGGAAAATCTATAGGTTCAATATACGGATTGATGATGTTTGAGATTCTTTCAACAGAGGATCTCAGGCAGGCTGCTCCAATCACTGCAGGAATCATCTCAGTGTTTGCAGCAATGTGGATGAAATCTATAGTGTATCTCTCAGGCTCCTATGAATCAGCAGTCAAGCAGAACAAAGATGTGGATATTGACATGGTTGAGGTAGAGAAGGATCAATTGCCTGAACCCGAGAAAGCAAAAATGTAGATTAAAATGTACTCAACACATGTATCCATTGCATTTATTTTTTGACAAACTCCTTGTACAACATATCATAGTGTGCTATCTTCTTTACATACTCCTCATTCTCTGCACTACAGCACCTGATTTGGAATGCTCCATAGATTGATATGCTCAAAATAAATACAAAGATCAGCATGCATTGTAGCATCACATGCATCAACAGTGGCACTCCTCCATGCATCTTAACAAAGAGCATACATCCAAGCATGCATATCGCCATCAAGCTTCCAATCGATATACTTCCTTTCTGCATATGAGGGCGTTTAAGGCAACACATAAACACTGCATATACAATCTTAACAAATATTTCCTTTAGGTATGATCCATGGATTTTTATGACTGTACCGTAAACTTATACCCGCATTCACAGCTGTAAAACACAGTTTGCCCTTCATCTGCAGATCTCAGTTGTGCTGTATTGTACATCATTTCTTCATTTCCACATCCTGGGCATTCATGCTTAATCTTGGCGCCTTTAACTTCAATTTGCTCAAAATAAGCTTCTTTCTTGATATTAACAGTTTTACAAACCGGCTTTAACATTTCGATGCTGTTTTCTCGCTTGCATCTTAAGCATACTATCTTCCTACTCTCGGAGGCAACATGTATTAACGTTCCACACACACAGAACATCAAGTGCTGGGCTTCATTTCAAACGGTATTGAATACCACATCTCCTCGTTTGTATTTCAATGTGAGGTTTGTTGTTATGAATACTATCAGCCATTTCATAAGTGCTTCATGCTTTGATCATGCGTAGTTCAATATATTCAGCACATCCTGATGTTTTATTCATTAATACTCACTTTAGCTTATTAATACTAAAAATATCAAATATTGCTAATATCAGGTTTTCTGTTCATAAAAACATCTGTAATCTCCCCTGACATGCTGAAAACATGCCATATGGATCAGAAGGTTTGGCTCTACAAATGGCCTAAATCATTAAGTTTTTATCATCAGCACAGACAATATATGAACCTGATTGATGTAAGAAAGTGTAGCAAAGAGGCACTCAAGGCTAACCCTTGTAACATACATGCACTATACAGCCTTGGAAAGTGCCATGTGGAAACCAGAAGCCTTAAAGAAGCTGAGGCAATCTCAAACAGATTGATGCACCTTGGTGGAACATGCGAAGCACTAGTTATCAAAGGACACGTATATCTGTATAAAGGACGTCTTGAAGATAGTTATGAAAGCTTTCTGAAAGCATATCATCATGCTGTGCATAAAGACAAATTTCTTATTTATGGAATTTCTCTTTTCTATGAAGAGCTTGGAGATTATGCAAATGCAAGGCCATGGCTTGTGATGCTGAGCAGGCTCGGTGTAGAAAAATACAAGGACTACGAGATCATGTTTAGAACAGGGATTTGCCTGAAGAAGATGAATAGGTTATCTGATTCAATTGATACATTCCGCGTGATTGTTTACAATCCGTTTGAATGCACATACGACATAGGCGCACAGATACAAATTGCGCATCTTTATGAAATGCAGTCGAAGGAGGGCCTTGCAATAGAGGTTCTTGAGATTATACGAAAATCAAATGTATATTCCCCTACAATATTGAGGCTTCTTGCATGGATAAGCTTCAAAAAAGGTGATTTTAAAGGAGTGCGAAAAATCCACAGGGAGTATGGGCGCAGGGAGAGCGATCCATACATTGTGTACCTAATGGGAAGGATTGCGTTTACCAAAGGATTACATGAGCGTGCAATTAGGTATTACAATAAAGTAATTGATCCAGGCATGATGAATGGAATGATGCAAAACTCGTTGGGATGTGCATATTTACAGCAAGGACTGATTTGTGAGGCAAAGAAGGCGTTTGAATGTGCATTGAAAGTCAACAGTGAGTCAGTAGAAGCAAGAAGAAATCTCGATCTGATTTCAAGGCTCCCGAATAGTGATGTAAAACCAATCTTTAACAGCAGTGTATTGCATGAAATGTGCGAACAGCCTCCTTCTATTGCAAAAACAACATATCTGGACTCAAATGTCTTTCTTAGAGGTATAGACCATGGAGTGTGCCATAGCATAATGCCTAAGGTTGCCACAATGAGAATATCAAAATTTGAGAGGTTTTTAGATTGATAGAGATGATTTGTGAATAAACACTTGTATGTAATATGATGCACAGGCTTCCATGCATTAATTTGTTTCTGAAGACCAGTGAAGCAATAACATTGCGATATTTACAATTGAAGCCCAATCTTCTTTGATTAACAAAGCAATGTGATTCGCTTGGATTGATATAAGAGTATACATAGATGTAAGCAGACCAGATCTATAGATGCTCGAATTCATGCATAAAATACTTGGTATGAGAATGAGTAATGACAGGATGTTTGAATCGCATCTTGAGCTTCCAAGAGACGTATTCGCGCCCATAATGCTTTGCATACTGATTGTCTGCATCAAAAACCTTGTTGTTATGCCAGCAGCCGATGTCTTTCTAGATATGCTTGATCAGCATGACAAGCTCAGCTCTGGACAAAAAAGAAAGTTCAGGGTCTCGTTCTGGAAGGCTGTGTTCTATACATTCACAACATTCTACGGATATTTGGTAATCCAAAACGAGTCGTGGGTCCCAAGTGCCAAGGGCATGATGGATCCAGTAGGCGCCGGAAACCTTCCATTGCGAGTGATGCTCTACTATCACATTGAGTTTTCATACTACTTTGTCGAGTTGTTCTACCTGTTTAATGAGCATATGTACAAAGACTTCCTGCAGATGGTTGTACATCACCTGGTGACTCTTTTACTTCTTGGAATGTCTTATTGCACAGACATGGTCAGGTGTGGAATAGCGATAATGGCTGTGCATGATCTATCTGATCCATTTCTAGAAGTTGCAAAGTTGCTGAATTACACACAAAGCAATACTCTTGCCACCATTGTGTTTATGCTCTTTGCAGTGATATTCATTATCTCGAGACTTGGTGTTTATGCATGCTTGGTGGCTGCGCCAATAGGAATATATGTGTGGAACCATGAGTTCAGGTTTGCTCTGCGAGCCATGGCAGTAATGGTGCAGATACTGGTTCTGATGCATATTGTGTGGTCGTGCATGATATTGAAGATGGCAATGCGTATTTCTCGCTCCACATGCATTAAGGACTGCAGAGAACCCTCAACAGCTAGTATACAAAGCGCTAAGTGCAAGTAAACCTTAACTTTTGTATGCTTATATACCGACCATTGAGTGTAAAGGAGCTTTGCAGTGTATTAATATAACTGATACACACTTAGTGATACGATCTGAAACTGGCACAAATATAAGTGCCGCCCGTGTAAATAAAAATGTACTTATTGAACCTGATTGTTCTTGCATCAAGTGTTTTTATGCTCGAGGATTCAAACAGCAACATATTCTACAAAGACATGATCAATAATAGCAAGTGTGTTATGTTTGTTAGAAAATATTGTCCATATAGCAACAAAGCACGGAAAATGGCGCTCGAAAACAACATTCCGTGCCATGCCGTCATTGTTGATGACAATAAAAATGCAGAAGAGTTCTCAAAACAGTTTCGATACACGTTTCCCAACATCTTCTTAGATGGCGAATCAATTGGCGGGTCCGAAGAGTTCAGTAACAGGGAACAAATTCACATTTATCCATTTGGTCCTAAGCCATTCGATCCCAAACCCAGGCATATAAGCACCATCGATAAGACAATCTAATACAAACAGTATTTGCTTGATCAACTACCAAATAATATAACACCAATTTAATCGCATATCTCTCCACGGGACATCTCAACTAGTGCATTTACGGCGATTGCCTCTAAATCCTTATCTCCCGTTCCTTCCATCCATGGATTCTTGATAAATGTTGCCTCTGCATACAATTTTTCATTGCTTGAACCATCAATAAACAATGGTATCGTGCACATTCTTCTGTCAAAGTGCCTTCTTGGCAAAGACTTCATATAATCTTCCTCCATATAACTCATAGACTTCCCAGATGAACTATTCATCAATAAATATTGATTTACCATGCCATTATATTTAGTACGGCCCGTAGTAGATGGCTTGCATCTCTTTGTATTGCTGCTCTTGATACATCCTGATTCTGCTTGACTATAGCACTCAATAATATTATATTTGATATTCTTGCTTTCATAGATGCCTTGATCTTTACTGTAGCCTTGCTCGTTTTCTGCTACATTATCATCGTCTCCATCCACACTTTCATAGCTGAGATACACATCATCAGAACATGCACTGTTCTTCTTAAGCCGTATTCTTGGTTTCACCGATTCAGCCTTGAAACTAATCGGTCTTTTCTTTCCATGTATCTTATAGTAAAGTCCACAGGCATTGCACAGGTAACTGCCATCGCCTGCTCTTCTCCACAGAGGTGTTGCCGTTGTACTGCAGTTGCTACAGAATCCGTGCTTAGACATCATGCTTAAAGGGTCGCTGCTGCACTTGTCTTTTGTACAACAGAAATATAAAAGCCAAATCACTCAAATACACACAACTGTAAACGATCAATAAAATAAACTTTCGCATAATTCATATCAGTAATGTAATATTTCAATAATGCAACACGCACAAACACATATAAACAAGGTATCATTTATATCATATATTAACGATGGCTTTCATTACATAAAAACCATATAAATTGTCATATTTCCAGTCAAGCACAACTCTGCTACTCTACACTCTACTCCATTGCAAGACAAATCTATAGTACATGAACATCCCTTGCTCTATGACTTTTCCTGTTGTCTATAACAATTCTCTTCCGGCATGTAGGACAAACAAAGTTCCTTCGGAGCCACTTATCAACACACTCTGCATGGAACACATGCCCACATCCCAGATGGCGCACTCGGCTGCAGCCTTCAAAATCATCCAGGCATATAATACATCCCTTATTAATGAACTCATGAGACGAGTATAAACACAACGGTATCTTCTCTATTTCCTTGTACGATAGTCCTCTCATGTTTTCGCCTCCAAACGACATAAACAGGTAGAACACAACCATCACCACAAGCATGATAGGCACATGCAAAAAGATTTGCACTCCAAGCGGAATGTCCATGTCTATGCTCTTGATCTTTATTTCTGGAGGCGTTGATGAATCCTGCTGGCTTCCTCTGCTAATAAGTGCCTTTAACATCGAAAAGTCAAATGCCATTGCCCCAAGCACCACGTCCTGTGATACCGACTCATTAGTGCTTTTATAAGTGTCGTTGTTTATTTTATACACTTCTGCATGATCTATTTTGTAACTGGAACCCTCTTCGTGCTTTGCTAATGTACCAAACAGCTGCTGTGCATTTTTCGCCTCCACCTTGATATTTTTCAAAACCAGCTTCTCATCTAGGTGCTCATTGCGTGGAACGACATACAGCGGCATGTATATACTCACATCAAACATCTGGAGAATCACATATGCACCTGCTCTATGAATGTTCATCTGCTGATAACGAATACAGTATTTATTTTGGCTCGATGACACATTGTTTCAGAACCACTTAGCATTTCGTCATTCAAATAATATGACTGCTCCTGCTTGATCAGTACTCTGAATATGCCATCGACTGTATCCCTGCATGTTTATGATTTATTGTATCCAATATCTATGCGCAGGTTTAACACAAAACAAAGATGGAAAACATATTTGGGCAAAAACCCAGGTATGCCAAACCTAGTGTACTCTAAGTCTTCAAAAAGAATTTCATGGGAAACAAACACAGGCGTTGCAACACTCTCGCATGTAGGTATTGCATCAAACAAGCATGATCTTAAACAAATCGAGTTCCAGACAATTCTTGGTGTCCTTAAAATAGAGCAGAGTAGCGGGCCGAGTAGTGAATATCTTGTTTGTGTTACAGAAGGATCATTCAAGGGGATTTATCGCAATGCAGAGATCTACAAGATTGAGAGAATCAGATTTATCAACACATGCAATCCAGAGAAGACAGAGGAGATCACTTCGCAGATCAAAGGATTCATTCAATCTCATGATTTTTACTACTTCTTAGGATCTTCATTTCTGGAGGATGAGTTTGAATGGAATAAGCATATGAAAGTGAATTTATTAAGGTACTCCGAGCAAGATTCATGCGCATATAAACTTTCACACAGTCCACACTTGGGAAAAGACACAGACTTTGAGATTTCCACTCTTTTCTGTGGATTCTTTATTGAAAGCATATTTAAGGCATCCGCTGAATTGTACAACATGACGCTTCTTTCATTGGTTTCATCAAGCAAGGTTGGTACAAGATATTTATGCAGAGGAATTGATGCAGATGGAAATGTTTCAATGTTTGTGAAGACACGCTTTGTTATCAGATGTAATAAGCAGACAATGTTTGACTTCACGATTGTCAGAGGATCTGTGCCTCTCTTCTGGAGCCAAAAGGAGTATGGATTTCCAACAAAAGTAAGCATATGTGCTGATGAACCAGGCGCGCATAAGGCATTCATCAAACATTTTGAAAAACTGACAAGGGAGTATGGAAAGATACACGTAGTCAATCTTTTGGGTGAAAAGAAAGACGAGAAGCTGCTCACATCGAGCTTTAGCAAGCTTTTAGATACAGAAGAAATCCCATATACAGAGTTTGACCTGAATGCATATGCAAATGACTATGACAACATGAAGTTTCTATTGTACTTCAAGCTGCAGGATGTATGCATGCATGACGTGGTATTCCGTGTAAATTGCCTTGACTGCCTCGACAGGACGAATGTTGCACAATCATTGATATGTATGTTCTACCTAGAAAAGATAGTTCATGATCGAGAGGTACTGAAGAGGATGCAGGAATGCTGGTCTGAGAATGGGAATGCACTGAGCAATCTGTATACAGGTTCGGATGCAATGAAAGGTGATCTTGCGCTGCAAGGAAAGCGATCGCTAATGGGATACATGGACGACATAATTATCTCTGCAACAAGGCTCATCAATGGAAGATTTATTGATAAGCAAAAGCATGGTATTATCAATACACTTTTAGAAAAGAGCGGGGACAATACATACAATGAGGATAATGAGTGATAAGTAAATATACGAGCATGATGAACAATAAGTACATACGATGAGAATAGTCTTTGATAGTGAATTAATACTCTAAAAAGATAAATAATAAATGTTTAGAGTAAAAATCATAAATAATAAATGAATATAATCAAGATACAGCAAAGATAGGTGAATACTGTAAAAATCATAAATAATAAATGAATACACAAATATTTATGATTGACGATGTATTTTTGAACTTGAAAACTAATGAATGATTTATTGAACCCACTAAACTTGGATTTTTGATGTGAAGTCTTATTCATCACAAGGCATACGGGAATTCATATACACAACAGCTCTTTCAAACAAATTGATATCAACACCGCTAAGTCTTCCTACAAATACAGCCTGTAGAATACCAGATCTGAATGTTCCATAGACGCGGATCCATGTACCAACCTCAATGTGAGACTTTGTAGCTATAACTATACTGTTATTGTGCGATTCAAGCATGTATTTGTTGTCTTCAAGCTTATCAATTACCTTCCCAAACGAATACACCACCTCATTTTCTTTCATAAAATCTAAAAGCTTCATCATGAATGGCTCAAGGGTTGATCAAGAATACCGATTGGTACGTGAGTGTAGGATGCACAAATTGTGATGCATAAGTATTGAAATATACAAATTAATAATAAATGCAGGAATGGACAGCATCCCACATCACTGGATGCATTGCTGGAAGAACGGCTTATGCATTGGATTTTTAAGGATAAAACTGGTGATGCTACAGCACCTGACCATGTATATGGGCGTGCTTGTGTATTCATTGGTGTTTTCTGAATGTACATGGAGCGCTGCATTGATTGTTTGTCTTGTAATAGCAAACTCCCTATCGTTCATGCAAGTCTGTGTCCTTGATCCAGGGCGTGTGAACAAGAAAATACACCATAGATACTCACCAGACACAATTTTTATTGGAGATTGTGCATCTACACAGATTAGCATGAACAAAAGTGGAGAATGGATAAGAAGAATAAATATAGATGGAGAAGTGTTTGAGGAGAAGTATTGTTTGGAATGTAATTTATTTAGAATCAGTGGGATGTCACATTGCAGAGAATGCAACAGATGCATCCTTGACATGGATCATCACTGCATATGGCTGGGAAACTGCATAGGAAGAAACAACATGAAGCATTTTCATGTTTATCTTTATACTCTTGTTGCAGTCATTTATACAAAGCTGATGCTTCTATACAAGATATACACAACGTATTTACAAGGAGACAATGAATCGAAAATACTGATGGCTGTTGTGTTGCTTTTGTTTGTAGTGTATTCGATTCTTTTCGGTGTAATATTGCTTTTTACTCTTTTTCATGTTTATGCGTCTTTGTGTACTTCAAGATCAAGAGATATCATTAGGTATGGAATACGTTCTAGGCCTCCAAAAATAAAAATGGCATGCATAAATCTATGCACGATTAGATCCGATATTTCATTTGCTCATGCTTAAAATTAAACAGGCCTGTATATAAACACTTGTATAATAAATCAATTGTTATTATGATGATGTCTATAGAATGCTAGTATGTGCTTGATTCGTTTTCTGTCTCTGTTGTTTCTGTATTAACCTCGTAGTCTTTTCTGTAGAACAGCTCATTCGATGTAAACCATATTGAACCCTTTGCTTTGAATTCACTGCAATTGTGTAGGTGTTCAAACTCAACCCTGAAGAGTGTCCATATAAATCTTCTGGTTATTTCAAGAAATTGCATCCACAGCACAGGAATATCGAATACATACAAAATAAGCCATGAAAACCGGCATAGCAAGTTAAAAATAATTCCAGCAACATATGCATGCCTTGGATATATTGTTTTAATTCTGATTATGCCCCAATCCATGAAAATATCCCAAGCACCTGAGCATATGGATGAAATTGCCATGCTCATTGCTTTATAAACAAGAGCATCATGTGTCTTGTTCTTTTCGTATAATGCTGCAGTTATCCCCACTGTTATAGCCAATCCGTATTTTAGCGCATTGGCTATGTGTGGAAACTTCAGTCTTGTGTCCTTATAGCGTTTGAGGCACTGTAAAAGTCTTACAATTGCAAAGAAAGAGTTGATCACTCCATCCAGCCTCCAATCGAGGTCGCATCCCTGCAAGAATATCTTCTTGAAGCATGTAGTAAAGCTCTGACCAACATCTGCAAAGTAGAAGTGCCTGAATCGCACATGAGACATCGGCAGCAACACTATTCGGAAAATAACAGAAGCCAAGTAAAACCTTGATCGATGGTAAAGAATCTGGAATGGAACAAACATCACTAAAAAACCTGCAATTAGAATCCAGTAAGGGCTTATGTGAAAAAACACATTGTTGGCCCAGGTGCAGGCAATATTAATCAATATAAGGGCCGATATCATTAATAGATATGCATCAGATGTTAGAGACGAGCACACATCAAAATTGAAAATGAATTTGTAGTTGATGTGAAACCTTTTGAATACTGAAAGGCACACACCAAAAAGAAGTGCTCCGTATTGCAGAAGAACTGTTGAAAAAAACATTTCTTTGCTTGACTTATTCTCTCCAAAGTCAAGTAGCATTAGAAGCCCAATCGACACTCCTCCAAGCATTCCCGAGGTATACAAAGCAACCGGATTGCTTGTACTTTTCCTCTTGAGTTTTCTGAGCATCGTTTTTGCCTTCCCAGGATCGTTCCTTGCAAACACAGTCCTATAAAGCTCCTTTATGGACGAATAAACTTCATCAATGCGCTTTGACTTACTGAAGTATGATCCATCGATCTTTTTTGAAAATGCCTTGTGAAATCCCTCCGAAGGATAGGTTTTATTATATTTCTTTGAAAGCTTCATTAATCCAGCATAGTTGAGCTCTCTGAATCTCTTGATACCAATAACTGCATGCAGAAATTCCTGTATGTTCTTTTCCCGTTTTCTTCTTTCAAGTTGCTTTGGGATTTTGAATATCGCACCAAATCCTTTCTTGATGTCATTCTGTGGTGCATGCTTGTATTCGAAGTCGTCTTCATCTGTCATTGGGTTCTCATCTGTGCTTTGATTGATGACCGATTTGCCATCCAAATCTGCATTGTTTACTTTAAGTGTGTCACTTATAAATGTATATTTTGAATCTATGCTTACATTATGCGTGTGGTTATGTTTTGATATGCTATTAGCAAGGTTTATGCTTGTATCAGCAAATATACAGTCCTTCTCAGCAACAGCCTGCTTTTCAAGCATAAAAAAGAAGTCATTGATTGATGCCAAATCCCTTTCAATTGCGGCCTTGAATCCGTTCTTATTCCTAGTTATCATTGGCTTGAGGATGTCGTATGATACATAGCTTTCTTTCCATTCATCCACTTGGTTTGCTTTCAAAGTGCTTGAAAACCGCATCCTTGTATGGGTGACGTGCATTTGACAATGGAAAACTCCATTGAGGAGATTGAAAGCGAATTCAAAAAGATGCATCAGCTTGTCAAGACGATGGTAAGGCAATACTCTAAGATCAACAAATTCTTAGAGCACCAAGAAAACGTATTGGATAAAAGCAGAAATAATTAAATGTTAGGTTCTATGCATTCATGCTTTATATAAATTCACCCGCTCATTTAGAGTCATGCACATAATACCCTGAATGATAATAGATGATGCATGTGACCAGGTAATGCATACTGATAAGTCTGAAAGTGCTAATACATGTGAAGACATGACTGGCAATGGTTTTGTAAAAGTCACCGAAAACTCAACCACCATATTCAAAGACGATCACACCTTCTTTAATCCAGCACAGGAGCTCAATAGAGACATGTCAGTAGAACTTATAAAAGAGTGCTTTAAAGATAAGGAAAGTTTTAGAATCTTAGATGCAATGTCAGCAACTGGACTGAGGGGAATAAGGTATTTGAATGAGATACACAACTCTGTGGTTTACATGAATGATATTTCAGAGTGCTCGGTGTCTGCAATAAAGCAGAATCTTGAGTTGAATGGATTTGAAGAGATTGAATGTTTTATGTCAGATGTACAGCATATTAGAGCAAGGAAGACATCGAGAGCAAATATTGTGAAGGCAGACTGTAACGTGCTTATGGTATCTCTGCCATGTTTTTTTGACGTTATTGATATAGACCCATTTGGAAGTTGCTCTGAATATATTGACAATGCAATCAGGTCTATCAAGCATAAGGGAGTGCTGTGTTTGACTGCAACAGACAAAGGCGTGTTATGTTCGAATGAAAAGAAATGCCAAGTAAAGTACTCTACACGTATTCTTAGAGGAGTTGGTATGAATGAGGTTCCACTGAGAACGATTGTTTCATTGGTATCTCGACAAGCGTCTAAGTTTGATTCGAGTGTTGAACCGTTGCTTTGTGTAAGTGTTGATTTCTATGTCAGGGTGTTTATCAGGATTCTGAAGAAGAATCCCAGAGCTGTAATTGATGATAATCGATATGTTTTTGTGTGCAAATGTCAGAAGATTGTAGTAATTGATGGAGAAGAGATTTCAAGCACATGCAGTAATTGTGGAAAGAGCATGAGGCTTTGTGGACCGTTTTGGAAAAGACAGCTACATGATGCAGGCATTGTTCAGAAAATGCTTGATAATGTGATTCGTAGTGAGAACAAAAGATTACTGGGATTGTTAAGGTATATAAAGCAAGAGGCTCCTACAATGCTATACTACGAGTTGCCATCGTTGTGTTCTATCCTTAAGATCAACATTATGAAGCGTGCAAGGATGATGAATGCATTGGCAAACATGGGGTATTTGGTGACTTATACACACTGCGAAGTGAATGCAATCAAAAGCAATGCGCCTGTTGAAGTGATTAACAAGATTTTAATAGCAAATGAGTTGGGAGATGTCGAAAAACAGAGACAGATGGGAGTGTGCTTTGATGAGAATGAAGCAGTTAAAGCAATTGAGGAGACTGAGTTTTTCAAGGGAATGATGTGCTCGGGAATGGGACCTCTTGGCCTTCCAAAAAGAAATACAAAAGATTGTTGAATATTGAGTAGATACTTTAAATTTGTAGTTGTAATAATTATGCTTGCATAAATCATAGGATTTATGAATAATTATAAAATGATGCGTAATCATGGAATAACAAGAATCAAGCAAGCACCCCGGGCATGGAGAGAAGGTTTTGTAGTATGCTGAAGGAAAGGACAGGGATTGAGAAACTTACTGAGGAGCAGATTGAGGAAATACGAGGCTTAGTAAACAGATCTCACGAGTGGGAGGCAAAGAAGATAAGAGAATGCGGAGGGCTTGTTGAGATGTCAACTGAAGAATACGATATGCTGTGGGATGTTAATTCATACACGCTGACAGATGCAGAAAAGGAGAAACTCAAGGGACTTGATCAAAAGACAATATTCAATAATATGTTGTGGTTATTCCACAATACTCACAAAATTGATCAAACTATAAAACGGCCATTGGGAATGCATGTGTGGGTCATTGACCACTGGATCAAAACTGTAGGATCGGCAACTGTCCGAAAGTTTCTAAGGGACAATGAATATGGCGGAGATTTTGTATATTTTCTGTATAAATACTTTAATCTTTAGAAACCTGGAATAGAGACATTGAGGCTATTTATTATATACCATGCACTACATGATAGAACAAAACATATGATCCGTAACTCTAATAAAGTCGATAATGAAGTCCACAAACTCGATCTTTGTGCCTTTAATGAGTTGAAAGCTGCATTTGGTGAATGGCGTGCATTGTGTAAGCTCGATGGATATTTTAAGTCCTGCGCTATGACAGATTGTGTATTTTGAATGTTTTGTGATAACAGTTTCTTTGTATTTCTGCAAGACCTGCTCAATCAATATTTTAGATTGGTCGATGGGAATGTTTAAATCTCTTTCGACAACATGCATTCTTGTGCTCCATATGAATGGAATACATCCTCGCCTTGGTGAGATCATGCTATATAAAATCTTGTTTTTTTCAATGCTTGCACGATGCATCTTCTGCTCTTGCATGGAGTTTGAGTCGTATGATGTATCGATTCTGATGATGCCTAGACAATTTGCATTTCTTTCCATAGCTTTTCTGTCGATTGCGAAGGGATTTTGCTTTAGTAAGCAATACATTGAGGTTTCTATGGACTCTCTGTTGCTTAGTGCTCTGTACGTATGATCCTTGTCAATTCCAATCACAAAGAGTTTCTCAACAATGCCTTTATCAATAAAAACAATATCTCGCTTATACTTCTTCTTCTTAATACCTAACCACGGATGATCTAGCATTTGATGCATGGTTATACGCGATGATCTATTTGGTTGTATTGCTCGCTTTATGAGATCCTTAAGGTTGTACGACAATGATTCATCGATCCTCAGTCTTGAACTCAGGGTATGTGTATTGATGGCCTTGTTGCCGTAGTCTTCAAACGGCAACCTTCCATGAACCATTGCATAAAGAATCACGCCCAGGCACCATATGTCGACCTCAGGCCCAATATATGGCACACCATTTATGATTTCTGGCGCTGCACATTGCGGGGTTCCACAGAAGTCACTCAGCAAAGATTCTGTGCTGTAGAACGATGAAAGACCAAAGTCACATATCTTGATTGTCCCGTCTGCAACAATGACATTCTCTAATTTCAGGTCTCTGTGAATGATAGAATGACTATGCAAATAGTCAACAGCCTGCACCATTTGAATGAAGAGATGTTTTGCATGGCTCTCATCAAATCTTCCATATACTCTAATAAACTTGTGAAGATCCAGGCCGTTTATAAGCTCAATGACCAGCGCAGATGCATTCTTTATGCTGAAGCACCCGTAGAGTCTGCATATATTTTTGTGATTGAGCATTGATTGTATGTGTGACTCGATATCTGGATTTATTCCTGTTAATGTATTCCTAATTATTTTGATTGCAACATTAGTGCCTGTGATGCTATCTACAGCCAAAAAAACATCACCATAGCTTCCTGTGCCTATTTGGCCTGTGATCTTGAAGTTGAGTAGTCTTTTTGGCAAGCTCATAGTGTGTTGACCGTGCATCAAATGATATCAAGTACAGGTTTCAAGATGAGTCAGGTACAGCCGTATAGTGACTGGGATAGCAGAGCCAGCCATGTACTATAAGCATAAGATAACAAATGAAACGGTAGTTTTCAAAGCATGTATCTGAGACTCAAGTATCAGAATTGCAAACAATATAATGTATGTTTTAGCAGATTGCATGATGCTGTTCCTATACTTCATGCTTGCATATGCCCAGATGGATGAGTTGGGCTATCTCTACTCGGTGGGCAGGAATCGATTTATTACTGTCAAGCAGGATAAGAATCACAAATCATTTATAATGGGAACGCACAAAAACGAAAATCCTTCTCCAATCAAGATCAGCAAGGAAACAAAGAATGGGCGAGGGGGTATAATCATGTACGCAAACGACAAAGACGCTGAAAAGTACAAACTTAGTGACAAAGTAGGTGATCTTGCACTTGACTCCACCAACACCTTGCACTTCTATTCTAAGCACATGAAATGGAACCAACTGGCAAAGTTTGTTTTACAACCTGGGAATCATATTAAGATTATGTTTGGAGACGATCGCTGCCTGTTTATGGCCAAAGACTACACATTGAAAGGTGAACGCTGCAAGAATGATGGTCGTGATAAATTCCAATTATTTGCTTGGTTTCCTAAAAAATATTTCCGTATGAGCAAACTTCATAAAATTCTAAGGTATAATAAGTTCAATAATAACAGTGGATACGATGACGATGATAAGTCCAGTAGCTATAGTGTCTACGACAGCGATAGTAGATACAGGAATGATGGAAGGCGTGATCCTAATGATAGGCACAATAGCAATAGAGGTGATGGAAATGACAGCGATAGTGGATTTGATGACGATAGTAGATACAGGAATGATCCTAATGATAGAGAACCTTGCGACAAAACCTCACTTTTACTGCTTGGAATGGGATCTGGAGATGATGATGATAGAAAGAAGTCAAAGTACTACAATAGCTTCAAGCATTCTTCAAATGAAACCAAGAGTCGTAAAAGCATAGATGATGATTCTGCTGGAATATCAAAAAAGATGCATAATAAGAATCCAGTAAGGAGCAATGAAATTTATCCAAAACAGAAGTACAAGAAATGCAGTCGTCAAAGTAAAGGAATCAGAGCGCCAAACACAAACAGTTTGGATTTGAAACGCACAAGCAGCAGTATATGTTCAATTGAGAAAATGCTTTTCCAGCCATTCAATCGTGATATATGTGATACAATAGAAGGGCTGAGCAATATCAGCAAATCAAATAGATATGCATATAGAAACACAGACTCTGATAGTTCTGAAAGCGATTGTAATAATGATGTAGACAATCTCTGGAATGATATTCAGAATATCAAGGTAAAATCTGGAATAAAGAATATAGCAATATGAATAATATTTAACCTGTGTTCACAATTCACAGTAGGTTTGTGAATGATAGTGGATTGAAAGAAATATATGCTTCTACAGATGATCAATGATCTTTGAATTACCAGTGATGAATAGAAAATAATCTACAACTGATTGGCATTGGAAACAAAAGGGGAAATGCGAAGATTAATAAGTGCGATGCATCTACACAGCATGGAGATATGGAAACCAGTGAATCAGGCAATAAGAATAGCGGAGTCAATTGTGATTGCATTAGTGACAATGCTATATCTTCTTGGTTGTTATGATGTTATAACAACATCTGGGATATCTGTAAGGTTGTACCTGCTGACAACATCTTTCTATTACTACATTACATGCCTTATAAAATCGCCTGGACAACTTCTAGACTTTGGGACTGCAAATGTAAAGGGAATATGCAAGAAGTGTAACAGAATAGTTGGAACAAGGACTGTTCATTGTGAGATATGTAACAAATGCTATCACCGACGAGATCATCATTGTCCAATAATAGGTAGGTGTGTTGCATCAAATAACACCAATGACTTATACCTCACGATTGTTTTCGCAAATCTTTACTCGATTGCTACGTTATTGCAAAACTCGCCTCATGTTCTTAAGGCGTTTGTTCACAAATACCTATTTGCCATTTCTGCATGGTTTGTATTTTGGTTTACACTACTGGTAGCTACCGATAAAACAACACAAGAGCTTTTGAGGCGAAAAGGCAAGGCACTAAAAGACCTCAAAATTCGTAGGTTAAAAGATGTATTCCGTGCTGGGATTGTACAAACGCTGGTTCCGTATCTTTCACATAAGATTTCAGTGGTGAACGATGGATGTTGAGCAAGCATACAGTAATTGCTACTGATTAACTTTATGTTATTGCATTAAGAAATGGATTGCTCATCAATACAAGCATAGCATCACTACAAACCTGATGTATCGAAATAAACTGATTTAAAACATTTAAAAGATTTTGATAATAATGCTTTACTTGTCTTATCTGTGTGCCACTGCTTGTCAGGTGGGCTGTGCACTCAATTCTTTTGACTTTTGCTGGGCTTTACTGCAATTCTGCTTGCATTTGCAATTCTGTTCGCATTATTCTTCTCAATATTCCGCTTTTTCTGCTTTCTGAGCGATGACACTGTCTTTTCACCATCTGCCAATCCAGACTTCAGAATGCGATTCATCTTGCTGTATGGTCCATACCGTGGAATGTACTCTCCAATATCCTCATCATAAACAAGTCCACTCTTACTCCTCTTCTTTATTCCCTTGCTTCTTGCAAACTTCTGCCATTTCGTCTCAATATGAGACTTGAGATATTCCCTTGGAAACATCAGTTGAGGCTCTGGTAGGATATGCACAAGATCTCCGTTCTTCCTGACTGATGCACACGACCTGATCTCCTTCGCCATCTTCCTAAGAAGCTCTTTTGTCTGCTTATCTACGTCCGCATGTTTTACCTCTTGATTGCTTATCACAGTCAAAAACTTCAAATGGTTCATACTCAGGGCTATCCTCAAGCAATTCTTGCATTTACATCAGTCATTACTGAACAACAAAAAGATGGTCCATGGCGCTTCTCCTGTTCTGAATAATGCATTCTGCGATCCAAAGGATGTTTTTTATCTCTTGCTCTTTTATGCGAAAGTACGCATAAAGACAACTTAGATCGCCATAAAGATTGAATGATTCCTGGTACTTAAGAAGCTCAGTCCTTATAAGCACGTTCGAAATGTCCGTGTCAAAGTTGTATCGCTCTGTAAGGATGGTTTTTATATCATCGATGCATTCAGCTGTAGAAAGCTGCTCCCTCATCCACAGATCCATCGAGTGAATCGCTGGGAAAAGATCCATGCGCTTCTTCCCAATTATATCCTTTGAGCCAAGTGTATTGACTGTGATTTCTATTATCTGTCTATCTCCTTCTAGCTTAAGAATGCTTTTCATATGCTCCATGTCTGCAGTAAGGCTTCTGTATGCCTCCTCAATGTGTATCTTGAAGAATAGTGTCTGCAGTACCTGGAAGTCATTGTCTACAAACTCTTTTTTGAACTTTACCCTACCTCCGTATTTCTTCAGAAAGCTATTTTCCATGCAATACTTTTGTACATCGTCCATGTCGCTCGAGAACTTGATTGTTCGTAATGCACTAAAATCTCCCATTTCAATCTTTTCGAAGCTCTTCTCAAGATTTGGGTCCTGGTGCTTGCATTGCAGTAAATAGAAGAAGTTCTGGATCTTGTGAAAGTCCATGTAATAGTCGAGTATCATTTTGATGCCATGATCTTCTGTTCCATAGTAGTAGTCGAAGTCTGTTTTGAGTGTCTCAAGCAGCCGTTTTTTGATCTCAGGCTTCGTGTATATGCCACCCTCAGACAGTCTGGGATACTTTCTTGTGAGTTTGATTGCCATTTCCTCAAGACTTTCGCATCTTTTGAGTGCGTTGTAGTCTTCTTCCTTCAGTATGTCTTCCTTCTTGCCATTTATTTCTGATATGATGAATCCGTATTTCTTTGCGTTTTCAAATTGTTTTTCCATGAGTTAGGTAATGCAACAAAATAAATAGTGGAATGTGCCTTAGAACTGATGGAGGATGAAATTGCACAAATTGTGACAAAACTACTTGATCAAATGGATTGTGAGATGCACAGTAACAAAGTGTATTCGATTGCAGATAGAAGCAGCATTGGAGTGAACAAGGAGGTATTGCGAATCAAACTACTCTCTGGAGATAGAAGTACTACACATACAGAAATCAAGATACAAGTTGTAGTGAATGAACGTAGTAGTGATCTACTTAATAGAAGCTCAACTGATCAAATAAGGAAAAACACAATGATTTTTGAATACAATAACTTGATTGTGGATGTGAGCATTAATGTAGAGAATGATCCGATATACATATATGGAGAGTACATAAAGATGAGCAGAAGCATGACACAAACACCTTTATTTATTGGTAAGACACTTAAGTGCAGCAGAAGTGTATCTGACTTCTGCAAGCAGCTGAAGAAGTTTTTTTGTGCTGGGGACGTCAAGTTTGTGCCTGCGGGGAGAGAAGATATGGATGTGCAGATGATTGAGGGAAGACCATTTCTACTTGTAGTGAAGAATCCGAGGCATAACCTAGCTTTTCAAGATCTAGAGCTTGATCTGTATAAAGAGGTAGACATTATCAACCTTAAGGTTGTAAAGAAAGAATGCAAAGAAGCAATATTCAGTGGAGAGGTGATATCTAAAAAAACCTATTCATTGCTTGTCTGTAGCAAACACTCTATAGATATACAGAAGCACTATGACGTTGATCAGATGACACCATTGAGAGTGATGCATCGTAGGGCAAACATGACCCGTGAGAAGAAAGTAGATATTTTAGAATGGAAGGGAATGGAAGGGAATGGGCTGATGTATTATCAAATAGTGCTTGAAGCAAGCGCAGGAGCATACATCAAAGAGTTTGTGAACGGAGACTTTGGAAGAACCAAGCCATCTCTTGGTGGCTCATATTACTGTGATCTGCTTGAGCTTGATGTGATAAGAGTTGAAAAGCATGACATAGAGAAATTTGTGGAGAGAAATATTTGTCTGAAAGTAGTGAGAGTATAAGATTGTGCATGCTGTTATGATTGTCATGAGTATTGGTCAGTGTTATGTATTTAATGGACGTGATTATTTGTATAGACTGGTCTTACAGCATAACAATATGATGTTTTGTGATAAAACCAGCGGATGATGAAAATGATATTTTGAATAAAATGTAACCGTTGAATGCCAGATGAGTTTAAAAAAGGCTTGAACGCAGATGGAAAAGAATGGAGTGTGAAGAAAAGGACGCTATCAATGAAGATGGATAACAAGGAAGTTAGGATGAATCCGCATTACAAGAGAAACGAGGAGGTGTCAGTGCTGGGCAAAAGTGTTGAAAGTGAAGGATCAAGTGGACTATTGAAACAGGCAATAGATAGAGGAGATTTGTCGTACATAAGTGAGTTTTTAGCAAACAAAAACAGGAAAGAGATGATGCAGAGATTGTCTGGAAGCAGCAAAGAGGCTCTTGGGGTGCTGCTGCTTGAGTTTGTCGACCAACCGCTGCGTAATGAAGCACTTGAGATGATCAGAGAGATGATTTCAAGTATTAAAGATGTGGGGATGTTCATAAAGAAACTGAAGGGTAGAATGTGTGACTTTTCTAAGCTGATATATCTGAAGGGAAAGATAGATTACTTGAGGTTTACTAGCATGGCTGAGGATAATAAAGATGAGCCTGAGGTAGTTGTTTCAGTATGATATGAATGAGAATGCACGGTTGGAATGATACATGTATGAGATCTAATTATGATGTGAGGCAGTTACATGATGAAGCGATTGGATGGAGATGTATCAGAATAAGTATAAATAATCTGTATGTGCATACAGTAAAATGGCCGATGAAGCATCTACAGCAGGATCAACTGACGACACCAACAAGAAGACTTTTTTGTCCATAGGAATTGTTGTAGCGACAATAATTCTACTTGGTTCGATAATCTGGTATGGAAATAACAATGGATGGTGGACTGACGGAGAAAATAGTGGAAATGGTAGCAAAATAAGTGAATCAAAGAGTAATGTTAGTAGGTATGCAGGAAATATGGCGCCTTCAGACAAGAGTACAATTGATGAAACAAAGTAAGTGATTTTCGAAAAGTATGTTTAATGTCAATAAAATGATTTGACGAAATAGTTTTATTGTTGAATGTTATCTGAAGAGATGCCCTGCTTGAGGTTGTTGAATGGAGGGATTTGGAACTTTGCCTTTGTTGATATGCGCTGCCTGGAGAATCTGTCTTCTACAGAGAATTTTGCAGGATGTGCATTACATGAGCCTTCTTCTTCAAGTGTGTACACTCTCTGACCGTCCACAACTCTGTAGAACAGCATATGGGTTTGGAGAACGATGTGTTTATGCATGCCCTTACATATGACAGAAGGACGATCACTGAATTTGTTTCTGATTGGGCTTATACTTGAAAATGCAGAGCAGCGCGCATTTATTAACAAGGCAGTGATTTTACCAATGAAGACAAGAAGGATTGTGAATGCTCTGAAAAGCTGTGAGGAATCGAAAGTATTTCTGAACAGGGTTACGAAGAGAGAGGCACCCGACTACTACGAGGTGATAAAGAAGCCGATGGATTTAAGTATTGTACAGAAGAAAATTGGGAAATACAACACTTTTGAAGAGTTCAAAGCAGATCTGGATCTGATATGGAGCAATTGCCTTGAATACAATCAGGCGAAGTATTATCGCGACTGTGCGTTCAAGATGGCAAATGTTGTATCTTCGTTTGAGATTGATGTTGATGTGAAGACTGTGCCTATTAATGAAGAGATTTTAGAGATTCAAACAGCCAATGAGGGATAGTCATTAGTGAAATAGTTGTAGGCAGTGAATTTTTATATATTATTTGTAAGATATTGCTCTACATTGAAGAGGACGTTGGAGGTAATTTCTGGAATTGTCAAGTACATGACCTTGAGTATTTTGAAGGGGAAGATAAAAAGCAAAGGATGAGTATGTAGTTATGCATCAATTATTGAGAATAAACAAGCGTTTACTTATTGAATGTTTGTTAGTAACCAGGCCTGATGGTTCCGGAGATGTATATAATAGGAATGTGAATGGGCATGAATTATGATGCATGCATAGTGAATATAACAATGGATATGCATATATAGAACACTTATAGATTGGATAAAGCTGTTTAATGCATTGTAAATGTTGATGATGCGAGGTATGTGTATTTTAAGTGTAAAAATTTATCCCTTGAAATGGGAAGAAGGCCAGGAAGATGCTACAGGTATTTGTCTAAGAAGGCGTACCCGAAGTCCAGATTCAACAGAGGAGTTCCGGATTCTAAGATACAGATTTTTGATCTTGGAAGGAGGAAAGCAGGAGTGTTTGAGTTCCCGCTGATGGTTGAATGTGTGTCGAATGAGAATGAGAATGTATCTGCGGAGGCATTGGAGGCAGCACGTATCTGTGCAAACAAGTACATGGTGAAGCATGCAGGGAAGGACAATTTCCATATGCGTATGAGGGTGTATCCGTTGCATGTACTGAGGATCAACAAAATGTTGAGCTGTGCAGGAGCAGATAGACTGCAGACTGGAATGCGAGGATCTTTTGGAAAGCCATATGGCAGAGCAGCTCGAGTGTTTGGAGGGCAGTCGCTTATAAGCATCAGAACCAAACCGGAGAATCAGAGCATTGCAGTTGAGGCATTGAGAAGGGCGAAGAATAAGTTTCCTGGACATCAGAGCATCCGTGTGAGCTCTAAGTTTGGATTTACTAATGTACTTTCTGATGAGTTCAATGAACTGAGGGAGAAGAACAGGATTATTGCGAAGGGAGACATGTTTTTTGTGCTGAGGGAGAAGGGAAGCATTGAGAAGTTCAAGAATAACCTTGAGAAGACTACCAATTAAAATTATGGTTGATTTGTGATGTATTTGTTGTGTATGAAAAGGAATGGAAAAGCAAACCCATGAATTTTGGCAATGAAGAGAAGCCTATGACATTGTTTTCGAGTGAAGGGAAGCTTGGGCAATGCGATAATGCATTACAAGCAGCAAGAAACGGCAGCCTGTCGATTGGTGCATGTGCAGATGATGGATGTGTAGTGGTGTCATTCAGGGATGTCATGCCACTTGTAGTGAAGAAGGAGGTTCGTAAGGTGTTTAGGATATGCGATACAATAGGATGTACATACTCTGGACTTCAACCTGACTGTAGAATACAGGTTGGGATTGGATGTGAGATTGCCGAGAGCTATTATGACCTTTATAAACGATACCCAGATGTGGATGTGTTTGTTGCACGTTTTTCATCTGTTGTGCAGGAATATACACAAAAGGGAGGATACAGGCCATTTGGAACACAGATGATATTTGTAGGGTCGGTGAAGGGGGTTCCGAAAGTTTATCAGGTTGATCAGAGTGGGTTATACCAGACTATGGATGTGTGTGCATCAGGCTCTGGATATGCAGATGCAAAGAAGTTTGTAAGTCGAAGACTGGAAGGCTTGGATGACAATGTGGTGAGCTGTGTTTGTTCTTTGAGGGAGTATGCAGGGAAAGAAGTCAAAGCTGAAGATGTTGACATTGGAGTGTATATGAAGGCCCAGAATGTATTTAAAATATATGGAGAGGAAGAGGTTAGGGAGGTGTTTGATTCTCTTAGCAGGGACTGAATGTGCAGAAAGTAAATTTTTGGTGTTTTTTTATTTGAGTTATTGATCCTGGCGATGGCAGATAATAATTTTGTGATTTTAGAAAAGATTGAGAGATTGATAGAAACATCGGAATATAGTAGGGCATTGGAGTTGATTGAAGAATTGCCAAAAGATCGGTGGTATTGGATGGATGTATACCCGTATAGAGGATACATACTGTATCATCAGGACAAGTATGAGGATTCAGTTACATTTTTGAATGACCTTATAAAGCGATATCCTGAAAGTAAGATAGCAAAGAGGTTTCTTTATAAAGGACTCATGAAGATTAATAGATTCAGGCAGTCTTTTGATGTTGCAAAACAATGTTGGAAAGAGGGTGACTGTAGGAGATCTACGCTTATTTGGATATTGGCATATTCTTTTGTGTTCCAAGAATATGATATGTTGGATGTTGTCTCTATACATACAGAGTCGCAGTTAATTATTTCGCTTGGATATATGTGTGCAGGTCGATTTGAGCGTGCAGTTGAATTAATGAATGAGATTTCAGGGCATGAGGAAGCAAAATATTATCTTGATGCATTTCTTTCTATTTGCACCAGGTCTTTATGGATGCTGGATTATGCATGGTGCATTGACGAGAGTGTGATGATCAGACAGATAAATATGCATGAAAACAAAGGATCAATGTTTAGTAAGGTAGTAAGGCAGGGATGTGAATATGTAGATGAAAAGGTTTTATATGTAGCGAAGCACTCGCTGAGTAAAGAAGAGTATGCATTATTTGAAGCAAGATTCAGGATATCTGATATAACATGCATGCACACCTGCAACAGGAGATGTTTGATACGAAAGCTACGGATGAGGCATGAAGAAATAATGTATTATAGAAATAGAAAACCTGATTTAGTAGATGAGCATACTGCACTGCACAATGCCTCTGAGCATACGAGAAGTGTTAAACATCAAGAAAGATATTCTGAATTGAATCATGCTCTTGATTCATTAAGTGATAATTGCTACAAAGGTGTCATGGAGATCAAGAGCATTTACACAAGGAATGACTGTACAGACATTGGTGAGTATTTGAAAGAAAAGCAAAACATTTTTGTGTTAAATAAGATACGTAACGCGTATTCACTGAATGGCAATGCTATGGAATCATCTAGATATGCATTTCTAGAAAGATGTGTTTATTTGAGTTATTTCAAAGATACTTTTGAGCATTTGCTGAAGCAGATTGATGGTGGAATGGTTAGTGTAATTATAGAGGTGCTCAACAGTAGAATGTTTCGATATCTATCTGATTGTTGTAGTATGGATGAGAATTATGGTATATAAATCCATAGCAATGAGCAAATTTATTGTAACATTTCATGATGAATTACAGAATCTTATACATCCATATTAGATATTTCCTTTCGTTAGATTTATTTTTTGAGTAGAATAGAAGGAACAGGCATTTCATCAATAATTAAATGGCATATATACCTGGCAAAGCTTTCGTTCATACATTCCTCATTAATGAAGTTTTCTATACCGTCATCGTTTGAATATGTAAGCATTTCAATCTTGTTATAATATTCCATCATTGAACAAAGATGGACCCATCTGTCTGATTGAACCTGACTCTTATCAAACTTATTCAAGTAGAATGAAAGGATTGGATATATATATACAAGATGCGAAAATAATGCATGTACTGCAGGTTTTGGCCCTTGATCGACCGATATGCAATCAATACATGCATAATGAAACTTACTTATAAACTTTGCTTTGATAAGTAAAGAAAGCTTTGCTGTATCTTTGATTGCAGTAATTAAAAGCATGGCAAGAGGTGCTAATACAAGACTACAGCACGAATGTTCAAAAAACATATCAATAAAAGCTCGATACGCATCTGTTTGAAAAATATCGTCTATTATGATATCCAACTGCCCCACTATCAATCTTATATATAAAACAGTTTTGATATCAACTTTTTTAAACTCTACAAGCTTAAGTTTTGGGCATCTTCTTGAGCAGTTCAGAATCTCAAGTATATCATATATCTGTTTACATTCAAAATATGAATCTTCCTCCAGAAACGCAGTAACAAGTCTCTCACCAATAATGTTTATCTCTTCATAAATGAAATCTTCATCATCACTGGATACAGATCCACTGTCATTATCAATCCAATCAGTAAGAAGCAACATTTTCAGTGCTTCATATAATCTCATATCCATCATCATTGTAGCTGGGCGTGCTTCTTTGAGTACTCTCATCAGCTTCTGCATGTTGAAGCCCTTCTGTTTCAGCAACGTACCAAAAAAGTCTAGCGCAGGTTCAAAGTCAAGAAAACGTATAACAGACTTTATGAAGCACACATCAAGAGCATCCACCATATAGTGCGGATGATTCTTAAAATGAAAGCTCAAAACTTCAAAAAAGTGCCTAAACACACACTCCACACTGTTGAATGCAAGATACTCGCCATTATCATCACCTGAATTTTCTCTCGCTTCAAACTTCCGAAGAGATTCATGCAGACTGATCATTTCCTCATCAGCATCACACACATTAGAGCCGCAATCAATTACTCCAAATATATTCAGCTGACTTTCGATCATCCATTCATCTCTGCTCAGTGGATATACATATTGGTTGCATCGATTGCTCTGGTGATCTATTTTCAATGCATTCAAATCATCTGCAATTCTATCTATTTCATATATATCCTGTACATTCTTGTGATTCAATCCATCATTCATAGAATCAGATCCATTATATCGTATTATCTTCATGAACATCCCTATCCTGTTGTGGAACTCAAAATTGAATTGTCCATTGTCTGTGCACAGGTATTCACTTATTGTTGCAATATCTTTAAAATAACAAAAGTTCCTCATTATGTAGTCAATATGCTGTATCATATAGTTTGTTATTACGCTTCTCTTAAGCTTAAATGGTATCAGATTATTCCTCGCAATCGCATGGAACTTGCTCTGATTTACTTGCCATTCTTTATGCTCACTTCCATTCATATCCTCAATTTATATGGGCTTTATCAACATCCAAGTCATTGCTCCATTGTCTAAATTACCTGAAAATCGCTCCTAACAGATCTCTTCATCATCTGGATCCTCATTCCTAACAACAATGTACTTCACACTCTCACTGTCACATATTCTCTTAAAAGCTGGAAAATAATTGCTTCGCAGTATTACATAAGCATCATTCACTTCCCCATTCTGATCCACAAATCGTCTTATGCTGCTATTGTTAAGATCAACTGCAATTCTCATTCCTACTCTTTCATATCCAATTCTTTCCAGCTTTGCAACAACTTCTTGCGATTGCTTCTTACTATCTCCAATATGCACATTATGTACCTTGCTCATTGCATCTCTCAATACATTCATATTCACATGCTTTCCATCTTTTGTAACCTTTCTTCCCACAATCTCAAGAATCTCCCGTTCAGTTCGTTCTTGCTCATACATCCTTGTTGCTTCATTCTTCTGTTCATGCCCATTGTCTAATATCTCCTTCACTATCTCATCGTGGGATTTCCCAAACATGCTCAGATCATCTTGTGCTGCAATCTCCCCCTTAGAAACATTCTTGTAAACCGTAGAACTCTGCACAATCTCGTTAATACATGTAGTTATTCCGTTCCTGTACTCATAAAGCTTGTTTGGATACACTGCAAGCTCATATCTTCGCCCATACTTCTTCAGAGCAATTACACATACATTCACAAGCTTCTTCTGATTCTGCGGAGTAAACATCACCTAGGGCATCAAACAAACTCTTCTTATTTCTTCTTCCACCGCTATCTCTTACATTTATTACGAATATCACAATCTGTTTATTAACATTAATCTTCTTTCGTGCATTCATAAAAACATTTCTGCAACCTCCAGAGCACTCAGTCTCTTTTTATAATTCATATCAAGCATCAACTTACACACCCTATCAATCTTAATCCCACGGAAGTCATTCCTTCGCAACCTCATCCAGCTATCCCCACTTCTAGGAAGGATTATCTCAGCAAGAACCTCCAGATATATCATCCCAAGACTATACACATCACTCGCCTTGGTGCATACATCTTGGAGCACCTCAGGCGCCATATATCTCTTGTCTCCATCATCATCAATATCCTCCCCTTCATATCTGCTAATATTGAAGTCAGAAATTTTGAAAACAAACACACTTGGATCCACTGGAAACTCACATCTACACCGGCCTTCACAAATCTCACCAGGCAATACACTCTTCACTAGCACATTCTCAGGTTTCAGGTCAAGATGCACTATTCCACACTCATGGATCGCATTCAACCCACTTGCCAATTCATACACCATCTTCTTTACTATCTCCCCAGAAAACCTCGACTTCTTCAGAAAATAAACCTCATGAATATAATCCCTCAACGTTCCAATGCTACAGTACTCAAGCTCTATAAACAAATGTCCTGCATTTTCCCATGCATCATGATACTTCACAATATACTCAGACTTTATCTTTCGCAACATCTCCACCTCCTTCATCCTGTTTCTTCTATCAAGCCCTCCAGACATTCTCTTCTTACTCTTCTTCACCACTGTGTAATCAATATCATAAATACACAACTTCCTATTCTTTGAGACCATCACAAGCTCATCCTCATCTCCATCATTTATGCTTTCTCCCTTCTTATTGACAAAAACCTCATAAAACGCTCCTTCACCAGTTTTGCATATGAAGTTGCATGCTCCATCTTTCCTACATTCAACGTCTGCATCCATGTCAGTTTGCAGGAATCCATCACTAAACACCGAATCGTCTCCAATTGTCGAAGACTCTTTGCCTTCTACTACATGTGGCACCGATTGTATAGGCACAGGCGCCAACGGAATAGGCGACACAAGCATGTGCTTATATGCTATCTTCTTCGAGGGCGTCTTCGGCGAACTGAACATCGCTTCTTCTCGATCACGCTTCAGCATGTATATCTTCTTCAAATGACTCATCTACGCTTCAATACAGGGTTCTACTTCATCCATAATTCTTCCCTTACATGATAACCTTTCAGTATTCTAAAATATGCACAAAACTCACAAATAAATTTAATATCTACTTACTAGACCTTCTATAACTGTAAGGCACCTTTCCATACTCAAAGTCCTCCTCAATAAACTCAGAATCATCTTGCTTTCCATTATGCACATGCATAACTCCAGGCGTTGCTCCATTACTTCCCCAGCCATGCGCTCCCATCCTATGCTCATTATCTGCATGGCGCCCTCCAAAAGACGACGGCACATCTTGCATATCAAATTCATCATGCCCTCCAACATTCTTCTTAGGTATTCCTTTGCCATAACCCCAAGGCATTTCCTTCTGTCCATAATCATTTCCTCTTGCATAAGGCTCCTTCTTGAATCCTCTAGGGCCTTTATCTTCGTGCATGTCCATGCCAACCTTGTCTCCATATCTTGCATTCCTGCCAAATGCGCTTGTACTTCTACTAAACATATTATTTCCTCCAACATCAATCTCCTGCTGACTACGCGCATGCATCTGCTCCTTCCCTCTATATTCTCTATCATATCCAGAGTGTGCCCCAAATCCTCCAATTGCTGGCGAATTGCCCGTCCATCCTGACTTCCCTCTTCTTCCATCTCCTTGCTTTCTTTGTCCTCCTCGCATCTTTTCTTCTCGCATTTGCCCAATCATTCCCAAAACTCTGTCTACATCAAGTGGCGCCATAAATACATCCGGATTCACTCGCATATCTGCATATCTGTTTGTTATCGACTCAATCCTACCCTCTGCTTCAAGAAAATCCATCTCAGAACACATCACCATATAATTGCCTATCCAAAAATTGTCAAGTGTTTCCTTCATATCTCCACACATCAACGCAAATCTGGCCTCCTCAGGCGATATCTCCATCATGTCTAGGCCTCCATAACACGAGTATATCCACTGAGGTGGATCAACCAACCCACTGTATTGGACGTGTTCGTACTTGCACTTCGCCCCATACTTGCACTTCCCCTCAAGAAAGAAACGACACACATTCCTCATCTCAGCTCTAGGTTACAGGGGTCTTTGTTTTTCTTCCAAATACCTTCACTTCCTCTCTTGCTCAAAAATCTATCTAAAGACAAACACTTTATTAATTTATATCAGATATAAAGCCACTGAAAACTCATCCTTATTCCCACACATTCTTCAGTCACTTTTCAAAGTGTCACTGGCATCTCCACCAACCCCATTGATGTACATATCAATTTCCTCTACTACATGGTCAGGAATCGTCCTCATGTCCACCTCAATCTCATCGTTCTCTACAAACTCTCCAGATCCATGTCTCAAAACTATCTTTGCTACCTCCTCCGTTTGATTCCTATTCATATTCAGTATTGCATTTCCAATACTCACTCGCTCACTCAGAGAGTATGTCTTCATACTCGATCCCTCCCAGTCCTGTTCTGCTATCCTTGCTTCTAACATCTTTATTTCTCTAGTATATCCTGCTATCTTCTTCTTCAACTCCGCTATCTTTCCACGTACATCGTTGGGCATCACCCTTTGTATCTGTGCCGTTATTTCCTTCTCAAACTCAATCCCACACTCATAAACTTCCGTTCCTGGTGCATTGAATTTCTTACAGTTCTCAATAATCAGCTCAAGATCATTCTTAAACTCCTCAACTCCGTGATATTTCCTCTGCTCAAGCTTATTGTTTATTGTCTGCAGATCAATCGGCTCACTAATCACAGAGTAGTATCCAGGCACAAGCCCCTCATCAACAGGCTCAAGAAACGGCCAGTTGTATGCCTTGTGCTTTCCCTTAATCAGCTCTGCAACAACTTCATTGCACAACTCATACTCTTCTACTTTCATCCCTTCACTTACCCTTGCGCTTCTTTTTATCTGCTTAGCTCTTCCTGTAGTTGGTACTACCTCATTTCGCTTTCTCTTCCTTCCCACCTCATTCGGCATCCCAGCCATCAGCTCATCATAAACTCCCTCAAGTGCTTTCCCCATCTCATGCACAACTGTCCCTGCTGGGTTGTACGTATAGCAGTTCTGGAACATCAGCCGCATGTCTGCATCAAAATCATTCACTTCCTTGTACTCTTTCACATCCAGCTTCTTGCGTATCGTCGACAGATCCATTGGATGTGTTATCTTCAGAGGATAGTCTGGAATCCCTAATTTCACAGGATCAACCGGTTCAAGAAAAGGCGAGGCATTCGCATTCCTCTTCATCCTGATCAGCACTTGAGAACAGTACTTCAGCTGATGCTCTACTAGTCCGCTTTCTGATCCATTCTCCAACGCCTCCATCCTCTACTAAGGGTTAAAAAATACCAAAAATATACCTAGATCTCTCGATCAAATCTAATATCATATTTCCATTCAGCATACTGTTTAATAGTAAAACACCATCCTTAGACAATTATTCATTAATATTGTATAATGTTTAGTCTCCCATTCAATATCTTCATAGCATTCCTGTAAATATAGGTGTATTCAAAACCAATCAATTTAGTAAGGTTGTTCTGTATTATCATTATCCCAATTGGGCTAATATATTCTTCGTGATGTCTTCATCTGTTTTTTCACCTCCATTGCTTTGAAAACCCGTTTTTCCCATGGTTCCATATTGCAATAACGTTGCTACTATAGATCCAAACATAGAGTATACCGTCAGCAAAGATATAAATATCACTGACAGAAACACTGTATTATTTCCCGCTGAAAATCGCAATGATGGCATCACATAATGCAATATCAATATAACTTTTCCAATAATAAACGTGCTAAACTTCCATCCAGAAAATGAAGTTGTTCCTTGCCAAATCAAATTGAATAAAAAGGTTATCATAGATATAATCAACCCCGCCAATGCAAACCTAAACAGCGTGTCTCGGACTTGTCCATTACCTTCATACACATCCTCTCCATTATCTTCAGTCGTACCATTCGCTGTTGTTGTAAGCAATATCACTCCAGATGTATTAGAGTACTTGATGGTTTTGTCACTGAACTTCTTATAAAGTCCAATAAAAAACATAACTGCTTGATATAAATTGGTTCCTACATTCCACATAGATATCCATCCTCCAAATGGTTTAAACATATTGGTGATACATTTATTTGCATCAAACTCTCCATAACTGGCGCGATCCTTATTGAAGTCAGATATCATAGAATATACAAGTATACCAATGCCTAACGCGCACAGTATGTTGCATACGTAGTCCAGAACCATATTCAGCCTTATATCAATAAACATGCAATGGATTCTGTCAAACCAGTCTATAACTTTCTGCAAATACTTGTTTGTCGTTGTCTTACTTATCTTTCTTACTATGTTGCATGTGGATATCTTGTGGAACCCATCCATAAAGCCAACAATCATCATCATGATTGAGAAAAACCTACATCCATCGCTAGCTATCACACTCGATGATTTTTCATACATAAGAGCTCCAATAAGCACGTACTTGAAGTTTCCCAACACGTCCAGAACATTGGATACCCAAATACATATCTTCTCAATGATAATGTCCAGGTCATGCCATATCTTGGTGATCTTCTTCAATGTATCCATGAGGGTTTGTTGCAGTTAGGTTATTAATCTTTATCCGCAACGGAATAGGGACTGTCGAATTAGACAGCATACGGAGGTCTCTGGCACATAATATCAAATGCAATTGATGCCTTACGCTTTCATGCACAAAAATAAAACACTTTCCGCATAAAGGGGATCATGGATAGGGGTATCTCGACAAATCTAAATGGAAAGGTGCGTGCATGTTTGGGATGCTCACAAGTAAAGACATTGGCCGACTTCCGCAGAGACGGGTGTGAAAATTGCCCGATGCTGAACATGAAGGGGAATATAACGAATGTTAATGAATGCACCACGCCAAACTTTAGAGGCGTGATTGCACTTGTTGATCCCTCCAGTAGTTGGATAGGCAAATGGCAAAGAATTTCTGAGTTCAAGAAGGGTATGTATGCGATGACTGTTGAGGGTATGCTTTCTGATGATTGCATCCGAGAGATTGAACAGAACGGAAGAACATACCATGAAAGAGAAGAGTCATTTAAGCTGTAATGCCAATAATATGCGATTTGGAGACGAAGTTTAGTGTTATTAAATGTGTTGTTACAAGATGAATGTTTGTTAAGTTTAATATGGCAATGTGCCAGCCCTTGATGGATAAAATTGATCTTGATAACGTAGACGATGCCATAAAAAGAGAAAAGTTGTTTTTGAAAGCAGCAAAGGAGTGTCTTGCCAAGATGGAATTCAAGCTTGTGGATAAGGAGCATGTTGGCGTGTTGATGAGGACACAGAAGGAAATAGACATGTGTGAGAAGTTTGGACAATTACGAGCAGAGCGCATGACAAAGAAACATGCAGAAAGAAGGATACAAAAGAAATCACGGAAAGTAGACGAGGACTCTGATGATTTGGGTCCTGAAGAGTTCATTGCGCCAATGATCAGCAATAAGGATAACAGAAAGAAAAACAAAAAGAAGTTATACAAAAATAACTCAGAGAGGAGAAGAAAAATGAAATCGCGACAGAAACGACATAGACATTGACAGAGATGTTGGCGCTTCCGATAAATAAATTAAATCTGGTTGGTATTTGTGATTTAGCAGCACAGTGCGATTTGTGTTTCAGACTTTGATTTGTACTTTAGTTGATAATGGATCAACAGCTACAAAATGACTTCTGGATTGGTCTGTGAACATAATCTAACTTCTACACTATATCATGGACAGAGATTGTGCAGCTCACATCATGAATGAACAGGCAAACAATTTGATTGTAAGTACAGGAGCCATGGCAAAGTTCAAGCAGCTGCTTACCAGTAGCATCCACGAAAGCCATGTGAGACAAAAGATCTGTACAAGCTTAGAAAGAAGTCAGATGAGCTTGTACATAGTTTTGACTGCAAAACATCTTTTCGATAGAGTCCAAAGGAGCATTCCTACACACACTCAAGCAATCGATCATGCCATGCTGTGCAAAGTGGACAGGTACATTATTGACAGAAAGACTAGGGAGGCTGAAAAGGTGCTTCGAAACGAATACCTGGTTTTTATAGGATGCACCATAATAGCCTCTAAGATGTATATGGACTTTTCATACACAAACTTCTCATGGGTTGAGGTTTGCAATCATACAGTTGATCAGATAAACTTTACAGAAAGACAGATACTGCAGATATTGAACTATGATGTGTGCCTGAACTGGATTGAGCTGAAGATGATTTATGATGAGCTTGGGTGCAGTCAAATCACGCCCACAAAGATCAGGAAACGCAAAGGATTCTTCAAATGGGCATTCAGGTCACTGTTTCGTTTAGTTTCATGCATCAATTAGCATCATACTTCGATTGACAGCTTGATTGGTTCATTGCCAGTTTATACATTCAAGTTTAAGAACTCATGATATCCATAAAGCAAGTCCAAGTCCATGCAGTAAATTCGCTTTTACTATTGATCTTACACATATTTGATTATTTGTTTAATTTGTCATATATAATATGCCTGGCATTCACTGCTGATTGCCGCTGATTGTTGGCTTTTCTATCGATTCAACGGAGGATTCTGCTTCATGACTGTCCTTCAAATTCAATGCGCCAAACCCAAGTCTGTTTGTATCCGTTGGATTGTTCTCAAGATTAAATTTGTTTCTTGACGATATCCTAAGCGAAGCAGGTGAATTCTTTTTTATGACTGCTTCTTCGTGCACAGGAGCTGTTGAAATCTCTTTATTACTCACATTGTCCTTGATAACATCATCATTTTGTACCTGCGCAATAATAGCATCTTCAGAAAACTTGGGCATCTTGATATCGCTTACCTTTTTGGGCTGCAAGGTATTCTTGCTTTTACATTCGAGATTGTGGATAAATTCCATTCCAGGCTCGTCAATTTCGCTCTTCTTTACCATGTCATCAACATTCTTTGCATACCACTCAGCACCTGTATATTTTAAACGCATATCAGGCCCTTTCCCAAGCTTTGACGCATTCGCATTTCCTGACACATACACTCTTCTCAGCTCAGACAGCTTCCATCCATCAAGTATCATTGACTTTACCTTGCTTATTTCAACACCAAGCTCTCGATGCTTTGCAGCACACTCAGTGCATATAAAAAACCCATAGGTCACTGCGATCCATATCGGTGATGGCTTATCACAATCTGCACATCTCTTGTTGTTGGATTGTGCCCTCACATGCTTGAAAAACGTGTTTGCTATTAATTTGTCGACTGAATCATGATCATCCATGCACTCAGGGCTCTCTTTTCGATGATGTTTTGATTGCATACAAGCATATTATAATAATGACAAAATATGAAAAACACATAAACTAAGGTAATCACACTATTGTGTACGCATTAGCATAAATAGAACGTATTCATGAAAATAGAGAGCAATAAATCATCTACAAATGCATTATAAAAACATCACTGTATCATATCATATAGGCAAAGTCAAACTAAAATGCATTTATTTACATTATTGAGAGGTTCTGAATCACAATGAATATTTCATTCCTCTTGTCAGTATTTGCTTGTCAAGAAGTTGAAATGCGGAAAATGATTATCTTCATGATGATAATCATCACGATTGTGTAGTAAGTGTTCATGTGAACGAGATAAACGAGGTAGATGTGATGATGCATGACTGTGTGAGTGTGAGGCAGGATCGGAAGTCTTGTTGATAATGATTACACTTGGTTTTCCACACTTGCTCGGGTCTCCGTATGGGCAATAAGGCTCGTGATTTAGAAGCATCCTTTGATTCATTTCATTGACAGGAATATCACGGTCAAATAAAAACTTCTGCCGAGGATTATTGCCATCGCATCTCTCTCTTGTGATGTTCCCAGTATCTTCGTTGTATTGCAAGCATTCTTCGGAGCTTGTATAGTCATTCTTAAAGCTGACAATCATGAACCCAGTATCTTTTATTTGTGTTCTAGGAAACATGAATATCCTTTGATTGATTTCAGGTGTAGCGGTTTTCCATATAACCAACTTATTTATATTACTTTCAATATCCAAATAATCTTTAGTATTTACCTCCTGGATAGTAAACCTGGTAGCACTATTGCCCACAGGTATTTTTACGAACTCTAAAGCGGGCATCGTATTTGACATTACAATTCTTCTATCTTCCATCGAATATCCTCCACTAAAGAACTTTGTAGGGTCCAGCTTAGAAGCTATTTTAAATGGTCCTTCTTCGTCAGCAATAACTATTCCAATAGTGACTATTATGTTCAGGAAGACTGGTCTCATGCTCTTGAGTAATTTCGCGATACTTTATATATTTTGATTCAAAAGTCTGTTTCAGGCTGAAACACAGACCACGAATAGTCTTGTTAACTTTTTAAAACTACTTACAAACAGATTAGATTCAAGTACAGCTTATTGGCTATTGTATACGGTTTATTAATAATGTGTTTCATGCAATACTGGTGTATTTAATTTGTGCTCGATCAAGTATGTAAATACCAATATTAATCTGATATGAACCTCAATTCATGAAATATTTTGTAATCGAAGGTAATTTATTTGCTTAACTAATGCGTGAAATTATTGTCTTTGTAAACAGATTAAACGTTGCATAGTGGAGGGCTGTAATGAGCAAGCACAAGAGCAGAGTGGCAGCAGATAAGTATTTTGTAACAACAGAAAGCAAGAGTGTAGACTGTCACGCCATGGCGGATATGATGCATGTAATTGTAACAGACAGTATAGCAGTGGAAGCCACCAGTGAAGTTAGTGAAGAAGACTTGGGAGAGGAATACAGCAAGCTAAACAAATTATTTATATTGTCGTGTATGTCAGTGATGGAAAGCGGAGAAAGTTTAATGCCGCTATTTACACAGTACAAATCATTTATCAAACTGATTAAGGAGAATGAACAAATGCATTCTGGAGAATTTGAGTTTTCACTATCTGATTGCCAATTGCCTGTAGGATCTAGGACGAAGAATACAAAGCATCAATGCTCACAGAGTGGGATGTACAAGTTCCTTACAAATTATTTTGGAGTGGAATGTCCGAATACGAACATAAATGACGAGTTTGTGGATTCACTAGAGGAATTCAAGAGAATGGAGCGGATGTCAGACTTTCCTTTCAACGAGCCTGTTCACCACACAAAAGGAAGTGGAATGATTCTTTCACTTTCACTTTCGAGGATGGAGGATGTTGGTAATCACAACAGAAAAGTGTTTGAAACGATAACAAAGCTGAGAAAAGAGAAGAATGCACTTACATATGTAAAGAATCCGATGTTTTTTGAAGAAAGCTCTGATGAAGAAGGCTATGAAGGAGATACGCCGATGATTAGGGAGGTAGTTGGATGTGCACATTATGAGAGTGGAAAGTACAAGTTTCTTTGTGATCTTGTCCTCAGGGGAGTGTCTAGCAAGAGCTGTAATTACATAAACATGAGGCGAGGAAAGCGGACAATCTTTAGACATCTTGATGGAAGGCAGATAAGGATGACACACAGCAAAGGGGAAGATGTGGTTTACATGCTTGTCATGAAGACAATGGAGATATACAAGCTTGTGTGTAGGCATCCAAGCATTGCTCTGAAGATATATGAGCATTTGAAAAGTGCATGGATTGATTGATACGAAGAGATTTTGTAACTGACTCCGGATATGGCAATTTTGTAGATATATGAGAATTGTATCTGGTGGGCTATTTGAAGTAATTAAAATGAAGAGATTGAATAGATTTTCGATATCAAATGTGCTTTTAGCAGTGCATGGAGTGTTATTTGTTGTTCTGTGTTTTTTAAGAACGATATACGGGACACTGGCTCTTGCTTGCTGTGTTTTTGTTCATAGGAGAATGTTGTTTCGTATTATAGCGATAGTGATATGTGTGGTGCATTTATATCTAGTGATTATCAATATGTTTAAAGGCTCTGATACTCTTGATGGAATTGAATATACTGATAAACCGCCGATGCATTTGATAAATGCACAGAAACCTGAATACGATCCACCATACGAATGTGTTGACGAGCAAAGTGATTTATCTGATGATTCGGTGTACAAGATGCTTCCGTTAATATGTGATGGCAATGGTTGTGAGAATTTGAGTGATTCAAACAAATGCAATTGCACTGATACTGTTGTATGCCATTTACCAACGTGTTATTTCAATGCATATTTAACAGGAGGCATTTTACCAGGCAGTAGTTTGATTTAGTTTTTCAATCGTCGTGTGTTTTTGTTGATGTGTGATCGAATGAATGGATGGAAAAGGAGTAAAGGAGAGTGTTTTATAATTGCACGAGTGATGGTAAGTGTATGGAGAAGGAAACAGATGGGCTGAATGGCACCTCGATTTCATCTGAAGACATTCTCATGGACATACTTGGATATTATGATGAAGTGTCTGAAGATTGTTGTGTGGAGAAAGAAATTAGTGAGTGTCATAGCACTGAATGCCAGAATGACAATGATTATGCTGAGGATGTTTATTCTGATGATGAGCAAGAATACACTATCTGTGATCTTGATTCTTATGCGGTCAATGCAGACATGGATTATGCGGAATATAACTGCACAGAAGATGTGTCACACAATGGCCCTGATGAGAGGATGAATCAGAATGATGATTTGAATATCAATGAATTCTATTTGGTCCAAGAAAGACTAAAATGTGCTCCACTTGCATGTTTGTACGATGACTCTGAAACTTATTGTGAACGTAGCACAAATCATAACGCAAATGAATTGTCAGTGAAAACATCTTCCCTTGATGATCAACCTGGATCTACTGCATGTATAATCAGTGATATTGATGATCAACATGAACATACCGAATTTACAGTTAACGAGTCTACTAAATGTACATCCAACGAATCTATTGCATGCACAATCAATGAGAATACATCTGATAATCAATATGAACCTATCGAATACACAATCAACGAATCTCTTGATGATCAATGTGAATCTACTGAATGCACAATCAATGAGCATGCACTTGAGCGGGTATCTACTGATATTCAAGGCATGTCTGAGAAGGAAGCAGAACTAAGAGACCAGGTTGTTGAGATATTTTGCTCTACGCCTAAGATTGATGCAAATAATATTCTTTTTGATAGGATGACGGTCAACCGCATTTGTATTGATGAAGCCATATTTGTCAGTGCTGATGAGTATGAAAATACAAATGCACAAAGGAAGACAAAGAAAGATCACTCAATTAATAATGATGATACAAAGTGTACTGATAGTCGAATGTACAGCTTTAGTAAGGAAGATGCGTTAACAAGTGAATTGAACACAGATGTGACAATGGATGAGGAAACCATGAAGGTTTTCAAAGAAATGGAGAAACGCACATCAGAGGTGGATTCATCATGTGCTAGTGTCTCCGGAGATGTGCCACGTCAAAAGTTTGTGATTGACCAGGAGGAGGTTTTCCTGAAGATTGAGGATGTGATTAGACTGAATGACTTAAAGCACAGGAATCTAATTGGAAAGATGCACAAAAAAGGAAGAAATGGTAGATACCAATACAACTGGTTTACCCTGAGAAAGAATTTCTTTACTTGCTACAGTAGGAAGGGATGGAGGATGGTGCCTGGGGCATTGCTTGAAAATGACGGAAACCTGAAAGATCCTGAGCAGGACATGTTTTTCCTGAAGAGGAAGTATACCCTTGATCTGTTGTGCACAAAGATATATCTGTTGAATAAGAAGAAGTGGTATGGCTGTATCTCTGCAAACTCCTGGACTGAAGATGGGCTCATTGACATTACTGAAGATACAAAGATAATGAAAATAGTACCTGTGAAAAGACACTTTGTGGTTGTGTTGAAGAAGAACCTTGTGAAGACCGAGATCCACATGAAAGAGCTTAGCTTTATGCTAAAGAATGGGGATGCCACTTACTTTTATAAGTCAAAATGCATTGATACCTTTCTTAGCTGGATTATTGCATTTGCATTCAGACAGGGAAGAATCGCATGTAATATTGGCTAGTATAATGGATATGATGCTTTGATGTTTTGGTATACTGATGAAGTGGTAATGAACCAGCTAAATTTGAATAAAGTAAAATGCTTTTTATGCGTCTTTGTATTTGAATGAAAGTTATTGATGATTCAAGATCAAGATGTTTTCGTGTTTATGAGAATAGATGAATCGCCCATGTGTGATGTTCTGGACATTATTGAATGTCCTTTCAGGGCCGATGATTGTGTCTTACCTCTCATAAAGACAAGCTCTGGATACGAAATGCGCGTTTGCAGCCGACCTGATTCAAAGAAGGTCCTTGCAACAAAGAGTAAAAAAGAATCACGATATCTGCATGTGCGAGTCGATGACTATGGGTGCAAACAGATAGGATATACAGAGAATATGTATCTGTTCTCCACGCCTGCCGACTTTTACGTTCCTATTGATCAATGCTCAAGAGAGTTTTACTCAAGTATCTATGACAAGCTGGTTCATGGAGACATGCAACAGTGCATGGAAGTTGCACAGATGTTTAGTGAGTCGTATATAGACAATGAGGTTCCGATGTATCCAGCACCTGTGATTTCCACAGTGGAGAGTTTTGAGAACTACAACTTCAAAGACTTCAGGAGTGGAAGAGATAGACCGATAGATACGATACATGCAGGATATGATGATGAGATACCATGCGAGCCTATTGAAGGACTCGAGGGCTCTTTGATGAAATTACACTCGGTAGATGTGATGGAGATTCAGAGACAGATATTTGGGCAGGTGTTTTTGGTTCATCCAATACTCAGGATTTCAAATGTGATACGTATGTTTGACTTGGATGAAAGGGCATCTGAAGTTGAGTTCAGCAACTGGAAAATAAAGAAGCTTCTTCCATTGCATGCATACTTCATTACATCTGGACCATGGAGGGGATGCTGGGCAAGGTTTGGATTTAACCCGAAGGCTGATCAGTCGAACTTCAAGTATCAGATATACGACAGTCGTAAGTCTGGACGCACTTTCCAAGTGTTCGAAGCAGAAAACGTTGTTTTTGAAGTTGAAAGGAATAAGCCATGGTACCTTACAGACAAGCCAAATTTTAGAACGGGATTCCATACAAAGGCTCTTCTCAACTTGTTGAAGTTCAGGTCTGAGTTGGAGTTCCATCAAGCAGATGACGGAGATGAAATGGATTTTGAAGTTTATGACTGAATTCATGTTTATTGAAATCACAGTAAGAATACAAAGATGTGGTTGTTGATGGCCTGGCAGGACTAGTTCTGCAGCGAAAGAGAAATGGATGAAAAAATTATCCCTCAAAAATGGTAAGTGAGTTTGCGTAATTTCAGTTGATTAAGGATGTTAGAGTTATAGCGGATGAAGCAGGTTTGTACATGCCAGATGACATTCCGGCATTTGTGGAGAAGCATAAGAAGAGGACTGCAGTGAAGCCAAGGGTTTCCAGGAGCGATTTGACCAGCGGAATGATTGTTGTTGTTTTAGAGGGTGTTTATGCAGCAAAGCGAGTTGTGTATCTGAAGAGCCTTGAAAACAATCTTACACTTTGTGTAGGTCCTAGGTCGATCAATGGCGTTGGATTGTTTAAGATTGACGAGAGGTATCTGCTTGCAACATCCACGGTGCTAAAAATTGATGTTGATGCAAAGATTGATTGCGAGAACGTGTTCTTGGCTGAAAGAGACGTTTATGCTCTACCGAATGCAGGTGCAAGCTCAACAGAGCAGAAGATTGACGAGCAGGTTATGAAAGCAGTTAAGGCAGTGGAATACATGAAGACATATCTTTCTGAGCAGTTTGAGATTGATGCAACAAAGGACTTTTATTCTCTGAAGTATTAAAAAGTATGCATTTTCATTATTTTATTGAACCCATTTCATTGAGCAAGACTGTTCAAGCAGCTCTTAATAAAATTCTTAACTCCCAACCTTATAATACCAAATTGTTAAGGCTTGCTTGTTTCTTTCTTGTATTTTGTATAAAGCTCATGAGACTCTTCAAAGTCCATGGGAATATATGTGTTTTTAAAGCTTGAGATGATAGGAAATTCTCTGGCATTGATCACCGTTAGTCTTTCTCTGCTGGTGGGGCACAGGAATCCAGAAAGAACCTCAAGCTCTTCTTCGTTGAATAGATGTCCGTATTTCTGAGATATGATTTCCCTAGTGGGTTTTGGCTTTGAATAGCCTTCCACTTCAAACATGTCTGTCCATTTGTATTTGTCCTTTGGAATTCCTAGATCATCAAAAATCAATCTGATTTGAGACACTTCGTCACAACCTCGGTAAGGAGGCCTGCGTAGTCTCATTTCTAGCATTATGCAACCTATTGACCAGGCATCAACTTTGAATCCGTACGATGTCTCTCCAAGAAGAAGTTCTGGTGCTCTGTACCAAAGCGTGCAAACTCTGTTAGTCATCATTCCTGATACCTCTCTTGTCAATCCAAAGTCTGCAAGCTTTAGCACTCCAGACCGGTCTATAAGGATGTTACTCGGTTTTATATCTCTATGGACCAGTCGTAATGCATGCATTGCACTCACTGCTTCTATAAGCTGGGCTAGAATCGACCTTGTATGATCAACACTCAGGTCTGCACCTGATGCAAGAAGCCCAGTCAAGTCATAAGGCATATACTCAAGCACAACAAAAACAAAGCCATCCTCAAAAATAATTTCGTTTAGCTTGACAATGTGTTTGTTACACATTGCTTTGCATAGCTTTATCTCACGGATGGCAGTGAATGGAAACCCAGTTTCTTTATCCACAGGCATCTTTTTAATCGCTACTATTTCCTCATCTGATATTCTTTTTGACTTGAATACTTGTCCAAATGCTCCTTCTCCCACTTGCTTGATGTTTTCATATTTTTCCATCAGGGTTACGATTCAACAGTGTTGCTTTCTCAAACAAATCTCACATGCACACAAAACATTTCATCATTCAATATTTCAGCATATATAACCATACAACCATATAATATAAAATACTTAACCATATAGCATTTCATCATTCAACATATAGCATATAGCATAAAATACTCAAAATACATAATACAATTCTCAAAACACAATATATAATTCATTTCCAGTGTTAACTAGCTTTATTTAACTAATAGCTTCAATTAATTCCTTTCCTTTCATTACTTTCCTCACTCATAAAATTACTCCAGACAACCTCCAGGTTATCTTTTGTTTACCATTCCATGAGCTCAGAACTTTCTTACCATTTCATTTGGTATTAGATTATCTAATCAGCTTAGACTTCTTAGCATTCTTACTGCTGCTACTTTTACTCTTACTGTTGCTACTTTTACTCTTACCGCTGCTACTCTTGCTGCTACTCTTTGACTTAGTTGCATTTGAATGTTTAATCAAGTGACCACTACTCTTTGATGAAGATTCGGACGACTTCAACCCACTATGTGCTCCTAAAATAAGACTACCGCTTAAATGGCTCTTCTTTAAACCACTAGAGCCTAATTGATTCAAAAGGCTGATTCCAGACTTCATACCAAACACCTTTGCAACAACCAAAACAGTAGAAATAACTAAAAATCTCCTCATGTTTATTTCGTTCATTCTTTCATCATATTTATAAATTATCCAAAACATGTTTTATGATTCCTTTGTGGCTTTCATCTGTTTTACATTGCATCATTAATCTAAAACATCCGCACAAATAAAATTTCACCATTTCATCACATTTAAAACGCTGAATTCCAGCAATCTAAATAATGGTATTCTGCATTTATCTACAATCTTCATCTGCTTCTTTCTCCTTCATACTTGCTGATATCTTCAAATACTCTTCATAGGTCATTTCAATAACTAGATGAATCATCTCATCTTGATCATTGCTTGATTCACAGGCAAGTAGTTTGTTATCCTGACTTTTCAAACACACTCTTCCAGATCTCATTGCAAGTGAAAAATATAGTATATTCTCCACTGTTTTTGAAAAAGACTCAGGATCTACAACAAGCTCAAAATAGTCAATTTTCCTTTTATCTGCAATCATTCTACTGATCTTACACAGCATTTCAGGTTCTTCTTCGCTTTGAACATCTTTCTCAATCGGCCTCATCGCATCTCTATCCACATTCAAGTCTCGTCTTCTTGATTGCTGTATTCTACTTCGTTCCTTCACTACCCCACTTCTGCTAAGTACAAGGTTATCTGCAAAACTCATTCCAACATAGCATCCCACTGCTGCTTCACACATTCTATCTACCAGGTTGCTGCACATCACTTCAACAAGCATTTTTGAACTTATTTCTTCAGGCTCCATCTTCTTCTCTATTCCTTTGCATGTTAATCCAATTGACATAGCAGTTATCTTTGCATCCAGTTTAAGCTCTGAACATGTTTTTATCCTTTTAAACAACACATTCGATCTACTTACTACATTCTCCAATCTTACATCGTCATCAACAGCGCCTTCTCTTAGCTCATGAAGCTCCTCTATCAAGCAGATATATTTCTTCTGAACATCGTCGCTGCTTTCCTTTTGCTGCTTGTCATCTTGCATTAAACAGATGGCCTGCACATCATATCATTTTCTCATCATATAAAATATTTATACAATCCTATAGCTTCCTCCTCCAAATGGATTTGAAAAATCATAGACACATGCAAATTTGTTGCATTCAGAATTGCCATATCCACAAATAACAATGCTTTTGCATCCGTGAAGATACACGCCAGTTTGAGTATGAACCACAAGTTCCACGTTTTCACAGTTATTCAGTCTTATCTGCTGCGCACTGCATGAAATCTTACTGTTCTTCACATCCATAAGTAGTACAGAGGTTTCACTACAGAAATGATTAAAAACACATTCACTGCATTTCTCAATCAAAACTTCACAGCAATCATTAATACCAACATTCTCTCCATGTAAATTCTTAATGCACTTCTTTTTCTCAGAATCTGCTATCTGATTTTCTTGCCTTGTTAATAAAAACGGCTTAACCATTTGTATTTCTGTAGATTCCAAAGGTGCATGACAGTTGTACATACTCTTCAGCCTTTGTATTTTATCAATCAATGCACGTCTGCCATACAATGATGGCTCCAGCTTAATGCTATCTTCTATGCTTAGAATGGCTTTTCTAGCCCATTCCAAATCTCCTTCCCTGATTCTTTTGACTATTTCACTTTCCATTAGGGATGATGATGAATATTCACTTAATCATATGCCAGATTTATCATTCAGCTTAATATATAGGCCTGTTGTTCAGTTTAAACCTATTTGGTACACCAATTTATTGTTCAACTTATAGTTGTTTAACTTTATGCTTAAATGTATCGATCTATTGTTCAAATTATAGCTACTCACCTTCATGTTTAATACAACAATTATTGTTCAACTCACACCTATTTATCACATCTACTTGCTGTTCAACTCATACCTATTTATCTTCATGTAGAACACACATCCATTCCTTCCCACTTCATCAGGATGCTCACACACCTCATAATCATGTATTAATATTCGCTTAATGAACATCGGGCAGTCTAAAACCACACTTTCATACTCTCCTCCTTCTCCACAATAATTTGTTTCTGTAATGTGCAACTCATCACTCATGCATTCAAGTATTTGTTTCAAATTCATGCCTACACAATGCTTTCCAAGCGATGATGATGCAACCTTAACTATCCTTGCTTCAATACCTTCTTCAATCATGCGTTCAAGCAATACTTTTTGGTCCATCTGCCAAAGCGGTGATAAACTACAAAGAGATAGGCGCTTGCACACACTTTCAATCCTATTCTTCTGATATTGTGAGAGAATAGCACCTGATGACACAGCTTCAAAGCTAATTCGCTCAAGTGCATTTGAAACAGCGAGGTACAAATCCTCAACTTCATCACCTTCAGATCTTACATACTCAAGCTGCTGATTAATGCTTCTGCATTCTGTTTCATGCACAAAAATAGGCACTCCCATGCACTCACCAAACATTTCAGCAACTTCAGAGCCTACTGTCTGATACATATATGAATCACTATACTCTTGAGAACTCTTCATATACAGTAAGCACACAACACGATGTCCCTCTTGCTCAAGGCACTTGATAGAATATATACTGTCCTTTCCACCACTCACAAGTGCAAGATACCTCATTCAACGGATAGTTTTTTTATAAAACTTAAAATAGAATCAACAAGTGCATTCTTTAAAACATTTATACTTCATTACTCCTTTTTAATCTTCTTAATCATCTCTTCAGCTTCTATAGGAATGTCAATTCCCTTCGAGTAGTAAAACAACATTGGCCCTTTGGATATCGAAAGCACAGGATCAAACAGTTTCCACAGAAGATCTGCTTCATTCGAACTGACGTTACTGAACTCCTTGTTTCTTACAAGACAGTCAAAAACTATTTCATGATCATTATATGCACCATAGTTCTGCTGCATAATCTCTTCAACAGACTTTTTGTTGCAAATAACATACTCAAACACATGTTCTCCAACATCAACCTTCAGGAACACTTCGCATCTAGGATAAACATTAAAAATCAGCTTGATCTGTGAGATTTGATTAACATGAATTGTTTTGTATGTAGATTGATCCTGTAACGAAATAAGACTCATACACTTTTGATACGCATCTTTCTTGAACTCAAAGGATATTTCTGTTCGTTTCTCATTCATTCCCTTTCCTGCAATCATGATGAACGGAATGCCAGACCATCTTGGCTTGTTGATGTATACAGGTAGCATGCAGAATGTCTCAGTTGTTGATTCATTGTGGAGTTCTTTATTGTAGTCCTCATACTGTCCATACACACACTTTTCGGTATTGATTGTGCATGCAGCGAATACATCCATCCTTGCACATATTTCTGCTGCTCTAGATGCTCCAGCATGCGTGCACTCATTGTCTGAAGCAACTATTGCAAGAAGCTCTGCCATGTGGTTTTGCATTATATCCTTTATGATTCCATTCTTATCAAAATAGTGTCTTCCTTCTCCTCCAATTGCTTCCTTCGATACTATCTCCACACTTTTCACATGTTTGTTGTCCAGGACCTTTCGAATCCCATATTCGCAAATGATCCTTGGAGCAGACACTACCATCGGCTTAAGCAGATAGTGATCTATAAACACAGTTCTGCTAAGATCAAACTCCTCCATCATCTGAAAGCACCGGATGTCCTCTCCATATGGTTTTTCTACAGCAGCCATCTTGTACTCTAGCTTTGATATCTCTGCAAGAAGAACTGTATACACAGAGGGAGGCACAGAAAAATACACGATTGTCTCTGAGTCCACAACATCCTTGAGCTTTGAAAGGTTGCTATATGCACCCCGGATGTATGTGACTTTGGAAATGAACTCTGGAGTGTAGTTTCCAACCTCTTGTAAAACATCGGAAAACTCTGTGTCATACTTTGTCCTTGCGTATCCTATGATCTCTACGCCATCCAAATCTATCTTTGAAAGTGCAGGGAAAAGCTTTCTCATAGCCAGGTCTCCACTAGATCCAAAAATCAGGATTTTCATTTGTATGGACATGGCCATGGATTGTTAAATAATATTTTGAACAATGAGAAACAAATATCCATGTATAAGGATTGCACAGTAATGATGCCACTTAACAGTATATATAAATACAAAAACACATGATACGCAAATTAGATTAATTCAGGTGCAGTTCGCATGATCATGTTAACATCAAAAGACAAAGCCACCACTGGGAATCGAACCCAGGGCCTTTAGCTTACAAGGCTAATGCTCTACCAGCTGAGCTATAGTGGCTCAGAATGATTTTTAAAGCAAAATACACAACATTATGGTACTACAAATCACATAAGATACATATTTCATGATATGATCGATATCACATTATGCAACATTATCATTATACAGCATTAAACTAAATATCTTAGCATACAACATTATGTAACATCATCTACTACATCATAACATTCTATTATACAATATCATTCACTACATTCCATCACATCAATAAACTACTCTACACTACTCCACGCCGTATAACATAACATCAAATCATATTACACCACTACATTTCATTACACTCTATTCATCAAAACTCTTTATTCCTTGTTCAGCCTGTCAACATCATACGCTCCAACATGCACCCAGCCTTCTTCATTCATATAATACAAATTCACAGTCCCTCCTGAAAAGCTGTCTCGATGTGCCGCATGGAATATTGCGTCTCTTCCAAGAGCCAATGCTTCTTCTTTGCTCATGTCAAACCTGTACGCCATTGAAAGAATACCATGCGCAATCGTAGATCCGCTTCCTACAGAAAATAAATTCCCACTCACCCTTGTTCCATCATTGTCAACATAGTATATACTCGGTCCATCATTATTGTATCCACATATCATTGTTCCCATCGATAGCCCACGTCCTTTGTATTTGTAAACACAGTTGCTCAGGTACATACTTGCTGCAGAGGCTGTTATCTTGCGCCCATTCGTTAGCTCATATTCCTTTGCATACAGACCCATCAATGTTTCCCAGAAATAACAATCTGCTGCTCCTCCAGCCATCGTTCCAAGCAGATTCCTGTTTACCTTGATTACCTTATCCACTGTCTGTGAAGCTATGTATGGACCAGAGGTCGCCCTTGAGTCAACTGCTATCACCATACCCTCCTTGAAAACAAATGCTAAGGTTGTTGTTCCATAGTATGGCTTTACCAACGCACCAACATGTGCCTGGTCTGCAAACCTTGACTCGATCTTTCTGATGTCCCTGATCAATGTTTCATCCATCCTCAATGTTTCTTTCATGGGCTGGGAGATTTAGAAATACAAGAGCCTGGATAACAACTGCAGCGATTGCTGAATCCCTACGATACATGGATGCCCTAAAAGAAAAAGTCTTTCAGTTTGGAATATATGGGTGTGCACTTGCACTCATGGGCAATAATGAGTTAGAACGCATAGTTGATGAGTCTTGGGTTGAGATTGTAGACAAAGACTGCATAGAAAGACTGAAGAAGGAGTTTACAACAGAATGCTTGAGGAATACATCAAACAGAGCAATGATGATAGAACACAAACATGAAGATTTAGTTGTAAGAATGGGTACTCTGGCTTGGAAGGATTACCTTACATCTGGGACATTCAACTTCACTTCGAAGGAATACTTCTTGATAATGGATCTTCTCATAACCTTGAAGGAATATGTTGATAATGTTGGAATGAGGAAGCTAGAGCTTGATCCAAAGAAAAGCCATTATTGCATTAACAGGCTTGCATCAAAAGGATTTATTGAATACAAGCTTGCAGAAGGAGAGGAAAAGAAAAACTTCATATACAAGGTTCGTGTGGTTATTGATGAAAATGGGGCTGTTACTCGCTGTACATCAAAAAATAAGAAAGATGCATGCATACCTGACAGTGATGGAAAAAAACATATGTTTGAATACAGAATGGAGCTTGGGCTGTATGACAATATTCGAGAAATGATAGTCAGGAAGCGAGGTGGGATAATCACCGAGGATTTGAAAGAGAGACTTGGAATTAGCTCAAAGATTGGATACAAACTTCTGAACAAGATATTCAATAAAGAAAAGGACATGATACGGAGTAGAGAGTTTGAAGGTAGAGTTAGGCGATACAGGTACTGCTTAACAGATTCAGAAGAATACATTAAACAACAAGAGGAGGAGAGTTCAGCAGTACACATGACATCTGAGAGGAGGATTGATGCAATAAAGAAGCTGATGGCATTGAGTCCGATTCTGCAATTGGATAGACAAACGTATGAAAAGCTACAGGAAATGACGGGATGGAAGTATGAGTTTGATAGACGAACGATAATCAGAGCGGCTATTCTTGCAGGGTTTAAGATATACAAAAAGAAAGGAAAAGATAGTAAATGCAGTAGATATGTGATTGCAAGGAACGAATGTATTGAGTCAGAGATACGAGTACAGGATGCCTTAGATACAGGCAACGAAGAGAGTATGACTGAATTCCAAAGAAGAGTTTACAACATCTTTGTGAACTCACCTAAGTTTGTGGAGATGGACAATGGATATGTTGCAGTAAAGAGCGAGAGATTGAGAATGATCCATGAGTTTTTATTAAACCAAATGATATTGAATGGAGATGAACAGCTAGTATTTGGATGGGATGTTATAAAGCAAATGAAAGTAAGTCTGTTGTTATCTGTAATTCCATTTAATCGAATTGGATTAAGAGAATCTCTTTGCAATGTGCTTATAAGTGAGAGAAGCAAAACAGATGTAAATGTGATTGATAAGGAAGTAGTTAATGGGTTACTTGAAAAGACAAGTGTTGGTGAAATAATGGAGATGAAGCATTCGCTAGGTATTAAGAAGTTAGTCAGACTGAAAACAGGAGTAGGTAATTTTGTATCGTTGCTAAAGAACTTGAAGGAGTGTGGAATGATTGATGCAGAGATATCATGTGAAGGCATTGTGATTCGAAGATTTAGAAGTTGCATTGAAGTAGATACAATAGGAACCGATATAAAAAAGCAGAGAGGATGTACTCGGCATGTTTGCTTTGAAAAAAGGAGGATTTTTTTTGAGAAGATGTGTTTGGTTGATGAAGGAATGTTTTATGATGAGGCTTATAAGTATATCTACAGTATGTTTAATGGTGAAGAGCTTGATGCAATGATAGACAAGCTGAAGGTATTTAAGAGCGATGAGTCTGACGATGGAAAACAAAGCTCGTTTGAAAGGCTTTACATGGGATTCAAGAAGAACATTATTGAGAGTGGATGGCTAGGGACGATTGATTTCAGCATAAACTCTGTTTCTGAGGTCAAGAAGGTTCTGAAAGCGCTTTCCAGAGACAAAATAATAGCAAATTACAAGAGTGTGAGAAGAACAGAATTTGTAACACCACATGAAAGCTTTGCAAGAGCGATGACGAAAAGACACGATGTTTTCCGATTTAAGGGATATCACGAGCACAAGGGAATAGGATACTTCTCACACTACTTTGACCTGGTGTATTATACACTGGCGACTTCTGGATCGCTTGAGATTGGCGAGCTGCTTTCCCGAGTGAAGTTTCTGGCAACCTTTGAGATCGAGTTGTTTCTGTGTGAATACAGAAGTGTTTTTAAGACGAATGTGCTGAATGGAGCAAGGATAGTCTCGTTAGGAATATTCATGGATCCGTTTGAATGATATGATTGGACCATCTACTCATATTGAAAGATAGAAGATGTATTTATTTGGTAGAATAAACGAATGTAGAAATAATTGAATTTGAATCTCGGTTTTATTTATGAGTTCAATCAGGTTTTATCCAGTGAGCATACCGATTGCTTATTGATTTTACTTTAGATATTCCAAGATTGTTGGAAACATCAGCAGTATTTAATATGTAACTTAATTGATGCTCTTTGAATCATCTTAATCGAAATTCTCGGATTGGGATTCATCATCAGTGCCATTACTAGAAGTGCTGGAATTTTCATTTTCAATTATATTTGGATTTGACTCAAGAGTGGAATCCTCAGCAAATGTTCTTCGTTTGACTTCCTCCCAACTTACAGGTTTTGGAATAGCTTGTTCCAGACGTGTTATTCCTCTCTTTATAAGTTCATTCGTTTCATTCGCACTTTTTTGAAAGGTATCATGTAGTGTATCAACAACTGCACTCTTGAGTGGATTATAAGTAACTGGTTCATTATTATTAAATCCACACCTACAACTACTCAGTGCACATATCGCAGAGGCAATATACACGACCTTTCTCTTCGTCAACATCTTTTTTGAGGTGTCCACTTGCGCTTATATACTTTAGATCTCCTTTTGCTTTCCATGTGCAGAATATTGTATTCCATAACAAATATGTGATTTATAGGACGGTTATACAAATATACATTTGTGGATATTAAGAATGAATGAGTGATTGTTCATATTGATTGATTTCGTTTAAATGCAAATTTATTATATTATATCAATTGGATAAACAGTAATTAGGTATTTTTAGTATGTTAGATTGCTCAGTTTCAACAATGTGTGATTAATGCACTGTTTGCATTAAATCAGATAAAAATCATGCTTTTTTGTATTTTAGCTTGAGTTTAATAAGTTTATAGTTCGTCTGTTGATGCATTGCATATGCAGTTGTAAAAATTATGTATGTTTAAGATTGCTGAGCAGTGAAGGGTGAGATGAGTAACAAGAAGTATAGGAAGGAAGAGATAGTCATGAGGGTTGATGAAGGGCAAGTTGAGTGTATTCGAGAAGCAATAAGCCTCATGGTTCCTGTAGTAGTGTATGGAGAAGTTGGAAGGAGTTTTCTTGTGTCTAGGATGCACCGGGAGATTGTTGGAGACAAGGGAGGATTGGTGGAGATTGACTCAAGAGAGATATGCGACTCAAGAATACTAGGGGGATTCTATGGAGTTAAGGACGGAGATGTGCAGTATGTGAATGGAATGCTTGCGGAATCGATGCAAAAGGGAGATTGGGTGTTATTTAAACGGATTGACAAGAATGACGGATTGTATCAGTATTTGAGCACTGTGCTGAGGTACAGAAGATTGCTATGTAGCGATGGAACAGAAATACGTGCACACAATCATTTTAGAGTGTTATTTACATCTGATGATAAAATTTGCACTGATGATGCAGTGTGTGTAGGGCCTGTGGCGTTTATGTTTGAAGATGCTATGAGGATGTTTGAGTCTGAATGTGTCCGACGACTTCTTTGCAAAGTTTTTGAAGGTATAAGTGTGAGTACGAATGGATGGAAGTGTGGAGTTGATAAGGGTGTGGAATGTTTTGAAAGCTGCTGTAAGGTTGCATGCATGAATGGGGGATGGTGCTTGAAGGAAGGATCAAATGTTTGCAAGATGCATTTTACATCGTTGATTAGGATGAAGAAGAGATTGAAGGGAGTTTGTGGAACCAGTATTGATGAGAGGGTTATGATGTATCAAGCGATATGTAATGTGTTGCTGAAGCACGAGTCTAATTCTTTGCGCTGTGCACTTGTTCTATCGATGGTTCCTGATATAGTTTTGCATGGAAATGAGCTTGCAAAGACAAGGAGTGTGGAGTGGGGACTTTTCAACATTATTTGGAATGTGCGTAATGGTGATCATACATTGTTAGTTGGAGACACTGGAGTTGGTAAAACGTTGATGGTTGAATATTTGAGCCAGAAGTCATGCTTTTTTGTTGGGATGCCTAGCAAGCTCAGAGTGGTGAACATGTCCGTAGATTTTGATGGGATGGAGCTGATTGGGGGATATGGAACATTGAATGTGGAGCGAGAGATTGAGGAGATTGCTAGGAGTGTTGGAGCGAATGCGCCTTTGGGAGAAAGCAACAAAGATAAGCTGGAATTTTTGAAGAAAGAGGAATCAATGAAAGTGAATGCAAGTGAGAAGATAGTTGGGAGGATTGATAATATTATGAATGTAGTGGAGAAGAAGGTGTATTTTGTTTACAAAGAGGGATTGTTAACTCAGTGCATGATGAAAGGAGAATGGCTGTTACTAGATGAGATAAATCTTTGCTCAGAAGAGACGCTAGATCTGATAGATGGAGTCCTGGAGAAGAGGCAGATATTTTTGTATGAAAGTGGAGATTTGAAGCCATTTGAAATTCATCCTCAGTTTATGCTGTTTGCATGCATGAATCCTGGAGGAGATTTTGGAAAGAAGCGGTATGAAGGGCCAGGATTCAATGCTGTGTATGTGCATGACTTTAGCACATCAGCAAGGGATGTGGAGTTAGTTGCACACTCTATACTGAAGGGATTGGTGAATGAAGAAAGCAGGAGGAAGATGTGTGAGTTTTTTTTGGAACTGAAGGATAAGGTTCGAAAGGGAGAGATCAGGAATGAGATTGAACCGTTGATAAGTGGAAGGACGTTTGTAAGGGTTTTACGGTTTATTAAAGCAAGATTAAGCAAAGGGATTGAGAATGCAATCTACGATGCATATGAGCTGTTTGTGTTCACTCAGTTTGATTTTGTCAGCAGGATGATTGCTGTAACGATGTTTTCGAAGCACTTTGGAGAACGACGAGAGGAGGGCTGGAAGACAAAAGTAGAGAGTGGATTTGTTCTAACACCAAGGATACAAATGTGTGTACGGACTATGAAGCTAGGGATTGAGTGTGGAGTTGCATTGTTATTGCAGGGAGATACATCGACAGGAAAGACAAGTATGGTGATGCACCTTGCAAAGGAGATTGGAAAGAGGGTGATAAGGATCAACAATCATGAGCATACAGAAGCAGCTGACTACATTGGAGGATATTCATCAACTACAGAGGGAATTAAGTTTAGGGATGGAGTTCTTGTGCAGGCGATGCGAAGAGGAGACTGGGTGATTCTTGATGAACTGAATCTTGCACCCAGTGAGGTTTTGGAGATATTGAACAGACTTCTTGATGACAACAGACAGATATATGTTCCGGAGACTGATGAGGTTGTTTGTCCACATAGGGACTTCCGGATATTTGCAACACAGAATGTGGGATATGGAGGGAGAAAAGGGCTTAGCAAGGCATTTAGAAACAGATTTGTGGAGTTATTTTTTCGAGAGACTGGGGATGACGAGGTGCTTGAGATTGTGCATGGCGCATCAAGACTTCCCATGAGCTTCTGTAAAAAGATGCTTGGAGTGTATAGCGGACTGAAGACGAAGAGAAGTATCAATGTGTTGATAACACTTAGAGAGTTGTTCAAATGGGCTTGTAGAGATCCTCGAAGTGCTGAAGATGTTTGTTTTTTGGGGATGAGCATGATACATGAGAGGCAGAGAGGCGGTGAGGACAGGAAAAGAGTACAAGAGATATTTGTTGAAAGCTTTGGGGCAAAGAGCGTAGAGAGGTACTTGAGGATGATTAATGGCGATATTAATGAGAAAGATTGTGGAAATGTTTTTCTTGAATGTGGAGTTTGCAGTTCCAAGACATTTAATTTGATAGAGAAGAGATGTGGAGAGAAGTTTGTGCTTACAAGGTCTTTTAGGAAACTTGTGAATCTTGTTGTATTGGCATTGAAAAGCAAGGAGCCTGTGCTTATTGTTGGAGAGACAGGGATAGGAAAGACGAAGGTATGCGATGTGGTGAGTGAGTTATTTGGCAGGAATCTCCGAACGCTCAGTATACATGGAGGAGTGGAAAGTTCAGACTTTCTTGGAAGCTTTGTGTTTGAAGAATGCAAGATTGTATGGAAGGACGGACCTCTTGTGAGAGCGATGAAGAATGGAGAGGTGTTTTTGATTGATGAGATAAACCTTGCGGAGGATTCGGTTCTTGAGAGGCTGAATAGTCTATTAGAGCCACATCGAACGATATACATAGCAGAGACAGGGGAAGAAGTAGTTGCACATGAGAATTTTATGTTGCTTGCAACGATGAATCCTGGAGGAGACTTTGGAAAGAGAGAGCTGAGCCCAGCATTAAGGAATAGGTTTACAGAGATATACTTTGAGATAGAAAAAGATGAGGTCATTGAAGTTTTTGACAGGATGATTGAAGTCAGACTTGGAGCAGAGTCAGGGATTGGGTTACAAGAGATAGAGGAATTCAAGCAGCTGGGAAAGAGAGTGGATGTATCAGTAAGGAAGCTTGAGTTGATGATTGATTTTATATGCAAAAGATATGCTGGCGAGTCTGGATGTATAATATGTAAAGATGAATTTAATGCAAGACAAGTATGGAATGAGGCGTTGGAAATTGTTGGAGAGAAGGTTATGCTGGATGTGAGAGTGAAGTATGAGGAGCATTCAGGGATGTTCGGAGTGTTTCCGTATTTTGCGCAGGATGCTTTACCGAATGAATTTGACTTTGGATCGCCCACATCGGCAGTGAATTTGAAGAGGATTCTTAGAGCAATGAGCCTTGGAAGGGGAATTATGCTTGAAGGTGAACCAGGGATAGGGAAAACGAGCATTGTTCAGGCGATTGCAAGAAGGATGGGTAGAAGAAGCATCCGGATAAACCTTAGTGAGCATACAGAGTTGAGTGACTTAGTTGGGAGTTACATTCCGGTTGGCGGGCAGATTAGGTTTGTTGGAAGCGAGCTTCTTGAGGTTCTAAGAGATGGAGGAGTAGTGATTTTTGATGAAATCAATTTATGCACGCAGAGTGTGATAGAAGGACTGAACTCTGTGCTTGATTACCGGAGGAAGCTGTTTATACCTGAGATGGTTGTGGATGTGAATGAGAAGACGTTTATTTTTGCAACGTTGAATCCTCATACAAGTAAGAATGGACGCAAGGAGCTTCCGAGGAGCTTTCTTGACCGATTTATCAGGATTAGAATGGACATGTATGGACCTGTAGATGTTGATCATATTATGCATAGGATTTATGCAAAGCCTGCGATAATGAAAGAGTTAAGTCTTAGGGAGAATATTAGGTTGAACAAGATAGGAATTTTTGAAGAAAGGGAAGTGGATTACATGATGGATGAGAAGAGTATAAGAGTAGGATCAGTAAAAGTTATAAGACAAGATGGAATGAATGCTGATGTAATGCTTGAAGGGAGAAATGATGTATTGAAGGCAAGTAGAGGATTTGTGATGATACATTCTCAGCTTGGACAGATTGAAAAGATTATGAAGTGTGTTGAGATGAGCATTCCTGTGGTGATATCTGGGGGAGTAGAGAAAGATTCGCTACTTTACTTTATATCATGGATGTATGAGATAGAAGTGGTGATGTTTAGCTGTCATAAGAACACTGATGTGTGTGATCTTCTCGGGCAGTACCAGAAGAAGGAGGATGGGATGTTTGAGTGGAGTGATTCTGTGGTTGTGAATGGGGTGCGTGAAGGGAAGATGATTGTGTTTTTTGGAGTTGAGCATGTGGACAAATCGGTCTTTGACCGGTTGAATTCGCTTTTTGAGTCTGAACGAGTGTTGAATGTGTATGAGAAGGGGATTGACACAGATGTGGTTGTGAATGAGAAGACCAAGCTGATTATAGTAACAAAGGATGCAGAAGGGCTTTCGCCAGCGTTGCTTGATAGATGTATGCATGTGAAGCTAAGTAATGAGCTGGACTATATTGATGTGTGGAAATTGTTTATGAGGTCGCAAATGAGAGTGGAAAAGATAGTGCACAAGGACTTTGAAGGAGTTAATATGGAGAATGTTGAATGTGATGTCAGGCTTGATTTGCGACGTTTTTGGGTTTTAGGAAGATGGCCGAAGGTTCTGAGCAAGTGCCTGAATGGAGTATTTAACACGATTGATGAAAACGAGATACAGAGGATGTTTAGATATGAAGAGAAGTGTATAGAAGAGAAGAGTGTGGATATGGATGAAATTGAGTTTTATAAGAAGATTGGATATGAAGTATACAGGCCATGTAATGAAGAAGAGAGGGTGAATGTATTTAGAGAAATGATTGATGAGAGAAGTGAGATGAGAAGAATAGTGATGTTTATCAAATCAGCTGATTTTTGTATTTTGAAGAGACTGCGCCGAGGAGAAGGATGCAATTTGAACTTTGCCAGAAGTGTGAATGATTTGAAGATGAAGGTGATTAGTGCGATTGGGAATAAGAAGTTTGGTGATTATGAACGGATCAAGAGGATCTCTAAATGTCTTTCAGGTGCTCAAGAGGTAAAAAGTGTTGAATTTGATCATTTTTTTATGAAGTTGATTGAGAATGGAAGAGACGATCCTTTACAAATGCTAAAACATGAGCTTGTGTTCAATATGAATACATTTGAGAACCGAAGTATGAAAGAGATTCATGATATGACGATACAGATGTATAAGTATGGCAGAGGAAGTATTGATGAGCTGATCAAGAGATATGAGGAAGGGATTGCGGAATACAGGATGAAGATTGAAGCGATTGAACACCAAATGAAAAGGGATTATGCAGGATTTGTAAAGGAAGTTAAAAGAGTAGATTTTTGTTCGTATATGTGTGGAGATAGGAAATACTATGATGCGTTTGCAGATATTTTTGATTATTACCTGGTGTATTTGTTTGGAAGATGGATTAAGGGAGAAGGGTGTTCTGGGATGTGCAAGATGAGGAAATGTAATGAAGAAATGGAAGACAAAATATGCATGGATGAAGGGAGTGTGATGTACAGTACTTTATGTTTGAATCTACTTAAGAATGGGATTAAGGTTATTGATGATCTTGGATCTATTGATTGCAAGCAGTTAAAGGATGGATTTTCGAAATACTTATATAACTTGTATTATGGAAAGCCAGTGAACAGAAACGACTTAGTTTTTGAAAGCATTGTGTTTGATGTTCCAGTGAGTGTTTGTAAGAAGGATTGGATTGATCTTGGATTGAAGTTTAATGACGAAGACCTGAATGATTGCTTGAGACGGATGTTTGATGTTGAGATGCATGCAAGGGTTATAGAAGAGTTCCGAGGAAGAATAACCGCAGATGATAATTTAGTGAAAATGATGAGCAATGATATTCTAGAGATGGGAATTTTTACAAAGATTGAAGATATTATGGATCATGTGGAGAAGAAGATTGAACAGAAGAAGAAGTGCCTGACTAATTATGACAAGGTTGATATATGCTCTACTAGTGAAGATGAGAATAGTGAGAATTTGATTGTTATTGGAGCAGAGAAGGGTGAGTGTAATGCTGAAGACGATCAAGATGAACAGCTACTTAGAAGGCTTGAGATACTTTACAAGGACTCAAGTGTATGTGAGATTGAGAGGAATTACAGATACTTTTTGTACTTAGTCATAACACCTTTTACTCTTGAGGAGGCTGAAAGATACTTTTTTGACTGTTGTGTGTATGAGCATGTAGAGAGGATTAGGCATGCACGAGAATTTGCTATTAGAAGCAAGAGCCCGATGGTATACAATGCTACATTGAAGTATGTGGGATTTGAGATTGAAAAGATGTATGATGCAAGAATAAGGAATGCAAAGAGTAAGCTTAGAAAGGATCCTGGGTTGTATAAGAAAACTCTTGCAGAGCTGAGAAGGTTTCTTGTTTTGCCTGTTACGAATGTACTGAAACTTGAATTTGATGAGCCTGATCCAGTGTGTCAGGGGCATCATCCTGGTAAGCAAGCATTTATTTTGAAAGACAGAGGAGAATGTGAATGCAAAGATTGGATTGAGTTATCAACAAGATTTGATAGAGGAGAGATTGCAAGAGCAGTTGCAGGACGAGCGATTAAGAAGAATGAGGTGATTGAGATATTCTTTGGAAGACTACCTGTGGATATGTTTTCGTATTCGGAGGTATGCTTAGGAAAGGTGATTAACCAGATGGTTGATGATGCGAGTGTTTTAAGTCTGATGCGAATGGGAATAGAGTATCCGTATGTACCTTTTTTGTACTTTGTGTTTAATTTCTGTCGTGACGTGAGTGATGTTGAGGAAGTAGGAGAAGGGATGGAGACAGGACAAGGGAATGTTAATGTTAGTGAGCAAGTGAAACATGAGGATGAAGTTGAAGAAGATTATGGAGATCAAGAGATAGTGAGTGAGAGTGATGGGATTGATTTTGATAATGATGGAAATGTGTCTACTGTGAGTGATGTTTCTGATCAATGTGATAGTGGAGTGGATGGAAGCGATGAAGAAGAGAAAGAAGAGAGCGAGAGTGATACTACAGAGGCTGAGGAAGAAATGGATAATAAAATGGAGATAGAAGATGAGGGATATGGAACTGAAGGATCTGAAGATGAGGGAATGGAAATGTCATGTGAGCCATTATTGGAAGAAGAAATAAGTGAGGATAATAATGAGGATGAAGTTAGTGATATGGAGTGTGATGAGAATGAGAATGATAATGATCAGGAAGAAGAAGATAGAGATGATAAGATAAATGGTAAGATGAACGAATATATGTTTGAAGAGTCGAAAGTGAACGATAATCAGACATGTGACAGAGCAGATAATTACGAGCGTTATGTGTATGGAAGCAATCCGAATGATAAGGCACTATGTGAGGGAGAAGGGCAAGGAAAGATATGTGGAGATTCTGAATCTGGAGAAGGAGAAGCAGTGGAAGCAACAGTAAGAATAGTGATGAAGGATGAAGATTGCAACAGACTAACGAATATGTTGAAGATGGTTATTGAAGCAAACAAGAGCAATAAGTATAAGGGAGATTTTAAAAGTGGAAAGAAGTTGAATATGAAGAGGTTGGTTCCGTATATTGCAAGTGGGTTTAGAAGAGACAGGATATGGATGAAGAGGCAAAAGAGTGAGAAGAGGGAGTATGTTCTCCGCTTGTTTGTTGATAATAGCAAAAGCATGTATAGTCAGGAAATGATTGATATGCTTCTGAGTTTGTACTCGAAAATAAGCAAATCGTTTTCTATTCTTGGGATTCCTGTTGAGGTATACAAGTTTGGAAATAGTTTGGAGAGATGTGAAGTGAAGAGTATGAAATTTAATGAGTCTCAAACAAGGATTGATTGGATTGAAGAGTTTAACGATGGAATTAACGTGATTCTTACGGATGGACTGTTCCAAAATGTTGGGAAGCATCACCCGAACTTTTTAGTTCTATTGATAGACAAGTGCAATGTGAGAAAGATGTCGAAGGTGATGGTTTCTGAAGGATCGGTGTTTGTTCAGAAGTATTTAGATGTATTTCCACTGAAGTATTGTGTTATTGGGAGGATTGAAGAGTTGGAGTCGACATTTGTAATGGCACTTGGTGAGATGTTGAATTTATGATGAAAGTATTTGCGTTAGTTTTTAGAATTGTGACTTGAATAAAATAGATATGCTGTTATAATTATAAGATTTATATTGAAAGCGAAATAATTTTATTCAGATTATGCCAATGTTTGATGCTATCTGGAGTGCAACACCATCCTCTGCAAACCTGACGTATGCTTTCTTGCCATGCTTGTTTATGAGTGTGTTGATCTTTTTGATTTTTGCAGAGTACAGTTCAGCGATTGCCTGTTTTATTTCTGGTTTAGTTGATGTCTTCTTGACGTAGAAGACCATCGTGTTGAACTGTTCCATACATCGTGCGGCTTTTTCTGTTGATATTGCATACAGTACGATGTCATGCGGACTGTTTGATGCGATCTTTGGGACTAGCCTGGTAGTTCTAGAGGTTTTCTCAAGGGTATCCATTGGGGCAATAGCGAGTGATAATTTTTGTAGATGAACATAATGTAAGATAAGATATGGATTGGGAGTATTTGTAGATGTTGTATGATGTATGCAAGATATGGATTGAGAGTGGAATAAGTGAATTGGTTTCTGTTAATGTACAAGTATACAAAGATTATGTGTACTAGTGGAAGATTATTTATAAGGTGTATGGTGTTATCTAACACATAATGTGAATGAATAAATATCCTATGGTATGAATGAGTAAATTAGTTCATAATGTGAATAAGAATCTGTTATACATAAAACAACTAATTGATTATCTATGTAATATAAGATGATGTGAAGTGTGTAGTAAAATATCATGAATAAAGATTATTGAAAGTGTTAGGTATTTTGACCGATACTTTTTGGATGAGCCTCTGTAGCGCAGTGGTTAACGCGTTCGGCTGTTAACCGAAAGGTCGAGAGTTCGAGTCTCTCCAGAGGCGTACTCTTTTGCTCCGCATCACCCATGAGCTACCTGAATCACTGAATTACACTACACATATAAAAATAACATTTTCAATCCATACCTAGCTTATACCTAACCATACAAGCAGGTAATTCATAAACCACATTCGTTACAATCAAATCATCTTCTGTTTTTATCCCGGATGGCAGAATCTTTTCAGAAGCTCGAAAAAATCGGAGAAGGAACCTACGGAGTAGTCTATAAAGCAATCGAACGAAACACACAGAGAATAGTCGCACTAAAGAAAATCAGACTCGAAAACGAAAACGAAGGAATACCAGCCACCACAATAAGAGAAATATTGCTTCTCAAAAACATAAAACATTCTACAATTGTAGAACTAAGCGATGTAATATACAATAATAACAAAATGTATCTTGTTTTCGAATACATGGAGCTTGACCTTAGAAGATACCTGGATAAACTGTGTGACGATGGTCGTCTTCCAAGCGAAGAGTTCATTAGGAAAATGTCTCAGCAGCTTCTGACCGCAATGGAATATTGCCATTCAAGAAATATTTTCCATAGAGACCTTAAACCTCAAAACATACTTGTCGATCTAAAAGGAAATATTAAGCTTGCAGATTTCGGCCTTGGCAGGGTTGCAGGAATTCCTTTACGAACATACACAACTGAGGTAGTGACTCTTTGGTACAGGCCTCCAGAGCTACTCCTTGGTTGTAAATACTATGATGCTTCTGTTGATGTGTGGAGCGCTGCTTGCATAATGGCAGAAGTTGTTCTCATGAAACCTTTTTTTTCTGGCGACTCTGAGATAGATCAGCTCTTCAAGATATTCAAGATCCTTGGCACACCTAGCAATTCAAAATGGTCAAATGTTGAGAACTTTCCTAACTACAAGGCTGATTTTCCAATATGGAGTCCAGTGGATCTAAAAACAATCTTCGAAACTTCTCAGGATTTTATTGATCTCATCTCTCAGATGCTTGAGTATGATCCAAGAGCAAGGATGTCAGCAAAGGCTGGATTATCCCACAGATATTTCAAAAATATGTCTCCAATTCTAGAATAAAAATCTTTTCATGATACTCTTAATCAATATAGTAATTTATTACAACTGACTATGAAAATAGCAGAACAAAGGTTTACATGCATCCACGTTTATGTATTTGCATACAGCATACGTTTCGTAGATAAATTACTATTGAATATTGCCTTAATTAATCCAGCAATTTGTTTATTATCAGCAGGAATATGTAGAAGAAAAATCCAAAAATCCCAAAGCCATATAATCAATGTTATTGGACGTAAAACATCAGGTAGCAAAACCACAAGAAACAGTGACACAATAGTAGCAATGATCGATATTCCTACAACCTGAGTGATTTTCATTAACATTTTCTTACTTTTATGTGTAAATAATCCTGCATCTTCTCTTATCTCATTCATTTAACGCCTTTTGTATTTCTCAAATATATCGTTATCAATATACAAATCACCATGCTTCAATATGCATATTTAGGAATGTATTATTACAACACATTTGACTACATATTTTCACTGCAACACTCAATCTCTCAATAAATCATATCCAAATATTTGAATTTAATATCAATCATAGCACACCTCTTTCCTTCTTCAGTATGCATTTGCATCCACTTGCTTCAGCTCTTTATTCAACCACTCAAACGCCTCAATAATCCTCCTTCGGTTGTCCTCGTTCGTCACTGAGTTTGCTTCATACACACTGATCGGAACCACACACGATGCTCCAGAGTACTCCTTCAGTTCAAGCGCATTGTATATGCTGCTCACCGCTGTCTTCCTGCCCTCCTCAGTCTTTATCAGATCAATCTTGTTTGCAAATACCAGCACCGGAGGCATGCTGCTCCTCTCCAGCCCTTTCAGAATCTCCCATAATCCTTCCTTTGCACTGGCAAATCTCATCGTGTCCACTGCATCAACCATGTATACAATCCCAGATTTGTCCTTCACATAGTCTTTCCAGAATCTCCTGAACGTACTCTGTCCTCCAATGTCCCACACTACAAACTTCAAACTTCCCACATTCACTACTTCGCAGTTGAATCCAAGCGTAGGCACCGTCGTATGCACCTCTCCTGTCTGTAAATAGAATAGAAGAGTCGTCTTTCCTGCCCCATCTAATCCAATCATTGCCAGTGACTGCTCCTTGTCTCCAGAAAACAAACTCCGCAATCTGTCATGCAATACGCTGTTGATCTTAGACAATGCATTCCCCATGGTTTTGTTTACCCCTTCACTCGTTTTTTTTATGCAAATGTTTCAACCACACATAAGATTATCATCACAATGAATAATACATAATACAACAGAATCATGTACTAAATGAATGTCATTCATCATATATGTTAAACTTGTATAATACAAAATAGTTTATATGAGATATATGCAAATCCATCATAAAGTAACAATGCAATAAATATCACATCTTTCGATACATCTTTTCATAGTCTTTATATAAATTCTTTCGATATTATTTCCATACAATATACAATAAATATCATACATCTTTTGACATACTCTTTATATAAATCTCTTTATATTTCCATCACTTATACATCGCTATTGCACATGCCAACATCAAACAAACTCAACACATATTTTCGGCTTGAAACAAGCACATATAAATTACTTAGTGCATGAACATGCAATGAGACTTGCTGTATATGCATTCACATGGCTTTTCATGGTTACTTCAATCACATGCAGTGTAATCAAACTTGTGCCCTCAAATGCTTTGCATATAAAAGGCAGGCCTTTGGCAACATACTTCTCAGCTGTTAAGGTTGTTCCTGTGCCAAACAATACATTACTCCAGACATCATCTGTAAGTGTAAAGCCTGTATCAAACACAGCAGCAGTCATTAGCAACATTCCACGATTTTCATCACCAGTGGTTGTCAAGCAGATGCCTCAAAATATCTCTAATTCACAAGCAAGTACTTCGAATACATACAATGTTGTACAATCTCCAGCTTTACATATGAATACGTATGCACAACACACACAACCCGTAGCAGTGACACATCATCTAGTAACAGCACAACCTGTACAACCTGCTGCAATAGTCAAACCATATGATGTACCTGTACTTGCTCAGCGATCTATACAACCTGTACAACATTTAATAACAGCACAACCTATACAACCTGCTGCAATAGTCAAACCATATGATGTACCTGTACTTGCTCAGCGATCTATACAACCTGTACAACATTTAATAACAGCACAACCTATACAACCTGTAGTAGTAACACAACCTATATATAAACCACAGCAACCTATTATGCAACTTGTTTTTCAGCCATACACACAGACAACATCTGCTACACATCCACTGAATAACCAGAACTCTAGAATGTTTATGAGTCCAATTAGAGTGGCTGTCGATCAAAGCTCACTAGTTCCCATGATGAATGGATTTAATATGGTCAAAGCAATAAGCAAAAGCGTCGGAGTAATCTGCAATATGCTCAAAACTATCAGCACCAGAAAACCACAGATAAACACACAACCACAGTACTTTGCACCAACCATTCCAAGCACTACATACGTACAACCATCTGCCATAACCGTCACAAAAACAATCTCCATGGTTCCAACTCAACCTCAAACACTCATCCCTGCATACACAGCATCTGTAGTACAGCCATCTACCGTGATCAAGTATGTTGCACAACCTGCAAGTACTGAACCAAAGATTCTACAGGGATGGATCACACGTAAGGTTCTCTGCAATACCGTAGTTGCAAGATGCATCGTTCAAAATGAAATGCAGACAAATGAACGCACAAATGACCAGACAGATGATGTAAAGCAGCAATACACAACAAACAATAATGAAGATGATGTAAATGCTAAAACGAATGTATCTGAAAACACTCAAGATACTGCTAATAATCCAAATGAAAAAGAAAGTGATGAATCCACTTCAAGTGAGGAATCTTCTGATTCATCATCATCTGATACATCAGATAGATCTGTGGATGACTGTACAGAGAGACAATCAAAACCTCCATATGTTTTAAAAGGTAGTGAAAATGATCAAACAGACAATGAATATCAATATCAATCATCACCAAGCATAGGCAATGCGATTTCATACAACAGCATAGGCACAGGTGATAATCAAGATCAGATTGTGTATCTAAGTGATCTGATATAATCTACAATGATTTATAATTGATGAATATAGATATATAAATAATGAATACCTTTACATAGTCATGCAATATACAATATATCATGCCAATAAGTGTACTTTTACAAATGAGTATGAATCACACATGATGCATCCAATAATTATCCAATTCATTGTGTTACATCAGTAATGAGATATTCATAATAATTAAGTAATAATCTATTCATATAACTGTTCTATGCATCAAACACTTTCATTACTCAGCAGATCACATTCACATCCATATACAGGCAAATACCTGATGTTAAATAAATCAACTTCTATTTATTTGCAAGTGCTGTATCTCTTCACATTCCATTGAAGAACGGATGTTTCAATGCATCAGACGCACTGATCCTTGTTATTGAATACAAATCAAGCATCTTGTACAGAAGATCGTATCCATCACTCCCAACCTCGGGCCATGGATTCAAACACTCAATTATTGTCTCAAATCGTACCCTCTCCTCAGGTATGGTCTCCACATTCGATCTCCATGCTCTTCCATAGAACTTTGCTGCCTTCCTCATCTCTCCATGCCCATATATTGTTGCAAGCTCTACTATAGAATCAATGTCATCGCTTGAGTAGAAAAAAGGATATTGCCCGCTCAACATTGTCAGAAACACTACTCCTGCAGACCACATATCAATTGCCCTTGTCTGTTGTCCATATCTGAATAGTACCTCAGGTGCACGAAACCCGCGTGTACCAGCTCTTGCTGCCTTCATCTGTGGTCTACTGTCTCCTTCATAGCATCCAGGTGGTCTTGTCTTAGAAACCACAGTATGGAAAAACAACTGTGGAGTCTGTGTCTTTTTTGGCTCCTCATTTCGACTTCTGCTTTTCTGCTCCTCATGCTGTGCAAGTCCAAAATCTATCAACATTCCCTTTCCAATATCCTTGTTGTAAAGAAAGTTGCTAGGCTTCAGGTCCCTGTGTATAATGTTGTTGCTGTGTACATGTTCTATTGCTATCAATAGATTGTACATGTACTTCTTGATGTCCATTATGCTTGCACTTGAGATGAACTCTCTGAAATCGATCGACTCGAAGTATGGTGACACAGCAACAACCTGATCTTCCTGTCTGAAGCATCCTAGCAATCCCATGCAGTTTTTCTTTCCACCGAGTGTCTTCAAGAACGTCAACTCCTCAAGAATACGTGCTGGAGAGCTTGTCTTTGTTATTGCCTTGATTGCAACATGTCTGCCTGACTCAGTGTCTAATGCCTTGTACACAACACTGAACGAGCCCTCCCCGACCTTTTCAATTGGCGTGTATTTCTGTGCAATGAACATGATGTGCTTGATATCAGTAGCAGGGATCTGTTCGTATGTCATGCACCCTTTGCTGATTTTTGATTTAATCTTATACATTTATCCATATCACCTGGTGAATGAATGAGTGTATAAGAGGTGAATGAATGAACGAATATGGTGTAGTAATGAATTAAGTGGATGGATTAGAATAAAATCATGTGATGAATGAATACGAGGTGAATATATCAAGTGGAATAGTAATGAGTGAATTGGAATAATATCATATCATAATATGTGATGAATAAATATGAAGTGAAATACTAACACGCGATAAATGAATGAATATGAAGTAAAGTGAAGTAAATGTATAAAGTAAAATAATATCATGTGATAAACCAGTAAATTGCTGCATATATTGATTTGTTTGTAATACACTTTCACATTACATTAATCTAATTCATTACATACTCATTGTTTAGCACATACCTATCAATGCCACTTTTTATCTTTACACATCCATACATAAATAATACAAAACTGCCCTTTCAATGCATGCAGGCACTTTGCCAGATGACACATTCATAAGGTACAAACAAATCGAAAGGAAGCTCATGATGCTTGAAATCAGAGAGGCATATGTGCGCAAAGAAATAGAAACACTTAAGAGAGAAGAGAGTCACAGTAAGGATGAACTCAACAGAGTGAAGAGTGTGCCACTAATCATGGGGCAGTTTCTGGAGCCAATTGATGCAAACACAGCAATAGTTGGCTCTACAGCAGGAAGCAACTTTGTTGTGAAGATTTTGTCAACTGTCGATAGGGAATTGCTAAAGCCAAACACAACGGTTGCGTTACACAGGCATTCTAGTGCAATTGTAGATGTACTTCCTCCAGAGGTGGATAGCACGATTCCTGTGCTTGGAGATGAGGAAAAACCTGATGTGACATATGCAGATGTGGGAGGACTTGATGTGCAGAAGCAGGAGATCAGAGAGACAGTGGAACTTCCATTATTGCAGTTTGATCTCTACAGACAGATAGGAATAGATCCACCGCAAGGTGTATTGCTGTACGGGCCGCCAGGTACAGGAAAGACAATGCTTGTGAAAGCGGTTGCGAATCATACAAAAGCAACGTTTATCAGGGTGAATGGGTCTGAGTTTGTACAGAAATACCTTGGGGAGGGACCTAGGATGGTCAGAGATGTATTCAGACTTGCAAGGGAAAGAGCGCCATCAATAGTTTTTATTGATGAGGTTGATTCGATTGCAACAAAGAGGTTTGATGCATCGACATCTGCAGATCGGGAGGTGCAAAGAGTACTGATTGAGCTACTGAACCAGATGGACGGGTTTGATCAGTCAACGAATGTGAAGGTGATAATGGCAACGAACAGGGCAGACACGATTGATCCAGCACTTCTAAGACCTGGACGACTTGACAGGAAGATAGAGTTTCCATATCCGGATAGAAGACAGAAAAGGCTTGTACTGAATGCAATTACATCGAAGATGAGTATTGGGGATGATGTTGATATTGAGAGTCTTGTGCATCGACCTGAGAGGATCAGCTGTGCAGACATAAACTCTGTGTGCCAGGAGGCAGGGATGCTTGCGGTACGTGGAAGCAGATATGTGGTGATGCAGAAGGACTTTGAGGAAGCATACTCGAAGGTTGTGGAGAGAGGAGAAGGACAACCTGCATTCTACAATTAATGTGTTTATGCTTGTAAGACAGTACAAGCTTTGAATTGTTGCATATACAATGTGTAATAAGAATGTTGTGGATATCACTTGTGGATGCTTTTGCTAAATAAAACTTTTTTTGGATTTTTAACCCACATGAAGACGAGATTATGTGTTCCTGCATACTTATGCGTATACGTTCTATGCTTATGTGTGAATTGTGTTGAAACTAAACTTCCGCATGAATCTACACAGCAACATAGTGATTCCACCCTTTCACATGAATCTAATTACATCGAGCCTGGAATTGCGCGTGAATATCCATATCCAAAACAATATAGCGATTCCACCACCCACTCAAGCAATCCATCTAAGTTTTCGTACACTGATGATATGAAGCCTCTGGCGTTTTTAGTGATCCGTTTGTTTGATTGGGCTCGTGTGACGCTGGATCATATAAAGAATCCGATGAACATACCTATATACGTACCGTCAGACAATCGTCAGTTCATTACTGATATATACAATGAAAAGGGAGCAAGCGACTGTTTTGTAAATCATATTTTGAAATCTACATGTATTGAGCAGGCGCGCAGGACAATTCTCAAGGTTTCTAAGAAGATTGATAAGATGAACTTTAGGTTTTTATCTGCATTTCAAAAAGCAAATTATGGAAGTATGACTGTAGATATTGCAAAATACAATGATATATTGAATTTGATGGATAGCTACATAGCTGGTATAGAACAAGCATGCTATTCTCTGTCTGCGTATAATGCGAATTATAAGTCTATGACTGATCTTATTAACGATTTAAAAAGAAGATTCAGTAACAGTATAAAAAGTGGTATCAAAGATTACATAAAGAAAGCATTATCTGATATCAATGTTATTCTTCTAAAGGGAGAGCCAGAGCCTAATTTAGAAAGGCTTGTTAGCATAGATCCTTATAATGACAGGTTTTACTTGATAAGCAGACATGATCTGGAGAGTAATTTACACCAGGTGGCGTATAAAATAGTCACTGATGTGTCCAGCCTTTCGTCATGGAATAACAACATACCTGAATTTAGATATCCGTTTTTAAGGCTTTATATTGTTATTGAGTTGCTGAAACATGCTGTTTACTATTAGTGGATCGAGACAGGATTGTAGGATCTCTCGAAAGGTTTAATAAACGATTCTACTTGATTTGAAGATTTTGTAAGACTTGGGGTGGCATTATGGAAGAGTTGAAATTGAGAGTAGACGAGCTGATGAAGGAAGTGGCAAGGTTGGAATGTGAGATGACAAAGAAGAATGAGAAGATAAAGAAAAACAGGGTATTGAACATGAATTTGAGAGAAGAGGTACTGAGCAAAAGTAAAGAAATAGATGATTTGAATGAGTTGGTAACAAGTATGAAGAAGCAGATGGAGAACAATGACAGAAGATTCATGAAGATGGAACGAATGATTAAAGCGGATTGCAGACGCAAGGAGCTTTTTAATGAGAAGATCCTTGGCAGTGTGAAAAGCAGAGGGGAATACTACATCAGTCTTGAGATGAAGAAGATCAATGAGAGGTATGAGGTAATGAGAAGGTTTATTTTTGCGATTTCTGAAAGACTTGGGTTTGATTTTGAGATGTTTGATGAACTAGTAAATATTGCAGAAGGGACAGACGATCCTGCTGTTATGGCTTTTCTGGAAAGTATTATGCCAAATGGATATGTAAGGTTGGATGAGGATGCCGAGTGAATGCTGAATATAAACTGTGATTATGAAAAGTATGGTATATGTTTTGAGTTGGTGATGTTGATTTGGGATGTAGTGCTTGAACGTATGTTAGAATGTGGATAAATTGCTGTAAATTGAACAAAAAAATTGCTTAAGGATGACCCTTGTTGAATGAATACTCAGAAGGTTTTGGATCCAGATACGAAGTATATTAAGCTAAGAGTGATTGGCGGAGAGCTTCCTGGAGCAACACTTGCACAGAAGGTTGGTCCTCTTGGACTGTCATCGAAGGTTGTTGGAGAGGATATCAAGAAAGCAACATCTGACTATAAGAGTCTAAGGGTGCATGTTGAACTTGCGATAAAGGACAGGAAGGCGACGGTTGAGATCCAACCGAGTGTGTCCACACTTGTGATCAAAGCTTTGAAAGAGGCACCACGTGATAGGAAGAAGGAAAAGAATATTCTGCACTCTGGAAGTATCAAGATGATTGAGGTTGTTGAGATAGCCAGGCTTGCGAAGTCTACGAGGTCTTTTTCAAGAACACTCACTGGAGCAGTGAAGGAGGTTCTTGGAACATGCAAGGCGATTGGATGCAAAGTTGATGGGAAGTGCCCAAAAGAGGTTATCCATGAGATTAATACTGGTGATATTAAATTGCCTGATCAATAAACATTTATTATGGGTAATTGGTTTGTATTGTTCATATATTCAGTGTAAAACGCATATGTTTGAGTTTTGAATCAAATGAACGTTTATTTGAGGATTCTGAAACGCTAAAGAATATAAATTTTGTTTTGTGGCAGAGATTATGAAACTAGTTTTTTTTTGCCTAGTTCAGTTAGTGATGGGATTGAGTACTGGAGAAAGAGTGATTAAGATAATTTCTAGGAGCCATCCTAGCATGATTTTATCAACAAAGCATTCTGAAGCTGAAGGCGACAGCGTTTTGTTGATTGATTTCAAGAAGAATAAGGGAGCTAAAAAGGCAATTGAATCAAATTTTATGATCACAAGTGAGACGAGTGAAATAAGGCAAGGCGACATCAACTTGTGTAAACATGAATTCAACAATAATATTAAGACATGCCCTGTAAGTGAAGTTCCAAGTGATAATTCTGTATGGATTCCTTACTCTGTGAATGGAGGAGTAAATATAAAAAATAAGCATGGTTTGTGCATGATGCCTGATCCCAGTCAGCTAAAACCTGAAGGAATGGCCATTGTTGCAAAAAAATGCGTACCTGAATCAATAGATCAAATTTTCGATATAAGTGATGTTAAAGGTGAAGACAGTCAGTCCAACAATGGATCCGAGGATAATTTGGAGCATAAGGGGGATGCGCCCATGGGAAGTATGCTTGAATACATACTCAGCCTGTCTCCAGAAATACGAAAACAACTGAAATCGCGTTTGATTCTTTATGATGCAGATGGAAAGAAGATTAAGTCGTTTGTTGGAAGTGTGGAGTCGCTAACAAATATCGATCCAAGCCTAGGGTTATTTCCTCACATGATTGATGGGTCAGTGCCGTATCCAAGAATGAAATCACTGGATCAGTACAAAAGCAATAGAGATGTTGCTATTTCTCCGACATATTTTCACAATGGAATCTATGCATAATGATTAAAGTTATTTGTTTTTATGAAAGCTGTTTTGTGCTTCTATGCATGGATGTGTTAACGATGTGTTTTTACAGATGGATCGATGTGTTGTATTGCACATTATGAAACCTGATGTTTGATTGTGATGTTTTGAATAAGAAACATTTGTTGTATGATTTGCAATGTTCATACCATTCATAATTGTGCTTTTTGAGTTGGCGTATACTTATACTAGTCTAAGCAATTTAATTAATGATACAAGGTTAAACAAGTTAATTAATGATGCAAAACTGGTTGAAATTGTATCGCACTCCAGGAATTTGTATTTTTCCATATTCAATAATGAATTTAGAATATCTAGTCCAGATAAGATTAAAAGAAATCACGGATGTTCAAAGTTCGTAGTTTATAACGACAACACTGCAATTATACAGGGCAAAGAGCGTTTATGTAAAAGCAGCTTGGCTGATGATATTAATGTATGCGGAACCATGGATGCAAATACTTGGGAGATAGTGAGATATGAACAATATGTCAAGTTCAAATATCCAGGTCAAAACAAATGCATCACAGCAACTCAGACTTTTGGCTTGAACGGTAGAGAGGCTAATCTTCAGGAATGTGTTAATGACTCTACAAGGAGAGATGTAAGTCAAAGATTTGTAATGAAAAACTTGTATCTTGATCCAACTTCACTAAATGCAAATAATATAGAAAAGCAAATGATAAATTTGATAAACGATGGTAATACAAGCAACGGTGCCTCCTGAGCACACATAATTTATATATTTAATAAACCCATTTGTTTGGAATGAATAATATTGTTAAGGAGTGTAATATGCAAAATAATGAAATTCGCTTCAGCAACGAAGACATCAATTTGGAAAATTACGCAGCTTTGCATCCAGGATACACAAAAATATACATGAACGCATCTAAGAACGGTACGCATACAGAGATATCTCTTTCGAAGCAAAATGGAGAATTTTTATATATAGTTAGCAATTACGATGCCAAGTATTGTGAATACTTCAAACAGGCATGGATACCTAATGCAGTGACATGCGTCGATGATCTTAATGAAATCAAGCCAAGTAATCCAAAAAAAATGAAGCAGTCTACACTATTTGATTTTATGAAAAAGTAAATTCAGTATCGCACTGCATGATTCAAAATTTGCAGATAATGCATAAATATGAGAACATATAACTATTTATTTGAATACTCTATGTACTAATATTTACTATTATACTGCTAATCGATGTAATTAACAAATTGAAAATGGAAATTTAGCTCATTCTCGATGTTTTAGGATTGGAGTCGCTTCTTTCTTCTTCTAGAGCTTTAGGAATATATCTAACGATCATAAGGATTAAACGGCCGTATATAGTTACAACAGTGATATACGTAATGAATCGAAACCTATTGGTAAATTGCATGTTTGAAACCATCAAGCGGATCAAATTTTCAAATAAAATCAAAAGAAATGAGAGATCTGTATCATCAGGATTACTAACCAGTTTGTTAGATATAAATTTGAAAATTAGATATGCGTACCAGATGATTGCGACAACATTCATGCATATGCATATCCAATCTTTACTAACAAAGTTGCTATAAATTTCAGACACAGCAATTAAAATTAATAGAGTCATGATAGGTATTATGAATATGCGTTCTTGGATTGATTGTCTATCCAGTATCTGCCACACACATACTATAAATATCAGTACTGGCCACAATATAGTTTTCAAAAAAAATAAAATATAGTTACTGCTTTCTTGACTATTTTTAATGTTTTCTTCGTCTTCTTGTTCCATTTTCTGAGGATATTGAATTATTTGTAATTTATTCATGCATTTCTCAATACAGTAATTGCTAAGAAAATATAGAATCAATAATTATCAGAATATACATAATCTATTTATTTATATAATTTTATCATAATCTTAAACTGAAGCTATTGCTTTTGGTATTTCACTTGTAGGCAACATTTGTTTCTTTTCTATCTCTTGATCTATCATGTTTTTTAATATATATGATACTAAGAATAATATATAAAAAATTAATCCAGTCTTTAAACACTCTTTCTTTAGTTTGGTAGGTATCTTAGCCGTTAAGTACTCTTCATTTATTTTAGCCATGATCATAAGATCATAAAGTATATGATATGATATTTTTCCTTTTTTATGTATGTTCTTTAAGTCATAATCACTCTGAAATGTTTCTTTAAATATGTCTAGGATAACATCGTTTATGACTTTCATACATTATTCAAGTAAAAAAGTTCATTTTCATTTATATTTTTCAGTTTTTCATTCACTTTTTCTTTTATTTGATTAGCAATTTCCGAGTTTATAATTCCTAGAGTCCTTATGATATTTATGTATATTCTTTTTACAATTTTGTCAAGAAGATCCTTTAATTTTATATATTCTGAATTAAATATATTTTTGGCGCTTTCAAGATCAACCGTCACTTTATGAATACGCTTTAGAAATATATATTGGTATTTTTCATCTTCGTAGCTATTTTTTTCAAAATCATTTTGTGCCATCATACTGACAATTTCATTCAATTTCTGATGTATGTTATTTATAATCTCATCATTTTTGCCCATCAGTACTAGTACTATTTTATCAAAATTGCCAATGATTTCCCATTTATAATTTAATGGATATTCTTGATCCAATTTTGCTGACTGTTTAGGAAAACTATTAGGGTTATTAAATATATTAGATACTTCATCCTCTATAAATTTGTTTTCTATAAACAATGCTATAAATACTCTAAACATAGCAATCCTTTTTTCTAGATTTACTTTCTTAGAGTCTTTGCTATTCTGAGGCATAAATATTTTGTTAATATAATTTCGATATATATCCAATTTATTCGTAGGAGTTTCTTTTTGCGTTGCTCCTATGTTTAATTGGTTTGATGGTATTGCTTGTGATCCTTGGCTTTCAGGACCTGGTTTTTGTGGTACATTCGAAGTTTTTTCTTTTCCTTTCCTTTCCTCCTTTCTTTTCATTCTTTCCTCTTTTCTAGTTGTTTCAATTATATCTTTTACCTTTTTATCAAACAAATTCTCAGACTGTTTATCCTTATTCACTTTTTTATCCTCAATAGGCATTTTGCCTACATTACTAAAAAATTTACTTATTATCGTTTTATCTGTACCAGTAAAATCCAAATTATGTTTTTTTTAATATGTTTAGGTATGCATTCTATTACTGCTTTTGTAAAATTTATATTTCTATTATAAACCATATCATAAATTTCATCCATATATGTTTGTATAAACACATGATCCTTTTTTGATCCACATAAAGCACATAATATGCATTCTAACAAGTATTTGGTTGATTCGCCAATCCCTTGTTTCATATGCTTTAATATCATTTCATTACGGATTTTATCTGGTATTTTAAATTTCTCTCTATATAATGGTTTTGGTATTAGGATTTTTAAAATTATGGTTGGTAGATTGCGAATAAGATTAAATTCCTTCCCACTATTTGTATTATTAATATTCTTCATAAAATATATTTCATATTCTTTAAATATATCGTTCAAATCTTTTACATCCCATTCAGAAATATTTTCAGATCCGATCAATTCAGACGTATATAATAGTAACTTCCAATACATACAATCATTGTCCTTTTCTATTAATCCAATGGTATCACTAAACTTATCTTTTGTGGTTTCAGTTAGTTTTTTTGTGCCTTTTATTTCTTGCTTTTCTATGTTTTTAATACTATCCCATAAAATATTCATCTGGGTTATTATTATTATATCTTTAGGTAGATGAGATTCAAAAAACGGAATATATCTTTGAACATTGGCATTCTCAATCAAGTCCAAAAAAAATCTTTTATCAGATCCTTTGATCATCCATAATATACTATCACTAATACAATCTACTGAAATCTTTTCTTTTAAAGTTTTGCTAATTACATGATGATATGCTTTAAATTCTGATAATTCTATTGTATTTATATTCATTAGATGTTCATTCATTTCTATAGACACTATTGATCTTAAATAGCCGAGTTTAATATTATCAACAAACATTTCAAATTGATATTTACATTTATCAACAAATTCTTTATCCTTCTTACCAAATCTAGTTGAAAATATGATATCAATAAATTCATCATCCGTTTTTTATCTTTTCTAAGAACGCTGGCACCATCATCTCCTGGTAGAAATCCAGTTGAACCTGAATAAAAACATTTAATAACATAATCCACCAGACTTTTCAATATAGGGCTATCTTTTAAAGTCTTTCGCAATTGTGTTGTATTAAACTCATTTTTAGACTGTTTTAGACATCCGATAAGTATGAAAATTAAAAATACTTCATTTTCTTAATGTCTTGTATTTTAGCATTAAATAACTTTACCATCACTTCACACTTTTTTACTATTATCATACTATCTTGTGTTTTATTAGCATCATTCTTAATTCTTTGACTATAACTTTGTATATGGCTTATTGGTTTATTTATTAAAGTTATTTTTCATCAAAATTTATTTCTGTTATCTTTTTGTGATACTCTGCAAGCCATTTAGAAATCATTTCATGTTTATTAGGATTTGTTTCATTTAGATCGTTTGTTTGCAGTTTAATTTGATTGGAAATATCTTTATCTTTTTTTTTGAGTTCTTCCGAAAAATTATATAAATGTTCTAATGCATAAATTATCCTATAGAACATTTCTTTCCAATTTTCTTGATTCATGATGTAATTTATAAACCTTGAGTTATCACTAGATTCCAGGTTTTTTATCTCTTGAAGATACTTTATGTCATCATTAAAATCCTTCGAATTGTTTACAGTCATTTAATTAGGGATTCTACTATCACAGATTTATCTCAAAAATTTTACTTTATAAATGCACTTACCATACCAACTCAGTACATGTTATACATTCATACATTCATTCAGTGCGCTTCACACATGTATTAGTTTATCACAACTACAGATTAATCACATATCCATTCTTATCACATTAATCTATCTGTTCATCAACTATTCATCACATTCATATGCATAATGCCATTTTAAGAAACACTTTCATATCATGTCATTCATACTCAACGTTTGTACAAGACAATACAATACATAAATTCTATTCATCCATGGGTAATCATTATACAATGAGTGAATTCATAAGAATGTCATCCAAGGTATTGAACACATACAGGATGTTTGGCATGTGCATCTATGCATGGATAACCTGTATATACTCTAGAAATGTATACTGTACAAGTGTATACAATAAAGACACAAACATCTACACTGACATTAACATTTATAATGACATAGGCATCTACACTGATACTTACAATAACAACTACAATGGCAATAATAACAACCATAAGTATAAATGCAAATACAACCACAATAAAACATCAGTTGAGCTATCAGATCCAAAAATCATGAGTATTCCTACAGACATGCCTGAAAACATTACACATCTAACAATCCGTAACTGTCATCGTCTAAGATCACTTAATGGCATTGAGAAGTACACATCTCTAAAACACCTCAGAATCATTAACAATCAAAACTTACGTTCTGTACTCAACATCAACACTCTGACATCTCTACAATTAGTCAACATCCAGAAAAACAATTATCTAGATCAAATAGACTGTCTAAACTATCCTGTATCTCTACAAACACTCAATATCATTGACAACCAAGGATTAACCTCAATAAAAGGTTTGGAACAACTAGTACTTCTACAATCAATTTGTATTAGGAACAATCCAACACTCAGAGAAGTACTTGGAATCCCAAACCTTGTCAGTTTGATCACTCTTCGTATCCAATACTGTCACAACGTAAGTACTCTACTACGCTTAGGAAGACTACATAATCTACTTGAGCTCAACATATCTACAACAGGTATTCGTGCTATTGAGGATCTCAATATGCTTGTGCTTTTACAGAAGCTTGACATCAGTGGAACTAAAATAAAAAATATATCAGGTGTACAAAACCTTGTTGATCTACAGATATTGAATCTGTGTGATACAAAGATATCAGATATATCATGCATACAAGCACTTGTAAAGTTGAAGAGATTAGATTTTAGTAACACAAAAGTAACAGATGTATCATTTATAGAAAATCTTGTTAATCTTGAGATTCTTTACATGAGTAACTCTGAAGTGTATGAATTGAATGTAATAGATAAGTTAGTGAAGTTAAGGAAGATTGATATCAGTGGAACTAAGATATCACAGATAGATGGACTAGAATGTATGACACAACTAGAATGGATAGATATTGGATACACAGATATAAAGTATGTACCACGATCATTCTTGAGATTGAATGATACAGGAAGGATGAGTCATATAAGTATTGTAGGTATTTGTAATTTTAATGAGAATAGTGATGAGAGTAGAGTGGGATGGAGAGAGTTGGCAGAAGTGTTTGGAAACAGAGTGTTTTGTATAGATGATAGATACATATGATGTGATTTGTGTGGTGATGTGAAGTGATTGATGAGT